CTGGGCGATGCACCAACGTCTGAGCTCCCCTACCCAGTGGCCACCGAACCTGAAAGGTACTTGGGCGTCAACTTCACCAAGCAGGGCATCTACTCCAAGTTCAAGACTCACATCAGCTCCCTCCGCGGCAGACTCTCGCTCTTCAAGTCTGAAAGCACCACACTGCGGTCCAAGGTTGCAGCTCTCAAGTCTTACGCCCTCCCCCCCTCTGATGTACCACTTCTATCTGGACTCACCGACCAAGTGGCAGATCAAGAAGATCGAAAACCTCACCAAATGGTTCATCTCAGCCCCCAAGACCACCGCCTACGGCTCCAGCTTCATCAACACGATGGCACTGGACCGTGCCAGCTTCCATTGGGATCAAGGTGGCCTCAACCTCTGGGACATTGGCCTCAGATCAATTGCCTACAAGGTATGGGTGTTCAATCGTTTCCTCAACACCCCAGCCCATCTCACCCATGGCTACCTGGACTCGTGGAGAACTCAACACCGCAACGCCAGGAAGCGCCTGGGAGGCAAGTTCACTGGCCTCTTCCGCAAGTTCCACACACCTTGGATGGAGTTCCGCTCCGCCCACCTCTCCAGCCATAGCGACAAGGTACCTCTCTTGGATAGCAATGGTGTCACCCTCAGTCTGAAAGACATCTATGCCATCCTCTGGAAGGCAAAGTATGGCTCAATCAGACTGACCGAGGGTCAATGGCAGCTCAGTGTCTTCCACGGCCTCAAGCTCCCAGACATCTTCAAGGTCATCAGCACCCTGAGAGGACCATCCTCGCGTAACGCCCTCTTCAGGTTCTTCTCCCATACCCTCCCAATCAACCATATGAGAGCAGACGCTGACTGTACCCTCTGTGGCAACTCCTGCACAGACCAACCCTACAATCACTTCTTCTTTGACTGCAGCAAAGTGGCGACCCAAGAAGCCATGCGCCCATCCTTAGACTTGGTGAAGCAACGCTCTGGTATCAATGTCAGAGAATGGAACATCAAAGCACTGGACATCTCCACGAAGTCTCGTCGCCCCAACCTTCCATTCATCCACCTCATGGCAATCATCGTCAACTACCTCTGGCACTACATCGCCAACCACCTCTTTGGCAACAAGGAGGCACTGTTGGCCAAGCTCAGCTTGGTGTGCATCACATCCTTCAAGTCCCTCCTCCGCCAGGAGTGGCGCTCCCTCACGTCAACGCTAACGAGTCACATCCTGGCCGGACGACCAGTCAACATCAAGAATGAGATGGCCGAGTTCACTACCAAGTGGCACCTCAGCACTCGCAACAGCGACATCCGTCTTCCGCCTCTGCCGCCAACTATCAACAAATACTTGGTGGCCGAATTCAGAGGCCCACAGTAGAAAAGAAAAGAAAGAAAAAAATCAAGAAAATTCAAAATCGACTAACTTATATGTATTATCCCGCCTCTTCAATGACGCCAATTTATTTGCAATAATAATAAACTTCCACTCTAGTCAAAAAAAAAAAAAAAAAAAAAAATATATTATCCCGCCTCTTCAATGACGCCAATTTATTTGCAATAATAATAAACTTCCACTCTAGTCAAAAAAAAAAAGAGTAGAATAAATATGTTCCAATATTAATAAATATGTGTTCTTTAGAAAGATCTACACAATATATTAAATTGGATTATGTACAAAAAAAAATTTTCAAACAAATTTATTGTTTTCCAACATATAGTTTGGTTTCCATTAATGTCCCAATTTATTTGAAAGATAGGGTCTCTCAATCTTGTAATACTTGATATTCTTATACTAACAAATTAACTAGAATGGTTTGGTCAAACCAAAGTAAAATCACGTGGTGTCGTTTTTGCTTCACTACCCTTAAGGTTACATGTTTGGGTGTCACTTCCCAAAGTGAGGGATAATCAAACATGACTGGTGTACCCGTCAAGTTCATTGATGCCCTGACAAATATAGAATCAAGTTATTTATAAATAGAGATATCAGTACGTTTCATAAGTTATGGCCACCCCCTGAGCAAACAGATAGGTGATTGATATCTCTTCAATATTAAGAGATACCAAATGATATCTTATCTCTCTAAATAATAGACTCAATTATCTACTAATCTTGATTGAATTACTTATTGCTAGTTATATTTATTTACAAATAATTGAATGAGAGTGTTGAAATGATAAGTAGTGAACATGGCCATTATTTATGCAACGAAAATTGATCGAAGGTATCGGAACGATGAACTAGAATAATGACAAAGGAGGTTGTCAATATTTGGTCCACCATCCATTCGCTGTTATAATGTCCTCCATTCGTTGTGGCAAGGAGGCGTATAGGTTCTCAACAATGCTGTCATCCATTAGCTCCCATTGTTCATTGGCAAGGTCGGAAAGGACCACTCCAGGGTTCTTTGCCAGCTCTCTCTTGACTCTCTTCTTCAAGATCGCCCAAAGATTCTCTATAATGTTGATGTCTGGTGAATATGGGGGAATGAATAGGGTGGGTATCCTCTTCCTTCTCCAGTGGCTGGTGACATTTGTTGCTCTATGAATTGGACAGTTGTCCATCGCCAGTGTAAAGTCTGGGAGTTGGCCATGATAATATCGGATGGATCGAGAGTATGCATCATCAAGAATCTCCGTGTATTGAGTGTTTTCTAAATTGCCTTCAATCTCAGAGAGATATCCGACACCAGCACTCGTGACACATCCCCAGAAATTGACCTTGGTTCCGGGAAGTCTCCTGATGCCATGAACTCGACTGAATGTGTTGTTATCTTGTCTAGCCCACTCGTGTTGACGGTAGTTCTTGAGTTGGACTCAATTGTGGTCTCATCACAGAATACTATCTGTTCCCATTGTTCCGCTGTCCAGTCTCGATGAGCCATAGCGAACTCGAGCCTTTGATCTGCGTTTACTTGCTTTAGATCGTGCTTCCTGCTTAAACTGCGATAGGTGAGACCTTCCTTTGCAGCGATACGAGATATTTGAGCCGTTGATATCTCTGTATCGTATCTCAGTTCAAGTTTGGCTTTCAACTCGTCCAAAGTGATGACCTCCTTCCTGACCAAAGCTTTGATGATCCTCCTTCTAAGTCTTCTTGAAAACTTTGAAGGGCGTCCCGATTTGAGACGGTCCTTGAAGTCTCCTCGCTCGCTGTGTCGTTGAATAGTCCTGCTCACAGTTGATCGGGAAATATTGTACATCTTTGATATTAATTTCTTTGAATATCCTCTCCTTCTGGCTCTCACGATTTTAGCTCTCTCTTCTTCTGTTAATGACATGATTAATTGTAATGTACATAAATAATATTCTATCTCTTCCAACAAAGTGTTTGATGTTTGAACTCATTCATTCTTTACTATTGCATAAATAATGGACATGTTCATTACTTTAACAAAAATATCGTTTGAATGATAAAGATATATTAATTCCATTTTTGGAAAAATATTCATAAATGGAAATTTTTGAGCAAAAGTGAACTACTATATTTGGAAGTGAATAAGAATCTTGAACCATATTTGTAGGAGATATCAAACTCGTACCTGTTTGAACAGGGGGTGGCCATAACTTATGAAACATACTGTATGGAGTCACCTTTGGAAATTGGGTTATGCTCAACACATACCAACAAAAGTTTAAAGTTATTATGTTTCAAGTGCAACACTTTAATCTGCTCATCATGCTTGACGGAGATGCATGTCGGTCACTCCCATCATCATGTAGACAATATAAGATCATTACTAAAGGATAATAAGTATGATCGATTCACTCCAAGATTGAATCAACTATGGATAAGTAGTAGGCAGATGGCTGCATCATATCAAGCGATGAATGACTCGAGCAATGATGTCACCGAACGTTTCAGACAACTTCACGAGTTGCTCGTTGTGGAGGAGCATCGGATCAAGTCACCAATCATCGATGAGATGAAACTCACTGCCGAGGCCATTAAGACGGTCATTGAGGAGGTGAACAGCATCACCTCTGTGATCTCATTCGATCATGATCACAATGACCATCCGGTTGGTAAATGACTATGATGATGACGATCGATCAACTTTGATATCATCAATCAACTCATCGACGTCACTGGATCAACATCTTCCACTCTCAGGCTCCCTCGATGGATCATTCCCAAGTCAATCAATCAATCGTTCAATCATCGAATGACCTTGATCTGTTGTTGGCCATTCAACAATGTGAACGACTTTTGCTCTCGCCCCAACCTCCTGTCAGACTAAAGAAGCCTCGTATCGTCAACATTGATGACAACTTGAGCCAGTTGCTCAAGATGAACATCGCCAAGAATATGGCCAGCCAGAGTTCGGATAGGAGGCATGAGTTCCAGAATCACTACTTCTCCATCTCTCTTGACAGTTGCTCCTTGTACCATCCAGACAAAGTCACGCCAGTAACCATCCATGGGTTTAAGGGTCGGACCAACGTTGCCTACGCCACAGTGTTTGCTCGCAACAATGTGTATGTGTTTGGCGGCCAAGGTTGTACCGACACATACGCTCGCTTCAATCTCATTGAACAGAAATGGTACAATGACATCCCCATCCAAGGGATTCTGGGCGGCGAGTATATAACAGCCTGCTATGATGGCAGCCAAAACATCTACTTGGTTGGTGGAATCATCAACTCGTTGCCATCCAACCGCATCGATTGCTTCAACATATCCACGGAGGAGTTCAGTCAGGTCGGCTCACTCCCAACACCGGTGGGCATAGTCAGTGCCATCTTCCACAATGGAAAACTCTACGTCATTGGTGGATCACACAAGGGAGTCCAACTGCGCAGGATCCAAGAGTTCGAGGTGGCCACTGGCCAATGCCGTATACACTCTGGCGCATTGGATATTGGTGACTGTACTTCATGTTGCTTCGATGGCAAAGACATTTACGTATTGTCTGGCGATGGATTCACTCGCGTCAACATGATCACCAAGTCGGTCAAACATCTCAAGGCACCAAAGAGAGCTGCAAGAAACAAGATGTTTATTGATGGCAATAGGATATTCCTACTCGTTGGCAAACGAAACAACATGGAGTACATCAAGGAAAAGGATTATTGGATACCTTTGAGCGATAACTACCGATCAGATGAACTACCCAACGCAGGATTATGTTTGATCAAAGATTGATTTGATACATACATCAATCAATCAATCAATCCTAATAAAGGTTATAATACAATAATTAGAAATATCTCGTTTGTGATGGGTCCAGGGAATGTGAATAGATCAAAATATCTGATCAAACGAAAGATCAAAAAATCCAAAGATATTTTGAATTGGTTGATCATTTTAATAAATATCAAAAGAGATAAAGTATTTTTAATCCATGGATACAACTACTACTACTACTTCATGTCAATATCATAACAAGATAATAGTTGGACTATGTTTGGAATGTAATACAATCGTTTGTGATGATTGTGTTAAAATGGATCATCCTGGACATCAGATTGAGAAGGTTGACATGATCAGATCATTGATCAATGATAAAAAGTATGATAGGTACCAATCAAGATTGAACCTATTATGGACTCAGATGAAGAGCATGGCAACATCATACGTGAAGATGAATGAATCATCTGATGCTGTAACAGAGAGATTCCGTCAACTTCATGAACTACTAGTTATTGAGGAGCACCGTATCAAGTCACCAATCATTGATCAAATGAGATGTACAATGGACTCCATCAGCACAATGAATCAGGAGGTCACTAGGATCACAACAGTGATCACCTCCTCACAAGAGCAATCACCAAATCATGTTAACAATATTGATAATAGTGATGAAATGGACGAGGATCAGCTTATCAAATCAATCAACTCATCGTCAACAATTGATCAATTCATCCAACCCAACGTCGAATCAATCAACATAAGCAATGATGGTCAACTACTCAATGCTGTCCAACATTGTGAGCGACTAGCAAGTGCACCGACCCAAACAAGTGGACTCGAGAAACCACGAATCGTCCACATTGACAACAGTGTTAACAAGGTTATCAAGATGAACATTACCGCATGTGTAAGGATAATTGGTGCAGTCGAGTTCAACAATCATTACTTCGCTATCTGTGAAAATGTATGCACAATGACACATCCGGAGAAGGAGATTGACATTGTCATCGAAGGGTACAAGGCCAGGGAAGGCACCCCCACCAGTGCAGTATACGCTCGTGACAATGTCTACTTGTTTGGAGGAAAAGATGCTAGCAACTCATACTCGCGATTCAATCTGCCCGAGAGGGAATGGTACCAGAACACTCCCTTCACTGAGGGCACAGCTGGAGGAAACTATCTTTCGGCGTGTTTCGATGGCCACCGTTACATCTACTTAGTAGGCGGATTCTCCAATGATCAATTCACGGATCACATTGATCGTTTTGATATCTACACCCAGAAGTTCAGCCCTGTTTCATCACTTCCAGCCAAGGTAATAGCATCAGTGGTCTTCTTCCTCGACTCCAAACTCTACATTGTAGGTGGACTCTACGCACGCGACGCCCAACATCAGGCCATCCAAGTGTTTGACTTGGCCACTGGACAACTATCCACTCACTGTGATGCATTGGAGATTAGTGAATACCTGTCAAGTTGTTTCGATGGCACTGATTTGGTCTATGTCCTGTCGAAATCTGCATTCATCAGAGTATCACTGGCTACAAAGGAGCAAACAAGACTTGCTCAGCCATCCAAAGGTGGAAGACATAGATTGTTCTATGATAATGGAAGGATATTGTTGTTACTCGGTAAAGGTCATAACATGGAGTATAACAAGGACTCGGATAATTGGACAAATCTGGATGACAAGTATTGTTCGCTTGATGTAAGGGCACTCAGAGCCATGTGCATCATCAGAGACTAAGGAATGTGTCCAATCAGCAAGAGACAAATAAATTATTCATTATTATTGACTTGACATGATGAGATTGGATCATATGTTGGAGAGCTCTTGACTGCTCTGAAGTGAACTGCAGCCACTTCCAGTGCCCATCCTGGCCTTGTTGTTGTTCAAATCGATAAGATGTGGTTGATACCTTGCCTTTGGGTTGTTGATCGCTTCGTTCTCCAGCTGGTCCTGGACCTGCTCATAGCACATGATACACACTCTGGCCGGCTCCTTGATACCAAAGTGCCTCAGCGGGATCTTGTGAGACACGCACTTGGCGCAATAGACATTGCCACACTGGCGACAATGATGGCGACGCACCAAGAAGTTGAATTGGTCGTAGCATAGTGCACATTTGTGTGTCTTGTCCTCGTCGGTCACCCATGTTGGCATCCACTGTACACGCCAGTCCACTGGCCTCTTACTGGGGCGCTTGGGAATGAGCTCTTCATTGCCTGTTGCGGGGTCCCATAGTCTGAGGCGCACTTTAACATCCAGTCGCGCATGTGCCACCGAGAGCACAAAGAAGTGTTTGATCTTGAGCAGGCGACCATAGGTCGTTGGGAATACAGTGTCGTCGCCAACATGTTTGGGAAGAATTGTGTGAAATTGGAAAGAGATAATGTCTTCATCTTGGTGAGATGATGACGATGATGATGATGATGATGATGATGACGATGATGATGTAGCTAATGGGGAAGAAGAGGATGATGAAGAAGGTGATTCATTATTGTTGTTGTTGTTGTTGTTGTTGTTGTTGTTGTTGTGATTGGCGTGATTGTTATTGTTGCTGCTGCTGCTACTGTTAGTCTTTAAGTCAAAGACTGCTGATAGCACCTTTGTACACGCCAGTTGTTTCTTGGCGTTTGAGTTATCTGGAGGCATGATGAATATTTGTTGGTAGAGACCAACATGGAGCTGATCGATTGGTATTTTGCCAGGATTGTGTATCTTGCCATAAAAGTGTGTTCGTTGACCAATGAAGCAATCTCTGTGTGGTAGCCAGATTGCCATCTCCAGTGGGTAGCCCTTGTGGCCCCAGACGGGCTTGGCCGAACGTGCCACTACCACACTGTTTGATTGTCTGTCGAGGATATGCTGCAACTGACTGGATCCAACTCCATGTATAAAGAACTCTGTACTGCGTGATGTTGTCGTCTCCTCCCACTCCTTGCCCTTGCTGTATTGAATGATACAGCGCGCTATATAATATATGGACAAGAAGCCAGAGTAGTTTAGGGAGGGCGCCAGGAAGTTTGGTAGTTTGGCAGAGAATGCGTAGGTGTAGACGCCAGGTTCCAGCTCTTTGCCCTCCGAAGCATGCTTCAGCTTGGAGAAAATGACCGTGGGGTCTGTGGAGTTTGCCAAGGCTGGCAGGTGAGGATGATGTTGATGGAAGTGTTGCTGTTGTGATGAGAGCACTGGACTGGCCAAAGGAGATGCGTAGGCACCAGAGGCTGGTGTTCGAATGATCTTTTGAGAGTTGGTTGGTGATATTGATGATGATGATACGACCGATGTTGATTCCTCAATGTTTGGAGGATAGATTTGAATGGTCTCTGAGTAGAATGGAGTGATGTGATTATCAGCGTTGGTTGCATGGTGGTTGTTGTGCATCATGTTTCCATGATGGCCATTATCAAATAGTGATTGTATATATATCTTCTCGTAGCCGCCTAGATGTACCTGTATTGAATGTAGATACTGTCTTCTATATATTGTCAATCTTATTACACCATGTATCTCTCCACCATTCAGAAAGAATGATTTGTCCAACTCTACATGTACTGAGCAACTATCGATATGTATTGTGTGTTAGGACTACTATCAATGGAATGTTCAGGATAAGTGCACTTACGAATCATTATGATTGATTTGTAAAGGTATTGTCTGAGATGTAGACGGGGGCATTGGCGGCAAAGAGTTCAAAGGATGTTGATTGCCCAACATTCTTGATAACCTCCTTTTTCTCTATTGTTGTTGTTGTTTGACTTTTGATTGATTGAATGTGTAAAGTAATAATGTCTGTTTGATTATCTGTACTGTCTATGTATATTGAATGAATGAATGATAGAATCATCATCATCATCATCATCAGTGTATAAGTATGTAAACATAAACCAATGCTTTAAAGACAGAACGTGTATAAACACTTTAGTCACTCTCTCTCTCTCTCTCACACACACCAACAGAGGAACTGTTTGTCGTAATGACTACCAACTTGGGCACGCTCTTGCACAACTCTGTCCGTGTTCCGTGAGAGAGTGAAGTGTGCTTGTTGTGTTTGTTTAAGTGTGTGTGAGAGTGTTTGTTGTTTGTATAAGTACATACATACCATATAACGACACACACAGACGATGTTTATAAGGGTGTTGGTGTGGGATACTAGAGATCACTACTAATAATAATCTTCCTCTTCCTTTTCTGTATGAATAATAATTTATATTATAATGTAGTTTTTGAAGTTGTTGGTGATGTTGTTAAGTGATGTGATTGATGTTGTTGAGAGAATGTCAATGTGCACTTATTCGATTATTGATAGAGAGAAATAAGAATATTACAAAGATACTTCAATCTTATATATAAATATTGATTTTAATTTAAAATAGTCTTTAAGATTGGAGCGGAAGAAGAGTGACAAGCATCATCCATGCAACAGAAAGGTCGACGTCTTGATCTTTGCACCTTGTTTACCTCCCAGACGAGTCCCAAAGCTGGGGCTCAAAAACAATGATTTTATGGGACAAAATACCAAAAAAGATCTAAGACCTAAACTTCTATCAACTATTCTTATATTGATTGGAATACCAACTCTGATGTTGAACAGATAATATACCTCTGAATGTAGCTGGTGTAGTTCATAACATCGACTTCAACTCCAATCAATAATGTGTGAAATTTAGTAGGGTTGGCGCTTCACCAGCATTTTGATCAAACACAACAACAAACCACGACCATTCATTTATTTATCAAATGTACATATATTTAAAGAATGAATATAAGTAATATATTAGATAGCAATGGTACACCTCCAAATAATGATGTTGCGACAACATCATCAGACTTATATATGATCAATCAAATAACAAGTATGGGAAAGAATGGCCAATCAATCAATCAACGATCATACTTACAAACATAATAATAGGACCAGAAGGTGTTGTAACAGGTGAATCAAACTTATTAGAACACTTTAACTTGTTGAATATATTGAATGACTTTAAATCAAAGCATTTATCATCAACTTATAAATCATATGTAAAGAATCTACCGGGTGACACTTATATAAGACGAGAGAAACATCATCATCATCATAGCGACAGACAATCAACATCCACTCCCATCGGTCATCAGAACGTCGGCACGCCCACATCAGTGGCCACACCAACCGGTCCCATCCTATCACCACAACAACAACTACAGCAACAACAACAGCAACAACAACAAGAAGCACAACAGCGCAAGGACAATGAGAAGAGACAGCAACAGAATGTAGTGAATGGATTGGCAAAGCTGGTGGAGGGCATCACAAACACAGGCATCGCCTACGAGGACGACCAGCAAGAGTTGATCCTGTTGTCGCTGTCGGAGCCACAGATGATGGCGGCATTCACTCTGATGGATGGCGGATATGTACGACCAGAGAAAGAGAAGAGGAAGCATCGTGACAAGAATCGCGGCGACAAGAAGAAGCGCAAGAACAGAGAGGGTGGCGATATAGCCGATGGAGTTGGAGGCGATAGTGACAGACACAAGCGAAAGAAGAAGAGTAAACGAGATGGCAGCGGGGAGATGGACATGCAACATGTTGTGCTCGAGCACTAGGTGATGCATTCATTCCACTCCCTCCAACCTGTCATTATGTACACATCGACACTAATGGATTATCAATTGAATATCTGATCATGGTTCGAAAGTCCTGTTGATTGGGAACCTATTTTATATCTTTTTTGGGCACTGATCAAAAAGGTCCAGGCAACATGTGGATGTAACCCAGATCTTTTGATTCCGATCTTTGGTCCAGATTCATGGTTGGTCATATCCATCTAGCCTTTGGTGAACTCATGTTGATTTTTAATCATATCCAAAAGATCATAAGTTCATAGATACATATAAATAACCTTGTACAATCTTATTTATAAATGAATAGATTACATCTTCTGATCTTTCTATCTCTTGTTCAGTATTCAATAGCTCAACAATGGGTAACAAACCCCATCAACAATCACCAATACAAATTGGTCCTTACAAATACCAATTGGTCTCAGGCCAATGCTTCGGCAGAGTTGAATCCAGGCGAGTATGTTCAATCAATCACTTAATCAATTCCCCAATTACTCACCCACACTCAATGAATAGATACTTGGCAACAATAACATATCAATCAGAGTATGACTTTATTATGAGTAATATCATGGGTACAAATACTCAGATATGGATTGGTGCTACTGCTGTTGGGTCACCGGATGGATCATTATATACATGGGTGTCTGGCCCAGAATCTGGTGTTCCACTTTATGATAAACATATATCAAAGTGCTTTGGATATTGCAAGTTTGTTGCTTTGGAGCCTGATACATTGCTCGGTCAAAAGTATATACATATCTGGAATACCAATGGACTGGACGACGCTACCGACTCGACCACCTTCTTCGACAATACACCAATGAATGGATATATTATAGAGAAAGGTGGTTCAACTGATCCAGTGATCTGGCCCAAGGACTCTGAGCCAGGTATACTCACCATCAGTAACCTGGACAAACGGCCATTTAACACTTCCAAGCTAAGAGTCAACTTCCAAGGTAGTTCAATTAGCCGTCCCGACTTTGAATGTACCATTATCACCTTCAATAAGTCATCGGTGACATGTCAGACAACTCAATATCTTGTTGGAGAGTACACACTCAACATCACTGATGGAGTCCAGGTCCATACTCTACTGAGGTATCATTCAAATTGTAAGACAATCAATCTCACAAACCATCATAGTCAATCACTAACTTATATTACTTCACCTTTTAGTACCATTGATCACATCACTATTTATAAAGTATCAAGCTAATGAAACTATAACAGTGAATGGCCGTAACTTTGGTGATGATCTATCACAAATCAATCAGTTCATGATATCCTCAAACATTCCATGTACACCAATATCGATGCCAATACTTGATCGATCATTCAAATGTCTTCTCACTCAGACCATCTATCCGGACTACCAAACCCTTACACCGCCAACCAGGGTTACCTCAGTATCCAGCCTAACAGTTGGCAATATCAAGTTGGAGAATATAGTCAGGATACCAATGTGTAAGTAATGATACCAATCACCCATTCATTCAATCCCTAACAAATATGTCAATCCTATCAAACAGATAATAATGACACTGATAGTTTATTGATGTTTACTTCGGATAGTGCCGACACCTATAGTAATAATTACTACAGGACAGAGTCATTTGTTTGCCAGCACTTCACTCCTCAGACCAGATCGGACATTTGCTTCACAAGGAATATGTTGAATTGGGATTGGACTCTATTCTTTGCCAACAACATTGGCGGTAACTTTATACTTACGTCTGGTCCCGATGCTGGAAAAACAATAGTATATGCCAACAAGACTATCAACCCTCTAGTGATTGATACTACCGTTGTCTCACTAGATTCCACCTTTGACACTACCCAGAGTAAGTATTGTGATAACCCATTCCAGGAACATTCACTTACCAATCAATCAATCATGTAGAGTTCCTTGGACAATCTGTTGTGGACCTCAAGTTGTACACTTCTATGAACCCAAGTTGGAAGACATATACAAAGTTCACCATCAACAAACCTCCTCCAGTGTTTACCAAATCAGTGAACAAATTGTTGCCTACTGATGGCGGCTGGATTGAGTTGCCAGTGGACAACATGAGATTTACAAGCAGTAACTACACACTGACTCGAATGAACCTGGTCGTCATCTCGTCACGTATCATACCATTCCATGAAAATGGTACTTTGGGTGTTCTGTTCCCTCCTGGCACGGGAGTGTTGGGACCACTCACTCTTTATGTGGACAACAAGAACTCCTCTGGTTCGTCCTTCACCTACAACCTAGGATTCTACCCTCCGATCATCAATGATATCACCAACATTAATGCTAATGGAAGTGTGGCAACTATCATTGGAACACAGTTTGGAATCAATTCATCAATAATAGATGTGCTACATGAGGGCAAGGTGTTGAAAGCAATGAACATTGTGACCGCTCACAAAGTGCTGTCTTTCAATCTACCTCGTGGATCAGGTACCAGCAAGATCCAGATACGCGTGGATGGCCAACTCTCAAACATCCTGGCGTTTGACTACAAGGACTGTGGCGACTTCAACTTCTGCTCTGGCAATGGCCGTTGCGTCAATGGCTACTGTGAGTGCACCACTGGCTTTGGCAACTGCAGCTCTACAACAAACGGATCGACTCCAATCATACCCAACACCAACCAGTCCAACTCCACTGCGGGCCCATTCTCCTTCCTATTCCGATATGTACGCGAGGTGGATGCCACCGGAATACCAGTTGTAACATACCCAGTGAGTGACATCGTGTGGGGCAACACGACAGTTGACCCGTCATCATCGTCCAACACTACAGCTGGAACTATTCCAAGTGTTATTGGATTCAAGATTACAGTGATCAGTCGATACTTTGCAACAAGGACCAACATCACATTTGGTCAACAACAGTTCATTATGGATGCCAATACGACCAAGTACCAATCGACATTGAGTGCATGGCCATTCAAGTCCAAGACCAACTCATTGGAGCTTGTCTATCAGATTGAGGCACCATCACAGAATGATCGATGCCAACAGACATCAATCGATTACAGCAAGGACACGAACTACCTAAAGTACATCAACGTTGTACTTGGAGATCAGGTCTTTGTGTCCAAGTTCATCAACTTGGCTGTGATTGATGGTCGACCAACATTGACATCCAACCGTCTTTTGTTGAAGTCCTCCGATCTCATGTATCTTGAACCGATGACAAACGACACTTCTATCAACAGTCGACTATACGTGTCAATGGTATCTCCATACTTTGATAAGCAGGCTGTTCTTGATCCCAACTTTAGCGTGCTGACCAATATAGGTGGACATGGAGCGGATGACCTGTGTGATCGACCCAAGAGGGTATGGTGGTGGTGGATACCCATCTTGGTAGGTGGCGTTGTAGTATTGACTGCTGTAGCCATTGGAGTGTTCATTGGTGTCAGGAGGAATTGGTTATTCAAACGAGAGGACAAGAATCTCTCGGTCAAGATGAATAAACTATGAGCATGTTGTACGTATGATCCTGTTTAATGCTTCTCAGTTGCTTGGACCATATCCATTGGCAAAGAGATGTGCCTTCAACTTCTCCAGCGAGCGATGACGATGTGATATAGTGTTCTTGAGGGCAGAGTCCATCTCGGCGTAGGTTTGTTCGAATGTTTCTGGTTGGAACACTGGGTCCCAACCAAAGTTGCGTGGACCTCTTGGTGGCACGATCGTGCCGTTGGTGCGGCCCTCAAACACAATCGGCTCGCAGTCGGGACCTTCTGAGTAGGCAAAGTTACAAATAGCATAGCCTGTCTTATCGTTGTATGCCGACAGCATCTCGTACAGACCCTCTGGTGCCAGCTTCTCCAAGAACCACTTAATATAGGGACCTGGCAGACCCTTCAGTGCATTGAAGCACAGACAAGTGTCCTCTACCAACACTGGGCCATTGACCTGTTTAGCAGCCAATCTACACTTCTCTACTGAGATGTCATATGGCTCACCCTGCAACTCTGGTACTATGTATGTATGCCTATGTCAATACACATCGTCGCGTCGCATCACCTTGCTTCTGATCTCATGCGCTCAACATACAATCAAGTCTCATTGAGGTGATTGGCAATGAGTTACCAAGTATCTGTATTACTTCTTCAAGCTTCTTAGCATTGCCTGTGATGAATGTGATGGTCTTGTTTGACATGTCTGTCTATCTATGTATGTATGTGTATATGTATGATTGAGTATGAATGAAGTCAATGATTCTTGTGTCTTCTCGCCAACTTCTCAAATTAGTGTCGCGCGAGGAGAGATTCAAATAAGGTTCACGAAGTACATTTATGGGTTTATTGATTGACTACAGCTCTTGGGCTATTAGGTCGGTCTTGGTAATGACACCGACCAACCGGCCCATGGACGTGACGTAGGTGAAGCTCAGACCCAACATGGTGAACAGATGGAACACCTTGTTCATTGGCGTCAAGTCTGGAATCTGTGAGGGTGCCAAGTCCATCAGCAAAGCTGTCTCGCCACTCTCAATGATATCGCCCAGCAAATGATTCGACCATATGGCCTCGCCACTATATCCTGCTCCATCCTCTTTAACAGTTATCTCTACTGGTTCCGAGTTGGTACTACTATTATTGTTGTTGTTGTTGTCCATGTTGCTGCTAGCAATGTTGTTGTTCAGGTCGTCCTGATCATCGGTATGTTGGTGTCTATTTCTAACTCTTGGTTCACGAGGTGAGCCAATCTTTCTCATCATGAGTGCACCTGTATCGTCCTCTGCGTCCTCTTCGTCTTCGTCTTCTTCTTCATCGTCCAGATCCTCTTTCTCCTCTGCCAGGCTAACCTCTCTATATTCCTCTAGTTGCGCTGTTGATGTTGTGCTTGTAGTTGGAGGTATCAGACTCTGCTTGTCATCGTCATCCTCTTCGTCATCGTCTTCCTCTGGATGATCACGATGTTGATCTGTGTCGGTGATGATCGATCCCACCTGGCGAACACCGCCATCCTGTTCCAAGCGCGCCTCCTCCGATTGTCTTGCTATCTTGTCCAGTGTCTCCTCGACAATCTGGATATGCGTGTCGACCAGGTCGTCCAAACTGGACCTCTCCACCAGTCCAACGAGCAACATATGCTCCTGTGAATCCACCACGGGAATAAAGGTGTATCTGAACTTTGACAGATACTCCTTTATCTCCTTGACGGTGCTTGCCATCGATAGATAGTTGATATCTGTCTTCATCACTTGTTTGGCAGTCATTGAGTACACCCTGAGATGAAAGGTATTGTCGTTAGTAACATTGATCTGATCGCATAATCTTTGAAGAAGTACTTACTTCTCACTCCTGAATGCAGAGAGGAATGGCAATCCTTGGATCTTTAGCGCTGTGTCAAAGAGTGGTTTGTTGAAGAAGTTGCCAACTGCTGATGAGGTGATCGAGCAGATTAGCACAGGCATCAGCAATGATAGCTGGCCAGTCAGTTCGAGTACAAAGATCGAGGGTGACATTGCTCTGGTTGCACCAGACACCAGTCCGGCAGAGGCAATGACAGCATAACCAACGGTCGAGATCTTGGATATGCCATAGTGATTGACAGTCATCCCAAACAGACGACCCATGGCTGCGCCAGTGACAATGAATGGTGTGATGGCACCACCTGGGATGGGGATGGTAATGTTGAACGCCGTCAGGAACAGCTTGAGTCCAATGTAGACCAAGAGGTTGTATACTCCATTGATGTACGGGTCGTTCTTGTCGGCTGGGAAGAGGTAGGGCTTGGGGTTATCGGCTGGATGCGAGATGAACGCCTTCATCGCGGCTGAGAATGGTTCGCGGGCCAGTGGACCAGCCATATAGGTGAGGGCTGATGACATTATGGCAATCGTGACGACCAGGCCGATACGCGACTGCTTGAGGATTGGATAGCGTAGACGGAATCGCACGATCTTCTCAAACAAAAAGACAAAGAGAGCTCCAATGAGGCCTGTGATGATACCAATGGACACGACAAGCAAGAGGTCTGTGATCGTGTAGGATGTGGGCAGATCGTTCAAGTTGACCGTGTACACTGAGAAGGAGTAGCTGCCTCCTATCAGTGGACGCGACAGATAAAAGATAATCGCAGTTGTTGTGCCACATAGGAAACCTTTCCAAAGGTTGCCAGAGATACAGTTGGTCGCAGTGATCTCCACGGCGAATAAGAGTCCTCCGATTGGCGCACCAAAGTTGGCAACGACGCCACTTGCCAACGCGCAAATAAACATCTGATAACGAACGATCTGATTCTTCTTGATGTTGGAGAACATCTTGAGCTGCATCATCTGATGTGCAATGATGGCACTGGCGTGCATGAAAGGTCCTGTACGACCGATGGTCAGGCCGGCAGCGGTGGCCGCCACCATTCCAATCAGCTTGGACACCAGTGTCTTGAAGCCGAGCACACGACTCAGATTGATACCCGAGAGAATGGACTTCATCTCTGGGATACCCGAACCGACGGCGTACGGACTGATAAAGGAGATGCAGCTGACTGATATAAACGAAAGACCTGTGCAGTAGGCCACATAGATGAGACCATATTTCCAATTGTACATGTCCTTGTCGTCGCCCATTAGATTTAGACGCAGGTTGTTAAGCTGCTTGAGAACCTCGTCACACATGATGCCCATCAGAGCGATTAGGATGCCCAGGATGGGGATGAACATCAGTGTGGAGATACGCTCCTTCTTGAACCAATGCTGAACACGACGTTTGTACGAGTCCAGATCCTTGACGGTCTCGACATCGTCCTTCTCCATCGTTGGATCGGACTGCAAATTGGAGTACATATCAACGGATTCAAAGACTACGTCATAGTCGGCCATTGACGTTGCCTTATACTCCTTTGTATCCTTAATCTTTGTCAACACTTTGTGCATCTTTCTCTTATATTCATTTGATCTTATATTATGTACTACATTCTGAGAGAATGATTGACGAGTGAGTACTTGAATTGATTGGCATGCCGTTTGGACCTCCTTCTATAACTTACCTGCATTCTACTGTTAAAGTCATCTGTACCTTGATGAAAGAAGCTTGCTATACGATCACGACGATCATTGTTCAATGGATTCAGATCGTTTAGATTCAGGTTCAATGGATTTAAGTTTAGATTGAGTGGATTCAAGTTTATATCCCTCAATGCTGAAGGTATAGCATTGAGAGGATTAAAGTTTGACATTCCTTTTAGTCTTCTTTGTTGTAGTAGTCTTTGTTATTGTTGTTGAATGGTTGAATGAATGATAGATTGAATGAATGAGTTGAATATATGATCGAGTGATTGAGTGAATGAGTGGACTTGATTGAGTGAGGTATCCTAATGAAGTAATGATAACTATGTTGTTGTTTGGTATGTAGGTGTATATATATGTATATAATGTATAAGTATTACTACTACATATGTATATGTATGTATGTATGTATATATAAGTTAGAGAATGAATGTTAGAGTGTTAGAGTGAGTGAAGGGGCGAGCAACTTGTCAAAAAGGGTCATTCATTCCCCACAACCACACTCGTCTTTCACCAACTCCAAACTCCGATATTTTGATTATTATTATTTATATTTGTTCAATTAGTTTGAACATTCATTCATTCATTCATTCATTCATTCATAGTTGTACACACATATATAACATATATAAGTTATGAAGACCTGTCTCATTAGACACTGTACAATTTATTAACCAGCATGGATAATGATATTGTGAGTGACTCTTCGAATCTTGGTCGCCTGGAGATGATCTCCGAACCTAAGGGATTGATGATGTAGTCGGCAGGCTTGCTCAAAGTACTCTCTTTCTCGCCAAAGATAATTAGTATGTGCTGGAATTGATCGGTGCCCTTGAAGTTTACGCTCTCCACTGGTGTGGCATCGGATGCCTCGTTTGACAACATCACGCGACAGTCGTAGCCTGATTCGTAGGGACATGTCTCGTCCGCCTCGTCCAATGTGTCGACACGACGGATTTGGTATCCCCAGTAGTGTCCAGCAGCCTTGACATCCTGTGGAGACACCAGCTTGCCCTTCTTTAGGGCGCCGGCGCCCTTGGCTGCGCCCTTGTCCTCCTCCATCTCCAGGGTGACACGCACGCCTGTCTTGATCAGCTTGTCGGCCACGACCTCCTTGCCTGGGCCAAGACCCACGTCGACCAGTGATGCGCCCTGCTCGCTCTTGTGCGACACGATGCCCTCGCGGAAACGTGTCCAACGCAGATTGGTGTTGTGATGCGCTGCCTCCATCTTCTTCAACTTGTCGACGTGCTGGTAGTCCTCGTCTCTGAGGTCGAATAGGTGATGTCTGATGTTCCTCGGCGTCTCGATGTACTCGAGCAACTTCATCAATCTGTCCGAGCGTGAGTTTGACACGGCAGAGCGGTAGACGATCACCTCGTCCACGGCAAACAGCGTGGACACTCTCGATATCATCTCCACCAAGTATGTGGTCATCTCGTCCGAGGTCACATCGTCCAGGATGTTGGCGGGGATCGCTATGGACTTGGTCGCAGTCTTTGAGAAGCTACGTGGTGCCACCTTCTCCAAAGCATCCTTTGCCTCCTTCTTCTGCTCCTTCAAGTCCTTCATCTTCTTCCTCAGATCCTTCTCCTGCAACTTGATCTCTGCTTCACGTGATTCAAACTCCTCTCGCAGCATCTCCAACTCATCCTTCAATTTCTTGATCTCATCACTATTGCTGTTGTTGTTTGTGTTGTTGTTGCCGTTGCCAGTTGAGACGGGCAAGTCGGCGGGTGGTGGTGGCAATCTCTTCTTCTTCTTCTCGGCACGCTGTGTCTGCTCATCTCCAACATCTTCCTGTTGTTCCTTCAGTCTCTTCTTATCCTTGTATAAGTTTGGATCACTCAATATCGAAGTTGATGTCGTCTCTGTTGTTGCTGTCGATGTTGATGTAACAGTTGTAGTTGATACATCGTCAACTTCATTGTCAGCTCCATTCTCTGTTTCAAACATCGATATCATCGAATTGAATCTGTTGACTGTTCGGTTCAAGGTTAGTCATTCAATGAGTCAATCATTGTACCAATCAATCAAACACATACTATTACTATCATTTATCTTATTATTCTTTATATTCTTCTTTGGCATCTTTATGTATGCTATATATATAATCTAGATTCAGTTATGTACAGTGAATGAATGTGTTTCATTCGCTTTCGTCTTTTGATCACTCACACACACGCAACCACCCGAGTCGTCTTCAAAATCATTAATTAATTTAAAACAAATTATTTACTTCTATACATGTTAGCATCATGCAAGTTGGATGATACAACCATTGGTCTGGCAAGTTCCAACAAAGACTCATAGGTTATTGACTCGTTGCCATCCAACTGACTCTTGATCCACTTGATTGACTTGGCAACGGCGAGGGACCACGAGGTCTCGGTGGCAGCACAATACTTCTGGAGGTATGCAATCACATAGATTGTGGTCCAAATGTCTGCGTTGACAATATCTTGCCCCGGCCTGGCCACGGCAAACTCAAACCTGCAAGATGATTTCCATGATCCATTGGCTTGTTGCAGCCTCAGTATATCCATGACCTTCTTGTTGGCCATCACATCAGACTGGGAGATGGGTGTCTCATCCTTTTGAGGGTAGTTGCTTGAGCTATAGCCGCCACCACCACCGCCACCACAGCATGCGCCACCACCCTTGTATTGTGCACTGTCGACACTCAAAGAGATAGAGTTTGGAATATTTCCACCATAACTTGGCACGCCACCAAGGATGTCGGCAGTCACTGGGTTGTCCAAGATTGGCTGGTCATTGTCACAGTCGACAAAGAATGCTGTGTGCTTGGAGACCAATCCATATCGCTTGCCAAGTCGGACGATGGTCGCCTTGTGGTCCTGTGCCTTCTTCTCCTCGAGTTGCTCTAAGTCGGCAATGATGAGATTGGCAGTGACTGAGTGAATGAGATCAGAGTCATCGCCAAGGACGGCCTGGGAGAAGTCCAACTTGACGGGATAGCTGAACACGTTGCCCGAGGGGTCGGTGCCATTGACCAGAACTGTGTGCTCCTTGGTGGGATCATCGACAGTGTGAATCAGAGCGTGCACAATCATTCGCTCACTCATGAACACAGGTCGAATGATTGATGGTGCCTGAGTGACCTTGATGCCAGTGCCCCAGTCAACAGTGATGTTGGAGAGCATAGGCTCCAGTGCGATCTGGAGCAGAGGCAGTAGCTTGGCCTCCATGTTTGGATCGCGATCGGCAATGAAGGAGTAGTAGCCCTTGCACACTTGGGAGAGTCCAATCACCAGGTTCCTGTCCACTCCACGTCCAATGCCCAGGGCAAACACTCTTGTCGATGACGACTGTTTGCTCATCATGTTGAGGATTTTCTCGCGATCACACACCTGGCCATCGGTGAGGACGAACACCTGGCGAGGGTACTCCGGGTTGTATGGATACTCCATGATCTCGGTGAGTGGCTCACACATGTTGGTGCCTCCAAAGGTAGCATGCACTTTGTCGTCAATCCACGTACTGGCCTCACTCAGAGACTTGTCGTTGTATGGTGTGGATTGTTTGTAGAGCTTGACATACCTGCTACCAAACAGATAGATGTTGAACTTGATACTCTCGTTGAGTGATCGCATTAGCACCTCGAGCGCACGCTTGGCCGATTGGATACTGTTGCCTTTCATGGAACCAGAGCAGTCGACCAAGAACACCACCTCGGACTTTTGTGCCATTGTCTCGAAGGAGAAGTGACCCAGCTGGGGATAGTAGGACAGCGTGGCGGCATAGGTCTGATCAGCGCCATTGTGCTCAATGTAGCATGATGGCATGCTGGCATTGGCCGTGGTCACAATGGCCAATATGTTGTTGGTTACGCCAACCTGACTGATCGTCACCAATGCCTTGTGATGTGCATTATCCTGATACGTGAGCTGATGTGGACAATCGATAAGGATGTCGGTGATTGGCGTGGACATGTCCAGAGTGATGTTCACTGTCAGGTTGAACCTGTTGAGCGGGAACATGTAGCGGTGGAGACAGTAGTGCAGCGAGTCGATCACAGTACAGATCTGCGAGATGATGGTCACCCTGATAACCACGTCCTTCTTGGGCATGATGTTGCCCAACGACACCTTGAAGAATCCGTTGGCCAGCTTTTGCGCGAGGAATGCGCCGCGACCACTGGCCATTGCGTCATTGTATTTGTTCTCAGCCTCCTCTTTCTCATTGATCTGACCATGTAGTACGCGTCCATCGTACTCAATCTCCATCGAGTTGACTGCGGCATAGGGTGGCAGGGGTATCTTGTAGAAGGCCTCAACGGCATTGGCCAAGTTGTTGGTGTAGCGCTGTTCCAGCGTGGTCAGGGAGCATGCATCGGTGATGTGGGCGGTGATCTTGTAGTCGGTCAACAGGAAGCCATTGTTAGCGGATGATGCCATGAAATCATTGGTGGTCAAACCAGTGACACCCCTGGAAAAGTTGTCATTGCCACGTGACTCCAACTGGCGATAGTAGCCATAGTAGGCAGCACTATAATATCTCTTATTATTGTTCCTATCATCAATATTGTTTGTACTGTTTATAAATGATTCATAGGTGTTCACTACTGTTTGATTTGTTGTCATGTTGTTGTTGTTGTTGTTGTTGTTGTTGTTGTTGTGCTCTTGACTGGATACGATTGAAGAGAGATGGTCGTTAGGTAATGATCAGTATGTTGTTGGTCGAGTCTTTGGTTGGGCATTCCCTTTAAATGATGATGGTCCAAGCAGCAGTCATCTCTCTTTCTAATTGGATTCTCACCTCAACTCTCTCTCCCTCGCTGTCTCTCTTCAGTTTCTCTCTAACCCTCTTGAGTATTTGTTTCTCTTTGTGTCGTGAATGAAATTAATTCAATGAAGTGTCTAATCACCACATCTTGAGTGAGATCGAAATATCTTTGTTAACGAGTTCATTCATTCATATGACCCAGAATGTGATCATTGACATTATATATAAATATATAATATAATATATAATATATATTTTTTATTATTAGAGACTAATTGGATTGAGAATGATGGCATTCAGGAATATCTCGGCAGATGGCTCGATGGTCAGGTACTCAAGATTGGTGTATGGGTCCTTCTTGACATCGATCAATGCCATCAAGTCATTGTATGCCGTATAGTCGGTGGATGCGGGAATGTTCACAGTGGTCAACAATGTCTTGACTCGATTCACTTGATTATAGATTCTGACTGTCGATGCAGCTCCAGTGGTCTTGGCAAAGATACCAATAGTATATGTCTCGACCACCACTCCATTGGCCTCGAAATAGTATCTGATACGGCTGCTTGGTTCCATCCTCATTGAGTGAGAGCCAATCGTGTGATGGTCCTTGGCGAAAGTGACGTTGCCACTGATCTCATGGTACTTCTGGGCATTGATCATTGTGGACACGCGGGCAAGAACGACATTCTCTGGGAATACCTCTGACGGGATCAGGGCACCCTGAATCGCGTCAACGATCTTGTAATCCATAAGTATGTCACGAGTTTTACTCCATGGGAACAAGTCGGATATCTTGTGGCCGGGCACCGATATATTGAAGTTTTGTAGAGGATACTCGGCCTGATGGAGGTAGGTCTGTCCAACCACGCCAACAGCGTACATATAGCCGACGTGTATCTCCAGTCCGATAAACAGTGGCACCTCCACATGGCCCAAGTTGATACCCTGGTCTTTGATGGTCGGGCTAATGATCACACTCTGCACACTGGATACTGTATCAGTGGGGGATCGAGGTGTGACGGTGACCGTTGTCTTGTTCGAAAGCTTGAGACTCCTGGTCACAGAGATTACACCTTGGTTACTGAAACAGAACTGGATCTGAGTGACCTGGCCACGGTAGTGTTCAAATTTGGCGCCAGAGAATAATTCTTCCATCCTTTGGTAGGTGCCAGCATAGTCAAACCCAGATGGAGTAGTGGATGTACTGGGATCCACTACATTACCACTGATCTTTGAGAACAACAGTCTGACCTGCTCACCATAGGTGCCGCTGGGAAAAGTCGAGAGGTCCATTCTCCACCACATCGCTACATAGTCAAACACAGTGGGAATGAGTGCTAGGCGAAGGAGGAGGACACTCTCCAATTTGTGTTGGGCATCCAGCTCATCAAATATGATCTCGGTTCTCGGTGTATTCACAATCTTGTTTGACATGGCCTCAAAGGTTGCGCGGGTGTGATTGGAGAAGTTTGCTAAGGAATTACGCACATTGGTGCGCTGGGTCACGATGGCGTTGTTGTCGAATCCCCAAGCGGTGGCGTATCTCTGGAACTGTGTTTGGACCATGAAGTAGATCGTGGAGCTGAAGGCAAACGTGGGCAACTCAGCAAGATCAGATGAGCTATGACGGAAGATGTTGGCCAGGTTCATGCGCAGCTTAGTCTCGAGCGCAGTGAACGAAGTACGCACCTTTTGGCGTGACTGTGGCGTGTTCTCCATAAGTTGGAACTCAACATTGGTGGCAAAGGTGTTCATGAGATTACGGGTGGCCTTCATTGGCGCCTTGATACTGGTCAGGTTGTAGTTGTTCAAATCACCAGTGGCGGCAAGGAGGTTGTCCAGGTACCATTGATTGATGAAAGAGTCCTTGAACAAGTTATCGAGAAATGCGGACCAGATTACATTTATCGTTCTGCTCACTGATGTTCCATTCTGAGGAGTGATTGATGACATGCCCACTATCGCAGACTTGAGTTGTTGCATTAGTATATCACCAGTCGCAGTTGAGGCGGACAAAGGTGATTCCTTGGATCTGATCAGTTCAGTCATTGTCTTCATCTCATTGTACCAATGTCTTTTGTTGAGATCAGTCTCCAATGTTCTTTTATTCCTTGGAGCAGGTGCTGCATGAGTCTTGTTGTGTCAATTGTTAATAACAGAAGGTAGGTGGATGTTTGATTGATGGTATAAAGTTTGGAATTGGAACATACCAAAGATACAAGCTGGATGGAAACTAAAAGGATAACTAACAACAAATAAAATATTTTTGAATTATTCATTTATCTTTGTAATTATTAATATTATTATCGAGTCTAAAGTTGTCACAATTATATTCATACATACATAGAGGTTGCTTCAATGTGACCATTCGGAAGGAATAACCAGAATCTACGATGAGACGCAGTGATTATCGTTCTATCTGGACAATTTGGTACCTGATGGAAGTATTCATTTTTATGGATCGATGAGTTGGTCGTACTACAAATAGGACCTTTTGAGCCCCATGAATGTTGATGTACATAATAAGTGCCGTAAATAGATTGATTAGAGGTCACGAGCGCCATAGAAGAGTGGGAATATTCCAGATCACTTGATCATCGACTTCGTCCTGATTCGGAAACAAGATCTTCAATAGACATGACATGTTTGAATGAGTACTCATTAACTCGCTCCAACATACTTAATACTATTAAAATTATTATTATTTGTTGTTGTAATAATAATAACAAACAATGTTTAAACAAATAAGTATATTGTTGTTGTTAGTTATCTTGCTTGTCAATGTTGACCCCATAGTATGTATAGTACTTGGAATCATATTCCAAGAAGTAATAACTGTTACAACATGTTCCTAGCTCACTCATTCACTCATTCATTCATTGACTCACTCACTCACCCAACCAACACTTAGATTTGTGCAAGAAACAAGAGAGATTGGCTCAGAGAGAATGATGCCTTTGTTAGAGGTATCAAGTTACCTTTGGACAAATATATATTCCCAGAGTTTAAAGACTTGGGACCATCGTTCTTTGAACATGTCAATCATGTGATCAATGCTATCTACACAAATGGCATTGGTGCGTCAATGGCCTCGTCAAGATTCATCACCTCAATCTGGGACTATGTCGCCGATCAAGAGAACCCGTACACCACCGGCGTCGTCGGTGTCACTGGCGACTACATTGCTCTGTTACGCGCCTACGTCAATCCCCAATCAATCCTTTACAACGTCAGCGCAACCGAAGATAATCGTATCAAAACATTGAGCTACCAGATGATCCACACCGCAGCACTCGAGTACACCACCAACCTCAATGAGTTCAACAACAACATCACCGATCCTCAGCGTGGCATCGACTTGAGACAATCCATCGTCACCCTAGCCACTACCCTACAGGAGCTGCTTGCCATTGATGGGGAGTTCCGCACCTTGCCTCTCGAGCAGTTGACCATCTTCTCGTTGGCTGCTACATCACAAGTACTGCTCCTGACCGACATTGCAAGATGGGGCACCCGCTGGGGTATCTCAGGGGACGATATGACTGCCTACAACACTCTCTATCACGAATCGATTGTTGAGTACACACTGTACGCCAAGGATGTGTTTGACGCGACCAACGACCCCATCGCTGCACTCACCAACATTGATGGATCTGGCCGCTTTGACAACTTCCAAGAGCTGCGCCGTGTCATCATTCCCCAAGTGTCTGACTTTGTGGCTATGTGGTACAACCTCGACCCCAAGATCGCCATTGACCGAGGCTTCCATGCCGAGAGAATAAGATATCTGTTCTCGAGCACCATTGGCTACAGCGTTGACCAATCAATGATCAACTCAGTTGATATCATGGACTACATGAGCCCATCGTTCGAACGTCTGCAAGAGATGTGGTGGGCACTGGAGCAAGAGGACTACAAGGGCGACCTGACCAGTGTCAACTTCCTACTCAAGGAGAATGACTTTATCTACACTGCTCAGCCTGTATACACGACAAGTCGTCCAATTACGGGCACCAGCCTTCGCATGGGCGCAGAGGTTGGCTCGACCATAATCGACCAAGGTCAATCATCAATCTTCGAGTGGCGATTCCCTCCCACATCCAGTCCACAGAACGTCAGCTACCAGTATGATCATCACCCACGCAAACTCACTCTCTCAGGCAGCGTGGGCCTTGTCCTGGACGGAGGATGTGCCACAACCGACGACTATTGTCATGGCTTCTATGGATTGGTCGGCCAGCGTAACATGGACGACATTGCAGCACCTGGCCACAAGATTGGAACTGTCTTTGGCTGGGGTGTCAATGAGAGGACCACTCTGCTCCCTGCCCTCGATGCCCTTTCAATTGGACTTTTGCCAGCCAATGTGTTCCCCAACAACTTGGTATTGAAGGACACAACAACCGTGATCGACGCTCAGAAGTACCAGTCCGTCAGTGGTGGTACATACTTTGAGCCAGAGTTCTACGGACCTGGTTACCACGTGATGTTCATTCCAGTTGGAGGCTCGATCACCTACCAATTCGAGTTGAACAATATAGTTGACCAATCATTCGACCTCTACCTGCGTGTCTCTACCGGATCCAAGGTTCCCCTCAGTATCAAGGTATCTCAGAACACTGTTGACGTTGCCACATTCACCTTGCCCTACTTCAACAAGAACTCCATCGTTGACACAACACCTGACTTTGACATGGTATTGTCCTCGACCAACGCGACCAACAACATATTCACCTTCACAGCTCTCGGTTCAATTGTTCGTTTGACATCTGTCATCTTGGTTCCAAAGTAAATAATATAATCAACTTTCTGAAGAATAATAATTGATCTTGACATTATTATTATTATTATATTAAATTATCACTATATTACAAATCTACATGTTTTCCATTCTCTCCTCAAACTCAACCTTCCAAAGGATAGAGATACGAAGATGAAGTTCAATTGATATCAATTACTTCAAGATGGGTACCCTTTCGAATCGGTAGTTGATCAATGGAATGATAACTTATTCTTATACCTCCTCAGAGGCTAGACGATGTATATTTACAAATCCCGAGAATAGGAGAAACGAAACCAAACATCGAATTCAAAGTAGTCACCAGGCTAATTCTAATTTATTATGATTTTTTTGATAAATTTATGTATATCTTGGGATACCAACGACCTCACAATGTGGTTCCCAAGTCACCCTTTCTGCACCACCATCAATCACCCAAAACAGTTGAGTCAACTCCCACCAACACTCACATCCCAAGATTGCTTCAACAACCCCCATCACGCACAGACACACACATACCCTTACGCCAAACAAACACAAACTTACCAACACTACTTTGTTACTCCTTATCCTCATACTTTATTCATTCATTCATTCATCATAACTCAACCAACAACACTCTTGTAATAGATCATATTATATAAATACAGATACTTAACTTATAATAATAATAATTATACTTCAAATATATTATTAGTATTATAGAGAGAACAAATAATTCAAATCAATAGTTATAACAATTTCGAAAGACACAATCAACAACTCAGTACCAATTACATTATCCCCCTATCATTCAATGACAACATTGATCATTAACAACAACTTTGGACATAATCCTGTCAATAATACCTTGGTGACGTCGACCATCGTCACCAAGGCCACCCCCTCCGTCCTGGCCAGCTCAGCTGGCTTCCTCAACATCGCCAGTGAGCTTGCCGCCTCTGCCGGTGCCTCGTCCTTTGAGCCATTCATCCAGTTGTCGACTGCCATCGTCGCCCCATCCGCTTCGGAAACCGTAACCTTTGCCGTCAAACATAAGTCGTATTCCTGATGAGGCCGACAAAGCAAATGTGAATCGCGATAAGGGGCACGTCCACAACAGCACCACAAAGGGTGGCGTCCCACTGTCGACCGACAGCAGCAAGTGCGCCGTCAGGGAGGTATTCAACGCAGAGGATGACGCCTGTGTGCAGGCGCTGCAACTCTACACGCTGAGCTTCTTGTCGCCGTATGAGCCCTCCGAGAGACAGATCGCCAAGTTGGTCAGATCGCACTTCTATCGCATCATTGTGATGGAGGATCAGAACAACTTGGTTGTCGCCTGCGCCTTTGTGATCGAGCAGCACCACTCCAACACCTACCATATCGACTACCTCTGTGTCCGTCCGGGCATGCGTGGTGCCGGCTATGGTGGCAAGTTCTTCCAGTACTTGATGGAGTTCTTCCGTGCCGAGCGTCGCTATCCAATGGTCACACTCGAGAGTGAGACCAAGATGGTGTCATGGTACCTGAAGCAAAAGGTGTTGCATCTGCATGTGCAGAGTGACCACGTCGAGCAGGACGGCGAGACTCTGCGCTGGTGGTTGTTGATGTTCCCGCTTGGTGATGTGCTCCAGCTGGACGATGACGACGTACCCAACCGTCTCTACATCACCAACGACAGAGACATCACCGAAGTTACTCCTGCCAAGCTGGCTGCCATTGTCAAGGCTCTCAAGACAATGCTCAATCAGTTGCAAGAAGTCCCAACTACCTCTGACCAAGAAGACGACGATGTCATGGAGTTTACCGACCTTTAATTGAACAATCCAACAATCATCAATCAATCAATCAATCAGTGATCAACAAGACCTAATCAAATAAATAAGATCACTTATAACAACAACAACAAGTAGTGTCTAACTAGTTGAGGCTTGGGATGGTGGTATTGGAGGCCTCCAATATGGAGACCTTGAACAAGTAAGGAGTTTATAATATATGATCTACCTTTTAAGGATTGAACGACTTTTGTACACTTCTGACATTCCAATTGAGGTTCTTTGCCAGCTTCTCAAACCATTCGTTGCTTTCGTTAGTCTTACATATGACTGGTACTGCCCACTTTGATGTCTTGATCACTACAGAGTCACCTTGGTGCAGCTCCTGCCTGTTCTTTCCATCGAATGAACACCATGCCGTGCATCTACTCGTCTCGGATACGCGTATCACCAGTGTGGATGTGGATGGAAGGATGATTGGTCGGAAGGAGAGAGTGTGTGGACATATAGGAGTGATGAGGACTGCCGGCAGAGTTGGATGCACCAATGATCCTCCAGCAGAGAGTGAGTATGCAGTAGAGCCAGTCGAAGTTGCAATGATAAGTCCATCTGCCTGTACAATTGTTATCAGCTTGTCATCGCAAGAACACTCCAGATTTGAAAGGTATGGGTTGTTGCCTCTATCGATAGTCACTTCGTTTAATACTTGGTTGGCTATTGTTGTATTCGATTGATTGGTTAGTATAACTGTTCAAGGATTCGAGAGGATATACATAGAATCACATACTTGGACCCGGCACTCCCCTTGAGGAGATGACGTTTGCCTGGATTCGGAGTCGATAGGAGACGTAGTATTTCCCTTCAACTACCGCTCTAATGTTCTCTTTGTATGATGGGTAATCTGTTTTCGACACGGGCGGTATTGGTTAGTGATCGTTCGTCAGAGTAATGCCAGTCTCTCCATTGATGACTTACCAAAGGATGTCAGGAATCCAAGTGATCCCATGTTGAATGGTAGGATGGGTGGCATGAATGTGCGGAAGAGTGATGATGTGTGTAAGATGGTGCCATCGCCACCGAGACAAATGATAAAGTCGATGAAAGAGGGATCCTTGATGTCTGACAATGATTGTGCCGTTGGACATGATGACAAGTTCTCCTTCTCCAAGTACGTCGTGATGTTCAACTCTGAGAGAAACTGTATCAATGGCTTTGTCGCTGCCAACACATTAACATCAAGGTTCTTGTGAATGACCAACACCTTCTTTGGTGCATGGTTCCATCTCAGTTGCAACTACAATTGATTGATCGAGTTAGGCATCCATCCATTCTTTAGGAGGAGGTGACGCAGCGGTACTTACAAACTGAGGAAGTATACATGATTTGTGCTTCTTTGGCTGAGGTATCTTTGGGGTGGTACTGGCCACTTGGAGAGTGTTGTTGCTTTGATCATCGGACGACTCACTCATGTCTGGCATCTCGCAACTTGAGTAGTATGTGGAGACAGAGTATGATTGATTCTTCTTGTTTGGTGAGCGCGTTGATGACGGACAGGTTGTGAAGTTGAGAGGTGAGAGGAATGATTTGGCAAGTGTGGGCGATAGTGAACTATCGTCCTCTGAACTCGATTGAGACAGTGTAGGTGATGTCGCAGAGAATGGCTGTTGATGAGTATTAACGATGCTGCTGCTGTTTGAGTTGGTGTTGGTGTTTGTGTTTGTTGTGTCATCTGATGACGAGCTAAGATCCATGGCATCGGGCAACAAGAAATCACGCATTGTGTTTGAATAGATTGATGCGCCAGAATGTGAATGCATGTCCTCAGGCTTGCCTCCATTGCCACGGCTGTTTGGACAATTACAACAACAGTGCTTCTGATGTTTCTTCTTCTGATTCTTAATCTTCTCTTGTTGTTGTACATGATGTAGATCATCTCCATCATACTTTATCAGTTGTGATAAACTATCTATATTTCCTCCTCCTTTTGTAATACTTTTATCAATGTTATTATTATTATTGTTATTATTACGCCAAGACCAAAGTACCATGACCATTGATATAATAGTTATAACAAATGTATATATAATCAATGGTACATTGACTTCATCCAGATTAATAGTGATAATCATCCTGCTTTATCTATCTATCACTCCTCTCTCTGAGATGTTTATGTAAATATATTATTGATTGATCCTTTCTGTCTCTATCTATCTTTATATTTATATATGCCTGTCTTTATATATGTATGTATTTATATCTATCTCTTTCAATGAGTGAATGAATGTTAATGTGTGTGCTATCTGGGTCTGATCGAATGATGACAACAACATCAACACAACTCAATCTGAATTCTGTCTATTCACACGTACACCAAATACAAGTATCTTGGCACCACCTTCGATCCCATTCTCACACCCTCTTCATCTTCCAAAGTGTGAGCTGAGTTTCAGATTCAAAGTCTAATCTCAGAATTCAAACAAATAAATAATTAAGATAAGATCATTGTTGTTCATATATATCCATTAATTATGTCACTTGATACATGTGTTGAAAATGTGGACATTCATTTAGATATAGTATTGTCATTGATAGGTCACCAAGAACGTTCATTCATTATTGCTTCGATCAATCAAAAACCGAGTCATTTGAGACCCAACACAACTTCACTACTTATTCATTCACAACACAATCACTCGTTCGTCTCAGAACATATAATCATACATATTTACACAAATATACATATAATATAATATAAAATGGCTACTGTAGACCAAGAGACTCGACTGAAAGATTATATAACTTCGTTGAACCTACCATTTCAATATAGGTTCAGTGTAGAGTATTATAAGTTGATGAGATCAAGTGCATTGGAGGATGCAATCCGTCCTCTAATTGTAATAGGTGTAGATCGCACACTCACTACTGAGGAGAGAGCTTTGATACCAATGTCATACGATGGCGTCAGGATACAGATGGAGTACACACAAGTGATGGACGTGCCAGAGGACGAGCTAAAAGCCCTGAAACAACAGATGGAGCAACCCGATGCCAACCCTGAAGACCTAATAATGGATGGCGATGAAGATAGCGACGACGAGGATGACGAATAAATGGCGATGTCTAACATGTATCATGGTCGATCAAGTTCATTGTTCATTCATTCAATCATTCAATCATTCATTTATGGGCTGGATGGTTTGGACGAGGCCGACTTCTTGGATGATGATTATAATCTCTTGCCATTGTTCGACTTGGCAGAGAGAAGGACATAGTTGTGGAAGGTACAGTGATCGGCAGAGTAGAATGGAATGTAAAAGGCACGCGCCAATGAGCTTGAGTGCGCGGCATCCATGAAGGGCGCAGAGAAGACCGTTTCAAAGTCGTCACGCTTAGTGTATCTATCCGCTGCAGCATCTGTCGGGAGGTCAAAGTCAATGATGTAGTGACAGGACTCCACTGGCACGTATCTATCTCGCTCCTCCCTGTTCTGATCATTAAAATTGCTCGGTATGATCGATGTGGCATTAGGTCCGCTGGCAAAAGGCTGGGGCAACTGGCCCTTGAAGTGCGACTCGAGGAAGCCCAGCTCAAAGCTCAGCATGGCGGCGCCCTGCTGTTTCTGCTTCAACTGTTGCTGAGGTCTTGTGTTGCTGCGCGTATCCAACTGTGGCTTGGGCAGGAAGTAGTTGGACGGGAAGCGATACCATTCCTTGCCGACACACACGCGCACTGTGCCGCCGTGGGGCAGTCCGGCGGGGAAGTCGGGGTGGGCCAGGTTGCCACCCTTGAGTACCTGGTCATGGAGGTGGACAAACGTGTCCAGCGCGCCAGTGTAGTTGATGTAGGTTGAGTATGTTCGCGAGATCGATAGTACAATGAACAGCAGGACGAATGTGTATTGAACGAATGTGATGATGGTCTCGAGTGCGCTCGTCCAGAAGCTTCTGCTGCGCGCATGGACTCTGCTGGTGCCCTTTTGTCGTAGAATGTCTGTATCGCCATCGTTCTTCTTATGAAGGTATTCATCGTACTTGTTGCACAGACGCCCGAGCGCGAACGTGCAAAGATAGATGGCCGTGGCCGCCGCCAGGCACAGGAAGGGGTAGACTACAAACAGGAATCGCTCCTCCTTGTGTGGCAGGTACGACATGAACGCGAACCACATGTAGAAGGGAGACAGGGTGAGCAGTGTCCTGGGTACGTCCTGAAGCGTGCCACGATAGTTGGGCGTCAGCCACAGCAGCACGACCAGGGGTGCGGCCACCAGTGCCGCCACAAAGACCACATTGAAGTTGACGAAGCAGTTGATAAAGTAGAAGGACCAGTGCTCGATGCCGTAGAGTTGCGAGCCGCCAGCGTGGCTCGCCGTGAAGTTGTACGTAATGATGTTGAGTATGGCAAACACAAACTTGCCATAGTACTGGTAGTCGATCGCCAACATGGGCGCCAGGACAAGTGCGCATGGCAGCAAGGCCCACGCCACCAGGCGGAGCGGGCCATGGCGCACCAGTAGGTGGAGGGCAATGGGTACGCACACTACAATAACGAATGGCCAACCCATGAACACACTTGTGGCGCACATAAACACGGCCAACAATGGTCTATCCAACATCCAGAATCCATAAGCCAATAACAATGTCATCATGGAGAAGGTTGATGGGAGGTATGCTGTGGTGGGTGGTGGTGGAATGATTCCAGGTGTCAGATGAGTGAGTTGATTGATTGATCGATGGACATGACTTACTTGTGGAAGATATGAACATTCCTGGACTGAACAGCATGAATAGTGCAGTGTACAATGCGATGGTATTACCAAACTTGCGTTGGATACCAGCGTAGAACACTGTCTGACCAAGTGCAGTCTGTAGTCCAATCATGATCTTCATATATATATACAATATCAATGTATTGTTTGGTACAATCATCTTCAATACATTGCCAAACGAAGAATGATACAACAAGTATGCATATGATCGCAGTGCATATACAGGGCTAAAGTAGTCGTGATTGATTGATTGAATGAGTGAGTGAGTGAGGGATGGACTATGGGTGAGTGAGTGGCGCGACACATACCTGTACTCCCAAGTCTGTAGACCATTGCCAAACATAAGGAAGTGAGTGGGCTCCCAGTAGTTCATGGGCTCATCACAATCGATGATCCTGTTGTAGAGTGCTGAGCACACGGCTGATGAGAGGAAGAATAGGAACACAGTAGTCAATCGCGGTTGGAATACATTCCTATCATCCTCATCAACGACACGGGCAGCAGTCATCTTATTTAGATGTGTACTAGTTTGTTTCAATCTAGCCATCCTCTATCTATATCTATCTATCTTTATCTCAAGAATGAATGAATGTCATATGACTGTGAACTTGATCAAATGATTCATTAGCGATGAGGGGGTCATGATCAAAAAGAGATTGATTGATTGAGTGAGTGAGCGAAAGAAGAGTGATGAACACATTCAGAGAACAAGACGATTGAATCAATCATATAGATATATATATATATATATTATGTATTGATGTACTTGATTGCTGCTTGAAGTTGGCTGGTTAGTTGGCTAGGTTGGCTTGCACGGGGGCGGGTCTATGCCATCTCAGGTGTTGGCATGCTGCAAAGGGGAGGCTGTGGACTGATTGTTTGATTGGTTGGTTGATTGGTTGATTTGATTGATTGACTGGTAGTCGGAAGGGAGAGGGAAAGGGAGAAGGAGTAAACAACCGCTTGTTTACTTCTGGGAGAGCTCTGCTCCGATCTTGTGTCCCTTGATCTTCTGCCAGTTGATCTTCAATTTAGTGATTGGAAGAGCACGTCTGAGAGCCTTGAAGGTGGTATCTCCCATTGTGGAGTAGCCAGTATCCAAAGAAGAGTGTACATTGAGCTCAGTTTTGCTGATGGCCTTGAAGACGTTGACAGCAGTTGTGTTGGCATCCTGTTATAATATGCATGATGAGTTAGTAAGTGATCGATGAGAGATAGGAGAGATGGGAGAGATGGGAGATACATACACCACCTGGTGAGGTTGTGGATTTGTTGGTGATGGTGTTCAATTGAACGTTGCCATCCTCGTAGTAGTGGACGTTTATCTGCAACTTGGCGTTCAGTGTGACGTTGCCACCAGACTTGAAGGTGCAGGTCCAGGTCGATCTCCATCTGCCGTTCCAGAAGTTGTTGGGGTTGAACTTGGATGAGGACAGACACACAGTGATCTGGTAGCCCTCCGACACCTTGGCACTGTACACGGTGACAACACCAGATGGGTAGTATTCGTTGCAGTATTTGAATGCCTCCTCCTCGAATGCAGCTCTGTATGGCTCCACATCAGAGTCGAGCTCTCCAGCGATTGGGCGAGAGCCAGAGACAACCTATATGTTATTTGATTGATTGATTAATTGATATTGTTAGTCATGGCTGTCCGCCGGCAGGGTGATCAGCTGATGATATGAGTACAACACACATACCTGTTTGATGTGATCGTAGGTAAGGACGAGCTTTCCCTTTGGGTCCAAGTATTCGCTGTGACTGACTTCACCCTTCTTGGTGATCAGCACCTTGTGTCCCTTTGGTGAGGCAGCAGACACCATTTGCTCGGTGTTGTACTCTCTGAAGGTCTCGTGAGCAGAAGCATTGAGCATCGACTCATTTGGGAGAAGAGTGCGGACATCTGTTTGTTGTTATATATGTTTGTTTTGTTTGTTTGTTCATTAGTCTTCTATTCCTGTCTATCTGTATGTTGTCATCGTCATTGATGTCGTCTGATCATGTGTCACATTCATTCATCCAATCATTCATTCAATCAATCAATCAATCAATCATCCTCTCTACCTGCTGTTGTAGTTGAATGACATACCTGAAACAATCTCGTTGAACTCTCCTGGTGGAGCATTCAACAGGAAGTTGGTGGCAATCTTTACAATCTCGTCGTTGGTGGCCATTGCTGCTATATGTTGTTTGTTTGTTTGTTTTGTCTAAGATTACAATATGTATAAAGAGAGTATATATGTCAAGAGAATAGAAGGATAAGGTAATACTACTAAACTCAAGCAATGAATGAACGATAGAGAGTGAGAGATATAACAAATTAATGTACAACAAGTAAGTTATGTAAGTATGAGTGAGGGAGTGGAGATAGTAAGTATGAGAGAGAGAGATGGAAAAGATGTCTGTTGTTGTGTTTTTGCGTTGGATGGGTTAGTGAGATGAGCTGCGTGAGTGAAGAGGAAATGACTAAAGTGTGTTTGAGAGTGTGAGTGTGTGAAGTCGGATTTGAATGAAAAAGGATATTATTAAAAAAAAAAATCAAAACAATGATGTTTGAGCCATCACCCACACCAAAACCCATTGTTATTCTTCAAGCCAGACTCTTCATCTTTGAACTTCATGTCCAACAGAGCTAGAGTTAGAGATAGAATGAATGAATGAATGAATGAATGAATGTATATATTAACGCAATAACTAGACTTGTGTTTATTGAATAGATGAAGAATGAGTGAATGAATGAGAGTGACCTTGACTATTTAGTTGTAAGCATCAGTAGGGTTGACAAGGGATGGTCGATCGATTATGAGGTTGTGATTCTGTTTGAGGAACCTGGTACCAATGAAGATGATTCCAATCCAGTATACAATGAATAGGAGGAATGATACAATCGATGATGAGGTGGATGGCACAACAAAGGAGTAGGCAAGACAGAGTGCCACGAGCACGAGCAACACCCAGACGATCTGTGATTGATGCTTGGGCTGCTTGAGGACGTCCGGTTGCAGTCTGTAGGCGCCGGTCAGCAGGTCAAAGGCGTCCTGGCGGAAGCCGTCCACAAAGTTGTTGAGGTAGTAACGCACGGCCGAGTGCTCGCCATCCTTGAGTACGCCTGGGAAGCCACGTTTGCCGGTTCTGGTGTAGTCGTTCTTCAAGGCGCCAGTGCCAGAGTACTGTGTGCTGACGTTGTCAGCGTGGTCGGCCCACATGTTCTTGTAGACGCCGTTGAAGGCGGGCGAGCTGATGGTTCCGACGTCGACGCCAAGCGCGGCCAGCTGGCGCTCGAGACAGTTGCGCGACACCAGACTCTGGACGACGTTGGTGCGGTCCAAGTTGTCGATGCAGTTGGTGCGCACGATTCCCTGCTGACGCTGGACAACCTGTCCGTCGCGAACCTGGAGGAAGCCGTCGCGCGAGATGTCCTCCTTGATGAGATCGATCAGCAGTGAGAGTTTGTCGTAACGCATGCCCTTGCAGATGGCGTGGAAGTCGAACCAGACGTACTTGGGTGTCTGGGCAATGCGGCCGACGTGCTTCTCGTAAGCCTCGCCCAGCCTCAGCTCGTCGCCCTTCTTGTCGATCAGATTGACGATGGTAGTCTTGCCGCCATAGAGTGACTGAAGCTCGCCAAAGTGACCAGCGACAGCCTTGGTGTTGTCCTGGTCGGAGCGGTAGAACTTTACCTTGGACTTCCATGCCAGGTTGGGGTACTGAGACCAGAGCAGGGGCACTGAGCCACGGATCTGCACGAACGACGTGTAGTTGGCCTTGCCGCTGTTGTTGACCAACTCAAAGATCTGCTCAGTCTCGACGTTGTTGGCGACGTTGCCTTGCTGGTCGGCACCACGCATGTTGTAACGAGTACCAGCACGACGCATGTTACGACGCGAGATCAATGTGAGGCGGTAGTTGGAGCCCTGGTAGGCGAATGACTTCTGATCGACGAAGCCCATGGTGATTGGCACGACCCAGGCGGGGCATGTGTCGGCCAGGTTGGCGATGTAGCTCCTGTTCCAGAAGAAGCGGGCGTCGGACTGTTGCTGCGCGCTGGCTGCCTGCTCAAATGCGCGCTGGCGAGTGTGCGTGATGTCGGTGGTGAACGAGAAGAAGAACAGCTCGACCTTGAAGATCCAGTTGAGCATCTCGAGGTAAGCCTGCTCCTCGTCGTAGACGGGGATCGTGATGAGGCTCTGCTGGTTGGCGACAAAGGGCACTAGCTGCACCTGGTCGACGCGGTGGATGTCGTGGTTGCCGGGCAGCGTGGCGACCTTGCTCGTGGCGGTGGCCAGCATCAGGTAGCGGCCCGACAACAGGTTGATCACGCCAATCAGACAGCCGTGGATGGTTGTCGTCGAGAGGATCGTCTCGCCAACCAGTGGCTCGCTGTTTGTCAGTCTGTAGTGCAGGCCATCAGCCTTGGTGATCGACACGCCATAAGGCAGTATCTTCTCATCTGTGCTTGTGAGCAGAATCCTGTCTGTAGTATGTGTTATCTTTATATCTGCCATTGTATGTATATGTATGTATATATATTACTTGATCAAGTAATCATCAATGAAATGAATCTGGAAGTTGGGAGTGGTGAATCTTTTGATTGATCAAACTTGAGTGGGAAAGTGTGTGAGGATTTTGATCAGACAATGTGCGTGGAATATTCTTTGGACTGGGCTATTACATTGTCAATCAACATCAACCAATCTATTTAAATTTATTAATAAAAATGGTCATATAATTATACATTACACTATGTGATCAAACACATACTTGGATTCTTTTCATTTGATCGATAGTTATCGCTCAAACTTGTCCAATTATCCAATTGCCTTGAGTAGTTCCAGTTTTTTCCATTACCAAGGTACAGGTGCAATCCTTCATTGTGATTGAGACTAAAGAACAACTTGTTGAAATTGTTCTTGAAATCTAGGGGAGGAGGGGAGAGGTACTTAATCTCTTTGGATTGGAGCCCGACACGGATAAACTTGTTCTCAGTCAGAACATAAATATCCTTGCCATCGAAGCAACTTGAAAGCCCATGGGTCCCAAGGTCAAGTTCATCAGTGTGCGTGTTCCATTCCAATGTGTTGAGGTCAAGTGCCAGAATTGATTTACGGTGGCACTTTTCCTTGAGGCCGCCAATGACATAGAGCTTGCCTTCATGTATGAAGACAAAAGATGATGAACAGGGAGATGGCAGAGTTCCAAAATGACTGAACTGCTGGGTTATTATATTGAAGCGATTTATGCAATCGCTCAGAAGCCCATTTGTTGTACCTCCGACGAGGTAGATGTGTTTGTCTCCATCGAAGCAGGTCGATACATTACACACTCCATTGATTCCGACCATGGGCAAATCAGCGTAGGACAGATCAATTGTTGAGTAGCGTAAATAGGTGTTGAGGCTCTCTTCACCACCAAATATATAGACATAGTCTCCATCGTACGTTATCGCGTAGTAGGTGGATATCCTCCTCTTGTAATTGATTAGGGTAGTTGATGTTGAGCGTGGATCAAACATTCTGCAGCCTGTCTCATTGTGAGAAAAGATTAGATGGCACTGGTTCAGATCAATGAAACACGACTTGATACTCTGCTTGATGCTCTCCAAAACTGTAGGGCTGGTTCTGATTCGGATAGGTTTCAAGTTGGTCAGGGATGATTTCTGCGCCAAACGTTCCAATTGTTGAACGGCATTTAACAACTCAATGTCATTAAATGTGTTGACATTGATAGACTGATTGCCAAGTGATCTTGAAATGAACTGTTCCATTGACTCTGACGAGTTGATTGACTGAGAAATGTGATCCATGTCAACGGCTTCATTACATTCAGTGTCTGATTTGTTTGCAGAGGCACCCTGTGCGATGGCAGTCGCATTTGTCAAAGAGACAATGTGGGACATCTCCTCCATTAAAGAGTTGATGGCATCGCCTGTTCGTCTCATCTCATCAATGATGGGCGACTTGATTCTGTGCTCCTCTGCGATAAGTAGCTCGTGTAGCACTCTGAACTGATCAGTCACAGCGATGCTCGATTTGTTCATCAACTGATATGACATTGCCAACTTGTTCATCTGTTGCCAGAGATGACGTAGACGGGTTGAGAACCTATCGTACTTGTTCTCTGCGATCAATGGTCTGATGATATCGACATTCACAATCTTGTGTCCATTATGCTCCAGTGCCAAGCAGTGATTACAAATGATTGTGTTGCAATCATTACACAACATATCTATTCGTTTGTTGTGCTTTGGACAATTGGCAGTATACTGTTTAGTGTCATTGTCATTGTCATTGTCTATGTTATTATTCATTTCTTTCCTTTCAGACTCCTCTTCCTATCTCTATCTATTTTGGTTTGTTCGAAGTCATTCGAGGACATTCTAGACTTGTCCACATTCATGTATATCGATATTCAATGATATGAACTTCATCAAGCTAGTTGAACAAGGACTATGGTGTTAACAAGAAGTCTATGTTAGTCGACACACAATCTAATTCAGTGAAGTTGTACATATTAGTTTGTTATTGATTGATTGATTTGATTGAGTGTTTGTTTGTTTTGGAAGTGATAGATAGATGGTCTCAAATACTAACACTACTAAGGTTAAAGTTGTGATTGGATAATGAGGTGAGGGTAGTGCACCAATCTATCCTGTCATTCTGTCAACACCACTCGTTGCCTCACGACTTAGGAGTAGTTGTGTAGGTGTCAGAGTCACAGCCACAAACCCCATTCCCACTCACACACATACACTAAATCCCATGTTTAAACAAACCCCCTAAAGTGTTCCCCGATTAGGCCAGTATGACACTCTGAATACTACTACTTCTACAACATCAAATACTCAATACATACTTAATACATTATTCCATTCCATCCATCAATCAATCAATCAAATAATATATTTATACATATTATTATCTGTTGGAAGATATAACTTAATTATTTATTATTATTATTATTATTATTATAAATGTATTCCATAACATTAATGTTGATCACCATTATTGGTGTAACTATGGCATGTACAGAGCATTACCAATGTGGTAATATGCCATATTCCAACTGTGTAAAGAACTTTAATCCCCTGCCAGGTATTGGACTGGATTCAACAAATGAGAATGTTATTCTACTTGGTACTTTCAACTCAACTGCTCTCAACTATCAATATATATCATCATTGCCTACTGCTGGAGGTCCAATTACTTCACAGTATCCAGTGATGTGTAATGTTGGAGGAGGATCCTACTACCTCCAGACTAATGGAATGTATGCCTACACTCCATACTCCAAGATTCCATTCCTTATTGCTCAGACCAACCCTGCTCCATTCACTGGTCCCTACTTTTCCAACAATGGTTCCTTTGTTCAAATATGGGCATTGATACGATACACCCTTGGCCTGTACTTTGATGATATCAACAGTAGGACCTATTATTGTGATGGAAATGTTCACCGAATCAACAAGATTCCATCGACTGCCAATGACAGATATGATGGTGCTATCGATATGTACCTCAATCAAAACTGCAACTTCCTTGGTGTTAATGGCAACGATCTGTACTTGCTCAGCATCTACTATGGAGACAATGGAACTACCTCCAAAGTATACAAGGGAAACATTAACTGCGACAAATGTGCGGCTTCAGATCTCACAAAGATTGCTACCCTCAACTTTGAAGCCACTGCCTTCCAAGTCACCTCTACTCACATGTACTTCAGCGTCGGCTACAACAAGACCACCAATGGCCTGATCCAGTTGCCACTGAGTGGTGACATGATTGCACTCAGATGGGTCGTCAGTGATCCTATCCTCAAGTTTGTCATGGATACCACAGGACAATGGGCATTCTACCAAACCACCGACAGAGCAATCAAGAAGGTTGGACCAATGATGGCCAATCACCCACAAACTACAGTGCTCTACAATCCATTCAGCTCACCATCAGAGGGAACATGCAGCTGTGCACCAGACTTCAAGGGTAATAACTGTCAATCATGTTCTGGAAGTGTACAATGGGTCCAAGGCAACCCTCTCTGTGTTCCATTGAACAAGGGTGGTGCTCCATTAACATGTACACAGGATTACAATTGTCCAAACCTTCCATTCCAATCGTGCCAACAATCAACTTGTGTATGCCGTCCAGGATTCACTGGTACCACATGTCAGGACTGCAAAGGTTCTGTAACATGGAACAATGGTCTTCCAACCTGCAATCTTTAATTCTAAATTAAGATCATAGTTTGTTATAAATGACGGAGTTTCATTATTTGTTTTGAAGTATTATTATTAATATATTTATAAATATTAATACTAATTCGTTCACCTTCCAATTTAATATATTGTATAGATCTTTCTAAAATACATATTTAATATTGGAACATATTTATTCTACTCGTATAACAACGAGTTTTCAAACAAATAAAAAAATATCAAAGTTTCAAAAAAGGATTTATCAAGAATGGGAATCGAACCCATGACCCAAACCGTGTTAAGGTTTTGTGATAACCAACTACACCATCCTGACTAGATGATGAAAAACTGTTTTTTCTAACCAAAAACTCGGAAGGTTCGTTTTTTATTAATGATTGACATATTTCTAGGCTCTAGTTAACAGGGTTGTTGAGGGAGATAACTTAGGACTAGTCTTTTAAATCCTTATTAATAAGTTCTAAATTTTATTTATGAGTTGATAAGACACATTCCAGCATGAAGACCAAGTGGTTCTGATCTGTAATTGTCATTCAATTGTTTCCAATTATCAGATTCCTTTGAGTACTCCATGTTGTTGCCAATTCCAACCAACAATCGGATCTTTCCATCAAAGAACAACTTGTGGTAGTCCGTTGACTTTGGTTGGGTGAGACCCTTCACCTCCTTTGAAGCCAGATTCACACGGAAGAATCCATTGGTGGACAATAAGTAAATGTCCTTGCCATCAAAGAAATGGGATATTGATTGACCAACATTAAGTCCATACGTGTGGATATCACAGTGAGGAGTTGTGACATCGAATGAGAGAATGGTACCAAGCTGGGTATCATTGGTGTGATAGCCACCAATGACATAGAGCTTGCCACTGTGGAAGAAGACTCCGGCAGAGTTGAGAGGTGTTGGAAGTGATCCGACGTGACTGAACTGTTGAGTCACAATGTTGAAGCGATCTACTCGGTTACTACGGTATCCATTGATGATGCCACCAACCAAGTAGATGTGACGATCTCCATCGTAGCACGTAGAGATAGATTGGCCACCATCGATACTGGTGATTGGTAGATCATTGTACCAACGCAGCTCTGGAAGGTAGAGCCTCGAGTACGTGTTGGGACTCTCAGTGCCACCAAACACATATACATTGTTGGAGGCATACACTGTTGCATACTCAATGTATGATCTTGGCTTGAACTCCTTGATGTTCAATGGATTGGTCAGAGTAGAGTGGTACAGCTTGCACGAGTTGGCAGTCAGGGAGAAGTAGTGATTGTGGAACTCATGAGAGTCAATGAGAGTGAAACATTTCTCAATGTTGCTCATGATCTTGTTGGTAACCGTGTCATCAATCTTGATCTGGAGCAGCTTGGTTTGGGAGTAGTTCAACGACTTGGTCATCTCTGAGCACTCTTGAATGGCATGGAGAAGGTCATAGTCTGAGAGTTGTTTGGGGGACTCATCGGTTGATGAGTTGAGACGATCACTTGTGTTTTGATCCAATGGGACTAGTGATTGGATTGATCTGATCATCTTAACGACCTGGGCATGGCTGCACTCCTCTGGTTTGGCATCCTTGGTGTCTGATTCGTTGCTCGAGCACTCGTCTTCATAGGGTCTCTGCTGGAGGTTGGAGAGTTGGTTGACTTCTTGAAGTATCGAGGTCATCACTTCAAGAGTGGACTTCATCTCATACTGGATGGGCTGCTTGATACGTCTCTCCTCATGGTCAAGTAGGTTTCTGAGTTGCTTGAACTGCTCGGTGACATCATTGTTGGTATGATCCAAGGACTGGTAGGTAGACGCCAATTGCCGTATCTGGTGGCAGAGCAAGGCGAGACGAGGAGTGAATCGATCATACTTGTTAGAAGCTAACAATGAACGAACGATATCAACATTCTCAATCTTATGACCATTGTGTAACAACAATGAACAATGCGAACAAATAACTTGATTACATTGAACACATATTAGTTTAAGTCTTCTTTTGTGTTCTGGACAACCAGATGACGATGTGTCAACTGATGAGTTTGAGGAAAATAAGATTGATTCAGGTTGTGATTGAGGTAGGGATTGTGATTGTGATTGTGATTGTGTTTGGGAGATGGAAGTGGCAAGATCACAAAGTGTTATTATATCAGTGGAATGTATAATATTGGTTGATGTTGGTAAAGATGGTAATGTAGATGTTGTGGAAGTAATGATTGCTACATCACCATTGGATTCCATAGTTAATTATTTGTGACTATCTGATTGATTGATCGAATGAATGAAAGAATGAATGAATGATTGAATGAATGAATAATGTTCCCTGATCATCCAGCATTAAGTTGTCATTCATCACTACCAACTCAACTCAACATAACACAACTCAACTCAATCAATCAAACATTACAAATAGATATTTATAAATGTTCTGAAATGGATTAACCAAGCATCTAACACAACAAATGTAAATTGGACGTGGGAATGGCTCTTTCCCAACCAACCCAATTCATCGGACTGATCTCAAAATTGTCAGATTGATCATCACTACACCCCAACACTGATCTGTGAAGGAGTGTGTCAACAAAGGGGTCCCCCTTTCAACTTGTCGGGTTAGTTTTCTGTGCAGCCAAGAAGTAATGATCAGCTAATGTGTTTACTGGTTGGTGGATAGAGTTGTGCGCACTCAATCATTGTGGTGATTGTCCATCACCGTCCTGGATGTGCAAGAATGATTGAACTACATTGGTCAATCAGTGATCAAACAAACTCCATTCGCATTCTCGAATTTAGTAGTCCATTGTGACCAAGTGCCAGTCTCTTTGGAGTACACGCAGCTGCTTTTTCCATTGAGCAATACGATGTTTACTGTGGAGTTGCAATACATATTGACCCATGATTCCTCTCTTGGTGTACCATTAGTCCGATTGAGTGTTCTCACACCTTTGTTGGCAAGTGTTACCGGGAAGAATCCTCTTGATGACTCTTTTCCATCAAAGCAGCATGATACTCCTTGTCCAATATCAAGTCCATTCACATGCATTTCGTTCTCCTTCGTCCTGACATCAAAAGTGATGATAGTGCCAAGATGGACATCACTCGAGTGGCATCCACCAACGATATATAGCTTGCCATCGTGATGGAATACACTGGCAGAGTGCAATGGTGTAAGAAGTATACCAACATAGCTAAACTGTTGAGTCACAATGTTGAAGCGATCCACACGACAACTGCGATTGCCATCTATCGTAATGCCACCAACCAAGTAGATATGGACATCTCCGTCATAACAAGCTGAGATGTATTGTCCACCACCGGCACCAGTCATTGGTATATCATTGAACCATTGATGTTCTGGAAGTGAGAACCTGGCATATGAGTTGGGGAGTTCCTTGCCACCAAACACATAAATGTTGTTGCGGCGTATACTGTTGAGTGGACGACATTTGTCCTTGTCTTGTATCCTACCAATGTGGCAGCTGGTGTGTTGTTGGTCAAGTTGACAAGGGTGCATGTGTCTGACGCCACGACTACATAATGGCTGTGGTACTTGTGGGAGTCAACGAGTGTGAAGCATGTATCGATGCTCTTCTTGATGAGGTCTGTCACGGATTCATCAATCTCGACACGAAGCAACTTGGTGGGAGCATATCGCAACGTCTGTGATTGTTTCTCACATCTCTGTATGGCATAAAACAATTCACTGTCTGTAATATCAAGAATTGATTGCTTTGGCTGTGCATACAGGGTCATGTCCTGTTTCATCGAGACAATTGATTGGATTGATCTGATGAGCTCCATTGCCGAGGAATAATTGAATACCTCTGGTTTGTCGTCCACGTTTGCCTCTTCAACGACCTTGATGTCTTGGTCATCTTCCTCGACGTCACGTACCACCACCTCTGGCGATGCGCTGGGGTTCTCGGTCGGTTGTATGTTGGCGAGATGGACGACCTCCTTCATGATTGACTTGATCACATCGACAGTTCGCTTCATCTCCTCGATGATGGGCGACTTGATACGGTGCTCCTCAATGACGAGCAACTCATGCATCTTTCTGAACTGCTCAGACATGGCCATGCTAGTCTTGTCCAAGGATTGATAAGTAGTAGTCAAATGTTTCATCTGATGACATAGAGTTGTTAGACGCTCTGGGAACCTGTCATATTTGTTATCAGCGATCAACTTCCTGATGATATCGACATTCTCCAATATATGTCCATTGTGTAACAACACTGAACAATGTGAACATATCACCATATTACAGTTGACACACAACAACTTTAACTTCTTTTGGTGTTCTTTACAAGAAATGGTTGACGTTGTTGTTGTTGATGAAGTTATGTTGTCTCTCTACTTGTTTGAGCGCATAATATTATCTCTATAATTTATCAAAGAAATAACAATCCATCTACTTAATTGGATTTCTTCTTGTACTTGAATTCCAGTTTACTTTGGAACAATGTTGATTGAATGAATGTTTAAATTTATTTTGAACATTGATCAAATATCTGATCAAGGATGTTCCAAGATACATTGGTGAGTGATCATTGAGAAGTACAAACTAAGGCTATGTTGCCATGTAGTTGATGCCTCAATCAAATATTGGACATACTCCACCATCAGTAGCATATCTATCTGTTCGATAGTTGTCGCTGATACGCTCCCATGTTTGTGTGTCCAGGCAGTACCTCCTGTTTGCACCTTTTCCGTTCAGAAATATGATATTTGTGCCATCATAGAACATCTTGTTGAGGGGGATTAATAATGGCCGAGTGGATGGATTTGAGAGTGTCCTCACCAAACTGTTCTCCAAAGAGACCTTAAAGAATACTGTTTGTTTCTTGCATGACAAAATATAGATGTCGTTGCCAACCAAACAACTTGAATTCTTGAGTCCGATATCCAGACCCTCACACATGATCTCCCATTGTAATCTCTCAATGTCGAGTACCATGATGGTTCCAAGTGGTTTGTCTTCTGGAGTTGTTCCGCCGACTACCAACAGCTTACCATTATAGAAAGAGACCCATGCTGAGTGGACAGGTGTTGGGAGTGATACGAAATGGCTGAACTCTTGTGTCTCAATTTCGAATCGATTGATATCCCTGCTGTAAATCTTGGCCTTTGCATCGATAATTCCACCGAACAAGTAGATGTAATGGTCTCCATCATAACAAGCCGACATGTTGTGGGCACCAGTTACGTTGCCATTGAATGGGAGTGCATTGTACCAACGCTCTTGGGGAAGTGAGAACCGATCATATGAGTTCAAATGAGCCTCTGTCGTTCCACCAAAGATATAGACATTATTGCGAGCATACACTGTTGAGTGGTCAATGTCTGTCCTTGATTGATAGCCATACATTGATATTGGAGATTTGTCCGGATTGAACAACATGCAACTGTTGGCAGTGAGCGAGAAGTAGTGATTGTGGTAATCGTGTCCATCGATCAGTTTTATATTGACCTCGATGGCTTCCTTGATGATCTGTTCCAACTCATCACCTTTGATGACAGCACGATGTAGAGTCATTTGTGTTTCGTAAGATGTCTGTGACATTCTCTCACACTCCTTGATGGCGTGTAGCAAGTCCATGTCCGAGGTGATGTAGATAGATTGATCATTTTCCATTGCAAGGTCAGAGGCAGCATTGTTGTTGTCTTGATCACTAATGACGAGTGATTGAATTGATTTGATTAGCTTGACAATCTCATCAAATACATTGGTTGGTGTAACACATTCGTCGTCATCATCGTTGTCTTGAGGTATGTCAAAGAAGCCTTGTTTATCGACCTTGGCCTCATCTTCATCATTATCCACTTCATCTTCGTCGTCTTTGTCCTCATCCTCATCCTCCACCACATCTTTGTCATTCTCATTCTGTTGATCATTATCGACCTTGTTAGAGAGATCTGGGGCGTTGGGGCCATCCTTGTTGAAGCACTTATGAAGGTTGTTCAGATGTGTAATCTCTTGAGTGATTGAGTTGATCTCCTCGGTCGTCCTCTTGATCTCTTCGTTGATGGGTGACTTGATACGATGCTCCTCAACGACGAGCAACTCGTGAAGTTGTCTGAACTGCTCGGTGACATCATTGCTCGATTGGTCCAGTGTCTCATAAGTCATCTCCAACTGCTTCAACTGATGGTATAGTATCATCAATCTTGGTGTGAATCGATCATACTTGTTGGCCTCTAACAATGATCTGATCATTGTAACACCCTCCAATTTATGTCCATTATGATCTAACAATGAACAATGTGAGCATATTATCTCATTGCATTCGTTACATAATAACTTTAATCTCTTATTGTGTAATAAACAGTTATCTTTTACAATGTTATCCATCTTTTTACAGTATGATTAATTATTGGTTTGAAAATGGATTTTAATTGCGATCAATCAGGTTGATGGTATAAAATATGAGGCAATATCGATCACAAAGTGGATAAAGTTTACCAGCCAGGCACAATACATAGCCCTCCATTGTCTTCATAGTATTGATTATTGGTTGATATCTGGTTGCATGTTTCAGTTTCGTCATTAATATTAATGTAATGATTATATGAGTTACTATTATTGAGCAACATGATTGAGGAAGGTCCAATGAGAATCATCTTTTTTGGAGATATCCTGTAGGTACTTCTGTAATATTCCCATACTTGTGTTGTCTTTGAGTCTTTGTTTGACAATGAACAGCGGAGGAACCCGGTGGAGGTGTACAAATAGATGTTGTCCTTCTCATCAAAGCAATATACCATTTTGTCAAGCTTAAGCTCATCTATGTAAATGGTACACTGCAGGGTCTTTAGATCAAATGATTGGATCCTTCCAAGTAAGGTGCCATTGGAGTGAAATCCACCAATAATGAATAACTTGTTATCATAGTAAACGACACCGGCAGAGTGAAGCGGGTCGAAGAGAGATCCAACATGACTGAACTTCTGGGTTACAATGTTGAACCGATCTATTCGATTACTACGCGTTCCGTTGATGAGTCCACCAACCAAATAGATGTAATATCCTCGATCGTAGCAAGCTGATATATGCTCTCCTCCTTCAAAACCAGTTATTGGATGGTCCATGTACCATTGATTCTGTGTGAGGGAGAATCTTGAGTATGTGTTTGGACTCTCTTTGCCACCAAATACATAGACATTGTTGCCCGCAAAAACGGTTGAGTGTGCAATGCTGGATCGTGGTTTGAATCCATGGGTCTCATGCCTGTGATACAGATTTCGGTCCAAAATATTGCAGGCTTCTGATGTGAGCGAGATGTAAAGGTTATGAAGATGATGGACGTTGATAAGAGTGAAACATGATTCGATTTCCTTTTTAACCAAGCCTGTCACATTGGCATCTATCTTAACATAAAGGGACCTTGTTTGTTGGTGGACAATAGTGGACTGCCTTTGGCATCTTTGAATTGCAACCAACAAATCACTATTGGTGACCGTATTGTCTGGTTGATCGTTGATAGCAAGATTATTATCTTGTTCCAATGACACAATTGATCTGATAGAGTTGATCAATGTAATGACTTCCTCATATCTGAACTGTTGTGGAAGTTGCAAGTCGCCCGCCAGTGGAGGAGATTGAGGATTGTACGTGTTGGGGGTGGACCTCCCCATTGGATCATGAACTTTGGCAAGTTGTATCACCTCCTGAATGATGGATTTGATCACATCTACAGTGAGCTGCATCTCCGCGATGATTGGTGACTTGATCCGATGCTCCTCGATCACGAGTGATTCGTGCATCTTTCTGAATTGTTCAGACACCTCAATTGCCGACTTGTCCAATGATTGATAGGTGGTTGCCATCTGCTTCATCTGATGACAAAGAGTCGTCAAACGCTCAGTGAACCTATCATACTTGTGCTCTGACATCAATGATCTGATGATCTCAACATTCTCCATCTTATGTCCATTGTGCAACAACACTGAACAATGTGAACATATTACTTCATTACATGTTACACATATCAATTTAAACCTTTTGTTATGTTTCAAACATGTTCCATCGACAATGGCAGTGGTAGTGGCAGTGGTAGTGGCAGACTCGGCACTCAATGACATAACTTCCATGTCTACATCCATCTTTGAATGAATAAATTTGATTATTTGCTTATCTATTATCTGTATGATTTATTATATTATCTGTAACTATGTTTGAAATAATGAAATGGATGATTGAATTGGAGCAACTCACTGTGCCAAAGATTCAACTTCCCTCATTTGAATTGCAAACATGATGAAGGCAACAAGATAATGAGCTTGACTTTTCAGAATGGGCACTTCACTTGTTTAATATCTTCAGACACATACACATACACATATACAATGGCAAGATACCTTCATACAATGCTCAGAGTCGGCAACCTCGACAGATCGATAGAGTTCTACACCAATGTGCTGGGAATGAAGTTGCTCAGAAAGTCAGAGAACACAGAGTACAAGTACACATTAGCCTTTGTTGGCTACCAGGATGAGTCAGAGGGCGCTGTTCTCGAGCTCACCTACAACTGGGGCGTCGAGTCATACGATATCGGAACTGCCTTTGGCCACATTGCCATCGGTGTAGACGACATTGCTGCCACCGTCGAAAAGATCCGCGCCACTGGTGCCAAGGTCACACGCGAGCCCGGTCCCGTCAAGGGTGGCACGACCGTCATCGCCTTTGTCGAGGATCCCGATAACTACAAGATCGAGTTGATTGCGAACAAGCATGCTGGTCATGGTCTAACTGGCAACTAATAAAGCGATCGATAGTTGTTTATTGGTGTGTAAGTACTCTACCTCTCTCAGTCGCGGATTAGACGCACTGCCTCATAGTCATTTAGTTCGTTGCGATAGTGATCGCTCAATGCGACCCACTTGTTGTCTGTGACAGAGTACTGGAAGTTGTTGCCCTTGCCTCGCAGGAATAGGATGCCATACTCCTTGTCGTAGAAGATTAGGTTGGGCCCAGTCAGCACTTGACTCTCCTGATGGTAGCCATTGGAGCGCGATACAGTCACTGGCGACAGATTGTTTCGCAGCTTGTTGACCAGCGACACCCTAAAGAAGCAGTTGGTGTAGATGTACACGTTGCTATCGCCATCGAAACAACATGATATCACGTTGGAGCCCAGGTCCAGGCCATTAACAATCACTTCGCAGACTAACGTGTTTATGTTGAACGATAGGATCATACCATGCTGGTTGTTGGTCGAGTAGAAGCCACCCACCACATACACCTTGCCATCATGGAAGAAGGTGTGTGCTGAGCCTAGGCTGACTGGTAGTTGGCCAATATGCCGGAACTTTTGGGTCTCAATGTCGAAGCAGTCCACGCGATTCATGTAGCTGTCATTTGGATGCATGCCGCCCACCAAGTAGATGTGTTTATCCCCGTCAAAGCATGCGGATATTCCGTATCCAGACTCAATGCCAGACATTGGATTGTCATTTGTCCACTGATGGTCGGCCAGGGTGAAGCGTGAGTATGTACCAGGGCTCTCCTAGAGTGAGGTGGAATGAATCTAGTAAGTGTACATTCGCTCAATCAATCAAACAATGTGTCGATCTAACATACCATGCCACCAAACACATATAAAGACTCGCGAGCTGATATCATTGCGGTCAGGATGCCAGTCCTGGGTTTGAAACCATCCTTCAACACGATGGCACACTGAGTGGCTGGATTGAAGAGCGAGCATGCATGCTGGCCAAACGAGAATGTGGAGTTGTGGAACTCGTGAGAATCGATGATCTTAAAGCATGACTGGATCTGTCGCTTGATGTCGCCCAGCTTGGGACAGTCAGTCTTAATGCGGAACTGATGTGTGTCCGGATAGCTCAACACATCCATCTGCTTGAGGGCTTGTTGAACGATTGTCAACAACTCATGATCACTACAAGGCTCACTTTCCTCGGTGGACGGGAATGCCATCTCCATGAACGTCTCTATGTTGTTGCACTCCTTGATGGACTGGGCGAGTTGGTCCCTGTCCATGCCGACCACAACCTCACCGCCATTACGTGGCGCACACATGATCTCGGAACCAGCACCATTTGATGACACCTTGACAATGTTGTCAATGTCGGCCAACTCTTTGACAATCTCTAAGATGGTGGCGTGCGTCAGGTCCATCTCGCGGATGAGTGGTGATGTGACCTTGTGTTCCTCGACCACAAGTTGCTCGTGTAGTTGCATGAACTGATTGACCACGTAGCGATTGGAAGTGTCCAGGACCTGATAGGTTGATGCTAAATGTTGGAGTTTGTACCACAACCTATCAAGACGGGATGTGATACTCAACTGGTCATACTTCTTCAATGCCAACATCTTCTTTATATTGTAGACATGGTCAACCTTATGACCATTGTGACCGATTACCAAGCATATTGGACAAAGAAGTTGTCTACATTGTAGGCACAATATCTCCAACTTCTGGTCACAATGTGACAAGCATATTGAATGATCATTATGAATATTATTAATATCACTTATTATAACATCCATCTTTGTTACTTTTAGAATAAGAATGATTGATCATAATGACCACGGAACATCCAGATATAAATACTTGCTTGATTGGTCCTGGCGTCCATGTCCGATCACTTGATCAAAGTGGGGAGTGAACTTACCACACCCCCATTCAATCAATCATTCCTAGATGTCCAAGAAAGATACGTAGACTGTTTTGATCAAATATGGAACTTTGTCGACTCATCATAATCTTATGAACAGAGATACATTGGTTAAAGTGGTGTTTATCTATACAAGTTGTGAATGAATGATTGAGTTATGCTTGGTCGGCAGCAACATCGTCATCTGATGAATCAAACTCCTCATCATCCTCCTTCATGGCCTTTGGATCAGATCGCTCAGACTCTGGTATCAGCTCGTTAACTTGCTCCATCGTGTCGTCAACTTGTTGCGAGAATGTTCCTTCCTTCTCATCCCAATCATCTTCATCTTGTTTCTGTTTTTGTTCCTCCATCTCTGTGTCCATTTCACTAGAGTCGACAGCGCCAGCATCAGAGTCCTTCTTGCCAACGTCGTCCAGACCGGCTATGCTGATCTTGCCGCCCGCCTGAATGAATCTGTTCCTGGCCTCCTTGAACTCGCGCGATCGTCGCAGGTACTTCCTGTTCAGTCGCTCAAACTCCTTCTTGCACTCGACCAGCTGGGTGGTGAGCGACTCGGCGGTGGCCTGTGACGCCGACGTCAGGGTCTGGGCGGCGTGCTTCATCTGGTTGAACATTTCCCTCGGCGCGCTGCAATGCCTGCTGCGCACGTTTCTTGCATCGCTGGTAGTCCATCTCAACGATCTGCTTGTCTTCGGGCAGACCGAGCAGTGTTGGTCCGACGTACTCCTCCTCCACGGGCACACCGGTGTATGAGAAATCAAATGTCTGTTTGCTGTCCAGCTGCTTGATGATGTTGAGCGCGTCGGCCTTGGAGCCCGGCAGCAGCTTGGACTCGCCCTTTGAGAATGTGACCACCCAGTTCTGATTGGCATCCATCACAAACTCGGGACCAAACGTGGTGGCAATGAACTGTGTGAACTTGGCGTGCTTCCTGATGATCTTGGAGATGGCAACACGGTAGTTGTGATCGAGTGCGGCGTCGATCTCGTCGAGCAGGTAGAAGGGTGCAGGATCGGTACGTTGCAGGGCAAAGATGAGCGTCAGCGCCACGAGGGTCTTCTGGCCGCCAGACAACTGGCGAATGGTGTGGGCTTGGTGTCCCTCGCCAAACGACACTTTGAAGCCAATGCCTGTGTACTCAATGTCTGTTGGCTTCTTGATCTCACCGTTTACCTCCCATTTGTTGGGCTCCTCGCCCTCTTCGTCGGCGTCAAAGGAACGCTTGATGACCAGCGATGCCGAGCCTCCGGGAATCATCTCCTTGAAGATGTCTGAGAAGTGCTTGCCAACGCCAGAGAATGTACGGGCGATGGCTTCGTCCTTCTTGGCGTCCAGGGTTTCGATCAGACTGAGGATGGCCTTGAGTGACTCGTCCAGCTCCTCACGTCGCGCCACCAGTCCATTGCGCATCTCAACCGACGTTTTGTACTGCTCGTCGGCCTTCAAGTTCCTGGCCGTGTGCTTCTTCATGTCGGCGTTGATGGTACGCAGACGCTCGGTGGCCTCCTTCTTGGACACGCCCTTCAGCTCGTCAAAGTTCAGCTGCTGCGCCGTTGCCTGCGCTCTGCTCTTTGTGGAGGTGGTACTGTGCTCCTTCAGCCTCACAACAATCTCCTCCAGCTTCTTGGCGTACTCCAAAAGCTTCTGTTCGGTCTGCTGTATCTCGTCCTTCTTCTTGGCCGTGCCTTCTTTGAGCGCGGTGTACTTCTCATTGTTGGGATTCTTGCTCTCCTCCTTGAACTTCTTGATGTGCTCAGCGTATCGGCGCACCTCCTCGTTCTCGGTCTTGAACAGTGCCTCGGACTCCTCCATCTGCACGTCGGCCGCCTCCTCGGGGTTGTCAAAGGAGCGCAGGTGGGACATCTCCTCCTCGACGTCGCGCAGACGTCTGTGATGATTGTTGCGCAGCTGGTCCTCCATCCTGTGTCGCGTCATCTGTAGGTCGGCCATCTTTTTGGACAGTGCCGATCGCTGCTCCTTGAGTTTCATGCTGGCCTCGCTCAGATTGGTGAGCTCCACCTTCTCGGCCTCGGTGAGCGTCGTCTCAAAGGGCGACTTGAGTTGTTCTTGGTGGCCCTGCAGCCTTCTCTCCAAGTTGGCATAGTCGGACTGCATCCTCTTGAGTAGTGTCTCCTTCTCGCGCACAATCTCCTCAAACACCTGCCTGTTGTCTGATGTTCGCTCTGCCTGCATCGTCTCAATCTTGGCGGCCATCTCATCGCGCTTGTGAGCCAACTCGCTGATCTGTTTGCTGACGCCTTGTGCCTGGTTCTGCAGCGAGACCATCTCTTGCTCGCCTTCCATAATCTGCTCTTGGTTCTCAACGATCTTGGTGCGCCACTGTTGGAAGTCGGTAAAGGCGAGGAAGCGCGACTTGGTGGCGTTGTGGTAACCTCCGACGATGGCACCCTTGCCGTAGAACAGGTCACCGTCTCGCGTGACACAGTCGACTGCGTGCTCCTTCCTCAACGCTTCGGCCTTTTCAATGTCGGCACAGAACATAGTCTTGCCAAAGATGATGCGCAGGGCCACGTCAAACTTGGGGTCGAACTGCATGATGTTGATCAGTGGCTCGTAGTCGTCCGTGGCGCGCGGCAGTGGCTTGCCGCCCTTCCTGATCTGCAGGCGGTTCAGAGGCATGAATGTGAGGCGACCAATGTTCTCAGTGTTGAGCATGTCAAGCAGCTTGCTGACAGTGTCATCGTTGTCCACTACGATGTGGAATAGACTGTTGGCGCCAATCGTGTCGATGGCCTTGTAGGAGTTGGGGTCGCGCAGTGTAAACAGCTCGATCAGTGGGCCGTACACGCCCTGGATCTTGCCCTCGTCGCGCAGTTGATTGATCTTGGCAATGCCCTCGTACATGCCACGCGGCAAGATAAACTGGAGGTGGCGCTCGGCGCGCTTCAGCTCATTGCGCAGATTAGTGATGTTGGCCTTCTGCATCTGATCGGTCTGTTGGAGAAGCTTCACGCGGCGGTCCACATCATCGCGTTCCGATCTCTTCTTGGAGATCTCTGTCTGCATCTCCATGATGGTTTGGTTGGCCAGCGACTCGTGTGCCTTCATCTCATCGAGCGAGTTGGCCTTGTTCGCAATGATGTCGCGTGTCTTTTGCAGGTCGTCTCTGATTGATTGGATCTGGGTGTGATGATGCTTCAGCGACTCACTAATCTGATCGCTCTCTGTCTTTAAGTATGTATCTCTCTCCTTCTTTGTCTTGAACTGAAGCATTCCCTGCTTCAAGTACAACTGATTGAGTCTGACATCATTCTTGGATAGTCTGTTTGATTGATTGATTGATTGAATGAGTGAGTGATCTGATGACACGCAGTCCAGTTCGCAGGACACTTACTCCTCGTCAAACTCCTTGTCTTGGTTCTCGATGGCCTCGAGCTCAGGCTGGATACCGGCCAGCTTGGCGGTCGTGTCGTTGATGGACTTGTTGAGCTTCTCGCGCTCTGTCTTTAGCTTGTCATGTCTGGCCTGTTGCTTCCTGTTGAGGTCGCGCAAATGTTTCAAATGTACGTCGATCTTTGTCCTCTTGTCTTGGTGGTCCTCGAACTGCTTCTCCAACGTGGCCAGCTCCATGCGATCGCGCTTCACCAACAGGCTCAGCTCGGAGAGCTCCGCCTGCTCTGCGCGTAGCTCCTCGTGCAGCTCGGTCAGACGGCGGCCGGCTATCTCTGCCTGCTCAATCATCTCGTCTCGGCGCTCTTGCACCGACCTCATCTGCTCGGCCGACGAGACGTCGTCGATCTGAGCAATGTAGGCCTCGACCAACTTCTTGTCGCTGCGCAGCTTCTGGAACAGCAGAAGCTCATTCCTCTCGTGCTCCAGCTGCTCGATCTTCTCGTCGATGTACTCGAGGTACTCGACGATCTTGCCAATCCTCTGCTCGGTCTCGAGGATCAGCTTGAGACTCTCCTCTTTGCGGTCCTCGTAGACACGTGCACCGGCCACCTCCTTGAGCAGGTCCAGTCTCTGAGCGTCCTTCATCAGTGCCAGCTCTGTGATCTGGCCTTGATGTACAATATAATATGGATTACTTGCACTCAGACCTGCTGCCTCCAACAAACTCTTTACATCAGCCTTTGGCAACTTTTGTTTATCCAATGAGTACTCATCCTTTGTTGGTCCAAACGTTCTTCTAAGTGTAAACTCTTCCTTTTCAATCTATATTATGATTGATTGATTGATTGTTCGAGTGAGTGATTGATGTGATTGACATTGATTGATTGAATGAGTAATGTAACATACTGGGAATCTGTTATCTTTGTTGTCAAAGACTACCTCTATGTAGCCACTTTGTACAGTGACTGAACCAAAGGTGTGCAGGAGCTTTGATCTGTCTTCTCTCTGTCCAGTCATCGATCCAATATCACCCAATATGAACCTAATTGCACTGAATAGATTACTCTTACCAGCTCCATTTCTTCCGGCTTCAATCAACCATTAATTGTTAGTTTAACTCCACTTCATTCATTCATTGATTCAAACATTGATAACATACTGATTACATTGAAGCCTTGATGAAATGTATTTGAGGCCAAATCTAGATGTTTGTATGATTTGAAACCTTCGATCTTTAATTGTTTAATATAGACCATGGTGAATATGTATAAATTATTATACAGATAACTAATATCTGTAGCCTGTCCTAGAGATAATTGAAGTGAATGAATGGGTTTTGCCAATCTTGGCGCCAAGCTCAATAACAAACTTTCAAGTTCTTCGAATTGTAAAAATGGCGCGAACTCAAACAAATGAAGGGTCACACTTGTCATTCAATTATCTCTTTGGACTTGACATTCATATACACATACATATACATACACATATAACTTAATAGTTATGGCTGGAGGAAAAAGGAAACCAGCAGCTACTGCAAAGACTACAAAGTCTGGTGCTGCAACAAGAGGAAAGAAGAAGGTTGAGGAGATTGAAGAACATGAGGATGATGAGATGGACACTGGAAGTGAACAAGAAGTGGAGGAAGAGGAAGAGAAGCCAAAGAAAAAGGTTACAAAGACAAAGTCACCAATCAAACCAACTACTACAACCACAACAAGAACAAGAAGACAACCTCCTGCAAAAGGAACAAAGAAGAAGAATGATCATGATGAAGTCCAAGATGATAATAATGATTCACAAGATATATCTATTATTATAACTGATCGCGAAATGGATGACAAGAAGAGAAAACGTACAACGGCAACTACCAAGAGGGCTGCGGCTGCTGCTGCTGCAACTGCAAACAAGCATTCAAAGTCAAAGAAGAGACCAGCAGAAGAAGAGTTGGATGAAGAGGACGAGGACTCTGAGGAGGAACAGGTTGAGCATGACGAGTCTGAAGAGGAGGAGGTAGAAGTGAAGAAGAAGAAGAAGTCAGCACCAAAGGATGACTCATTCAAGAGGCCAACCAAGCCATCGGGCAAAAATCAAGAACCACAACAACAGACAACACCAACCAAGGCTTCACAACAACAGAAGAAGTCTGGTTCACAGTCAGCTGCCAGCACATCCTCCCAGACGACACAGAGCAAATCCAAGCAGATTCACAACTTTGAGCCATCCAAGTTCAAGAAGGCTCCCGCGCTCAAGCCACTCAACGTCAAGAAGTTGGAAAAGGACGACGAATACCTGTCGCCCGCCGTCGTCAAGGTCGACAAGCTCATAAAGAGGTTAAAGGTAACGCGTCCGCGAACTTGCAATGCGTACCGTATCGTGGTCAACTAACTCCTTGCCTTTACAACACATTAGAAACTTGATGAACACTTGTCCAACTTGTCGCCCAGCGATATGGAGGGCAAGCTGGACCATCTCCTCAAGCTATTGCTTGTTCCAGGTCTGCTCAAGTCAAAGGATGACGAGCTCAAGCTGATGGTGGCGTGCTGCCTTGTGGAACTGTTCCGCCTGTCATGGCCAAGCGTGCCCACAGAGGACGAGGACCAACTGTCCATCATATACGAACTGTTCATGAACGAGTTGTTCTACTTCCCCGCGGACGACGCATTGTTCCCCGCCTACTACCACCTCATCGAGCGACTGGCCTCAATCAAGGCCTTCTCGATCTTGGGCAAGATCGATGCGCCGGGCCTGCCCGACTTCTTCAAGTCGACACTCAAGCTCATGGACGACAAACTGCCCCCGGCAATGCTGCCACTGCTGCAGAACATTATGTCGTCGGTCATTCAGAACCTGGAGGACTACAACGTGCGTGTGATGGACACGATCTGCACGTTCATGCTCGAGAACGACCACCACCAGCTGACGACGCGCGCTCAGGCCGTGCAGTCCATCCTCACACACAACCGCGAGTATCTCGAGACTCACTTCCGCTACTATATCCGCGAGCTCGTAAGTGGCATTTCAGAGTCGGAGCTCAAGGCGCGCAAGAATGAGATCATCTACCATTTGTTCAAGCTGCACCCCACGTTCCTGGACCAGGCTGGCGTCTATGACATGGCCGTCGATCTCCACAACGAGGACCCCAAGGTGCGTAAGAACGCCGTGCAACTCGTGTCCAAGATGTTCTCGGCCGACCCGCACCTGGACGAGGAATACTCGGAACTCTTTGTCAAGTTTCTCAAGCGATTCATGGATGCTGATCATCGCATCCGCAAGATCATGCTGGATTTCTCCCGCATCTATCCCATCGACTCGACATACAGCGACATCATCCTGGACTACCTTGTGACGCGTCTCAAGGACACCGAGCCAGCAATTCGCTCAATGACCATCGCGTCCATGTGCGAGTATATCATAAAGCGCACCAAGCTGCTGACGCCCAAGATGCTCAAGAACTTTTACGAGCGTGTGCGCGACAAGGAGTCCACTGTGCGCAAGGACGCCGTGGTCACACTGTCCAAAGTGTGGAAGGCCATTCGCGAGAAGAACGGCCCGATCGATGAGTGGCCCCAGCATCTGGCCGAGTGCTTTGACTGCATCCCCAACGTGCTGTTCAGCTGCTTCAACCTGTTGGAGGACGACAAGTACCGTCTGGAGGTGGCCATCGACACGATCATACTTGAGGCGCACGCCAACCCCAAGGAGCGCACTGAGAAGTTCCTCGAGATCCTGGGCTACCTCGACAACAAGTCCAAGGAGAGTCTGTTCACGTATCTCGAGAAGAAGCGCTCCGTCATCAAGGAGTTCAACGAGCTGATGGCCGTGGTGGAGGAGTCGCCCGACGACAAGAAGCTGATCGAGAAGCACATTGCCTACGTGGACAACTTCATTCCCAAGTACGCTAACGAGACGACCAAGACGCTGCTCAAGACGCTGCTGCAGCCGGCCAACAAGAAGGTGCTGGGCCTGCTCAAAGCCATCAGCAGTCCAGAGACGACACTGCAGAAGCAGTTTGAGATCAAGGTGGCCATACTGAACAAGGCGTCGTCGAGCGAGGGCGCCTTCTCCGAGTTCATCAAGTACTTTGTCTTCTTGCTCAGCTACTCATTCGTCAGTCACGAGACACTGGAGTTCATCCTGGAGGACGTGGACAACAATCTGCCCAACGTCGAGCAGACCAACTTTGTCGAGAAGAGGTATCTCAAGGACACCAAAGACACCAAGAACGTCGAGATCAGCATGGACCTCCTGTTGCGCATATCAAAGATCTCACCCAACATCTTTGAAGGCTATGGCGAGAAGCTTGTCGGCTTCCTCTATCATTCAAGGGTCATCACCGACAACTTTGTCCAGATCATCTTCAACACGATGGAGTATCTCAAGTTCACAAAGCCAACACTCAAGTATGTCCGTCCAATCATTCAATCATACGATCAACCATTCAATCATTCTAACCATGATCAATCAATCATCAACAGGAAACTACAAGGTATATTGTCAACACTTTGCGAGATTGGATCACCAAAGGTTGTCAAGATGGCCTTTAGGATCATTGAGAAGGTGACCATCACATTGACAGACACGCGAGCAATCTTTAAGGATCTGGCCGAGAAGCTGGTCTCAACCCTCGAAGACAAGACCAAGAATATCATCTCATCACTCGTTTGTAAGTCCATTGTCCTCACTCAATCATCCGCCCTCACTCACTCACTCAATCCACACATAGCACTTGGACTCATTGCAAGGAAGTATCACTCATTGATAGACTATGAGCATTATGAGATGATAGAGGTATTCGTGTACAAGGGAGTGATGAATGGAAAGGCCAAGGCGGACATTAATATGAAGCAGTGGAAGTTGGACGTACCATGCTCAAAGGAGGTGTTGCTCAAGATGTACGGAATATATTATATGGGCAACTACTTGTGTGGCATACCCAAGACGATGATCACACGCAAGACCTATGAGCTGGCCTCATATCTCTACGACTTCCTCTACCTGCCCGAGAGGATGGCCAACCTCACACCCATGGAGCAGCTCTACATCAAGCTCTCAGTCAACATTGAGACGATGCGCATGCTGCGCCAGCATCACTTCACGCTCTGCTTCCAACCTGTACATTTCATTGGCTTCTGCAACGTCGCCTCCATCAAGAGCGAGGCCAAGCACCAAGACGCCCTGCAGCACCGCTTCTTCCACAAGCTGGATAAGTCGGTCCGCCTTAACAAGATCCCGCTGCGATTCATGGCCGCGTTCGGCCTGACGGCACTGCAGCCCACGAGCATCGTCAACATGGTCAAGAAGCAGGTGTCGTCCATCATCAAGATGAAGCGTATGACCATCTCGCGACTGGACCCCTCTTTCAAGCTGGAGGGCGAGTGCTACCCAGAGGACTCATTCACCTACTTCATCTATCTGATCGCGCATCGCGAGGGCATCGAGAAAGAGTATCCCGACTACGAAGAGACGTCCAAGTACTTTAAGTACTACACCAACATGATGATCGAGGAGAAGGACAACTATGCCATCCTGATGAACTACCTCGTCTTTATCAGGCAGTCCATCGATGGACTGGAGCCATACTCAAAGAACACGCGACGAATAGCCAATCACGGCATTCAAATCCTGTCCGAGGAGTACAAGGACAAGAAGTGGAAGGTCCAAAAGGTCCAGACCCAGATGAACCTGCCCAAGGAGTACTTCATCTACATGGACAACATTGACTTTAGAGAATATGACATGGATGTAAGTAGCCCTCCCTTTTGAATTTGATTGGGACCATTCCTAACCATCGCTCAATCATCAATCATGTTCCAGACGACTGACAAGTTGCCAACATTCTTTGTTGTGATGAATGGAAGGGGTGCTGAACGATTGGATGAGAGCACATATTATCAGAAGCTAGCGGAGAAGAGTCCTGGATCAGTGTTGAGACATGTAAGTAGTACCATCGATCGCAAAGTGAACATGAAATAAATACTAACCTCTTCACTTTGAACAGAACATATCATCAGTCACCAATACAACAATTGGCGGCAAATCACCAGATGCTGCCATTCCATTCGATATCACAGATGCTGGCAATGATGATGCTGGAAATGAGGATGATGAAGATAAGGAGCAGGCCCAGAAGCCTATCGCCGCCAAGCCAACACGTGCCTCTGCCAGACAAAGAGCAGCAGCGGCAGCAGCCACAAAGAAGACGACAAAGAGGAAACAAAGAGAGAGCGACCAGTCATCAGACGAAGCTGAGGAGCCTGAGGAGGAAGCAGAGGAAGAGGAGGAGGCTGAGGAGGAAGCTGCTGAGGAGGAGATGGAAGAAGCCGAGGAGGAAGAGGCAGAGGAAAAGCCCAAGACTAGAGGTGGAAGGAAGCCAGCAGCGGCGACAAAGAAGAAGCCCGCGACAAAGCGAACGAGGAAGTAAAGGAACCACCAATCTATGATGGGTGGCATTCATGTTTATTAATAGTATCCATCACTTCGAGTTGGTAGTTGTACATCTTCAGGTAGACCTGATACTTTAAATCATGGAATGACTTGGTTGCGATGGTAGTTTTGGGCTCCACACTCGCACCAAGTTTGGCCATTCGCGAACAAGCCTCCTGTATAGAGGTGTACGAACCACATGCGACGGCTGCGACAATTGCCGCGCCAAGGGTGACGGCATCCTCGTCAACCATCAATCCTATTGCCCTATTTGTAATGTTGGCATACTCCCGCATCCATATCCTATTCTTGCTGGCGCCGCCACACAGCACAACCTTGCCCACTGTGCCACCCGCTTGTTCGATAGCCTCGATGATCTGGCGAGTGCCATAGGCAATTGATTGGAGCGTGGCCAGGTACAATCGAGCCAATGCTCGCCAGCCCTGCTCCAGGGTCTGGCCCATGACAACTGCTCGCGAGTGTGGATTTGAATGAGGACTTCTGTTGCCATGATGATGATCTAGTACATGTAGATGTCGTGTTGGATAGCGATCCTCTGCCTCCAAMCTTGTCCACCCATTGATTGAGTGTATGATATATGTTGTTGTGTCCCGCTGCTGATGCCTCGCGCTCCAACTCAATGTAGCCAATGTGATTCATGACGGTCCATTCGACCAATGATCCTGCCGCACTCTGACCTCCCTCGCTCAGCCATAGATCAGGGATCATGGCACTCAAGTATGGTCCCCAGACGCCTGGTACCATCAAAGGATCGCGTGACACCAACATGTGGCAATTAGACGTGCCAGAGATGAGGGCGAGGCTTGAGTCGGGCGACTGACCGATCATGGCCAGTCCTCCAGCATGTGCGTCGATCAGTCCACTCGCGACAACAACCTCCTCCGATAGACCAAGCTCATGTGCTGCTCCTCTGCTCAATGTTCCAACAGGCTGTCCAACGCCGATGACCTTTGTTGGTATCTTGTCCAGTATATCTTCCAAGTCCACAGCTCGCAGTAACGTCTCACTGAAGCGTCCTTCATGAGACAGGTAGTTCCACTTGCATGATAATGTACAGATACCGACCGCATCAACTCCGGTGGCGCGCCACACCAAGTAATCAGAAAGGTCAAACAAACGCCAAGCATCTTTGTATGTCTGAGGCAGGTTGTTCTTGAGCCACAATGCCTTTGGAAGCTCCATCTCCACGCTGACTTCGCCTCCAACATACATCAAAGCTGGATCCTTGGTCGAGTTGATGAGCGATGTCTCTTTGGTCGCCCGATGGTCCATCCACATGATGATGTCATGCAATGTATTTGTGTTGTTGTCCATTGTTGGTCTTGGTGAGACATTGAGTGGTTGTCCATTGTGATCGATCACGACCATCGAGCAAGTGGCATCGAATCCCAAGCCTTTGATAGATGTGGCTGGGACATGTGGAGGAGCTTGTTGTAAGACCTGCTTAACAGATCGACATACTGCATTCCAAATGTCCTGTGATGATTGCTCCACTACATCATGTGAGTGCACGCCTCTAAACACCTGGATATCATTTACTGCAAATGATAACCTCTGGCCTTGGTCATCAAAGAGTCCTGCCCTAACACTTGCTGAGCCAACATCAACCCCAATGAAGTATTGTGATTGTGTATCTTTGTTGATGTTCATTATTAAACTATAATTGATTGAAACTCTTGAGTGATCTTAAGAACCTAGGTGAGTTTATTTGTAATCATTGATATCTCCAAAGAGTCTTCATTATGTCCCAATCAGACCAAATTGGGCATTTTGCGGGCTACCTGAGCCTCATAAGATTTTTCAAGTAATTTTGGGAACCTTTTGGCCAGCTCCCATCACTGGAATGAAGGAGTGATCATTCACTCGTCAAACTCTTAAACAGTCAACAAACAATCAAACAATCAAATAGACAAAGAGATAAACCATGTGGTCTGACTCGCAACGCGATCTGTCAAAACAGCCACTGCTACTAAATAATGACAGTGGCGAGCTTGGCGCTACGTTGAGCAGCTCATCTTCGATGAAGTCAATGTCCAACATCAATACACCATCTTCATCCAACAACAACAGTATGAACTATGGCAGTGGATTATATTCTCGCAAACAGCCTATCAAGCGTCAGTACAAGTGCAATGACCTGTTGTTCCTCTTCCTCTTTCTCGGTCTACTGGGCTCAATGGCCTGGGTGTCAGCTATAGCCTACACACGTGGCGACCCATCATTGCTCGTCCAGAACAACACATTGGCCAATGGAACATTGCCCGACCCCAATTGGGACAATGGCAACAGATTTTTCTACACAGTGTCCGAGTACGTCAGTGAGATGCAGGAGAACCGTTACTGTCTACTCTACTCGGTGATCGTTGCCTTCTTCATTTCAGACATCTGGATCGAGTTGCTCAAACGATTCACTCGCAAAGTAATCTATGTCACCATCGTCCTTGGCGTGATCATTCTTCTCACTCTTGGTACATTCTTCATCGTTGCTGGATCAATTCAAAACAGTCGAGGGTATGTCTTGTGACCTGTCCACCTGGAATAATTCCGGAAATCCAATCCAATCACTAACACTTGACCATCCCAACAGATCAATCATATTTGGTGGAGTAGTTACAGCCTTCTCGGTACTGTTCACAATCATATTGTACCTGATGAGGAGGAGCATTCGTTTGACTGTGGCCACTTTTGCAGAGAGTTGCCGTGGCGTTCGTCAAAGTCGCTCGGTATTCTTTGCCGTGACATTGGTCGTGTTGATATTCCTTGCCTTCCTGTTCTACTGGACCACTACATTGATCTATTTGTTCAGTATCCCAGATAAGAGCAACCTGAAGTTGGAGGATGGTGATGGTGATCACCACCGCATCCCACTTCACACTGTTGACTTTGACACCAAGATCAGGTATCTCTTCACCATCATGTCCTTTGGATTCTACTGGACCTCTTCATTCCTTGGTGCTGTATCACAGTTTGCCATCGCTGGAGCCATCTCACGTTGGTACTTCTCCCGTGGACCAACTGGAAAGTGTAAGTTCACTCAATCCATTAATCAATCACTCAATCACTTTACACACATACTCAATCAATCAATCTTTATACAACACTTTAGCCGAGGTTGGATCACGCAATGCTCTGGCCTCGTTATCATTGGCCTTTTCACTCTCGATGGGTAGCATTGCATTCGGAAGTCTAATGATTGGATGGGTTGAGACATTGGCATTCTTATTGAGATTGGTCCAAAGGATCAAGTCTGAGAAGAAGTGGGTACAGTCCATTCTCAAGTGCCTTCACTATGTCTTTGGTTGTCTGGCTGCCATTGCCAAATGGGCCAATACCTATGGCTATGCATACATGTGTAAGTATTGTATACAATACCCTAGCATCATCGTTGGGAACAACTCCACTCACACCAATCAAACAGCCATGCATGGATACAGCTACTGTCAATCGACCAAGGCATGCTACAACGTCATCGCAAGGAACTTCTTTACATCGATATTGATGAACTTTATCGGTTGGTTCGTCTTGCTACTTGGAAAGGTACTCGTGATGGCCATCTCATCGCTGGTGGCTGGCATCGTACTGTACGCCACGCAGAAGAATCTGAGCGAGAACATGTTGACCATACTCTTATCAGCGATCTTTGCCTACTGCATTGCCAACATGTTCTCACACATCATTGGTGTGAGCAACGACACGATCTTTGTTTGCTACCTTGAGGACCTTGAGATCAATGGTGCCGAGAACATCCTCATCAGCAAGGATCTACATGAGTTACTACAAGAGAACAAGACCTCAATTAACAAGCCCAAGGATATGGAGCTTACCAGGTCAAAGTGAGCGATTGAGTGTACTTATGCCGCGACATGACCCAACCATCCTCTCCCATTCATCCCCCTCCCCCCATTCATTCCTCCAGCAACCCTCCAGGCTGAGTGGATGTACATAAATACAAGCCAAGGCATGTGTAATGCCTCCAGTGTTTGGATAATACACGGACGCAGTTTCGCTGTCCATGCACAGGTACTTTATTTAACAAATTTTTGGTTGATTGCTGGCCACTGGTCTGTCGTCTACCTTATTTACATATCTTGTTAGGGCCGGCGCAGTGGAGACAAGTCTTTATCCCCATCTAAATCCACCTGGATGTCCAGGCTGTTGCTGTTGCTGTTGTTGCTGTCTCATGTTACCGCCAAAGTTGAAGCCTGCGAATGGACTACCTCCCATGTCAAAGTTCATTGCCTCGAATGGTTCTGCGTTGCCCATGTTGCCCATATGTTGGAAGCCTCCTGCATTGCCGAATGGTGTCTGACCGAAGCCACCACCAGCTCCAGAAGAGCTGCTGTAAGATGCAGTCCTTACACCAGGACCGCCCATGTTGAACTTCATGCCTCCTCCATTCATTCCCATGAACATGTTGAAGATGTCCATTGGGTTCTGGCCGCCAAAACCTCCGCCTCCAAATCCACCAGTGCTGAATGATCCTCCTCCATTGCTGAAACCTTCGTCAGTGTCCATTGGGAAGCCATTCTCGTCCTGGCCCAGGTCGTATCGTTGCTTTTTGGTAGGGTCGGAGAGTACACTGTAGGCTTCACCAACCTCCTTGAACATCTTCTCGGCTTTGATCTTCTCTGGCTCGGACATGTTGCAATTCTTGTCGGGATGGTACTGTAGAGCAAGCTTCCTGTAGGCCTTCTTGATATCTGCGTCCGACGCGCCCTTGGCAACGCCCAGAGTCTTGTAATAATCCTTCTTTGAAGCCTTCTTGTACTCGATACGGGCCTGGCGCAAGTTGCTTTGGATGTCCGGATCATTGGGGCTCAATTGGTTGGCTCTGTCATAGTCCCTCATGGCCTCCTCGTACTGCTCCTCCTTCATGTAACATTGGCCTCTCTTGATGTATGCCTTGGTGTAATTGGGGTCCAGCTCTATGGCCTTTGTGCAATCGGTGATTGCGTCGTTCCTCTTGCCCAACTGGAAGGATGCAGCAGCACGGTTGTTGTAGAGTTGAGCATTCATTTGGTCAAAGGTCGGATCAACCTGGAGAGCTTGAGTAAACAGTTGATGTGCCTTGGTGTAGTTCTTGCTCTTGAATGCTTCATTGCCCTCCTTCTTCTTGGTCTCTAGGTCCTTGAGCTTTTGTAACAGTTCTTTGGTCTTGGTCGATGAGGCGTCCAATTTGAGCGAACTCTGGAGCGATGATGAGGCGGATGATAGATTGTTGGAATAATACAGTGACAGTCCCTTGAAGTAGAACAACTGGGCCTTGAATTTGTCGTCATTAGATTCATCTTGAAGCATTGAGGTTAGGAAGTTGTTGGCCTTGGTGTGCTCTTTGGAATTGATCAAGGCTTCAGCCTTCTTGGTGATGGCCTGTTGGTTGAACTTGCACTGAGCAAGAATTTGGTCGACTAGGTATATTGTTTGCTTGGGATTACGGCCAGTGTCTTGTGACAACGCCTGAATCAAACGATTCAAGGTGTCTATATTGGTCTTCTCTTGTAATAGGTCATTGTTTCTTGGGTCAACAGCCAGTCCCTTGACGATAAAAGATTGTGCTTGGTCAATTTGACCAAGTTGAACGTTGGCCTTTGCAGCACGAAGGTAACCCTTCATAAACTTATTATCAACACCAACAGCCTTCTCCGAGTCCGATATAGCCTTCTTCAACGATTGTCTTGTGCCCATTGCCAGGTAGGCAGCGGCCCTATTTCCAAAATAAGATGCTATCTTTCCTTCGGAATAGTCTATATTTATGGATAGTAAGTTTGAATGTTAGTATTAATATTATTATCAAAGTAGTTCAAGTTAAAATAATTACATACTTATAGCCTTTGTGAAATAATCAATGGCCTCCGAATAGTTATTCTTTTTGAAACTCTCGTTTCCTTTGTTCTTTAAAGTCTCATGGTCCATTGTTTGTTCTTATTTGTTTGTTTGTTTGATTGATTGATTGATTGATTAATATAATGTTAATAATTATTGTTACAATAATAAATATCTATCTTTCTATTATTTATGTTTGAGTATAAGTATTAGTGAATGTTCGTATGAATGAGTGTAGATGTATGTAACAATGATGTGGACCAAGTGTTAACAGTTTTGTCTTGTTCTTTCTCCTGAAGTGGTGTCCCTTGAGATTGGAAGTGAAGGACAAAACACACACCTTAATTGTTTACCATTTTAGGATCTATCTGAAATTTCAGATAGTTTTCAATGAAATTCCGTATTCAATCAAATGACAACCACCACTTTACAAACGTGTCAATCATTTTATTGACTTGACATTCTACGTTTAGTAACTATCTAAAAGAGATACTAAAATATATGTAATTACTTATGATATTAAATTGATACAATCAGAATGAATGATTTTAGTTAAATCAAGTCAATCATTTCATTGACGATCATCAATCAAAGCCAATCATATTATTGACATCACAATGACATGGTCTCATCAGAATGATTATTCATTTATAGGTGGCTTCTTTCTCCCTTCATCATCAATGTTGTTTGAATACAAGTTGTCAATACCAAATAAGACCGATATATTACAATCGATCAATCAATAACAATCAAACAAACAAACCAACAAGAATGCTAAGAACAACCTCAAGATCATTGGTTTCATCCACTTCATTATGGAAACAACTTGCCCTATCTTCAAGATACATTGCCAGTCCTTCCTACTTTATTTCCTCACACTGTCAAGGAGGATTCTCATCATACCATAACGGACTTTCTAGACCTTTAGTTGGCAGACACTTCAATTCAAATACCAACAAAAACAGCAACAACATGTATATACGTAGAGAGAATGATGAAATAACAATTAGAGGAAGAAAGGTGTCAACTATACATCCTCTAAGAAATATATGGAGAGTTTCCAAACCATATTGTAAGCTCTTCTTCACTCTTGGAACTGGATTGTGCATAGCATCAGCCATCCTCTACCCAATCCTATCCTATGATCATCTTAAATTGGCCATTCGACTTGCCTTGTATAGGTTTGGACTAGACGATGATGATGATGACGAAGATGAAGAAGTTGACAAAGTTGATGAAGATGACGAAGATGAGGAAATTGAAGACTTGGATTGATCATTCAATCAATCAATCCCTTCTCCAATATCCATGTAATATAAGTATAATATATAATATATAAAGTAGCGATTTATTACACAATCAATGAACTTGGATCAATGCCAAGCTTCTGTGAGATCTCGGTGGCATTGCGCCATGCCAACTGTTGCTTGAGCGATGCTGCCTCTTCGTATCTTGATATCTCATGCCAGGCGAATGCCTCTTCCATTGGCAGCTCACTGAGCTTGGCCTCTTTGGCGCTCTTGTACAGCGATGCCAATCCACGCTCGCGAGCATCACGGCCCAACTGGAAGATGATCATGAACAAGCCATTGAGTCGCGTGTAGCTCGTCACTGAGAAGGGCGACGTGTTCTCCATCGACTTGATCTCGGTCAGAATCTTCTTGATCCACATCTCAATCTCCTGAGTGTCGAGCTCAAACACGTTGTTGGCACCGCCACTGCCCAGCGCAACACTGTGTCTGCCTCCATTGTAGTTGTCATCGACAAAGATCTGCACTCCATTGATGGTGTGCAGAGATGGCGGTATAGTGCTGTCTCCAACGGCACCATCATTGGGTGGATTGATGCCGTTGACGTCTGTTGCGGCTGAAGCCGTCTCTTGAGCCACTGTTGTTGCCTTGTTGAGCTCCACAGTCGACTGATGTTGCTGCTGTGCCCTCTGTGGATGAACGATATACAGTTTTGGATACTGTGCCTGAGATGGCGAAGATGATATTGGAGTCTGTTGTTGCTGTAGATGAACCTGTGCAGCAGGGATGGGCACTGACTCGCTGGTCTGTGTAACAGCAGATGATCTATTGCTGAGTGACACTGACGACCTGTTTGACGATGATGACGAAGACGAGGTGGCAGGATGCACAGTAGCCTGTGCCAACTTATTCCTCCTGAGCTTGTCCCTCTCGACGATGGACAATAGCACTCTCGAGATGAGCACGAGTGAGAGGACGACACGGATACCACATCCCCCGCCAACCATTGGCAGCACAGTGGAGATCAAGTCCATAGAGTTGGTGATCTGGTCATTGGACAGGGCGATGGTGGACTTGACGGCTTGGTGCAGCACGTACTCAATGCCATCGATCTTGGGTCGGAGCAGCTCGGCATCGATGATGATCTTCTGAGCCTCCTGGTACTTGGCCTGGAAGGTGAAGGTCATCGCGCGGAAATGGAAGAAGGTGAGCGTGGTCATCCAGGACATTGACAGGATGTTGTTCTCCAAACATTCCTCGACGATTGTGTGCACAGTGTTGAGCTCGCCCTTGACAAAGCGATACACGACAAAGACAAACAGCAGTAGCTCTTTGTCCTTCTTGAGCGCGTTGGGGTAGTTGTGGAAGATGTAGCTGAACTTTTGGTACAACTTCTCCACCTTCTTCCACTGTCCAAAGAAGATGTCGCGCAGACCAAGAACAGCCAGCGTCAACATGAGGTTGTTGGTTGCTTCAATGTTGCCCAGCTCCAGATAGTCGTCCATGAGGTCCTCAACTATCTTGTTGGCCTGCTTGGCCAGTGATGTGGACACAGTGCCACAGAAGGGGAAGAGTGCCGACATGATGGAGAGACGCGAGCACGCTAAAGCCAGCTCGGGAAGGGCCATCCACACAGATGCACCCTGGCTCATCTCTAGTCCTTGAACGCCATGCATAGCGCAGTAGACTGCGAGGGGAAGTCGCTGGCTCTTGTAAAAGAACTCGGACATCGAGGAGTAGATGCATGCCGTCTCAAAGGCGAGCGCGGCAGATGGCGCCATGTAGCTGTCGGACTCTTGGTAGGCCTGGTACTTCTTGTTCTTTGAAGCCAGCTTGAGCAGGTTCTGCTTGGTGACCATTGTGACGACTGAGACTGCCAGTGTGCTCGAGGCCTTGGGCGTGGGCTCCTTCAGAACGCCCGTGAGCGCCCACAAGAAGTACTTCTCGGACAGCTTGAAGTAGCCAAGGTTGGCGTAGGCTTCGGCGATGCGACGGGTGGAGATGGCGAACCGGATACGCTCCTCGGTGCTCATGGCGAATGTGATGGGGTCGTCGAAGGAGTCAAAGATGGATCGCTCAAACTGCGGGTCCTTTGTGATGATGCCATTCTTGAAGCTCTTGAACAGCGCAATGTACTCGTTGTGATACTTGATCATGTCAAAGTAGATGCAGCGACGGTGGGCATCCTCACCTGCGGCAAAGTTGTAGTGCAACGCCTTGGCCAGGTTCTCGTTGATGGATAGGTCCGTCTTGGACCAGTGGTCGGCCAGCAGCTCGTTGTAGCAGGCAATCTCGGTGGAGTTGTATGTCTCCTCGATCCAGTCCGCGATCTTCTGGTGCAGAGAGTGGCGCTGAATCACTAACAGCGAGTTGTACATGGCCTCCTGCAGCAACGGACTCTTGAAACCGTAGTACTGGTTCCAATCCTCCTCGACCAGGAAGCGATCGGTCGTAGGAGCAGTGGGCGGCGTTTGGCTGGAGGGCGCCTGAGCGTCGGCAAAGATGCTCTTGGGACGCGAGTCGCAAGTATGGCCACGGACCATTTTGAACAGGCCCGTAGGAGAGGATGAGGCCGATAGGTTGTCGTCGTCACTGCTGCTGGCACTGTAGTGGAGATGGCTGCCGGGTGAGTGTCCACTGGTGGGTGTGTGGATGGGCATGTTGGTCATGCTACTGGTGGGCGACATTGTCCTCGACTTTGAGCCCTTCCTGTCCTTGGTGGGGATGAACCACGCCGATGGCAGTGAAATCGAGCTGCTCTGATCCTGCAGCGTGTTCATGAAACTCATTCGATGCTTGGTCGAGGGTGGAGGGAAGTAGAAGTGATCCTTGTTCAGTTCGCTGCGCTTCAAGTTGACGAGGAAGCCAGCGTCCACGAGGCGCTGGAGGATGTCACGAAGGAAGGGTCGCTTCGAGCCAATGGGGTACAGAAGATGGATCAGGGGATAGGGGAACATGAACAGGCCCATGACGCTGGCCACCTTGAGGATGATGAGATAGAAGTCGTTGAGATGGTTCACCTTGCTCAGGAAGAAGCGCTCCAGGATCTCGGGCATCGAGGGGAACCCGCGTGTGAAATAGGCCGGCTGGACAATGCAGTGCTTGTTGTCGATGATGAGGAAGTTGCGCTCCAGGTAGCTCTTGGCCAGTTCGAGACACACGTACGGGTTGCCCTCCGACTTGAGCTGGATGAGCTGATAGATGTAGTTGGATATCACCTTGACGTTGAGCTGCTGCTTGATGATCTCGTGAATGGCGGTGGGCGAGAGAGGCCCCAGCTTCATCTCATGGTACTCGAATGATAATGGTGTGGTCAGATTTGAGTGTTGTTGTTGTTGCTGTTGCTGTTGCTGTTGTTGTGTACCCTGTGTCGTTCGGCTTGTTGTGTTATGTACATTTGTATCTACAGTATGGTTGTCTTGGTCATTGTCGTGGTCGTTGTAGTTATCGTTATCGCTGCTGTCATTGTCTCCCACATCATCACCGCCAGCATCCTCGCGGACTTGCTGCGGTGCCTGCTCAGGCACCATTGGGGCAGTGGTGGTGGTGGAAGCGACAAAGGTGTCCGAGTCTGGGGACTGCGCCTTGGTCGTCGTTGGACTGAAGGCCTTCTTGATGCGATTCAACTCCTTCGTCTTCTCGTGTTGACTGCGCGTCGTCGCGATGATCATGATGGGACGAATGGTGAAGGATATGTGCATCAGGAGCGACCATGACACTGAGTCCATGTGGTGGATGTCCTCGAGGATGATTACCAGACGGCGACGCGAGGCACTGGCGCGCAAAAAGTAGGACAGCAGCTCAAAGGTTTTCTCGAGCAGCATGGCCGACGAGCCCATGTACATTGCCGTCACCTCGTTGGGCGGGAAGTCAATGCGCAGCACGGGATTCAGCAGGGAGAGCAGGGGCAGCAGCTCAGGACGGCAGTCTGTGAACTTTTGGAAGATGTACTGTCGGATTTGCTCAGGCGGCATCGACTGCACGTGTCTGTAGCGCGTCCATGATAAAGTGCGATAGGCGTGCTTGTCGCCTGCGAAACGCGTCTCGCCCAGGGAGAACTCGGAGAAGAACAGATCGGAGAAGACGCCCGTGAAGACGTTGTAGGCGCGTGTCTTCTCCAGAAGACTGGCCGAGCCGCAAAGCACCTGCGCGTTACACCTGGCACACTGCTTGTAGATCTCTGTGACGAGCGAGCTCTTGCCAATGCCAATGTCGGCCTCGATCAGCGTGAACGATGAGACCAGACGCTCCGACAGAAGATTGTATCGATGCATCAGCGTGGTGATCTCCTTCTTCCTACCAATGATGCTGTGTCCGCCAATGTTGTTGGGGTCGTCCACCATCACCTGGTTGTCCATCGTGGTGGGGATGTGCGCAATGGCAATCGGTCGGTACGTGACCATCGTGGCGACGTAGTGGCGCCACTGCACACTGAACTCGCGTCCCTTGTTGGCACTGTCGATGTAGATTGGGTTGCGCGGGGTGTTCTCACCGCCCTGATCCGAGTTGAACGAGCTCTTTAGCGAGAAGGTGACGCTGAGCGACTCGTCGTCGGCGTCGCCAGCGTTGTTATCCATGGGTGTAGGTGTCGTTGGGGCGCTGGCATCAGCTGATCGCTTGAGGCCTATTCCCGATGGATGCATTGTGTTGGTCTTTGTCACTGTCAAAGGGAATTGGATGTCATAGGTGATTGCATCAAACTTGATGGCCTTGTCACAAGCCTTCCTGGTTGCCTCATCACAAAGTATCCATCCTCCCTCTGTTGTGTCCTGTGGCAGGTTACCAACATTGCCATTGTTGTTACTGTTGTTACTGTTGTTGTTGTTGTTGTTGTTGTCGATGTGGAAGGTTGTTTGAGTGCGCACAGTTGACAGCCACTTGATCATGTAGTGTGCCTTCTCTCCGATGACCACGTACTCTGATCGCGACTTGACGCCAACTAGACCACAGACCATCTTCTCGCTGACCACCATGGCATTGACATCGCGTATATAGTGTTTGTTATGTGATTGCAACATCTTTACAATGTCCATCACCATCTTGATAGCTGCAACTGCATGACTATCATTGGAGAATGGTGGCAGGCCCATGACACACACTACAAACACTCCACTCTCGCGTTGTAACAGCTTTGTAACTGATCCGTCATTCTTTCTCAATATCTCTTGCAACTGAATGATGAATGAGTGAGTAAGTAAGACTTGTGGATCACACGGCGGACTCTGCATAACATACCTTTGCCACTACTGGATGAAAGAAATTGATCGTCTCCCAGTTGTAGGTTAGATCGAAGAAGTGCAAGATAAAGACTGTGACGATACGTGACTCGAGACTCCAGTCCTGCGTCAGACGGAATTGCTCGGTGGCGGGCTGAGACGAGCTGTTGGGCATGGAAGACGACGCCAGTACCTTGAGATGCATCGGGAGATGGCACCATAGCAGACGATGCATGGTGATCAGCTGCTCTGGCTGCATGTCCTGCAGGGTCTTCTCCACCGAGATACCGACTGGGTTGGACATCTCCTGCATCTGCTTGAGCAAGTACATGGGCGGCGCCGCAGGGTCGATCTCTGAGGTCAGCGGCTCGCACTGCGAATACATTCGGATCATCTGCCAGGTGGCAGCCGTGATGACGATCTGACCAAACACTCGATTTGGGTAGCAGACCGACGTCGAGTGGAAGCCTGCTGTGCCCGTCGTCGCCGATGGGAATGTATAAAATGACTTCATTCGCGACTGCTGCTGCTGCTCCTGTTGCTGTCTACTTAAAGACAGCCTTACAGGGAACGACTGGATATTAAACAGTTCGTCATACGCACTGATGATGCTGTAGATAGAGCATACTCCTTCTCCACCTTGAAAGAATAGCCAACTATATACATATATATATAGAGTGTGGATGTGTAAGTGAGTGATTGATCGATTGATTGATTGATTGGGACAACATACCTGTTGGTCTCACCGCCAATTGATCCGAGGAACACCTCGCCACATCCAATGAATATGTTGAAGAGGTGCTCTGTGTTGGCCGTTTGGATGCTTTGGTTGGATGGTTGTGAGCCAGCAGCATTCGATCCATTGGACTGCTGATGTTGTTGCGAATTGAATGAGGGACTACTTGATAAATGATGATGACCAGAGGGGCTGAACGCCCCGGTGTGTCCATGATGTCCACCGCCACTGTGAGGTTGATTATAATGACTATGATGATGATGTGACGATGGTACATTGAGCGTGTTACTGGAGGAGCCGCCGCCCGCCATGTTGCCGCCGCCACTAAATACATTGTGGTAGGCTGAAGCTGTCGTTGGCGTCAGGGACGGCGATGCATGGTTGGTTGGTATACTCAGCAAAAGGTCGGTCGAGTGTGGATGCTGCTGATGATGTTGGCTGTGGTTATTATGCTGCTGCTGCTGATGATGGTGATGCGCGAGCGACGAGCCCACACTGCTGACCACGCTGCTGTTGTGGTTGCCGCCGCCCACTGTCGTTGCGTTCGATGAGAGTGAGTGGTTCTTAAAGTTGGACGAGTTGTAGTTGTAGTTGAAGCTGTTGGATGACGTGCCCATGTTGCTGGACCACGTGTGATGAGCCGACGTGTTGATACTTCCAGAGTTGACTTGAGAAGTTGATGACGATTGTGTTCCTGTGGCAATGCCATAGTTGATACTGTTTATATTACTATTGTTGTTGTTGTTGTTGTTATTGCTGCTGTGATGATGATGGTGACCATGATGACCATTACTTAATATACTGCTGTTGTTACTGTTGCCACTACTGCTGCTGCTGCTACTGCTGTTGGGGATGGGAATGCCCGGGGTTTTGGGCGTCGTGGGACCACCGTGCTCCTCGCCGCGCAGACTTGAGATGCGCCGCAGTAAGTGGGCGCGCAGCTTCTGCGCACACTTGGCCGCACGTCGCACCAGTGTGGACATCTCCTCGCTCGTGGTCTCGTGCCACACGGCAATGATCTCCTCGCCATTCAACACCTGCAGGATGTCACCGCCCTCCTCCAGGATGATCTGGAACACCAGCTCGATGATGGCCAGGTAACTCGAGTGATGGCCACGGTGTGTTGACTCGCCACTGTTCAAGAGGCTGTACAGTTTAATGACGATGACCGGTGCGACAATGGCTGAGACGTCGGCCACGGTCGTATCGAGCGGCGTCTGATTTCGTTTGTATCTCGATACTATAGACGATGGTATATGCGACGACAGATGGGCCACCCTACTAGGTGTGGCGACGACGCTTCCGCCGCCAGCCTCCCCATCCGTCGCGCCACCGCCAACGAATGTATTCATCATTGTATGTATGTGTATGTGTATGTATGTATATGTGTCTGTGTCTTTGGGTTGTGTTGTTCTCTGACTGTGACTGATCTCAGTCAGTCTGTTGGTGAACTGTCCTGTCCGTTCGAACTAACTATCTATCTATCTATCTGTCCTCTGTCTAATGTTACTATGCTATGTCGCTCCACTGTTCCTGTGTTGTTAGAGTGATATGTATGTATATATGTATGTATGTATTTATGAAAGGTTCTTTCAAACTATGACTCCTTTTTGGTTGTATGTATGTATTATATTGATCGAATTCACTGATCGATATTGTTGTTGTTCATATTGCCTGTCGCTGTACCCTGTGTGTGTGTGTCACCTGTTCCTTGTTGTTATTTGTTGTTTGTTGTTGTTGTCTGACTCGATGACTCGGAGTTTGATTGATTGATTGATTAATTGAGTTGGGCGATGTGTGCCTGTATCAATCCAATCCACAACAACAATGCAATTCTTTCAATGTAATGTATGAATATGAATATGTCGTTGAGTTAATATGTATATGTAATTGGGTAAGTGTAGCAGGTGGTAATAGCTATTTGTTGTTGAGTATGAGTTTATGTGTGTGAGAGAGCAGAAAGAGAAGGTCACTGACTATTGTTGGTTGGGATGAGATGATGTTGATTGATGATGTGTGTTGTGTTTGTTTGTTAGTTTGTTTGTGTGTTTGAGAGTGTGTGAAGGGTGTGAATGTGTTTGCCTACCTTTTCTGGAGGATTCACCCCTAATCTAAAGATTGTCTGAGGTTACCAATTTTTGATTGGTGATCAATCAAACAATCAGTCCGTCTCTCCGTCTCAGTCCAAACATTAACAAACAATCTATCACATCACACCACATCAACTATCTCATAAAGTTTATTTATTTATTTATGTAAATTTGATATCAATAATATCTTTTCGAGCGATGAGGAAAGCGAGTAGGAGGACGACAATAATAGACTGATTGATAGATTGACATTGATGAGAGGACATCCAATCATTGTATGTGTGTGATTGGATGGAGAGCTCGCACCATCAAAGATGCGGGGACCTGTTGGTCCTCCATTGTGCCCCTTCCCCAAGATACAAACATGAAAATTTGCAATCAAGGCCTCCGCCCATTACTGAAACAATCAATTTCTTTGCGTAACCAATCATCAACATACAGGGAAAGCTACCACGAGTCAGTCCCTGGACCATTTAACCTATCGCCAGTCATCGGTGGCGTGAGACCCTGAGACGTGGTCTCTCCCATCGTCGACGAATTGGACCCAACTATGTTTTCGTATTCATCAAGTTCTTACCTATCTTAAATGAATTGAACACACAACTTGGCCTCTCCCTCATTCATTAGCCCACTCCCACCAACTGTCTCAACAACAATGATGAGCTATTGCAGACATGTCTTTGTTTAAATACAGGGATAACAACAATGGCCCTCTAAACAGTTGTCCAAAAAAACCTTGGGCACCAATCATTGAAACACAATGATTATTTGATTGTCTTTTGGATCACTTGAATTCTCAATGTCAAGTAGATTGATAGACAAACGTAGCCCCCCCTAAACAACAGTAACATCATCATCATCAACATCATCAACATAACCACAACCAAGAGATAGATAGAGAGAATGATGTCTGTCTACCAATAACAATAATAATGATCATTAATAGTATCATTCCAAGCCAAATCGGCAAGCAATCGAGATGACGAACGGCCCGTTTTCCCAAAGTGCCCATTAGATCTCTGTTTTGGGTTGTGTGGATCAGACAAAAAAAAACAATGTTGATAATAAATCAGCCCATAGCCATGGCGATGTACTGCATCGTGACTTTGTCATTCAGGTCATCACACCATGATCACTGACTGTTTAATCGTTGTAGTGAACACATTCCATTCCACACACACACACACAAACAATCATAATCATAATCAATCACAAACACACACACACACATACACACAGACACAGACACATCACAATCACAAACACTTAGACATCGGACTCACTGAATAAAGGCTGCAAGTCTACGACACCTCGGAAAGACTTTGCTCCTTCTTTCTTTCCTTTGACTGATCAGTCACATCCCCCTTTTTTTGTAGCTGTTCACCATCCGTTCCAATTCTTGGCCCATTGACATTGTCATTCATACAGCGCCAACTTAAAGCCTACATACATATACTTTATTTATTTATTTAAAACACAACCTTYCCGCATAAGGTCCTCCTCTTCCTATCCACTTCCCTAACATTACCACCTGTATAAAGTACTCCTCCCACCTTCCCCTCCATCCATCCCCTTCCATCCCCTACCCTTATCTTCTCCATCTTCTTATTTATTTATTCAAACCCTCAATCAGACAATCAATCAATCAATCATAATCAAACAAAGATGTCTTGGCTATCACCAAAAGGAATCACTCAGAGGAAACCACAGCACTCATCACAACTGCTTTCCAAACAACTGCCTAATGACGAAAAGTCTAGGTCCTTCGAATCACTGCCTATAGTCAACATTGGCCAGTCTAAAGATGTTGGGTCGCAATATTCACCATCGACAACATCCACTACATCGACATCAACAACAATGTCCGCAGCAAATATGTCAACTTCCACACCATCACTCCCAACAGTTTCTCCATGGACCACCTCTACGATCACATCCACAACATCGACGACAGCCGCTCCCACACCATCACCCTGGACATCACTCAACCCGTCATCACCATCACCCCCAGCACCCCCTTCGACATTTGACCAAACATCATCGCCAATACCAATTGACAATGGTGGCAGCGGCAACAGCAACAGCATAAGAAAAGGCAGCGCCAGTGGCTCATCGCCATCGACACCTCAGCGACCAAACTACCCTCCACCTCCAGTGCCTCCCCGTCTCAAGTCGGGCATCTTATCGCCCTCGCCATCGACCTCACCTTCGACTCCCTTGGGCGGCAGCCCATCACCAATGCGCAAGGCACCATCATCTCCCCTGCCGCCACTGCCACGCTCAATGATGAGCAATGGACATGTCGCCCACCCCGGCAGTGGAAGTGGCAATGGCAATGGCGCGACCATCCACGGCAGCCCATCACCACCATCACAGCTGGTGTTCACCAGAGGACAGATGTCCTCGCCAAGTCTACTCCAACACGGCCGCGCTAGCGGTAGTCCTTTGGGCTCGGCTCGCATGGGCATGCCCAAGGTGCCCGGCGGCAAGAACAGCAGGAAGCGTGGAGTCACCGTGGCCGCGTCCGACGACTCAGAGTCGCGTAGATTCATTATGATGGGACCTGTCCAACCGATACGTCCCCGTAGCAAGTCAGTCGAGTTGCTTGCATCGTGGGACTATGTTGCATGGGAGCGCCGCGACTCCATCGACGAATACGTCAAGGAGCAGGCATCCCCCTACGACGAGATGAACATGGCGGACGAGCTGCCAATGCGCGGCCCTAGGATAAACGGCTCACTGTCACTTAGTCGCGGCAGTAGTATCTCGCAGCGTTTCACCGCAGGCGGCGATCTAGCCAACGGCAACAGCACAGCCATAGGTAATGGCCAGGACGGCGCAGCCGACAACACCTCGCCATCATCCTCGCCACGATCCACAACCAACCAGCAGCATCAATCATTGTCACCAGTCATTGTTCTGACCAACGAGCGATCCAACTCAATGGGCAGCATTGGTAGCAACAGATCAAACTCTGTTGTTGGAGGTCTTGGCACATCCAGCAACAGTCTAACATTCGAGAACAACGAGGAACACAAGCCATCAGTGGTCTCTGGCCGCAAGGAGCATCTTCTGGATTACCTTTGTAATAAGAACAAGCTAGGTAGGTTGGAGTTGGATGATTCAAATGATTGATTGATTGATTCGTTGGACTAACATGACCATCCATCCATCCATCCAACAACAGACTTGCCATATGTATATAGTTTCCTCACGACTTTTAGTTACTTCATGACGCCAGAGGAGTTGTTCGACTTCCTCGTTAGGAGGTATGAGAACAACCATGATGGTTCACTAAAGCTATCCACTGGTGATGACAGCAACGATAGTATTAGACAAAAGTATGTACTAACTGGAATGATTCCAGCCTCGGCCTCAGCCCCCCGATCAACCCCACCTCACACACTCATACTAATACTCTAATCAATATAGTGTAATCATTGTATTATTAGTTTGGATCGATTCCAACTATGCAGACTTCCAAGATAATGAGATACTGCATCAGAGATTGTTGACTTTTTGTCAACAGCAGCAACAGAACTCACGCGCGTTGATGGAGGCCGTCGACAAACAGGTCGTCATGCGCTCGAATATAGACAGTCTGTTCGAGCTGATGCGCGCCGATCTACAACACTCACCACGTAGCATTAGTAGTGCCACGAGCAGCAAGTCACAATCACAGACGTACGCAGCACACCAGCTACAGGACTGGCTGGTGCAACACTTGTCGGTGGGACGCGCGGCAGCCGACATTGTGATCAAGAACATGATCATCGCCAAGAAGGTGACGCCGGGCAGCAGTGGCTCGTCGACTGGCAAGGCAGCGAGTGGCAGTGATGCCAGTCGCAACAAGATCCAGCGCGACGACGTCTTTTCCATCCCGCCGGTGCCAATCTCCAAGGAGTCGTACTCCAAGACGTTCTTGGACCACCACCCGCACGACCTGGCCAAGCAGCTCACGATCATTGAGTTTGGCATGTTCCAGCGCATCAAGATCCGCGAGCTCTACCACAAGAGCTGGACGGTGGCCAAGACCAAGTTCGAGACCAGTCCCAACGTGATGGAGATGATCAACAACTCGAACCGCGTGGCCAACTGGGTGGCGACAGAGGTCGTCACCACACCACATCCCAAGAAGCGTGTCGAGGTGCTCAAGCGCTTCATCACCACGGCCGAGTACTGCCGCAAGATCAACAACTTCAACACGATGATGGAGATCGTCTCGGGTCTGAGCAACTGCTCGGTGCGCCGTCTCAAGGACACATGGAAGGCTCTGCCACGCGCCTATCAAAACTCATTCAAACAGATGTCCGACTTCTTCTCGACCAACGAGAACTGGAAGCTGTATCGCAGTGCGATCAAGGCGCGCGAGTTCCCCTGTCTTCCCTACCTCGGCCTGTTCCTGCAGGACATCAACTTCCTCGAGGATGGCAATGCCAACAACATGGTCCAAGGTGGCGGTGGCGTCATTGGCGGTGAAACGTCAGTCATTGGCAGCTCACCATTATCATTGTCCGCTGGCATGGACCAGGTGGTCAACTTCAAGAAGATGACACTGTTGTCAGGTATCTTCAAGAACTTGATGTTCTTCCAGAAGCATCCATATCTCAGCTTCACCAGCAACTCCAACGCTCAGAACTTCCTCGACAAGGACATGCTGATCCTTCCCGACAAGGAGCTGTACGCCTTCTCCAAGTTTGTCGAGTCGCCCACCAATCCACTCAACAAGCTTACCAAGTCCAAGCAAGCATCTGTGATGTAGTCATCATCATTCATCCTCCCTTCTCCTCCACCTCTCTGTACATAATAATAATAATAATACCTGTGTCCACATGTGAGGGATATACCATTGTCCCTCCATCTTCATCCCTATCTCTCACTTTGTATGTTGTTGGTTTGTACATGATAACTCTCTGAATGTTGTTCTCCTTTAATATACATTGTTGTGTAGCGTAGTCGTTGCTTCGAAGGAAAATCCTAGCCCTCACTCGCGGGCATCCATACATCCAGATGTGTCAACTACTACTACTACCATAGTTTCACTCTCTTCTTACAAGATGATATAAGAGGTGAGTTTGAGCCTCTTGGTACTACCTGTTCTTCAGTCTCCATTGTTCTTTGTACATTATTGCTGACTGCTATCCTCCTAAGTATTGCACTGCCATTTGTTGTAGTTGTAGTTGTAGTTGTAGACATCTGTTGTTGAGGTTGTAGTTGTAATGGTTGTGGTTGTTGTTGTAGATGTAATGTGTTGACTGTTCCGAAAGGTGTTTGATTGAGTGGCGCCAGTGTTGTGTTGGCGGCAACATTGTTTGACTGTGGCGGATGATTGAGTGGCCCGACCAAAGGTGTTGACGGAACACTTAAAGATGTAGGTGTAAGTGAAGGTGATATACTATGATTAAATACATTGTTATTATTATTATTATTATTGTTGTTGTTGTTGATGTTCAAGTTGGTTGTTGTTGCTGCAGTAGTGGCTGTAGTCGTAGTTGTAGTTGTAGTTGTCAACAAGTTGGCATTGTTGTTGTTAATGTTATTGAGTACGAAGTGATTGTTATTATTATTGTTCAGAGGCATGAAGATTGGTTGATTGTTGTCCCTGTCCCTGTCCCCGACTGGCTGCATAACATGCAGGAATGTCTGGTTCAAAAGTAGAACTGGCGGCGTTGGTGTGTTGCCAATGTTTGGCGTCATTGATAACATTGAGGGTGAGGACAGTGGCGATGGTGACGACAAGTCATGTGACAGATACGGTGGCACCGCATGTTGTTGATGTATAACCGGTCGAATGATCGGTGAGTATGTAGGTGGCATATCCATCTTTGGTATATCTGTATCTATCAATTATCTATTATATTATATATTATCTGTTCAATGACACATTGGCTACTTCTTTGCAAGATAGAATAGTGTCTGTCAGGGAGAGAGGCTGGTGATCCGATTAATGGATCGAATTGGATTGATTGATTGATTGCTTGGGTGGAAGAGGCTTTGTGAGTGTGAAGGGACGCGTGCTTGGTGATTGGTTGAGATTGGACAGATGAGTGTGGGCTGGGGCCGAGAATCTTGATGTTCTAATCTAGGCTCACTTTCAAACTACAAAGATATATTAATTTTTTAATTAATCTAATACTACTTAGAGATATATATATATATATATAGATTGATTGATTGATTGATTGATTGGTTGATAATGTCTTGCAGACTTTGAGTTCACTGTGGTAGATGATTGGCCTTGGATTGATAGTAGTACTGTCACTCTTTTAATGAGAGTGGAGTGAAGTGAAGGTGAAGAGTGAATGAACGAGGATAGAGAGATAGATAGACAAAGAGATAAAACTTGTCGCGTGATGATGGATAGTGAGAGAGAGAGAGTTAATGATTAACAGTGTCTATCACACTTAAAGTTAATTAATTTGAGGAGATAACCGAACTAGTGATGGATGATGAATGGATGATGGATGGATGATGGATGGATGGATGGCTGGATAGCTAGATATGGTGTGACTGATTATATATATTATTAATGTAATAGTGTGTGGGTGAGTGATTGATTGAGTGAGTGTGTGACGATGAGAGTGGAAGTGATAGGGTGATGAGGCGGATGGTCAACTCCAATGATTGTTGGTTGGTTGGTATTAAGGTGTGTGTATGTGTATAGATGATTAAATCGTTCGGGCGTTGTGTTGTGGTTAGGGGTTGGTAGTGATGGTGGTAATGGATGTTGAATGTGTGTGTGTGATTGCACTTATCAGAGTCGACTACTTCTTGAAAGGTCTCTAAAACAACACGACCTTATTTGGTCATATGTCAATATAATGGTGACTTTAAAAGTTAATAAATATATATATAAAAAATATTTATTATATATCGGTTCATTGATTGGATCGATCCGTTTGATTGTTATATTTATTGATATGATTGATTATTCAATAATCAATCCATTCGTTTATTGATGGACTTTCATACCGATGCCTCAACATAGAGGCCTTGAGTGTCAAACTCAATCACCATACTGTCTGATGTAACTGAGTGCTTGGCGAATATGTCCGTGATCATTTTGGTTATTTCAGTGTGATTTCCAGATGCCAGACATAGCACTGTTGGCCCTGATCCACTTAGGAACACTCCAAACATGCCAGGTATATTTGGACCAAGTGATAGGATCTCCTCCAGACCCGGGACCAACTTGGCCCTGTATGGCTGGTGTACACGATCGTTGAACATCAAGCATGAGGTTTGATTTTCTGATGGTGTCGAAGGAGGTGTGTCCTGGAACGAACTACATAGCATGGCCGTCAACATAGACACACGTTGTATATTGAATACAACATCTTGACGTGAGTACTGAGCGGGCAAGACTGTGCGTGCCTCCGAGGTCAGCACCTGGAAGTGAGGGATGACCACGATCGCCCGGAGGAAAGTGCTTGGTGAGATGGGGATGGTGCGACAGGTGGTCTGCGGCTCGGTGCCAACGACAATGTTAAAGTTGCCAAAGACTGCCGCGGAGATGTTGTCGGCCGAAGGCTCATAGCTAACTGCCTTTTGGAATATCTGATTGGATGTCCATCCAAGGCCAGCCAATTGATTTGCGATAAGTATAGAAGTAGCGATGCTTGCTGCGCTGCTACCCATTCCTCTTCCAATCGGTATGCTATTCTCCACTTCGAGTAGTAGTCGCTGTCCAGATGGCAATGTGAAGTGTTCCTTGTTCTCCTGAAGCACTCTATCGAGTATCTGTACTAGGAAGTTCTTGCTTGGCTGGCTTGGTATAGGGGAGTCGGCATTGTATCTTCCTAGGCCTGTGTATACTACCCTATACCTATCAGACCAAGTATTCTTTGCATCATCCTCTTGACTATCTTGTTGTTCATAAGAAACAGTAGTCACAATATACAACTTTAATGCAATAGACAATGTATCGAATCCACATCCAATGTTTGCTGTTGTAGCAGGTACTCTAACTTTGAACAATCTCTTTACTTTTGTCATCCTCCTCTCTTTCTTATGTGCTTTATATGTATGTAGAATGTATATATTACAATGAATAGTGATTGAATGAATTAAGAGTGTGAAGGCCCATCATTGAGCCTCGCTCACACTCAATCCCTCCATCACTTTCATCTAATCACTCAACCCATCTAAACAAGTTGTCACCCTTTCGTCCCATTTTGGTTGGACCTGATGAAGTGATTGATTTAGTGATTGATGTTCACTCAACACATCGATCATTGACAACATGTCTAATTTGTTATACATATAACTTGCCCTTTAACTTACAAGCCCAAGGTCAACGCTCACTCCCATCACAACTACTTCCCCACCCCACCACACTGCCACGATGCCAGCTCACACCTTTAAAGGGTTGTGTTTGTTTGTTTGTTGGAAGTGAATGATGACTGTGATGATTGATTTGGGAGGGGAAACACAACAACAACTTCATTATTTAATTAACAAGTTGTAAAGACACAATCATATAAATATAACAACATAATAGATATTATTATCTCAAACGAACTACATAGAAGATGGGAAACGCACAGTCTGGTGAGACACCAAACACTCTATTCCCTGCAAACAAGGGCAATGCTATTGGTGTACATGATAAGGCGAATAATGGCAATGAATACAATCAGACAGGTTACCATGTGTTGCAGGTACAACCAAACTCTCCAGCATGTGGTCGACTAGTACCCTTCTTTGACTTTATAGTCGCTGCCAACCAGGTCATCTTTGACAAGGAGGACTCACGCTTTGCCGATACCTTCCGAGAGAATGTTGGTAAAGAAGTTCAACTAATCGTGTATAATATCAAGTCTGATACAACTAGAGGTATGCATTAACTGATTGATTGATTGAGTGAGCGAGTAAGTAAGAGCGAGATCACTGACACTCACTCATACACCACAGAACAAGTGATCGTTCCTAGCAACTCATGGGGCGGAAATGGATTGGCTGGTATAAGCATTCGCTTCTGCTCTTGGGTCAAGACATTGGAGACTGTATGGCATATACTCGATGTGTATATGAACTCACCGGCGCATGAGTCGGGTCTGCAGACTCGCACCGACTATATAGTAGGCACTCCCGATCTCATACTCAATGAACAAGAGGACTTCTTCACGTTGATCAACAACAATATGTACAGACCCATTCAACTCTACGTCTACTCGTCGCTGACGGAGCAGGTGAGACTCGTCACCATCACGCCCAACAAGAACTGGGGTGGCTCTGGCAGTCTTGGATGCGACATTGGTTATGGACTACTTCATCGCATACCAACCAAGCAGAGTGTCACCACCCAAATGATATCTCCATCAATGGATCAACTCAAGTCTATGCTTCCCGCTTCTTCTTCTTCCTCTTCATCACAGTCTCCACCATCAAATTTAAACAACAACAACAACAACAACATCAATAATGATAATAATAATAATAATGGACTTACACCAAACAGACCGTCTGGTGGCGGTATGGACGACGGATTAATAGAGACAACAGAGCCAATCAAATTGGATCTTACTCAACTGGACATTCATGGCAATAATGATCCAAGTGCACAACAAACTCAACAACAACATAACATTGATCAGTCCAAGCAACAACAAGTTGCGCCAACCTCATCATCCACATCCTTTCAACATATCTCATTAGAATAGAATAGAGTAGAATACACGATATCTTCGTCATCAACCCTTACCCTTGCCCTTACCCTTGCCCTCACACGCTCATCTTGCTGAACAAACACAAGTGTTGACTTTGACTTTTTTGAGTCACACACTCTCTTTGATGATGATGGGTCGGTCGTGTGATGAGTCAGTTCATTAGACAGTCTCGTGTCAACTTATATTATACATATATTATACATATATATAGGTAGTTGTAGGGAAGATATAAGCGTGTACAGACCAGACACGACTTCATTCGTTCATTCAATCACATAGAGACAAACAACACAACAACCAATGTCTCAACAACAACAACAACAACAACAAGGAGGTTCAGGCACAAAGGCAGAGGACTATAATGATAGCGCATTCCAGTATTGGATATTGTTCTCTCTGTTGATAGTGTTGCTGCCTAGTACATTGTGGGCGAAGCGTCAGCTCTTCCCAAAGAAGCCATGCAAGAAGATCGATTGTAGCTGTCCAGGCTGCGAGCGAAAGATTGGCATGAGGATCAAAGAACAACAGCGCGAGATAAAGTCAGTGTCCAACTACGTGCGCTTCGGTCTGCTCGCACTCCTTTGGCTGGTGTTCTTCATCGTGCTGTTCAAGGTGGCGGGTGGCGGCATCGCCGAGCACGAGCCATACAACCCATACTCGGTGCTCGGTCTGCAGACGGGCGCTACCGAGGAGGAGATCAAGAAGACGTACAGGAAGCTCAGTTTGCTGCATCATCCGGACAAGGCCGTGAACAAGGCTGAGTCTGAGGAGAAGTTCATTGCCATCGCCAAGGCGTACACAGCGCTCACCGACCCTGCCATCCGCGAGAAGTGGGAGATGTACGGCAATCCAGACGGCCCACAGCCAATCTCGGTCGGCATTGCACTTCCCTCGTGGTTGGTCGACAAGAACAACTCATCGATCGTGCTGGCTATCTATCTTATCGCCTTGGTCGTGCTGGTACCCTCAGGAGTGTACTTCTGGCGCAAGAGTGCCAAGAAACTCTCGTCAGGTGTTGTCTCAGAGAACTCAATGGGACTGTACTATCACGTGATCAGCGACAAGACATTGTTAAAGTCTTTAATCGAGATCATTGGCGCGTCAGCAGAGTTCAAGGAATCGCTTCCAGAGAGGACCACGGACGAGGAGGCACTCAAGGCGCTGCACAAGTACCTGCCTACCGAGCACAAGATCAAGAAGTTCCGCTTCAACCAACCATACATTGTCAAGGCCACCACACTGCTCTACGTTCACATCTCGCGCGCTCATCAACATCTGCCCGAGAACCTGGCACAAGACCTCCAGGAGGTCCTGGGAAAGGTGCGCATGCTGGTCAACGGTGCCTTCCAATTAGTCAAGGAGAGAAGAATGATGGTGCCCATCATCGAGCTCACCAGGCTCATTCAATGCATCACTCAGAGCGCATGGGAGGAGCAAACCCTCAAGCAAGTGCCCTATCTCGACTCCTTTGCCATCAACTCACTCCATTTCCGCAAGGTTCACGACATTGCCAAGTTCAAGAGATTGGAGTATGTATTGGATCATTGATCGCGAGCCGGCTCGCTCACTTACTTACGCTCACTCGCACAAACATAGACCAGAGACACGTAAGGAGTACTTGCAGGATTCGTACACAGCAGCTCAGTTGCAGGACATTGAGAATGTGTTGGAGAAGATACCAACAGAGGTGGGCATCAAGTATCAGGTGATCACAGAGAAGGACGGTATCATCTATACAACATCCGTCTGCACATTGGAGGTGGAGTTCATTGACAAGACACCAAAGAAGAAGACTAAGCAACAGCAGGCGGCCGACGAGTCGTCAGCTAGTGCTGGTGCCAAGTCCCCCTCGACAGAGGAGACAGCAGAGGATGGCAAGGGCCAGGATGCGTCACAGGAGAACACCTCCACCTCGCCCGTGGTAGCAGGTGGACAGAAGAAGCAGAAGGGTATCTCGAGAAAGAAGGGACAGGCCGCCAAGGAGCGCGAGGAAAAGAAGCTGATGAAGGAGAAGAAGGAGCGCGAGGAGCAGGAGAAGAAGGAGCGTCGCGAGCAGAGGGCCATCGAGAGGGAGCGTCGACAGCTGGAGCGCGATGCCAGACGTCAGGCACAGAAGAACGGCGAAGTCATCGACGACGAGGACGACGGACTGTCGGACGACGACGAGGATCTGCGCGACACCGATTCGGAGCACGAGCTCTCGGACAGCGACTCGGACTGGGAGCCACCCGCCAAGCCAAAGAAGCCCAAGGCCAACGACAACTACTATCACAGCCCATTCGTCAATGACGATCGCAACATGTGCTGGTGGATCATCTTTGGCGACCGCATCAAGAACGAGCTGGTGGCCATTGGCAAGTCAGAGTCGAGCGAGCCTGGCAACACTATCAAGATACAGTTCCTGACGCCTCGCGAGCCAGGCCAGTACTCCTACTCGCTGCACCTCATGTGCGATGGCTACATTGGCTGCGACTCACAATACACTCTCAACCTCGACATCAAGCAGAATCCCAATCCAATCGAGTTGCCACCAGGTCCTGGTCGTGCGCCCCAGCAGCCTCTCACCAAGAAGGAGTTGAAGGAGCAGAAGAAACAAAAGAAGCTACAATAAATACATCCACATACCTAACAAACAACAATAACAATGATACATCATGATGTGGAACATGTCCAACAATGTTTGCTACGCACATGCGATGATTGATGGACTTGTCTTGGCAAGTGAGGTTGTGGGTCTTGGGTAGGTGGGCAGGGTAGGACCATCGGACCTGACATCGCGATCTATCCATCCTTAAGTCGCGCGCATGTTTGTGTTGGACTGATCACAAGTATGTTCATTCATTCAGACATAATCCAATGTAACCTTTAGGAACTGACGGATGTTGATGATGAATGATTGAGTCAACATACATAGTATGAACATCCACTTTTAGAACGACATGGACAACAACCTCATCACAATCTCCAACTATGGACTATGTTGAGCCAGGTGTTTGGATCGATCAAAGTATTCTTAGGACTATCCACTCGAGTAGGTGAGTTTGATCAAACATGTTGATCGACTTTCGAGAGACGTGCTTGGTAAGGTTAGGTCAATGTTTGGTATGGTCGACACACAGCGAGGGTTCGTTTGCTGTTGTGCCCTGGGCAAGCCAATGGCATCAAGGCACATCAGACCAGAAGGCTGCAAGTATTGATAAGTCGCTTTTCTAGATTTATAACTTAAAGTAGGTAAGTGCTCTTGCCTCTCGTGGGGACGGGACCCAAACAGGCAGGGAGTGTATGCATGCAATCGCCATCGGCATCCATCGATAAGTATATATTCGCGTGTCCAAGGGTATATCTGATATTTGATGTCACTCGTTCCATGAATCAATCCATCGCTCCACGCCACTCCATTTCTACAACATCCATTCACTTCTCAATAGATTCAAACAAGGCAACAAGGAACAAACCGTTGGAGTTTTGAAGACTCTATCTTATTCCACGATGGTGGCACATCAGTTCTGTTTGTCGTTATGTAGTTGATGATGACGATGTACATGTGTGCTGAATCTTTTTATTCAAACTTGGGGGTGTGATGTGGGTCCACAAGGACATTGTCTGGGGGATCAAGACCATCTTGGACCACGCGGTTTGTCAATGCCAATAATAGTGTGTTGTTTGGGTTCATGCGCGTGAGTGTATGAATGAGTGAGTGAATCAATGTAGAGACAGACCATTTTTCAAAATTGGTGATGGTTTGGTCGAGGTGAGATACACTCGCTGTGCCAGTTTGCCCCGTGTTTGGCACACATATGCGTATGTGATTATTCTGTATCACCCTTCGATCAGGCTTGCACCTCGATAAAAATCTCCTCGGCCTCGATTAACATCAATTTACCAAAAAAATACCTAAAGGTTGTATGGTGATGTGTATGAGTGTGATGTACTTATCAATGGAAGAAAGTGAGTATGAATGCGGAGCAGTGCCAAGCTGGGCTTCCACCACAACCTTTAAATGATGTCCACTTGCGCAACCACTTGGTAATCAAACACTGTATAATTACTACTACTACATCTTATAAGATAGATATATATAACAATACACAGAGTACTGTAACAATACTCAATATCAACATTCTGTGTGTCTTATAATCATTATCTATTTCATTTCTTATATCTTGATCTAAATCAATCTCGTACTTGCGCGCGCACAAACACACCTAAAAAGGTATGAATCTCATCTCAACTCAACTCAACCCAATTCAACCCCCACCCACCCCTCCCTCAAGTCAACTGCCACCAACCCCCCCTTAAACACACTCGCGCGCCAGACGGCGTCGTGTCGACGACCGCGGCTGTACTTGGCTTTGGCGACAACAAGGACATCAACGTCATTGATCCAACTCAATCAACTCCATCATCCATTCATTCACTCATTCACTCATTCATTCTCACTCACTACACTTCGCATGCATGCACACTCCAACAACAACAAAAACAAACTATTTTTTTAATATATATTAATATCCTAATCCAATTCCAATCCAATCTGCGACTGACCTTGCGCCTTTGTCGTTTGTTGATTTGATATCTCATTCTTTAGGTCGATCCATAACGCGTCATATTGCTGCCTGCTTGCCTGCCCAACCCCCTTTGCGCAAACACCCCCACGCAGCACTCTCATTCATTGTAATTCTAATCCCCAACCCACCGATCTTATAATATCTCTACAACAACAAATACTATTACGACTATCTCTATCACTATAACAATGAGAACACAAACATTGTTGGTATTGGCCACATGCTTGTTGGCCGCCAGCTGTGTGGTGCTTGCCACTCAGCCACAGCTCCAGACATACCCATTGACAGTCAGCTCGATCTCTGGTCTGTTCACAGGTGTCTACCAGAACCAAACTCGTGCCTTCCTCGGAGTGCCCTACGCCCAGGCACCCGTCGGCAACCTGCGTTTCCGTCCACCCCAGCCCATTTGGTACAACTGGGGCATGACCTACGCCACCCAGAACCCGCCCTCATGCTACCAGTCTGGCCTCCCCGCCACCTACAACATGAGCGAGGACTGCCTCTACATGAACATCTTCACCCCCAAGTACGTGTCCCAGGACGACGACCAGTTCTTCTCGCGTCTCCCCGTCATGGTGTTCATCCACGGTGGTCGCTACTGGACCGGTGCCGCCACCGACTTTGACGGCAGCTTGATCGCCCCAGTCGGCGACGTCATCTCCGTCGTCATCCAGTACCGTCTCAACATCTTTGGTTTCCAGTCATTCGACTCTAACACCAACCTCGGTCTCCAGGATCAGCAAGCTGCCCTCAGCTGGATCCAGAAGAACATCCGCGCCTTTGGTGGAGACCCCAACCGCGTCACCATCTACGGAGAGTCTGCTGGAGGTTCATCTGTGCTCCACCACTTGACCATCCCCCAGTCCTACCACTTGTACGACCGTGCCATCATCCAGTCCTCATGGCAATGGTACATCCCCACCGCCACCACCTCCCGTGACAAGACTGTTGCCTACGCCGCCACCAAGGGTTGCAACATCACCAACTCCAACGGAACCCCCAACGTCAACGGCGTCCTCGAGTGCATGCGTGCCCTCCCCGCCCGCAACATCACCCCATCTGCTGCCCAGTCTGACTTCTTCGTCCCAATGGTCGACGGCCGTCTCATCGACACCCTCCCATTGACTGCCCTCAAGAACGGTCAGTACAACAAGCACGCCGAGGTCATCATCGGACACAACTACGACGAGGGTAACTTCATGGCCTACTCGCGTCTTGGCTTCGTCGGACCAACTGCCAACGTCACCGAGACCAAGTTGAACGACACCATCGCCAAGTACCTCAAGGTGTACTTTGCCCAATCCGACGTCGACAACATCCTCAGCTGGTACGTCCCATCCGTTGCCTCCAGCAACTGGTACGGCGGCGCTGAGTTCTTTGGCGACTACTACATCACCTGTGGCTCCATCCTCGCCACCGAGTACTTCAACCGCGACAACATCAACTTCAACTCATACATCTTCAACTACTCCTCGCCAAACTACCCCGCCTCGCAGCCATACTTGGCCGCCTCCCACGGTAACGAGTTGCCATACATCTTCTTCCGCGACGTCTACACCCCATACCCATTCTCCACCGGCGACTACTTCATGGCCTCCAGAATGAACCGCGCCTGGACTGACTTTGCCGCCAACGGAAGCCCAGTGTCTTACCTCTCCCAGTGGCCATCCACCTACCCCAACGCCATGTACTACGGCCCAGACCCCACCGATCTCGACGCCCAGGTCCCATACCTCAAGACCATCTGTGAGAACTGGAGACCATACTTCCTTGCCTACTAAATCCCCTAGTCGTCAGGAGCAGGTACACGCATCACGCAAATACCATACACACGCCTCCGATTGTCGCCGAGGCCTACTTCTTCAAGTTGTCTGCCGCTGAGGGCTAGCCCTTCGCCCACAAGCCCCTCTCCACACTCAACTTACCAATTACCCTCGGTGTCTTAGGCATCGATCAATAAACATTCAATCAACCCAACCTGACCCAACCCAATCATTCAAACAATCAACTCCTCAACAACAACTACATCAGCATCACCGACCACAACACCTTACCAACATTTCGCCCGATGACTATTCCCTAACTGTAAGCCAGGCCCAAGTAATAATAAATGATCATCAACATCCATTCTTTAGTCTATTCCATAATACTATGTGCTGCCATTCAACATCAATGCTAGTCCACTTCTCCCTTAATGATCCAAAAACGAATGAGCCCTGGGCTTCATGATCACATGATTGACCACACTCCTCTTTTGTAAAGTGAGCTAATAATGATGTATTAATCAATCAGTCAGTCGTCAGTCGTCAGTCAGTCAGATGGATGTGAGTGGCACCTGGTGGTCGGTCACTACCTGCCTTTCTCTCTTAGGGAGTGAATGCCAATCAAAGATCAATGTTGATCTCACTCGCTCACTCATTCAATCACAATCAAGTTTACACATTCATCATTGATTGAATGATTGATCGAAGATGTGGAAGATACTTAATCAATTGCAAACGAGGGCATCATCATCATCACTATTGTTGACACCAAGTGTTGCACCACCTCCTCACACATCCTCATTCATCACCAAGCAACAACAACAACAACCTATATTGGTTGCCAGCCAATCACAAACTCATGACAACAACAACAAGTCGTGTGTGACAAGTTTGTCATCCAAACGGACTTTGGTCAAAGTCCCTGCACTCTCGGCCATCCTACAGACGCCACATCTTATACAGCAACAACAATCAAAGATTGCATCGGCCACAGCCACAGCTACAGCCACAGCCACAGCCACGACCACAAGCATCCAAGTCTTGAACAACAATACAAACAACAGACAACATTACTCGACAGCATCATCAACGTCATCATCTTCACCAACAACAACATCGACATCAACTTCATCGTCCACAACAGGCGATATCAACTCACCTGGTGAGCATGGATATAGTCGATTCAAGGATGAATTCGACATGGTCAACACGATTGGAAGAGGCGGGTTTGGCGTGGTGTATCGATGCATCAATCATTTTGACCAGGTCGAGTATGCTGTCAAGAGGCTGGCGGTACATAGTGGCGACCCTGCCATCGCTCTCAAAGAAGCACGTACCATGGCCAAGTTGAACCATCCAAACATAGTACGTTACTACTCAACATGGATGGAGCCAGCACACCTACATCCCACCGATGATACTACAACTGGCATCAATGATGAGGATGATATTGGCGAATGGTCAATCGATGACTTGGACGAGTTGGATGAAGACGAGTTGGACGAAGATGACCCTGAGGACGAGTGCATGTCGAAGACCCCGCCCATTGGCTACCTGTTCATTCAGATGGAGCTGTGCGGCAAGGGTACATTGAGATCATGGATGAAGCAACAGCAACAACAATCACAATTGGGATCGAATCAGGGTGAATGTAAAGAGATAATCAAACAGATAATCAATGGACTGCAATATATACATCGACAAGGCTTTGTACACAGGGACATCACACCGGACAATATCTTCCTGTTCCACACGCCCTCCTCATTGCTGGCCAAGATTGGCGATTTCGGTCTGGCCGAATCATTGGATCATCTAAAATCTACAATGATGTTTGATCAACATCTACAACATCATCGTGGCGCACCTATCAATAATAAGGCACCAGTTGGAACATATTTGTACACCAGTCCCGAACAAGAATCAGGCCAATCATACAATCAGATGACCGATATATTCAGTGTTGGCGTTATATATTATGAATTGTTGGCGTGTTTCAAGACGGAGATGGAGCGAGTAATGTCATTATCAGCACTCAAACGTAATCATACACTTCCATCCAGTTTCAAATTCCAGTATCCCAAAGAATCAACATTCATTGAGCGTATATTACAACCCTACACACTTAGACCATCTTCCAGTCAATTGATCAATGATCAATTCCTGCTCCAACCCCAAGTCTTTGGTCCAACAACCAATGCTAGTCTGATGTAAATAAATAATATTATAATTATCAAACTCCAACTTCTTGATTGATTGATTGATTGGATGATTGATTGGAATAGATCCAGTTCAGTACATAGTGAGGATGGGACTATTCCAATCAATCCTTCAAACAATTAGTAATGACTACATCATGATGATCATAATTAGTCATTAAACAATTAAGTTGATCACTAATTGGAAGTTCAATGAATTTAATTTTGGAATTTTTTTAATTTAAATTGAATGGAACACACATTTTTGATGAAGTTGTGATGAGTTGAACATCACTCACTTAATTTCACTTCATCACAATTCTCATTCATCTCCATCATCAACATCACTTAAGTGTACATAATTTACAACATTTATATATATTACATATTACATATTACATATTACATTTACATATATTATATTATAAAATAGAACAGTAGAGTATATTAGATTAGAATGCCTACTGAGAAAGAACAAGCAGCATCAAAGGACGCTCAACAGCAGAAACCAGCTGAGAAGAAGGTGCCCAACAAGAAGAAGGATGAGAAGAAGGATGATGACTTGGTATGTTATTAATTAATAATCATTCATTGATTGATTGATTGATTCTAATATATATTTTTATTTGTTTATTATTATTTAGTCACCAGAGGATGAGAAGTTAAAGGCCGACTTGGAGTTATTGGTCGAGCGTACAAAGGATAGCAATGCAGAGATTGTATTGGCATCGCTCGAGTCTCTAAAGGGTGAGATCAAGTCTTCAACCAGCTCAATGACATCAGTGCCCAAGCCACTCAAGTTCCTCAGAGCTCACTACAATACAATGGTTGAGACATACAAGACAATGAATGAAGGCAAGCCAAAGGTATGTTTATTGGTTGTGTCTACGCGAACAATATATGATGATGTCACTAACTCAATCAATCAATCGAACTACTCAATCTAGAAATCATTGGCAGATATACTCTCAGTGTTGGCAATGGCGAATGGTAATGAGGAGATAAGGGATACGTTGAAATACAAGTTGCTGGGATCTGGCGAACAGATATCTTCATGGGGTCACGAGTACGTCCGTCATTTGGCCATGGAGATTGGTGTCGACTATGACATCCGCAAGGTCGAGAACCAGTCTGTCGACGACCTGCTGGCACTGGTCGACGAGATCGTCCCCTTCCAGATGGCACATAACGCCGAGCCAGAGGCCTGTGACCTGCTGCTCGAGGTTGAGCAGCTGCCCAAGCTCTTCAACTTTATCGACGAGAACAACTATCCCCGTGTCTGTCTTTATCTCACCAGCGCCGCATACTACGTGCCAGGCCCCGATGACATCAACATCCTCAAGGTCGTCGTCGAGATATACATCAAGGTCAAGCAATACCCAGACGCTCTCCGTGTTGCCCTGAGGATTGGTGAGCCAGCTCTCGTCTCCAACATATTCAGACTCGCTGAGAAGTAAGTTTAACTTACCCTTGCGTCATGTGACCAGTCAGTCCACAGTCATGCTAACAAACTCACTCATATAGGAACACGACCATTCTTCAACAGTTGGCATACATTGCCGCCAGACATAAGATTGTTCCAACCGATGTTGACATCTCTTCGGTCGAGGAGATCATTAACAACACTCATCTTAGCGAATACTTTTTGAACCTTGCCAATGACCTCGACGTCCGTGAGCCCAAGCTTCCAGAGGACATCTTCCAATCGCACCTGGAGAACTCCACCGGTGTCGCCCCCGAGTCGGCCAGAATCAACCTTGCCTCCTCCTTTGTAAATGCCTTTGTCAACTGTGCCTTCACCAAGGATAAGTTGATGACTGAAGATGGTATGTTGTTCAGCATATTACTTTGATTGATTGAACATGACTAACATCAACAACAGAGAAATGGTGGTACAAGAACAGAGATCTCGGTATTATGAGTACAGTCGCATCGCTAGGAATGGTTCATTTGTGGGACATTGACAATGGCCTCAACAAGATTGATAAGTACCTTACGTCCACCGATGAGAATGCAAAGAGTGGAGCTATATTGGCAATTGGAATCCTTTCATCGGGCATTCGCAGTGAGGTCGACCCAGTTATTGCGCTGAATGTCGAGCATCTCTCCCATCCATCCGTCACAGTCAGGACGGCCGCCGTGCTGTCGCTGGGCTTTGCCTACGCTGGCACTAGACGCGAGGACCTCCAGTCCTACATCTTGCCAATCGTCGAAGACAACTCTGTTGGAATGGAGCTGGTTGGAATTGCTGCACTTGCTCTTGGTCTGATCTACGTGGGCAGCTGTGACGACTCGTTGTCCACCCTGTTTGTCCAGACACTGTTGACTCGCGACAAGACCTCCCTCACAAGCTCCTACTGCCGTTTCCTGCATCTGGCCCTTGGTCTCCTATATCTGGGCAAGCAAGAGGAGGCTGAGCTCACACTCGAGACACTCAAGGCCATCGAGGGTGCCCCAGGTGAATACGCTCGTCTCACATTGGAGAGCTGTGCTTTCGCCGGCACTGGAAACGTGCTCAAGGTACAAAACATGCTCCACCTCTGCTGCGACGGTAAGGAGAACCCCAACCATTCGTTGGCCGTCCTCTGTATCTCGCTGATAGCCATGGGTGAGGAGATTGGCTCAGAGATGTGTCTCCGTTCCTTTGACCATCTGCTCCAGAAGGGCAACATCAACATTCGCCGTGCCATCCCAATGGCCCTCGGTCTGTTGTCTGCCTCCAACCCACGTATTGCCGTCATGGATATCCTGTCCAAGTTGTCCCACGACCAGGACCCCGAGGTTGCCCAGGGTGCCATCATTTCTCTCGGTCTCATTGGAGCCGGTACCAACAACGCCCGTATTGGAGGCCTTTTGAAGGCATTGGCTGTGTTCTATGCCAAGGAGACTCATCTCTTCTTTGTCCGCATGGCACAAGGTCTCCTCCATCTTGGCAAGGGTACTCTGACCCTCAACCCATATCACAGTGATCGTAACTTGATGTCACCAGTTGCTGTCAGTGGTCTATTGGTCCTTCTTCATGCTGGTTTGGATATTAAGAACTGTAAGTCAACTCCCAATCAATCAATTAACCTTAACTAACATGAACATCATTTCTAATCAGTGTTGTTTACAAAGGCTCACTATTTATTCTACTCTATTGTCCTGGCGATTCACCCAAGAATGCTGATGACATTGGATGAGAAGCTCAACCCACTGCCAGTGTCTGTGCGTGTTGGACAGAGTGTAGATACAGTTGGTCTGGCAGGCAAGCCCAAGACCATCACCGGTTTCCAGACACATACCACACCTGTACTAATAGGATATAGCGAGAGAGCAGAGTTGGCCACTGACGACTACATTCCATTGTCATCAGTCTTGGAAGGTATCGTTATTTTGAAGCCCAACCCTAATGCCACCCAAGAACCAGCTTCAAAGTCTAAGAAGTGATTGATTTAGCGATTGAACGAATGAATGAATGATTGAGCGAGTAAAGTAGCAACACAGCAACAGCAAGAATAAGCAACAGTATCATCGACATCGAACATTGCGCCTAGAGATGAGTTTAGACAACAACTTCATCTGAATGATCACACAAACAAATATATATTATAATAAATAATCTCTACCATCCATGTCTATGAACCAACTTCAACTTGTTACAGCAGAAGAAGATTCCTTCATTGGTTTCTAATTTGGCTATGGTACAGGCAATTGTAGATATTCTCCAATAACTGAGTCTGCTTGTCCAACTGCTGCAGCGTCTTGTCAACCTTGTCGTTCAGCTTCTGTACCTCTATGTCCAGCTTGGTGTTCAGTTTCTGTATCTCTGTCTCCACCTTCTCGTCCAGACCAGCCACCGCCTGGCCAATGTCGCAGGTCATCACCATCTGGTTCTTTGCCCACTTGATATTCTCCTTGTTCTGATCCGTCAGATTGGAGACTATCTTTGTCAGATTGTCAACGTTGGTCTTCATCTCTGATGTGTCAATTGCGCCAATGAATTGATTGATCGATAGCATTTGAGGTGTCATTGTGTTGGGTGGTAATGGAGTTATGGATGTCGGTGATGGCAGTACCAGTGCTTTGTCGTTTTGTTCTTGTTTAAACTCTCCAGGTATAATCTTTGGTTTCTTGATTGCTATTGTCAATGCCATGGTTGTTGTTAGTGAGTGACTCTGATGGCTTCATCGCCAACTCAGCTCTTTGATTGATTGACCTACCAAATGTTAACTTTCTTCCTTCATTATGTACATCTTCCTTCCTCTTGTTATTGGAGCTACAAGTGCTTCCTGCTCCACTTCCACTACTACCACTGTTGTCTTGTTTGATTGGTTGGATTCTCTTGTCGGCTGTCTTCTCTGTCTTTGGCTTTGATTTACATTCGATACAATTGTCAACGTATTCTTGACACAGCTCCTCTTGCAAATGGCTCCATAAATATGTCCCTACAATAAGAGGTAATGATATGTCGGTCAGTACTTCTATGTAAATATCTTGTCACAATGATATTTCTGAACCGATCTATATACTTCTTATATATTTCCTCATCAGAGATGCATCTTGGTGTCCACCATGGATATTGTGTGCCTCTGCCATCACTGCCATTGCCATTGATTTGACGACCACTCTCTTTGGTGGAGCTGACCCTCCTTTAACAAATGTTAGTACATGTATTGGATGATTGATTGATTGATTGATTGATTTGTTGTATCCGTACTCTCTTTTGGCATTGCATATAATATACCATCGATGACAGTGTATGAACTGCTTTGGAAGATCTTGTCATACTGTTTATCGAGGTACTCTACAGGTTTAATTCGTTCTTGTTTCGGTTGTTTGTGATAGGTGATAGCTGCAAAGGCAAGAGCATCATCCATTTATAACTATATTTCTTTCTTTGTATGTATTATAAGTATGTATAAGTATGTTTAAATGTAATGTTGCTGTTATGATGATGTTGTTGATATGTATGTATGTGGGATGTCGTTCTAGAATGAATCACCCTTCCCAATTCACTCACATCATGATCCGCGCCAAACACTCAATATCATATCATTTCCACAAAGCAACACTTCACACACAACTCAAGATAGATTGATTGACAGATGAAGATAGATAGTTACTATCTATCTGTATTCACATACATAAACTGAGAATTATATATAATATATATTATCTGTTTGCAAAACTTTATATATATCATTGATTGATTGTACAACAAGTAAAGTAATGATTGTTTAAATGGATGGTCGGGCGGTAGAGTTGGATTGGTTAATGTATATACAAAGGACGGTGAGGTAGTGTAATGTAATGTATATGTTAGTGCAGCAGTACAATAGGGTTGGTAGGAAGGAAGGGGAACTAGTTCATCACTGGCAAAGAGTCGTAGCCATTGGTTGCCGGCAGTGCTTCACGCTTGGAGTAGTAGGGTTCCAGTACGACATCCTTTGGGAAGATACGTAGTTTGGGTTCGCCAGTAGTGGCATCGATAGTCAATTGCATGATCTTGTTGAACAGTGGACACTCGGACAAGAAGTCTGGTAGGGTCTTCTTGGCGCCGGCAGTGTCGTCCGCCTTGACCAAGTAGTGACGAATCTTCTTCTCGGGGTCAGGATCGTCTACCTTGTAGCCAATGGCAAAGTGTCCGGCATGTCGCTCGCTGAATCGGATGAGGAATGTGCCCACCTCCTCATTGATAAGTGCCTCCTCCACGCTCTGACGTGAGATGAAGCCGTAGATCAGTCCCGACTGCCACATTGAGCAAACGTGGCGCTGGTATCGCAGCTTCTGAAGACTCTTGCCAAACCAGCTCCAGAAAGTGTCGAACAGTGCCTGAGTGATGAGTGCGCGTGATCCAAAGAACTGCGAGTGCAGGTACATCAGCTCGTGGCGCGCCAGGTAGCGAGTGGGCTTGATAGAGTCCTGACGAGTGGCTCTGAGGAAGTGGCGCTGCAGCTTGTTTCCGAATGATGCCCAGGCCAGCTCGGCATTGTTGCCAAAACTGTCTTTCTTGAGCAGCGTGCCGTCACTCTCCTCGTACTGACACTCGTTGGTGATGACGATGAAGGGGCTAGTTGGTGGCGACTCGATGTTGACGGCTGTGCTGCCAACGACCTGCACCTGCATGCCAAACTTGAGCGTTACCGGGTTCTTCCTGGTACCATTGAGGAACTTGAGGTGATATTTTGCCAATCGCTGTGTCTCGTCCATGCTGACTACCTCAGTCTCGATGGTCTTGGGCGTGGACGTTGTCTTGGAGTTCTGTTGGTTCTCAACAATCATTGTCGCCTTGACCTTTCCAATCAGTTGGAGTTCAGTTCGTGTGCCGCTCAGCAGCTGGACAACGACAGGGTCATCCTCCAATGGCTTGCACTTGGTGATCACCATGGGGAATGGCTGATCAATGACGACCAGCGCAGCAATGGTTGGTGGCGGACTCTGTGGACGCACCAGCAGCTGCAGCTCCTCATGGTACAGCTCAAGCTGTATCGACTGGATCGTCAACTCGTGTAACAGGAACACGACGTTGCGGATCTCCTGTGGCGACAGGATGAATGTCTGGTCGATCTGCGTCAAAGATGTCAGTTCGGCATCGATCTGCTTCTTCAAGGTGTTCTGCTCGTTGTCCAACATCTGGAATGTCTCCTTCTGTGGATGTGCCAGCACTTGCTTCTGGACCATCTTCATCTTTTCCAACTGATCCTTCTGCGCCAGGTGTAGCTTCAAGCACTCATTGATGATCTGTTGATGTGGCTGCAGTGGCTGATTGCCAAATGGCACGAGCAGCAAGTGTGGAGGCAGGGGGATTGGCTGGTTGCTGGGGTTTGGCGTCGATGTGCTGCTCTGAACCTGGTGTTGGCGGGGCTGCTGAGTGGCGGCTGCATAAGCTTGATGTGCCACATATGCATTGTCCTGGGCACCACCGCCATTGGTCGGGGATGTTTGGATAACAGAGTTGGGTGGCATGGAGTGGAGAGGCTGCAACTGGAGCGGGGGTGATGAGTGTGCCGCAGTCTGGATCTGGTGCGCGGCGGACATTTGCTGCTGGAACTGCTGTTGTAACATCATTTGCTGTTGTTGCTGATGTAGATCGGCTGGATGAGCGTATGATATCGAAGGCGAGATGATCAATGGCGTCGTAGTTGTATGTTGTTGGTTCATCTGAACGATTGGCATTGGATAGGATTGTCGATGTTGTCCTTGTCCCTGTACCACGCCTCCATTGGTATATGTTGTTGGAACAATATGTTGTTGTACCTGTTGATGTTGTTGTTGCTGTTGCTGCTGTTGTTGTTGCTGCTGCTGCTGTTGCTGTTGCTGCTGCTGCTGTTGTTGATGTTGTTGCATCTGTTGTTGGTGATGATGGAGTTGGGCCTGTTGCTGTTGGTGATGATGCATTTCAAACAAGTTTCCAGCTGGCGATGAGTTTGGATCATTCTTCATAATGAATGACGACTGTGATCCATTGCTAAAGAGAGTTAGTTAGAGTGTGATGAGTGATGGGCTGCCACCCTGGGCCAAACGATCACCTCAAACTTACTCTAGGAAGGTCATAAGTGAGAGCAGGTCATCACTGGTTGTGAATCCATCGGCTGAAAGATCATCAACCTCTGCCTTGATGTCTGGAAAGCTTGTGTTGGCGTTTGATTGATTGGATGAAGACGGGCTGTCGTCCGCTTGAAGTGCCTCTATAGTTCTCTTTTTGGTCATCTTGTCGTGTCTAGTGTGGTGTGGTTTGTTCGGGTCGATCGGGTCGGGTGGATAGTGTAGTGCTAAGGTGCTAAGTAGTGGGTGTTGATGATGGATCAATCAATGAGTTAGTCGTCTTGGGGGAGGGGGACCGAACGAGTTTGCATATATGTGAGCTCCAATCAATCTTACCTTATTTGGGTTGATTGGTCGTTTGTACAAATGAATACTCTAAGTTTGTTATAAACAAGAGAGATATTGATTAATTGAAATTGATCGTGATGACTTGATTAAGTAAGTTGTTATTCGTTAATTGCTGTTAAGATTGAATGGTCCTGTGAACTCTTGAATTCTGAAAGAGACAAAGTACGAAGGAATGAATGATTGAAAGTGAGAATGAAAGAATGATTGAATGAATGAATGAATGAATGAATGATGTTTACAGAAGTGATTGAAGGATGGTCTCAAAGATATATAATCAACAACAAATGTCCATAGATGGTATGACCAAATATTCTATCTCCATTATCTTCACCATGGTGATGAGAGCTACAGCTCGCTACCCTAGCTAGGGTAGGAATGCATGCTTACACAACAACATCACTAGGAAGAGAGAACAGTGTTCTGATTATGATAATTGGACAACTAGTTTCTCTATTATCATAATGATTGAATTATTATGTGGTATATATAATGTCCACTGAGTTAGTGCTCTGATGGAAGTGAGTGTGTGTGTGCGTATGACGGTCCGGTCCAAGGGATAGAGACACTCACACACACACACACACACACAATCACATCCAATCATACACACACTATCACACACACTCACTTCCATACACAAGGTGATTGGTGGTTCGTAGGTATTGAGCGGGAGGGAGATAACATTACCTTTTGATTGACGCAGTATTAGGGCAGAATAATATTATGAGTCCTCAAATGAAAGATACGGCACACGTGTGATCACTATCAACAACGCCACCATCAACAAAAAAGAAGCGCAGTTACTCACTTTTTCCTGGTCTAGATTGTCCTTTAGAATCCCAACCAATCCTATCCTAAACCTTACCATTGGGTAATAGTATGTGTTTTGTGGGTTTTTGATCAAAACACTTACCTTATTAAGACTGATGGACCTGTGGGCTGTTTAGTTTTAAGTTTTGTTTTTGAACACAAAACAGTGCAGAGGGCTCGCTCATGTATTTGTGAGTTGATTCAGTGAATGATGCAAAGGTGAAACAAACACACATAACTTTTGATTGATTGATTATTATTGTTATTATCTGAAGAGTGTTGGATGGCATTGGTCATTGGATCAGTGACATCATTTGACCACGGCTGTTTGTCTTTGGGCACCCATTGACCTCGGAGGTACAGGTATGATTGAGGTTTATTAGGTTGATGATGTGATCATTACTTGAAAGACGAATACTTTCTTTTCGAAGGAACAATCCACAACCTATCATCATCATTTAACTTTGATATGGTTGGCTACATGATGTCCCGGGTCATAGGAATCACATCATTATTGTTTAGTCAAACAATTACAAGGATATCAAGGAGGTATCTCAACCTGTCAAGCTCAAAGTACATCATGGGTTTGATTACGACTCATATTGTTCTAGAATACAGCCACACAACTTCATAAGTTGCTAGTTCGCATCATAACATTATGTTGAGAGGGAGACACAACAAGGTTATGACTCTTGGTGAACATCACATTGTTTAGTGACATCTAAGCATACAACAACAACAACAACAACTCTACAACAATGACAACAATACCAACGAAGTAATTAATAATATATATTATTATTTCAACAACAGTCAAAGAAAGTCCAATCAACTACCAAAAGACCAGTCACTCAATAACTCAACAGCAGCATCAACAACAACATGTATACATCATCTTCGTCCTTTTACCCTTGTTGTTATCGTCAATATTGATTGATTAACCCTTAATTGATTGATTGATTGATTGAATGATTACCCGACAAATGTGTGGATGTGGGTGTGAGTGTGGTGTATGAGTGTTTGTTTGTGATTGAATGACTGATCGTTTTAGAAGTGTGTGTTGATTGATTGATTGATATATGTAGGAGGGAGGGTTTGGTGACGACCCATCAACCCATCATGATAGTAATTATCAGTTCTAACTGTAATGGAAATTGTGGAATTTGATGACAACTATATGGACCACCTCTTACATCATCAATATTCCCCAATATGGTTACCACCCTTGATCAAACTAACCAACTGCTGGTTAATTAATATGGAGTTTGGTAGTGAGCCGTGAGCCAACTACCCACCCCCGACCCTTGAGATATCCGTCAGAGTTCCTATAGACAATAACGAGAACAACACTGTTGATCATCTTTAAAAGAAGCGTTTGAGGAATGGTTGTAAATTGATTGATGGGTATGTAGGTGGGAGGGTAGTTGGTAATGTAGGGTAGTATAACTACTTAAGTTTAGTTAGTGATCAACTATAGTATTAGGTACCCCTCACTATTTATACTCGAGTGATCACAACTATAACATCCAGTCAATTTCCAATCTATAATATATTGTATTACTAACTGTACAACTAATTAACTATAACTCATAAAAAATGACCATTATTAGTAAGTTTAATGTTATTGATAAAGAATTGAATGATCAATTAACTAAATATAATGTATGATCTCTAGACTCCCTTAGAAACCTTGGTAACTTCACCTCGATGCCATCAACATCCAATGGACCAAAACCAGTATCCAACTCGACCACCACCCAAGTCTCAAGTCCACTGCCGTCATCAATTGAACAATCTTCTAATCATGTAACAGCATATTGGAGAATGTGGTAATAGATAGACACCAACAAATGGGGCAAAAAGTCGTGACAACCAATCGATCAAGGGTTGATCAAAGACTATTTTGTTTGTAATAATATACATGTAATAATATTAAAGTTGGGGAGGGATGGACGAATTACCTGGTGGTTAATACATCATCTTCCAATTCACTTAAAAAGAGGATGTATTTTTAGTTACTAACAAGGCTGGATAATGTTATTGTGCTCATTCCCTCAACTTGGAAAAATGAGTGTCATTCTTATTGATGTCATACATGCATCTCTAACTTTCGTGTTTGGTTTGGGATCGATACCTCATCTGAGGTGGACCACTCTTAGTACCACCTCAAAAATGATGAACACCGTTTATCCAACAACCACGAGAGCCTCGACGGTTCAGGATCATTCCTTGACCGTGTGTGGTACTCCCCCCAAACGCGCATCAACGAACGACCAATAAATGACCAACAGAGCAGTGGCTATCAAATTAGAGCTGGGTTCAGTTGTCGAAAGCTTTCATATTGATGTTTGGGGGCGATCGAGATCTCGTTTTTGTGCTCAAAATTGCCAAACGACGTCAAGGTGTTTAAGATGGTACACTGTTGGGGGAGGATGCAAAGGTCCCGCGGGACTGCACCTCAAACATCACACCAGTTGCCCTGACGATTGACAACCTCTGTTGCAAACACATGCTCCCGGGTGGTTGTCGACACTAATAATAATAAATTTTAGTGATTGTCTGTCTGTTTGTCGTTCTTTGATAGAGTTAGTGTGAGTTAGTCAAAGACTGTGAGAGGATTGATTGGTCAGTGATTGAGGTTGATGGTTGGGGGAGGGGTACTTTGTCTTTGACACACTTGATCATCCAGACACAACGCGACACGACAAGACACTTCGTGATGGGAGCAAATATTATTTAATAGCCACAAAGGCAGAATTATTCTTACATCAATCACAACATTAACACAAATTATTATTATCTCTATTGTGATCTAGTATCATTACATCGTTGTTACATTAATTCAAATATACTTATATAACCACAACATACCCGTACCCGTACCGATCATTCATACAATCAACCTTGTTCTCATATTAACTACCTACTAGTTGACCCTCCACCTTCATCATCATATTCATACATTAATACATTCATACTTTATTTATTTGATTAATTAATTAATTGATTGAAGAGACAATAATAATTCTTTAAAGAATGTCTCTGTACAAATTCATACTTGCCAATATTATATTGGTTATATTAATATGCTCCATGGTGTCCAATGGTCAAGGTAAGTTAACAATTAATTGATTGGACTAAAACAAATACTAACTTTACAATCAATTAAACAACATTTAAAGATCTGGATATTACTGTACAAGTTTATGACCATCATCCATCAAAGAATGAGAATTTCCAAACATGTAGTGATGGACTCAGTCTAAACACTGTCCTCGAGGATCTTCCAAACGACAAGATTCCCCGTCTAAACCCCAACCGTGGTGATGATTCTTGTATTGTGGACCCATCCCTGTTCCCATCATTCTTCCAACCAACAAACGGTATCAACAAACCACTCCAATTCAACCTCTCACTCACCAAGAACAAGACCGCCTACTCTTATTCCAACGAGAAGTTCTTCCCAATCAACTACAAGGGATGGGACGTTGACAAGAGCTACCGTAACTACGCCGATCGCTCAGACAACTACCAGAACTACCATTTCTGCATGAAGTGGAACTCATTCTTCACCTATGCTGGCAATGAAGAGTTCAACTTCCTCGGTGACGATGACGTCTGGATCTTCATCAACAACAAGTTGGTAGTCGATATCGGTGGAGTCCACAGTGCAGAGTATGGCTACATCAAGCTGTCCACTATATCTGGACTCGTAAAGGGCCAGATCTACTCGTTCGACTTGTACTTCTGTGAGCGTCACACCTACAGCTCCAAGATTTACTTTGACACCAACATCATGGTCCAATGCCAGAGAGACTACTGTGGCACCTGCAACGGTGTCGGAGAGTGCTGCAATGCCGCAGTTGACTGTAATGATGGAAACCCTTGCACCATCGATGCCTGTCCCAAGCCCAACACTCCAGGCATCACCAAGGACAACTATAAGAACTACTGCACTCACACACCAGTCAAGTGCGCTCTTACATCCACCTGTTTCAACTACCAGTGCTCAGATGTTGACCACCCATGTGGTAACAAGACTGCTGTGACCTGTCCACAAAAGACCTGCAAGAAGCCACCTGTCTGTGTTGAGGGCTCTGGATGCCAGAGCTTCGACTTGTGTACCTCAACACCATGCACCAACTCGGTCTGCCAGGCAGGCACTGGCGGCGCCGCCGACAAGTGTATCGATACACCAAAGAACTGCACTGGAAACGATCCATGCCAGATCTACTCCTGTGACCCAGTCAAGGGATGTGTCTCCAAGTCGATGGTGTGCACCCCACCTGACAACTGCACTCGCTCGCAATGTGTCGCTGGAAAGTGTGTCAACACTGTCATTCCACCAAGTGAGTGCAGCTCTTGCAAGCCAAAGAACTGTTATCTCAACACCTGGGACAAAGGTGCATGCAACTATACCAAGGATCCATTGATCAACGACAATGATCCTTGCACTGATGACACTTGTGATGAGACCAACGGTGAGATCAAGCACACTCCCAAGTCGTGCTCTGGATGCCAGACCTGCCAAGCCGGTACTTGTGTCGACAACAGTGCGACCTGCAAGGACGACGGAAACATTTGCACGAACCAAGTGTGCACCAACGGCACCTGCGACTACCTGCCAGTGTCTTGTGATGACAACGATCCTTGCACCATCGACTCGTGTGACTCGGTTGCAGGATGTATCCACAACCAGACCACATGCCCAGAGCCCACCAGCCTTTGCCTCAACTCCTTCTGTGAGCCAGGCAAGGGATGCACCACCAAGAACATCACCTGTTCCTCGGACAACTTCTGTATCGACGCCTTCTGTGACGACCGTCTAGGATGTGTGGTGCTGGAGCATCGTTGTGTTGCCGACAACCCCGACTGCTCATACGGCATCTGTAACAACGTCACACAGGCATGTGAGTTCCACGAGTTTGATCCCAAGCCATTCAAGTGTAACAAGGCTGCAGTCATCTCGACTGGTGTCATTGCCGGTGTAGTCGTAGCCGCAGCCGTTGCACTTGCCGCTCTAATCTATGGTGGCAAGAAGGGTTATGATCACTGGAACCAACATCGTAACATGACCAATACCGGTACCAACATGAATCCATTATATCAACCAAGTCCCAACAACCAAGTGAATCCATTGTTTGTTGATCCACAAGGTGGAGTTTAAACATCCTATTATCTTTATCTCTATATATCTAATATTATTATTAAAACCTAACATAAGAGAGGTATTATCTCTTATCTTCGAATGTATTCCTGAAAGTGTCACTCTTCAAATGGTCGAGGGCGAGGGCGAGGGCAAGGGTTGAGGGTTGAGGGTTAGGGTTGAGGGTTTTAAGAGTGAAGTGCACTTGACTGACCTTCATTGCATTGTCAATCATATATATATTGATATACATCATAAACATAATCCAACAGATACTATGAAGCTGGTATGATTCAAGTCAATCATTGACCAACAAACAATCATACTCACAATCAATCACTCATTCAATCAATTGCAGAGTAGTCTAGGTCTGACACCATCGTCATCATGCTATCTGTTACACTTTAAGAACTGTAGAATATTGTTAGATTGCTCATTGGAATGTACTTCTTTGTTACAATTCTTACCAGTGTCACCTGTTGTTAATTGCAAGTCAACGGCAACATCGACATCTACAGCATCTACCGCATCAACATCATCGACGTCAACAACAGATAACTCATTGAAGAATAGTAGTTGTTTCAAGAGTATCAATAACATTGTATATATAGACGCTGGCATCAAGTATCATACGCCACAGTTCGATCTCATTGACTTTGCCACTGTGGACATCATCCTGTTGTCCAACTACACCAACCTCTTTGCACTGCCATACATCACCGAGTACACCTCATTCAATGGCAAGATCTATGCAACCGAACCCTCAGTCCAGCTTGGCAAGTATGTCCATCATCATTACTCAATCACTCATTCAATCAATCAAGTCCTAACCTTGAAACAATCACATTCACAGACTGCTACTGGATGAGATGATACAGTATGACAAGCACAACAAGACATCGAGGAATCAACATTGGCAATCGAGTAGCTTACTTAAACAGATTGGCGCAGCACAGGCTCACAGTGCCTTCAAGTATGCGCCACACTGGCGCGAGCTATACAACAACTTGGACACAGAGAAGTGCTTTGAGAAGGTACAAACAGTGCGCTTCAATGAGCATCTTGTATGTATCTTTATCTATCGCGCCAGCCCATACAGTGTCTAACCAACATGCCCTCCACTCCACCTGATCCAGCACTTCTACGGATTCTCAATCAGAGCTGTTAGCTCTGGATACTGCTTGGGCGGCTCAAACTGGATTGTCGAGTCAAGCTCAGAGAAGTTTGTTTACTTGTCCGACTCATCACATTATAGCTCTCGCTATCCTGAACCATTGGATCGCGAATCAATTGCCAAGCCGGACGTGCTCCTCGTTGCCAAAATGGCACAGTATCAGTTGCCATTTGGTGATGCCATCCAGGAGTTGTTGTCAACAATTGGCAGTACATTGAGCAGTGGTGGAAACGTTCTGATACCTACCTACTCATGTGGTACGGTGCTCGATCTGTTCGAACCGCTCTCCGAGTATCTTAGCAAGGTCGGACTGACATTTGCCAACATGTACTACTGCTCCCCTGTATCAAAGTCCGTGTTATCATATGCTGACATCTACTCCGAGTGGCTGAGTCGGGCCAAGAAGGAGCGATCATACATGCCCGAAGCACCATTCCTCCATCAAGACATGATACGCAATCAACACTTCACTCCACTTCAACATATATCCTCAAACTTCCTTCCAAAGGGTAAGTATGGCTGCCATCGATCAAAATGAGTGGTGACGCGGACACTGGCTGACTATCAATCACAATCAATCAATCAGATGGAAGTGTTATGTTTGTTGGACATCCATCATGCAGAATGGGAGATGTTGTACATATGATCAACCTCTGGGGGGAGAATCCAAAGAACGCCATACTCTTCATTGAACCGGAATACGACTTTAAGAAGACACTGTTACCATTTGGAAATCTACAGTGTCGTGTTCAGTTCATCCCTATCGATCCACGTCTAGGCCATTCAGAGGCCAATGATCTAATCCAGGAACTATCCCCAAGCACACTATTAATACCTTATCAATACCAATGTATGTAGTCGTCTTGGATTGGTTCCTTCCACCCAGGATGGACAATGACTAACAACTTCACATTCATTCAGATGCACTAAAGAACAAACAATCGAATGGAAGAGAAGGCGTGACGACTATACTCAATCCAACTGATGTGATCAAGGTCCAATCAAACAATCGACAACGTTTCGAACATGGACATATAGACAGTTCACTGGCACAACAGATACAACCCAAGACACTCTTTGAGAACAACACTTCCAATAATGGCGAAGACAGCATCACGGTGGCACAAGTTGAGGCTGTTCTATCACTCAATGACAGTCAATACGTCCTGTCCAACCCTACATTCTCCGATCGTAGTCGTCTATCCCACTGGAAGGAGAAGCTATTGTGGGGAACACTCTCTGTAGAAGCGATCATCAAGCAACTCGGTGTCGTAAGTGATCCATTCCGACTACAGCACAATTATCATGACGTGACTGACTGACATCTAATCCAACCTGTAGAAGGGATTCAAGAATGTTACGACAGACATGGAGAGTGAGTCGAGTAGACTCAACTCCAATGCATCGGCAACCATTACAATCAGACATGTTGTGGCTGGCAAACAGGAGGAGACCATCGTTCGACTGTCACCATCCAATGCTAGCATCGAGACCTGCAGTGAGGAGACCAGAAGAACCATTATGGATATCATCGCAGAGAGTTTAATAAACTTGTGATGATGATGACGCCTAGAGCTTGGCCTTGAGCTGAGGTCGTGTCGATGATGCGCTCACTGATCCACCTGCCTTCTTTAGAGCCATCTTCTCAATGAAGGATGGGAAGATGGGTTTGATGACTGTGGCCAGATAGTTGCTGAATGGGAAGACGACCTTCTTGCGTCTGCCCTCGATTGATGATACCATAATGTTGCAGCAATCCTCCAATGACATCCTCTTGCTCTCGTCCTCATTGAACTGAACGGACTTCTTCTCGGTGGCACCAAGAGAGTGAGTGCGCATTGGTGTGTTGACAGAGGTCGGCAGCAGCATTGTAAAGTCCACCTGAGGCACCTCCATGCGCAGTGACTCAAAGAAGCCATTGACTGCAAACTTTGACGCGCAGTAGCCTGCCCGCAGAGGCAGTCCCAGCTCACCAGACACCGACGAAACGACGGCAATCTGTGGCTTTGTAGCATTGGCACCACTTGATTGACTGATCATATGAGGAAGTGCATAATATGTTGTGTACATGTATCCAAAGAAGTTGATGTTCATCATGTCGCGATAGACAGAGAGGTTCTCAGTCGCTGTGAATAGGTTATGATATGACACGCCAGCATTAAGTATGAGCAAGTCAATCTTTTTGAATCGTTTGATGGTCTGTTCAATCAAGCTCCTACATTGCGATGTAGTTCACATGTTAGCGAATGTTGAAGAATGTCATGAGTGTCCCTCTTGAGACATACTGGCAATCTGATTGTTTGGCTGCGTCGTAGCCAATCACTATACATTGATTGCAACCTAGTTGCTTGCACTTCTTGGCTACAACATTGAGTTTGGTGACATCTCTTGATGCCAATACCAACGTGGTCTGTTTCTTGCTTGCGTAGATATATGCTAGTGCTTCACCAATGCCTGAACTAGCACCAGTGATCACAACAACTCTAGATTGTTCGTCTTTATTCATTATATGATTATGATATCTGTCTTTGTTTGTAAATATCTGTAATGTTTGATGCATGAAATGATTGATTGGTCATTCATGGAACTTTGATGGACCACACACGAGGCCAAAGATGGTCCCTGTCGTTTATTGAATGCCGCCAGACGTCTATGGTCTTGGTGCATAATGTAGATGGTGTCACTGTTACATGCACCATCTTGGATTGATTGGCTGATTGATTGTCCACCACGATTGATGGACTTTAGAGATATATACATAATGTATGAATGAAGGAAGGAAGGAAGGAGGAGTGGGAGATTGAATGATTGATGAATGAATGAATGAATGAATGATGCTAAGGGATACCCAACATCAAGGATTGGACTAAGTACTATTTCTACGTCATCATCTGTGGAAGACACCAAACCACAGACCCAGGAAGATGGCAAGGGCGATGAATGTGATTGATAGACAGATGACCAGGAAGAACACTTTCTTTCGATAGGATGTCTTGTAGACCATTGCATCTTGTAGCTCGTCTACAGCCACTTCAACATTGGCATCGGCCTGCACCACATTGGTGTGGGCAGTCTGCAATTGTTCACCTTGCTCAACTACCAGTTCAGAGATATCACCGACAACCTCTTGAAGTGTCCTCAGATCGTCGACCAATTGTCTTGTGGCCTTGTTCCTCTCCTCGATAATATCATTATAAATCTGTTCCTGATCGATCAATTGTCCGCCCAGGCCAAACGTCATGTACTTGCTCTCTTGATCCTGTGGCGTCCTCTCTGGACTTCCAATCATCTGTGGGTCTCTATACGAGTTCCTGTGGAATTCAATCGACTCTGGGTCATTGATTGGATTGTGCTGGGCCTCTTTCTGATGTGCAATGTTGATCAACTCTTCGTAGCGATTGGTGGCATCGCGCAGGTCTTTGATTATCTTGTCCTTTTGTATCTTGGACATGTTGAGTCCTGGTTGCTTCAACCTCGATGATATGAGCTTTAGATTCTCATTGATTGTGACTTTCTTCTTGTACAGCAATGATCTGAATGTGTTGGTATCTCTTGATGTACCAAWTATCCTTTAGTTGTTTCTCGAATGCTGTTATATCAGAGTATGTCTTTGACAGAAACTGAATCAACGAGTTGGCATCCGTACTATTTAAATTCGTTGTTAGCATTTGATTGATTGATTGATTGAGTGAAACAAACATACTTTAGTAACAATGGTGTCCTTTCTTCATTCATTTCTTTCTTTCTTTCTTTCTTTGTTCGTTATATTATATGTATATGTATACTTATATAATGTTAAGGTGAATGAGCTAGTAATAACTCATGTTGTTCGAAGACAAGACATGACACGAAGATTGTTTGCAACAACAACGATTTTTCTCTAGATTGCGACCTACTCTTCACTCTTTTGGGGGTTCAGCCCATCATTGATTGATCCCAAGACTGAATTGAATCCATTCATGCACCACCCAGTGAAACTTCGATTTGTCTGTGTTTTGAGTCCAATGAGAATGTATGATTGATGTGATACTCAACTTGTTCCAACTTCTCCTCAATGATCCACACTACATTGGAGAACTTGGGAACTTTTGGATTATGTATGTTTGTGTTACAAATATTATAACAATACAATATTATTTTTTGAAAAGATGATTAGGAATAACTTTAAATTATTCAAAATCAATTGATAACAAAGATGGCTGAAAACTAATTTGATGATAATTTATATCTATTTGGAAGACTGATATTTGAAATCACTGTGTCAAACTCCCGCCTCTTCACTTCAACTGTCTTGAAATAAAATCAAAAGTTAAATTAAATTATTAATTAATAAATGTAGCAGAAGAATAGAAGAAGAGCCTTGTAAAGTTGTGTGTTGTGTGAGAGTGTGAGTGTGAAGATGACAAGATAGATAGATAGATATATACAATAGATAGATAGAATAGATATATATACATATTTAATAACAAGAGTTGTAGTGTTATACAATGAGCAACAATAACTCTGTAAAGGTTGATACCTCAAAAAGGATTGATTTGTTGGCTACTGCAAACCAAAGTGGTCATCAGGCCTATCAGCAACACCAACAACAACAGCTACATCAGGGTCAAAAGAGATCGGTCAGCTCAAAGCACTCAAACAGTAAAGAGGTCATACACATTGGTAGTTCATTCAATAGTGATGTGTTCAATGATGTTGATAATGACTTCTTTAAACAACATCATCAACAACAACAACAACAACAACAACTAAATCAAAGATCATCACCAACACAAACAACGCGTTCATCAACATCAACATCATCATCGAAACAAAGCAGGCAGAGTAATAGTAATAATGGAAATGGTAATCTGAAGCAACAACCTCAACAACAACCTCAACAACAAAAGTACACAGTGTTTGACCCAACTTCATTTGGAGGACTCGATGACACAAGTTCGATTCAGAGCGACAATGAAGATGAATATGGATTCTATGAGATCAAGGATCTAGTTGTATGTTTCATTCAATCATTCATTCATTCGATCAATCAATCAAATCATTTGCTCACTCTCTCATACATTCATTCTTCAAATGAACAGATAAGTACCAATGGATGCTCTCAGTACTATATACCATTCCTTCAAACAACAGAGATGTGTAGTAATGAAGCGAGGAAATGGCTGGCCAAGCGATGGTTCCTGCCATCAGACATGGAGGAGATAGAGTATGTAGATGGAATGAATGAATTATTGAATGGATGGACATTAGTATTGACACCACTACCTACCAACGAAGATGGACCAAACAGAATAGATACTATTACCCAGTATATGTGTTCAATTTGAGTGTAACAACAAAGTTCAGCGCATACTTCACAGTTAAGGATGAGTCTGGTGCCAAGGATGCCAAGGACCAGCAAATGTGTGTCCAAGAGACACTCTCCAGTGTCTTTGACGAGATCATTGTCTGCGCCTCAAGCTCCATTGATGTTCCCCTTGTAGAAAGCCTTATATTTAGTATGTCGACGGACATGAATGACGAGTATTGATGGCTGCTGGCTGGCTGTTGCTAACCATCCCCTTCACGCATAACACAGAGAACAGTTACTCACATAGGTATCCATATTACCTTCCAGACAAGAGCGAGTGGAAAGCAATCACCACAGACAACAAGTTGTCAGAGAAGACGCTTAGTATCGATATCTCAAAGAATGATATATGGGTGGATGTATGTTAGTGACAATGACAGTGATGGTTGATGGTACACGATACTGACGACACAACGAAACAATAATCAAACAAATGAATGTAGAAAGTACTGGTATACCTTGAACAGAAACAGAAGGAGAGATGCCAACAGTATATCCAGAAGAAGCACAATGTGACAAAGGTAACTCTGGACATGGGCCAGGCCACGATTGACAAGGAATCCTATTCGATCGTTTATCTGCCAGTGTCAGCAGACACCTTTAGGTATGGCGAGGCGCATTACGATACACTCACAAGTGGCAACATTGGAAAGACCGTTGGCAGGTCACCCAAGGGCACTGGCATGGTTGGAGCAACACTATATGGTGTATTCTCTGGCGTGTCCAAGGTCGTCAGCGATTCAATATGAGTAGTTAATATGCCACCATCGCACCCGGGCATTCATTCCAACCTGTCAACGTCGTCATCATCATCAACAACAACAGTGTATATAGCCAAGCTCACCTCTAGGTGATTCCACCTCCACGCTTGAGGAATAAATGAATGGATCCAGTGGGTGCATCTGCCCACCTCCGTTCATCGTCATGTATATGTACATCAAGGATGCTTGTGGCACCTTTACTTTGGTTGTTGCTGTGGCGGTAGTTGACCAGCCGCTCCTGCAGGGGGTGTTGGGAGTGGTAGTTGTTGTTGTGATTGGGACATTGGTTTCAGCTTGGATGGGAATGGCACGGCAACAGGTGCTTGTCCAGGTTGTAATTGCTTAGGAATGAACAGCTTTGGATTGTTTGGATCTGGCATCCATTGAGCTGAGCTAAGATTGGGATGCTCTACAAAGTTGAGTGCAAACCTGGTATTGGAGGGATGTTAGCGATTTCTAGGTCCAGTGTTTGAGCGCGCCGGCAAAGGTACATACTCTCCAATCTTCTCAATGACACCAGACGTCTTGCCAACATAGAGATATAGCGATTCGTGGAACAGTGATGCATATCTGTGAGGAATATGAATGATTAGATGGTGAACATGAATGATCGATCACTTGCTTGCATGCATGCTTACCCTCCCCTAAGTCTAAGTATGTCGCCAGGTTGTGCTTGCTCTCCAAACTGATCAAACAATGTCATATTTATACATGCGGTATGATCTGCTACAAGTACTTGGTGTATGACTTCCTTCTTCTTGACTGGTGGAACTGAATGAAGGGAAGTGGAAGGGAGTTAGTTTAGTACACCTGGGGAGAGAGGAGAGTGACAGGTACTCTGGCGGTCGCCAACACACTTCCACTAAGTTCAACTTACACTTCTCCAATACTATAAATATACAATTGACGTTCTTTACAAAGGGCTTTAACTCGCATATCTTGGTGTATCCGCCCGCACCACCGCCTGCACTTAAACCGCCTCCACCAGATCCGCCTGTGGCAGAGGTTGATGAGGCGAGTGAGCTAGCTGGTCCGCCAACCTGTTGTTGTTGTTGCCCCTGTTGTTGCTGTAGATTGCCTTGACTCTGATTCAAGTTCATTAGTGTTGTTCTGATTGATTAAAAGGTTAATGGGTTATCTATTGAATGTAATTAATGATGTTGATCATTCATAATCGTAGGAAGTTTGATCAGAGGGTGGGTGAAGGCTCGTTTCTGATGAATTTTGATTGTGGGAGTGAGTGTGACCGAATGTCTGAGTGAGTTGACTCGAAATGTAGATGCACTTGTTTGAAAGATACAACTCATTACACATATATATACATACAGGATGTCGACATCAAAGCAGTTGCTCAACCTATTCAATACAGTCAAGGCTAAGCCAAACCCTATTGTTGTACGTTGATACGCGAATCAAATGTGATGTGGACGGCGATGACGATGATAATGATTCAAACGACAGGAACAGCAACAGAAACAGAAACAGGGTAATAGACATCATGCTGACACTTTATCAATCGATCAATCAATCACATAACATACATACAGGTGTTTGGTGTTGGTAACTATGGCACAATTGCAAGCCGCAACAGTATTGGAGCAAGGACAGTGGACTATTTGGCAAACAACTTAAAGATGGATTGGATCAACTTCAAGGACTGCAGCACAATGTTGTCGTACTCACCAGAGAATCACTTGCTGCTCGTCAAGCCAGACACTTATCTCGTCAAGGACAACTTTGAGGTGCTGAGCAGGATCGTGCGTCTCATGCCCAACATCAAGTCCAACACATTCTTGGCCATCCACTATGAGCATCTCTTCAAGCTGGGTGTTGTCGAGCGTATCAAGGGAGGTCGTACCAAGCACAACCCCGGCCTTGCCGGCATCACCTCTGTCTTCCAGACCGAGCAGTACTATCGCGTCTCTATGGGCATCAATCATCCCATCGACCAGATCACCTTTGAGCAGACATTGTACTCGATGGGCAGCGTGTATGGCGACCTGCAAACACCCTTCCTGCTCAACCGTTTCCCAGATGTTCAGTTGGAGCTCGTCGACAAGGTCGTCGTGCCCTACGCAGCCAACGAAGTGCTGACAGCTGTGCTCGAGATGAAGCAGCTCTCTGAGGACAAGAAGGAGATCGACGAATACAACCTCTACCGCTTCAAGTCACCGCGTGTCGAGAGGAAGAACATCGAGATGGCTTAGGTCTGCCCTCAACGATCGAACGAATGAACGACTTGCGAACAACATATATATATCAATAAACATACCAATTGACCAATCAAACACTATGAGAATGAATGATTGAATGAAGTGAATGTATGATCATATTACTATTGTTATACTGCTATGTCTTTTTATTGGCTCGTGTATCTGATTCATCAAACAGCTTGTAGCCACCTGCTGTTACCTGCTTCTCATTCATCTCGGCTTGCTTTTGTGCCAGCTCTACTCTCTTTTGTTTGTCACTCATGTAATCCTTTCTAGAGATGTACCAAGCACCCATTCCCGCCACTGTTAAGGATATACTAGTAATACATTTACCATTTATGTTAGTATCATCATTCAATCTCAACCTCAATTCCATTTCATTCATCCATTCATCCATCCATCAATCCATCAATCCATCTATCCTCTTACAATCCCCAGACTACGCTCTTCGGAGAGTTCATGTCTATTTATGTTTGATAACGAGTAGTTAGGTGTGTTATATTTATCTGTACAATTGTATGTTTAAGTTATGTATGTTGTTGATTGTTGTTGGTTTAAGATTTGAATTGAATGATCCCGACTTCCCTGGGCAGTCACAAAAATAAAGACCTTGGATGGAGTGATCCCAGCCCATTCAGGTATCGTTCCAACTTGGAACTTCTCATTCCCAGAGTCCTTGTGTAGCCTATCTGGCTCAACAACAATTAATTCATTATAACCCAATGGAAGAGTCCTCTTTTATTTTCAAACACAGACAGAGACACATAAATAATAATTCTTATCACTTATGTTGGCGCGCGAATGTAAATGAAAGCTGAAACAATGCAACACACTCAACTTCTATTCTTTGTGTTCTCTCTTTTTTTTCTTGCTTTGATATGATTTAATTTTGAATAAATTGAATATTTTAGTAGGGAGTTATTCACTCTCACCACGTGCCAAACAACACACATTTATAGAAGTGCACAGTGACGCACACTTTCATTCTCTCATTTGTTGTTGTCGTGCACAGTAGGTGAGTGAAGTTATAATTTTAATTATCACCCACATCTCTTCTCTCTTTAAGACTACTATAAGTCTTATCGGGAGAGAATCACATTAATTAATATAAAGAAAAAGACAAACATCATTCCCCTCCCTTAATCTTAACCTTCCTTTGCACTTCATTCATTCAAAGTCATTCAAAGTCATTCATTCAACACTCATATATATTATTGAGACTGCGACCTATCTTTCTTGTTGTTTGTTTGATGCTTCTGTATCATAGTGGGAATAAATACATAAACAACAACTATTACTATGTCAAACATGTCGATCGATTAATATATCAATCCATCACAATAGATCATAATCTATCACCACCACAACTACCATCATATCGATCCATTCACACCTTTTCATTGTCACGTTGTTTGCTTCTTTGCAGTCATCACTTTAACAGACAATAACAACAATGTTGTTGATGTTCACACAAGTACTAATCTTTTTTTCCCTCCCACTCACAATCAATCAATCATTCAACCGACCAATCATTATGATGTTGTGATTAAACAGGTGATAAACTTTAGCAGACACAACAACAAATCAAAGACAATCGCGCAGCAGCAGGAGTAACAACAACAGCAGCAGCAGCAGAGAATTCGACCGACTTTGCGATCATATACTTTCATTCATATACATATATATACACTTTTCTTTAATATCTCTTAATCATTAGTTATATATATCTCACTTTTACCATCACCATCACATCACAATCACAATCACAATCACCTCATCTAACACATTCCAATTCTAAACATCAGTGCACATTGATGCTCTATCTCTCCCCCAAATACCGAATCTTAACATAAATACTATAGTATCATATTATCACTTTACCATCACCATCACACACAATCACAATCTCATACATTACATAAACACATAAATACATAAATAGACATACATACATATATATTTATAAACACAAACAAAAACATATACCAAAAAAAACAACAACAATAATATGGCATCCTTCCAGAACTCAACTGCCGAAGTTAGAAAGGTCAAAAAGGTCCAGTTCGGTATCCTCAGTCCTGATGACATCCGTGAGATGTCAGTCGTACTGGTCGAACATCCAAACAACTACGAGAATGGCAAACCAAAGCCCGGTGGACTGGTCGACCCTAGGATGGGCACAGTGGACAAGTCACAGAAGTGTGCAACGTGCTCTGGTACGATGGCCGAGTGTCCAGGTCATTTCGGTCACATCGAGCTGGCCAAGCCAGTCTTTCACATTGGATTCATCGACACAGTCTTGAAGATTCTCAGATGTGTTTGTTTCCACTGTTCCAAGTTGTTGGTCGATACTGTAAGTCTCATTCATCATGTGATCGATCAATCATTTAAACATACTAACATTCATTCATGATTGGATGATATATATATAGGACGATGTACATTTTAGACAGGCGCTAAAGATCAAGAATCCAAAGAGACGACTGGGTGCTGTGGTCGATATTTGTAAAACAAAGAAGGTCTGCGCATTGGCCGCCGAGGATAAGGAGGACGATCTGTCAAAGACTGAGGAGGAGCTGCGCGAGAAAGAGAAGAAGCAGAAGCAGGGCGGTTGTGGAAACCTCCAGCCAAAGATTACCAAGGAGGAGTTGAAGTTCATCGTCGAGTTCAAAGAGGTCCAGGACGAGTCTGTCGAGAAGAAGTCGATTCTGTCTGCAGAGAGAGTATGTTTGTTCACACATGACGTGATCATTCAATCAATCAATCACAATTACTAACATTGATTCATACACTCCACAGGTTCACAACATACTAAAGAGAATCAAAGATGAAGACTGCAAGGCGATGGGACTCAACCCAGAGTGGGCAAGACCCGATTGGATGGTGGTGACAGTGTTGCCAGTGCCACCACCTCCAGTTCGCCCATCCATTATGATGGACACAGCCTCTAGAGGAGAGGACGATCTGACCTACAAGCTGGCAGACATTGTCAAGGCAAACAAGGAGCTCAAGAAGCAGGAGAAGAACGGTGCGCCCGCTCACATCATCACAGAGGCCACACAGTTCCTCCAGTTCCACGTTGCCACCTATGTCGACAACGAGCTGCCAGGTCTGCCACAGGCACAGCAACGTTCTGGCCGTCCGCTCAAGACGCTCCGCCAGCGTCTAAAGGGCAAGGAGGGCAGAATCAGAGGTAACCTCATGGGCAAGCGTGTGGACTTCTCCGCAAGAACAGTCATTACTGCCGACCCCAACCTCTCCATTGACCAGGTGGGTGTGCCTCGCTCTATCGCACTCAACCTCACCTACCCCGAGACAGTGACGCCATTCAACATCGACCGCATGCGTGAGCTGATCCGCAACGGCCCCAACGAACATCCAGGTGCCAAGTACATCATCCGTGAGGATGGCCAGCGTTTCGACCTGCGTTTCCTCAAGAAGGTCAGCGACATGCATCTCGAGTGCGGCTACAAGGTGGAGAGACACGTTCAAGATGGTGACGTGGTCATTTTCAATCGTCAACCATCGCTTCACAAGATGTCTATGATGGGTCATCGTATCAAGGTTATGCCGTACTCCACGTTCCGTCTCAACCTCTCTGTAACCACACCATACAACGCCGACTTTGACGGTGACGAGATGAACCTCCACGTGCCACAGACCGTGGAGACTCGTGCCGAGGTCATTGAGATCATGATGGTGCCTCGCTGCATCGTCTCGCCACAGGGTAACCGTCCCGTCATGGGTATCGTGCAGGACAGTCTGCTCGCCAGTCGTCTGTTCACCAAGAGAGACACACTGGTAGAGCGTGACCTCATGATGAACATCCTGATGTGGCTGCCAACCTGGGATGGCAAGATCCCCGCGCCCGCCATCCTCAAGCCCAAGAAGATGTGGACCGGCAAACAACTGTTCTCGCTCATCATCCCCAACATCAACTTGGTGCGCCCGTGCTCTACATACAGTGACAAAGAGAAGGAGAAGGACACGTCAGAGTACGCCTCGGACACGATGGTCATCATCGACCGTGGTGAGCTCATGGCTGGTATCCTCGACAAGAGATCGCTGGGTAACACCAACGGATCAATCATCCACGTCACGTGGACCGAGCACGGACACGAGGCCACACGTCTCTTCATCGACCAGACACAGACCGTCGTCAACCATTGGCTCATCAACCACGGTTTCACCGTGGGTATCGGTGACACGATTGCCGATGCGGCCACAATGGTCAAGGTGCAGAACTCTATCACATCGGCCAAGTCGCAGGTGAAGGAGCTGATCATCAAGGCGCAGTCCAACCAGTTTGAGACGCAGCCCGGACGTTCCATGCTCGACTCGTTCGAGAAGGAGGTCAATCGTGTGCTCAACACAGCCAGAGATGACGCCGGTACCAACGCCCAGAAGTCGTTGTCCGAGTCCAACAATGTCAAGGCAATGGTCAATGCCGGTTCCAAGGGATCGTTCATTAACATCTCGCAGATGATGGCCTGTGTCGGTCAGCAGAACGTGGAGGGTAAGCGTGTGCCCTTTGGTTTCCAGCATCGCACGTTGCCTCACTTCACAAAGGACGACAACGGACCAGAGAGTAGAGGTTTCGTCGAGAACTCCTATCTGAGAGGACTGACTCCCCAGGAGTTCTTCTTCCACGCTATGGGAGGTAGAGAGGGTCTCATCGATACAGCCGTCAAGACCTCAGAGACTGGTTACATCCAGCGTCGTCTGGTCAAGGCCATGGAGGATGTCTCGGTCAAGTACGACGCCACAGTGCGTAACTCGCTGGGCGACGTCATTCAATTCGCCTACGGTGAGGACGGTCTGGACGGCACGTCCTTTGAGAACCAGACTATCGACACACTCAAGGTCGACAACAACGCCTTTGCCCGCATGTACAGACACCAGATCGATCGCTCCGACTATGGCGATGGCTGGATCGACCCACTCATTGTGGAGGAGATCCGCAACGACCCCACCATCAGAGAGGCGTTGGACCGCGAGTACAAGAGACTCGAGTCCGACCGCCACCTGCTGCGCACAGAGATCATCCCAAGTGGTGAGGCCACCTGGCCATTGCCAGTCAACCTTGCTCGTCTGCTCACCAACGCACAGAGATTCTTTGGCATCGACCACAGGAGGATCAGTGACCTGAACCCAGCCACGGTCGTCACAGCGATCGAGCGTCTAGCCAGCCGTCTAAAGATCATCCCACATCTCGAGACCAACGACGAGGATGCCAACTACAACAAGGCCTGGAACGAGACTCATCAGAACGCCACACTGCTGTTTAGCATGCTGCTCCGCAGCACTCTCGCTTCGAAGCGTGTCATGAATGACTACCGTCTGAACGAGAAGGCCTTCAGCTGGCTGTGCGGTGAGATCGAGAGCAAGTTCATGCTGGCCCTCGCCAACCCAGGTGAGATGGTGGGTGCCCTTGCAGCCCAGTCCATCGGAGAGCCTGCCACACAGATGACACTGAACACATTCCATTATGCTGGTGTGTCTTCAAAGAACGTCACACTCGGTGTGCCTCGTCTCAAGGAGATTATCAACTTGGCCAAGAAGGTGAAGACCCCCTCACTCTCTATCTACCTCAGACCCGAGCTCTCCAGAGACAGTGAGCTGGCCAAAGCGGTGCAGAGTCAGCTTGAGTACACAGTCATGGAGACCGTGACAGCTGCCACAGAGATCTACTACGACCCCGATCCCCAGACCACCATCATCAAGGAGGACTTGGAATACGTCAAGCTCCACTACGCCCTTGAGGATGTGCGCGAGGAGAACCTGTCGCCATGGATGCTCCGTATCGAGCTGGACAAAGAGATGATCACCGACAAGAGGCTGCACCTCTCCGACATTGCCCAGTGTATCAAGCGTGACTTTGGAAAGCTGGACTGTGTCATCAGTGATGATAACTCGCCCAAGCTTATCATCCGTATTCGTACGATCGATGAGGACATGAAGAACAGCGAGAATGACGACGACGACACCTTCCTGCGTCGTATTGAGGCCAAGATGCTCAGTGAGATGGTGCTCTGTGGTGTACCCGGCATCAAGAAGGTGTTCATGCGTCAAGACAACATCATCAAGGTCAACGACAATGGATCTTTCGACAAGGAGAAGGAGTGGGTGCTGGATACCGATGGAGTCAACCTGCTCGAGGTGATGAGCCACCCAGACGTGGACTTCTCCAGAACAGTGTCCAACGACATCATTGAGATCATCCAGGTGCTCGGTATCGAGGCCGTGCGTAATGCCTTGCTGAAGGAGCTGAGAGCGGTCATTTCCTTCGACGGTTCCTACGTCAACTACCGCCATTTGGCCATCCTTGCTGACGTCATGACCTACCGTGGCCATCTGATGGCCATCACCAGACACGGTATCAACCGTGTCGAGTCCGGTGCCTTGATGCGTTGTTCCTTCGAGGAGACTGTCGAGATTCTCATGGACGCTGCCATGTTCTCCGAGACCGATGAGGTGAAGGGTGTGACTGAGAACATCATTCTCGGTCAGCTGCCACCATTGGGAACGGGAAGCTTCGAGGTGTTCCTCAACTCAGACATGATCAAGAACGCCCACTCCATCGCCATGCCAGAGTCCAACGCCATGATTGGCTACAACGACGCCCCAGGCGCACAGACTCCCTCGCACGATGGTGGAAGCACCCCATACCATCATCCATTCAGCCCATCGGATGCTCCTTTCTCGCCATTCAACGAGACCTACAGAGGAGACTTCTCACCGGGCTACTCTCCAGCCAACAGAGGCTCATCATCGTACTCCTATTTCCCAGCCTCACCCACATACTCACCAACCAGCCCAAGCTACTCACCAACGAGTCCAAGCTACTCGCCAACTAGCCCAAGCTACTCACCAACCAGTCCAAGCTATTCGCCGACTAGCCCAAGCTACTCACCGACTAGCCCAAGCTATTCACCAACTAGCCCAAGCTATTCCCCAACGTCACCATACTACAGTCCGACTAGTCCATCGTACAGTCCGACAAGCCCATCGTACAGTCCGACCAGTCCATCGTACAGCCCAACAAGCCCATCGTACAGCCCGACTAGTCCATCGTACAGCCCAACCAGTCCATCGTATAGTCCGACAAGTCCATCGTACAGCCCGACTAGTCCATCGTATAGCCCAACTAGTCCGTCGTACAGTCCGACCAGTCCATCATACAGCCCAACCAGCCCATCGTATAGTCCAACCAGCCCTTCATACAGCCCGACCAGTCCCTCGTATAGCCCCACCAGCCCAAGCTATGCTCCCTACAACAACAACACCAACAACAAGAAGTAGGTGTGTCGGAGTAGGACCCAGGACTCATCTGTCGCTGCGCTGCCCTGCCTTGCAATTGCGAGCAGGATGAAGTCTTTGACATTGTCGTAGCAACACTGCCACATAACATTACTACCTTCCAAACAACTAGAACATGTACTAAATAAATGGACTTACAAATCAAATACAATAGCCATGGTGATTATGTTGTTGTCATTCGAATGATTGTATGTGTATTCTCCAAAGGATAACAGAAGAGGGATTGCTAGGCCAACTCAGTTCACTTTGGTTGCTGCTGCGTATCCTTTGCCTTCTTTTGCTTGTCAACACCTTCTTGTAGACAATTGAGGAATCCCTCGACGCCAGACAATGCGGCCATCGATGGCTCGCATCCAAGCTGTGCAACAATGTCGCTGCCATGTCCCTCGTGGATGGCATAGTTGAGTTGCTCGATTGCCTGGGCAAACTGTGGAGTGTGAAGCAGGTGCATGATGTCTGAGCTGCTCCTGTTGCTCTCGGGCAAGTACTCAGCGAGTTCCTTCTGTATCTCCTCGTTCTTCATGAGTGGCGCCAGGTTCTCTGGTGACAACACTCCCAACAGAGTCAGCTTGCTCTTGGCAGCTGGCTTGTAGTTTGAAAGGAAGTTGTAGAACTCTGACATGCCAGCTTGTGGATTGGTGCTGCTTGTTCCAGATGGTCGAGATTGAGATGAAGTTGGTTGTGTAGTGGCTGGTGTCGTTGTCGTTGTTGTAGTTACAGGTGTTGGAGTAGCTGGAGTTGGTTCAGTGATTTCATCTGTTGGTTATGGATTGATGAAGGGTAAGTAGGATGCGCTTGCTAGACTTTTAAAGAGTTGCAGAGGAGATGGCGATTCTCTACCAGGGTTATACTTGACTATCAGATCGATAGACTTTTCAATCTTTACATCATCATCTGGGTTCTCCTCTTGGAACCAGAAGAACTCTTTGGTGTCTGATGTATTGAGATAGAGATAGTACATTCTGCCATCCTTGCAGGCAGTGATCTTCTTGAAAACTAGCTCACCAGGAACGATATAGTATTCCTACATTGATTGGTTGATCAGTATTCATTGTAATTCTTTCAAAATAACACTTGTCTAAACATACATCTTCTGCGTTCTTCTCTCCTCTAATGAACCATTGTACGAGGATGAGTTCATCTTGCTGTTGGGATGGATTATAAAGTAAGTTATTAAGGGTTGATGAGTCACTTGGATTGATCTATACATACTATACTGAACTTTAGTGTACCCTTCCTTGTATCAGAAACCAACATCTTGTTCTCCAACTTGGCCTTGCCAGCCTTTAGCTCTACAGGTTGTGGGATTGACTTGATCTATGTTTGGTAGATTGAATTGATCCTTGTTAGGTATTGATAAATGATACCTGTTGCTCAACAGTTGTACGTACACTCATTGTATGTATGTATGTATATATGAGAATGTATTTGTTTAATTATTTGTACAAGGTAGTGATGTTTGTAATTGAAATGAATCAATCAATCAAAACAAACTTTGATGTTCACTCTTTCAAACACTTCCCAAATTGAAGAGACAGAATAGGTATAAATCAAGTGTATGGAGAAATTGCCTCCATTAGAAGTGCAATGAATATTTATTAATGAGTCACATAGGATGACTGAGGGTAAAGAGAGTGTCACATTGGACGACAGAACTGCATTTAGATCTTCTCACGGACGATGAATGACTTCCATGGGCACCAAACGTTGTCCGGGAGGAATGAGCCACCGACCTCAGCAAGGTGGCCCTCGGTGATGGAGATGGAAGCATCACAGACCTCGGTGGCGGAGTCAAAGAAGGAGATGGTGGTTGGGTTCATGTAGAAGTTCCACTGTGGATTGTACCAGATGGGCTCCGTGACAATCGTTCCCATGATGTGCTTGTGGTCGGTGATGGTTCCGTTGGCAAGACCACGGGCGTGGGCAATCAGCACTGGATCGCACAACTTGATGGTAAACTCATTGCGTTTATCGGAGAAGACAAAGTAGGCGCTCTTGGTTGCGGCGGCAAAAGCGATAGTGACAAAGAGGAATGCGCAGATTATTTGGAAGGACTTCATTGTTAAGTATATTTGATTGATTGATTGATTGATTTAGGATGTTAGTATTTGAAAATAACTATTTAAATCTTTGGACTTGGTCGTTGTCAATGATCGACATATGATGGGACGTGCCCATTAAGTTAGGACATGGTAGGTTCCAGATGGGTCTCAATCCAATCAAAATCATCATTTAGTCCCTGCAAATATCACGAATGTGAGCTTCACACTTCCGGAATTTATAATAATCTCACTCGTTCTCCTTGTCTTTGTCTTGTCTTTCTCCTGTAATAGATCATTAGTAGGCCTATTCTAAGAGACAAGCCCTCATTTACATACCTCCTAAAGACAACAAATGAAGGGACTATAGTAAGTCCTTTAGTAGGTGCTATAGGTAGGGATCAAGGTGATATATATTAATAGATTATATATTTATTCGTTTCGACCAGGTTGGTATGTTGGGTCATTGATAGTCAAGTTGTTGATTTCCGCTTGTACGTAGGATGCACTGGTCACAACATAGACCTTTTGATTCATTCTTGGCAATGAACAATCCAGGACAATTATCTAGTGTATATCTATGAGAACATTTAACTATTGCACAATTATATGTTGGATGCTTTCCATTTGATTCTCCTACTTCTCCATTACATCCATTCGCAAATGTAGTCAACAACATCATTGACATCAACATAACAAATAATACAAGACTATAATGATGTTTCATCTTTGTTTATAATATATATATATAAGTATGTTATAACTTGATAAAATATATTATATTATAATGTCATAAGTAATCTACATTCTTGTCTTTCAAAGGAATCTAGATTTGTCCAACCCATTGCCACCCCGCGACTTGTCTAGACATATGTGAAGGTGTGAGTGTGGCGACAAGTAGCCAATGCATGTACGTCATCAAGTGTGTGAGGGAGAAAGGAAGGGAAGCGAATGGCCCAATGTGGACCATAGTAGTCATGTACAAGGTTTGTTATATTTAATAATATCCTTCAATCAACTTGATCTACTCTTCATGCCTGAGGTTGTTGACCTGCTGTAGCCGCCTGTTGAAGAACTGTTATTAAGTTCATCGATGAAGGAGTAACCCCAGAAGTGGCAGCCGCTATAGTCCTTAGTTCATCCAAATGATTGGTAGCTCGAGCCAATGAATATATAGTAGACATGACCATGTTCATGTTGGACAGGTTGGATAAATCTGTTGAGAAGAATGTCTCGCGCTTGTCCACACCGAGTGCCGTGGCTGCTTTGAGGAAGTTGTCAATGTTCTCAATCTGTTGGAAAGCGATTGGTGTATGATTGATCTTCCGTATGCGATTGGGTTCGGTCAATGCATTGATCAGTTGGCATAGAATCACTCCAGAGCGTAGGTGGTGACCCAAAGGTGAGGCGTTGGGCAAATGCGATCCAAGATCCTTCAACTCGCACTTTAGCACCTTCTGTATCCATGTTCGAACAACTCCCTCCATCTCCTCTGGGTTCTTCAACGACAATCCTCTGCTGTTACTACTCTGGCTGCTGTTGCTACTGCTGATAATGCTACTACAACTGCTACTCCTGGGTGGCGTGCTCTTGGGTCCGAGTACAGAGAGAGGTTTGATGTCAAAGATGTTGGTAGTGACCTTGGTCGGTGACAGGTCCAGCTTGGCTCGGCCATTAGCCTTATTGATAATGATGCTTGGTTTTGTATCGGGTGTCTCCACTGTCATTCTAAGTTGTCGTCTCTCTGGACTTGATCTTCTGGCATTTACAGGTGAGTCGGCTGGCGACAATGACACTGGTGTTGTAGATTTGGATTGGCAGGTTGATGATGATGCGCTCTCCAAGCCCATCTTTGACGTTGAGGCAGTCGGTACTGATGACATTGAGTGAAGTAGTGATTGTGGTTGTGAACTGACTCTTGATAGCTTGCTGGTGGGTGATGACATTCCATTATAATTACTAATATTGGCACTGACACCTCCGCCACTACTACTACCCTTCAGACCCAAAATTCCAGGCAGGTCTGGTTGCGAATATGCCTTGGACAGTGATCCATTGGACATATGAGCACTCAGGTCTGGATGTGAGCATGCTTTGGATAATGGTGGAGTTGGTAAATGTATAATAGGTTGTTGTGATTGATTTGGATGAGGTTTGGTTGGTTCAATATCCTGGATAATATTGATCAGGTCCTGGAAAGGTGATGGGGATCAGTACCAAACTTCTCGCATATTGTCTGTCCAACACCATTACTTACATTCTTTAACTGTAATATATTGGTAAAGGTATTGTTGTGCATATATAGTTCTGGACATTTAATCCTGCTGGCAAGCTATTTATGATTGAAGAGAGATGAGTTAACAAACTAGTTAGACATCCTCCTGGAGGCAGGACAATATAATAAACATACATATGGAGGATATATAGTATCGCTGGCACTTGATGGTCTGGAATTCCAAGTGTTGCAGCATTGTTTCTTCAGGTCCTTGACCAAAGTATATATTTCTGTGATCTCCTCATCTATCAACGCTCGCCACTCTGCAAATACATTGACAACGTCATTTCCATACATTGCCGAAACAGTATTGTACAGTTCTGGATTGATTCCATTCAATCCACTGTTTGTTGTATTTTGTTGTTGGGATGGATTGACAGTACTGACGTTATTTCCAGAGACTGCCCACTGGTTAAAGTTGTTTTGGGCAAGCGCTGACTTGGTTTTAAGTCTAATGCTGTTGGATCCTTCGTTTAATTGTGACAGGAACTCTAGCAATACATTGTTGTTATTGCTGTTGGTATCGGCACCATCTCCAATGGCCTGCTCCAGAAATGGTAAACTGCTGTCCAATCCTTTTACACTTCCAAATCTTGGACGTGATGATGAAGTAGATGTAGAAGATGGCGTCGCGCCATCCAAATGTACTCTGGCTTCGGATGCCACACAGGAATCATTGGCGACTTCCAACTCCTTTGTCATCCTCGCAATATCCTTTTGCATATCGAATATAAATGTATCAATGTCCAACATCTCTCCTCCCATATCTCTTTCTCTGTATTCAACTATATTTCTAACTTTTATCTATTATCTTGTGATTGTCGAGAGTGAATGATTAAGTGATTAAAAGTCGAGTGAGTGCAGTGGCAGTGATTAAGTGATTGAGTGATGGAGTGAGTGAGAAGTGTTGATGATTGAGTATTTGAATCTAAATGGAATGAATGAGTGAATATATGAATGAATGTGTGATTGAATGACCAAGTTTATTTGCACATTAGACGATTCATCAACTCCTACAGGAAGGTACCAGCGTGATCACATCGATCGATGTGATATTTTGGGGCACAACAGTGTTTCGTCACTCACCCACTCTGATGAGATCACCCAACACCACTCACTCAAACAATCGATCATTGATGATTGGTCCAGAGGTTGTGGGTGGTACATTAAGACACACACAGGGTGACGTGTGATGCTAAAATGAGACTAGAGGAGAGATAATCACTATTATTAATCATTCTCATAAGACACTGTCTGTTATTTGTGTGTGATTAGTGAGGGTGGAGGAGGTTAAGGTGAGATAAATTGATGGATTGATTGATTGATTGATTGATGGATGGATGGACAGCAGCTCCTCTTTAGTTTATATGATTATTGATTGGATGGCTGGCTTGCTTGCTAGCTTGGTATTATTACTACTGCGCACGCACGCATGCGACCCATTGGACACTCGGTTCCTCTACTACAAGACTGACTGACTGACTCTGGTTTCTTCTTCTACTACTACTACTTGCTACTACTACTACTAACTATTCTAACAAACTAAATTTAGAACAATTTAGAAGATTGGAATGAACTGATCAATCTTCTGCTTCATGTCCTGACTGATGCACTCTGCAATCCAAACGATATTTCTGATCTCCTGCTCTCTCAATCTAACGTAGGCGTAAAAGACACCGTATCCGTACTGGTCCTCAAAGGCCATGCGGTTCAGCTGAACCTCGTGCTTGAAGAACGAGTCCTCCAGCGACGACTCGGCGTTGACGCCATCGGCAAAGAATGATCTGTATGAGCTGTAGACCTCCAAAATCTGACGAACACTGTCCGAGTCCTCAGCCTTGCTCAGCTTGGCAGTGCCCTCTGGGTAGAGCAGGCCAATGCCTGGGTACAACTTCTCACGGTCGTCCTTGGTCAGCTCTGTCGCTCCAAAAGAGTTAATAGTGATGTTGATCGATCTTCTGTCAGCCTCAAACTGTGAATAAGTTAAGTTAGTTAGTTGCTAGGACTTGCAAGAACACTTGTGTCTTCAATATCCTAAAACATACCTTGAGGATGTCGTTCATGATGAGAGAGGTCTGACCACCGAGCTCGTTGACGTAGTCATAAAAGTCCTCCAAGTATGCCTTGTACAAGGTGTTTCTGATGATCTCAATGTTCATCTCATCGAGGTCCTCCTCGCTGAGACAGTTCTGAATGTATGGCGCCAGTGGAGTATCAATGAGCACCGAGTTGTACAGGTCGGCAACGCTGTGCACGACGGACAGTGTGGCCATCGACTTGAACAGGCCGAGAGGGTGGCACTTCTCCACCAGCTCGGTGACGTCGCGCTCGTGCAACGTGCCAGTGATCAACAGGACGACGTTGTCAATCATGTAGCCGTAGCAGATGTAGTCCAAAAAGGTCGACAATGGCTCGACGGCCTGGTTACGGATGTGCATGAACTCGTCGACCAACTTCTGTGTAGCCTTCTCGGCGATTGTGGTCGTGTGAAGAGGTGATGGCTCTCCAGCGAGGAAATCGCCATAATCTGTTTGGCTGAGATGTAGCTTCATATCTGTTATTATTCGTCATTTCATTATCAATCGAGATATCAAGTATTGAGTTTGCATTCAAGAGTGTATGTGTGAGTGATGTAGAGAGTCGGTTAGTGATCAATCACTCATTCAATCATTCAATCATTAAAACATTCAATCAATCTTGGACGCGGTAGTCATACCTTCGAGGTTGTCACATTGACGCAAGTTGGAGTAGTCTGCAGCGGTGAGGATACCCTTTCTGAAACCTCTGAGCAAAGCCTCCAAGTATCCATCATCCTTGTTGAAGGTGAACATTCCACCATGTACTCTTCTGCTGAATAGACCCATATCTTTGACAATAATGTATATAGATAGATAGATAGATAAATAGATATAATGTTTAAATAAGAGGAGTGTTCTGAATACAAATAAATCAAAAAACAAAGGGATTGGATTGGGATAGCAGTAGTGTGTCAGACAGGCCTGTCAGTTGTTTCTGAGTGCGCTCAACAATATTGTCGTGTGTGGTAAGGGGTTGGTGAATGAGAGTGGGTGAGTGGAGATGACCAAAATGTCACTGGGATGATGGATAAGAACTGGTGAAGGAGCGTTCGACTCGATTATTTGTTTTTTCATAATTAAATTCTTTATTATCAATGTGAGTGTTTGTTGTGTGGTGAGTGCTTGTGGATGAATGAATCCCGTCAAGTCCTGGTTCAAGATGCCCAGGTCTGGCGTCCAACTAAAAAAAATCAAAGACCAGACACCAGTGTTTTCATTGACATATCTTGAACTTCCGAGATCAATCACCTGGCACATAACTTGACTGGTTTGATTGATTGACAACACCAGGTTGGTTGATTGGTTAATGATCAATTTTGATTGAACAATTCAATAGGTGATTACTTAATTAAGTTATTATTATTTGTATTGTAATAGTTGAAGTTATAAATGTTTGCGAAGTTCTCAAACTTACAAACAACATATAAACCCCTTTGCAAAGCTTTGATGAGAGTGTGTTTCATGACGAACTCAAACAAACAAAGAGGTCAACACAAAGTCAGAGTTTGACTTTGAAGATGCACTGCATTGTGGATGTTGGGGGTTACTGCATCATCGATGATTGTTATTGTTTAATCATTTATATACTAATACTTACATATATACAATATACATATAATATAATATAATAAACAATGACTGGAAAGAAGAAACAGAATTCAAAGCCAAAGACATTCGAAGTGACTGAGGCTGTCGACTTTGGCAATGGTGAACAAACTGCTCCAGTGGCTGCTGCAGCTCCATCCAAGGGTACTGCCACATCAAAGAAGTCTACTACCCCTGCTACCAATACTACAACTACTACTACCTCTGCACCAGTTGTCGCCACTCCAGTCCCAACACCTGCACCAGTATCCACAATCACAGCCAAACAAACATCCTCGACACCTTCCGCCTCAACAACATCTACAACTACAACAAGCGCTACGAAGCCAGTCACCACTACACCAACCGCCAAATCAAACAAGAAGACAGAGACAGAGACAAAGAGTGTACCAGATACATCATCATCAAAGAATGAGTCAGGCGACCACGACAAGAAGAAGAATGCTGCCGCTTCACAAAAGGCCGCCTTCACTGTGCAGCCCACCAAGAGATTCTCTGGCGATTCATTCATCTCAGTTCTGGGTGTCGATGAGGACACATCAGCCCAGCGCGAGGCAACCGTCGCCGGTGTCGACGACAAGGACAAGCCCAAGGCCAACCAGCAGGCCTTGCAAAAGAAGAGACAGGTTCTCACTGCCAAGCAGCTTGCAGAGATCAAGCTTGCCAAGCAGCGCGAGGAGGAGAAACTGCTCGAGTCATCAGTCAACACGTCGTCCGAACTCAAGAGATTCATCAGCAAATCATCAGATTCTAGCTCATCTGTGTTCCAGCTGCTGACATCACCAGCCGCCTCATCCGTCCTCATGATCATTTCACTCTGTCTCTTGGTACTCCTTGGTTACATCAGCTTCACCACACAGGCCTCTGAAATGAACTCGACCTACACCTTTGGCGTTGGTCTGATCGCCATTGTTATGGTGGCCTCTGCCGTTCTTGCAGCAATGTAAGTTACATTCTCCATATACTTGTTCATTCAAGACTAGTCCAGGTGCACTAACATGAATGATTGACTATCCAACTCGAACAGTGGCGGAAGCAAGTCCAACTCCAGTGGAAACAAGGCAAGTGTATCAAAGAGGAAGTTCATCCCAATGAGGACCAAGTAAATTGATTGATCGATTGATTGATTGTTAACCTTGGATATTGATCCTTGGACGCGCGTGTGTAATAAAGGGGATGCGATCGATTGATTATCAATCGTAGACCTCACCCTCACTCCTTATCCTTGCCCTTGCCCTCGCCCTTACCCTCACCTCTATCTAACCATCAAGTTCGCTATCAATGTACGGTCCTTTGGTTTATTATTGGGAACAGGGATTTTAGTTCTTGTTGTTGTTGTGATGGTCCTCATCCTCGTGTTGGTCCTCATCATGATCCTCGTCGTGCTCCAGGTCCTCATCGACTGTATCTTCTTGTGCCTTGATGTTGACAATCTCGTCGAACTTGGATGCCAAGATGGTGGTCTGTTTGGCGGACAGCAGTTGGCTGGCAACGTCCTTCTCCTGCTCCTTGCGTGGCACAGTGAATCGCTCCTGCAGCTCCTGCTCCAACACGTTGATCATGCCGGCTGTGGGCAGATCCTGCAACTCCTGCAGGAACTCCTTCTCGAGCTGTGCCAGCTCAGCGTCGGTCAGCTCGTCAGCGGCCTTGTCGAGCTGGATGGCGTCCATGATTGGCTTGGCCTTTCTGCTGCTCGTCAGGACGTCCTCGCCAACGTCGTTTCTAATCACTGTCTCGTCAGCTGCCTGCACCTTGGTGCCCTTCTTGTTGATTGGTGCGCCAAACTCATCCTCTTCGTTAATATCGTCCTCATTGTTCTCGTTGTCCTCGTTGTCCTCGTCCACCTTGAGCTCGTCCTCGGCGGCCGCCAGTTCTTCGCCATTCTCGAGGGCGGCAAGACGTGCCTGCTTGTCTTGCTCTTCCTTCTCCTTGGGCGTCAAGGGTGGTCTGACAAAGTGCTTGCTGAATGATGGCGTGTCGTGTTTCAGGTTGGGATCGTAGACGTTGTTGATGTTTTCGACGTCGACGCCCTCTGTCTTGAGCTGCTGCTTAAGCGTGGCGAGCTGTGCCTCAAAGTCGACCTTCTTGCCGTCCTCAAACTCCATGACGGCCTCTTGAATGTCGTCGTGGCGGTCCAGCACCAGGTTGCGATCGCGCGGCAGACGGTTGAGGATGGTCTTGTCAAACAGACGGTACTGGGCAAACTGCATCTCGTTGGGCGACTTGTTCCACGCCATGCACTTGTCGTTCATCTCGACGAGCCACTCGCGACGCGCCTTTGTCTGGATCTCTCTGATCTTCTGCTGCTTCAACTTGGCCAGACGCTTACGCTCCAGCTTCTGCGCGGCCTGCTCTTGACGGGCCTTCTCGAAACCCATGTCAATCAAGAACATCGACTTCTTCTGCTGCTCGCGTGCCACCTTGATGTGAGCCTTCTCTGCGGCCATCTTTGCGTGGTTGGCTTCGATTCTCTTGCGACGGTCCTCGATGAACTCGTTCTTGTACTGAACATGACGCTCCTCGGCCAAGAATGCAAGTCGCTTTAAGTTGTTTCGCATCTCTGCCTGCATGATCTTTCTGTGATGGATCAGTTTTGTGCCCCATTCTTGGCCACCCTGTACAACTAATCTATTCATTGTTTGTTGTTGTTTATATATAAGTTATGTGTACAGTGATTGGTGATTGAATGAATGATGAGAACATTCGTGTGTTCTTGAACTTTTGTCGACTTGAGTGTTTTTTTTGATCAATGACACAAACTTGAAAAAAAATACACTTTTGGCATTGTTCCAAGACAATTATCATCACTGGTCTATACTTATCCATGGAGATATCTTATCTTATTTCAATTAACAGTTCAATTCCATCAATTATACTAAATCCACTAATCAATCAATAAAGTCTGATTGTGATTGAATAGTATCAATCTGTTTTTGATCACTTGGGATAATATTTTAATCTAATCAGAATCATACAAGTTTTGAAATTTCAATTTACCAAGTTTGGTGTAAGTCTTGGTAATAATATGATGATCTAGACACTCATATTTCCACTCTCTTCTTTCTTGTTCTTGATGAATTCCATGATATAGTATTTCTCCATAACATTGTCAGCAAGCTCCTCACTACCTCGTAGTAGTCTCTTGGTGGAATATCCAAGATTCTGAGCCAAAGAATTGACTTCTTGTAAGTTGCTACAGTTGCTGGTACCAATCACAATCCTTCCGGTCTCTGACAAGTATCTCTCCGACTCTTTGATGTATCTTGATAGTAGTTGGTAGCCTGGGTCCAAGGTCTTCTCCGTTTGCAACTCCTTGATCACATTGGGGTTGTTCTGCCATGGATGGTTCCAGTAAATCCACTCGAATTTGCTACCCTCAGGCAAGGCATTGAATACATCACTCTCTAATACAAGTCCAGATAGGTTGTTCTGGCTCAAGTTGAGTTTGGTGGTCTCTACTGCATCGGGGTTAATGTCAACTCCAGTTGTCTTGGCACCAGCTCTTGACATGTAGACAGTGGTGATACCACTGCCAATGCCAACCTCTAGGAATCGGTCTCCAGGTTTAACCAATTGTAACAATTGTCTAGAGTACCAAGCTGACTCTGGGAAGTAGAATGGAGAATATACATTCGGATGTATATTAATCTTTAATCCATCAACATCCATTGAGTAAATATTCTGATGATCTCCAGCTTTTCTCAACATCTCAGCGACCTTCTCCTCCCAAACATGTCTCTCTTCAATCTTCATTCTATTTTATTTGATTGATTATGATAAAGTATGGAATATATTTATATATTATTGTTGTATTATTATTATTTGTTTATTATAGGATAAGAATATAATATAATATTTATTATTATACACTTGTGTAACAAATGGAACTCAATCAATAAATCATAACCAACCAACAATCATCCACATCGTATACAGCCAACCACTACCATGTATTCAAACAACCAAACCATCCTACCCAAACCTTTAAACAAAACAGTCAATACAAACCATAGAAGGTGTATACTTCCTTTAATATTTATGTTGTGTGTTGGAAAGTTGATCATACTCGTTGTTATTGTTAATCCAGTGATCACTCTCTCTCAATACCTACCATTGACTTTCTGGTATCCATAAGGTTACCACCTCAACAACAGTTTGTTAAAGGTATTATAGTATAGGTCTGTACCTCTAGAGGGTGTATAATTGATGTCCTACAACGAAATAGAATTGGTAGCCACTACGCTGGCTTTGTGCCCCCTCTACCACTTTGATCTCTAATTTCATCATCACACACCCACACTTACACCAATCACAATGCTTGTGTTGACTGGTCGTTGGGGTAAATGTAGATTAATAGGGTCATCAGCTACACCTACCTCTACTTTAAGTCAAAGGAGGGATTGCCACCCAATTATCAAATAAAGGGTGAGTTGATTGATTCAACATTTATTTTGAATATAGATAAATATTATTCTATTATGTTCCAGAGATAAGATACAGGGTACATGGCCTAAATCCTTCTGGAAATAAGATTTATTTCATAAGAATACTGAGGTTGAATCGACGCTTCTTTGATAGTATCTCAGACATACCATGAACTTCAAAGATCATGTCCATGTCCAAATCCTCAAAATATATTTGCAAACTAGTTTGTTAATATATTTTAACGATTAGGAGTACTCTGAGAGGTAGGATAGGAGGGATGCACGAATGATCATTCGTACTGTGAGGTCTAAGCGTAGATCTGATCCCGCCCAGATATCAAGGGGGGTACCCCATGATGGCCTAATTTAGCAACAAACACACCATCAAAAATACCTCCAAAATTATCAAAATTCACCATCATTGCAACAAAAGGGCCTCTGAGGTCCCCTCATCTGTTGTCATCATGAGAATCCTATTGTTAACCTAAAGGTGACATTGCAACAGTGTGCTAACAAACAAACAAACTAACAAACAAACAGTTTGATATACTATTTGCGAGAGATAGAGAGATACAGAGAGAGAGAGAGGAGATAAGATGATACACAGACTTTATCATTCGACAAAGTCGACAACATCATCATCATCATCGTCAGGCCAGCAAACACCAAATAAGGCATTGTCCGCGGAGAATCTCAGTCCATCATTGTCCGAGGCTCACACATTCTCTCAACAACAACAGCAGCAACCGGCAAATATAACATTGACACAGATAATCGCTTGTACACAATACCTTGAGACCAAGGCAGCCAAAGACCTTGGTGGAATCCTACTCGTCGACACATCATCCACAATCAAACAACAACAACAGGTCACAATTGACAAGATTATCGAACAAAGTAAGTTGGACCTAGTCCTGGGATTCCTCGCCCCAGCCCAGCCATTCACACACTCACACACTCACAATCACCTGATCAATCACAGATGACTTTGCAAAGTTGGATAACAATCCATATCTTGTAGTCAATATACTAAAGACATTATTGAGACGAAGTGATATAATCGATAGGAATACATTCCAGATGTTGATAATGAGTATGGCCATCAGGACCAATGAGAATCTCAATCTGTTTGTGATCAGAACACTCCTATGCAGTTTACCACGCGACTCCTATTCAGCACTCGAACATCTCTTTGCCTTTATCCTCCGATTCAGTATGGATACCAATGTAAGTATTGTACCCTAGGTCATGGATGCCATGGACCTGGTCCTGGACCATGGTCCATGGACCAAACAAACTACTCACACGCACACGATCAATCAATTAGACATCACTCACATCAGTTGCAGAACTATTCACACCATTGATATTCCCATTGAGTGAGGCTGAGAGTCTGGCACATCAACAACAACTACCACAACAAGTACAACACCAGAGGTCTGAGGATGAGATATCCATGGTCTCATCAACGCCTTCGCCAACAATGTCAGCCTCAGCCTCAGCCTCAGCTTCACCATCACTTCGCTCAACATCATCCTCGCCATCCCTGCGCTCAACTTCATCCTCATCATCACTGCGCACATCTGATAACAACAACAATAGTACCAACAAGTATAAACATCGATCTCGAAGTGTAATCATCCAGCTTCTCAACAACTACAGGACGTGCTTCAGTCGCGACCCGCTCACATTCAAACATACCGAGTCGGTCGGCCAATCAAACCACATCTTCTACGACACGGCCGTCGCCATCGATGAGGACGCAAGCGGCGGCGCATGGCCCGCGCACTACAAGTCCATCAAGGCCGAGGCAATCGACATGGCCATCGCCAGACTGCTGGTCCGCCAGTGTCTGGCCAGCACACAGCGTCTCTCTAACATATACCTCAACTCCAACTTGCTCAAGGACAGCCACATCCGCGAACCATTCAACTACGACAAGTACATCTATCACAACCAGTTGTCATTGATGATCCAGTTCCTGCACAATTGTCAACGCTTCAGTAATCAGCAGCAGGGCGCGGCGGCAGCCCCACCCCACACCGAGTCCTGCATCGACTCAAACATCGATCGTCGACGATTCAAGCTCAAGTTGTCGGTGGAAGCCAAGCTCAGCATAATTTCCAAGCACATTGTGTCAATGGCACATCACATCGATGATGAATGCCCTCGCGACATGATCCAAATGGTCGGTTTGCTGTCCGACATGATGATCGAGGACTTGTCATCTGAGGCACTGGCGCCCGAGCTAAGACTGGCCGCCCAGGAATGTCTGGCGCCCGTTGCCATCCTGGATACTACAGCACCCGACTCTCCTCCCTTTGGCGAGGAGGCCCTTCAGGACCTGACAGCACGCCTGCACATGCTGGGTCGCTACCTGGACCGCGACCTGCGGTCCGTCGCTGGCAACATTGCGGGCGACCTTGACGTGGAAAGCGAGCAGGCCAACAGCAAACTCTCTCAGCTCGCCAAGGTGCTGCGTCGCCTGTGTCGACACGTGGAGTCATTGGCCCTTCTGTGGATGCCCATCATCGAGTTTGAGGCGCAGCACTGCCGCCCCACTCACCTGTACAAAGAGGTGTATGATGGCTACTCATTGATTGACGCTGTGTGCAAGGAGGTCGAGTTGATGCTGGTCAATCAGAAGGCGGCATCAGAGGATCTGGTGACCATTGCCCGAGTCCTAAATCGGTTGACCAAGGCACTGCATCGATACGAGTCATCGTCCTCAGTGGCCGACAGCATGGGCGAGATCAACGGTAGCTTTGGTGGAAGCAGTAGTATTGGCAGCAGCATTGGAATGAGCATAAGTGGTAGCATGGGTGGTGGTGGCGACAGTGGCAGCAGTAGTAGCAACAGCAGCACCAACAGCACGCCAACAACATCACCTCGCAAGCAATACACCTCTGGCTCACTCTCGCCCAAGTCAACAATCTCATCAGCATCATCATCAACATCAACTTCATCAACGTCGGCAACATCATTATCATCATTCCAATTCATTATGAACAAGAAGGAGTTGATGATAGCATTGTACATTCAGCTGGACCTGCTCAAGAGCAGCTTGGATCAGTGGCGACGACTGTTGCATCCAAGGACACCGTCCAGTGGCGTGCTCAGACATCATACGAGGGTCAGCTTCATCATCAACGCCCTGTCACAGCTGCCAATCTTTACACGATACACATCCCATCCCTATTTTACCAGTCGGTCACTCGAGCCCTTGTCCGCACAGAACCGATCGTCCACCAAACTCACACTCCTACTGGCTCAGAAGCAGACATCATTGAGCAATGCCAATGTCAAAGTTAAGAATCTGGTCAATGTTATAAATACATACCTGTGTCCAACTTAACTAAGGTTAAGTTAAGTTAGTCAAACCATTCGTGATTGATTGGAACTATTCCAATTCCCTGCTTGATTGTGTGTTGTGTCCATGATTTACAAACGTACTTCCACCTCAAGTAAATAACTTAATTATATTTATTAATATGAAAAGTTATTAATTATTCCAGTCCCCCTCACACCCGTTGATCATCACAATCACACGAATGATTAATTCCACACCTTTTGTCATTCGTCTTATTATTTGTTTCCACACCAATATACATATAAGTATAAGTATATATTTCCATGACATATAATAATATAAATATTAATAGTAATAATAACAATGATATTACATTGATGATGCCAACCACAACGACAACGACAACGACAATGTCAAAGTCATCTCAACATTATATCAATGATCGTGGAGTTATCATGCATGTTCTTACAAATCGTACATTGATAAGGACTATAATGAATGCATTCAAGAGCAAGTCGTTGTACAAACAGTTAAGAATACACATCAATGACCCGGACAATGGCCTGCGAACAAAGATGGATCACTGGCGTGACGCATCATCAATCATTCGTCACAAACATTGGGGTCTGCTACGCTACCGCATGCAACAAGGACATCCCCTAAACTTCACCTTTGACTCAGCATTTGACGTCTGCGCCGCCAAGGACATTGATAGGGACACATTCATGGCCGTCTACACTCGCTATCAATCATTCTTTATAAAGACAGAGGCATATGCTGAGGCGATCAAAAGTGATAACATGATTGTTGTGCAAACCCTGTTGCACCAGACTGTTCCTGTAACCTTTGACAGGGACCCTCAGCGACTGGAGGATGCCGCACTATCATGTGATAAAACATTCAAGATGCTCAAGTACCTTATGGACTCGGGATTGTTTGACAATAGCGTGCTCTGGACACGCAACTACTCTTGGTACTGGGTGTTCAGTGCATCTCCCTCGGCAATCCGATTTATCCTGGATCCCGCCAACTTTCCACAAGTACTCATCGACAAGATCAAAGCCCGTGCACCACATCACCCGGATCTCTTGATTGCCCAAGGTGATCAGCAATTGATCGATAAACTCCTCTTCAAGGATGGCAAGAAACTGTTTTGGGCGCAAGTCTCGAGTGATTGGATGCACCCACAAAGTGTCACACCAGCTGATCAACTGGCGCACTTTGAACGAATCATTCCCGAGGATGAGGAATTGAATGATCAGGCAAGGATGATACTTGAATCCTTCAATGATGCGTGGAAGATGTATGTGTGTCCGGGCACACAACATGTGGACATTGGACCTGATCAACGATTGGTCTTCATCAAATTGAGCGAGATCCTTATCGATTGGTCGCAACACTTTGACAAGCTTGGCGAGTACATCATGCGCGAATACATCAAGACTGGAGACTGTGCTATGCTCCAATACTTCTTCATCCACCGACGACAATGGGCAAGAACTTCCACCATACAAAGTGACACTGCAAAGTTGATTGAAATGGTCATCAAGCATGGCACCATCAAGCAGGTCGTTTCCATTTTTTGCTCGCATTTTAAACATCGTGGAGAACACTGAGGAGGCAGGCGGGGAGGCCTTAGACAAAAACAGTTACTTTGGCAGTGAGATGTTCAACTCATTCATCAAGGCCGACAACTGGGTCAGCAGCATAGAGGTCATCCTTATGTTGAACCAATGTAAGGTGGTGCAGGCCGGTATGGGCCATGACGACCCCAAGGCACTCCACTGCCCGATTGGGGTGCTCAGGTTCCTGCTCTCTGATGAGATAAAGATATTCACAAAGGAGCAGGTGTTGAACAATCTAGTTCTGGACATCAACCACATTGAGTACATACTCAAGTTCAAACCCACGCTACTCAAGCTTGATACATCACTGGAGCCACTGGTACAATGTGCGTTGATCAATGGCCGCATGGACATACTTAGTTCACTTCTCAATCAAATCCCACTTCCCAATCTTAAGCGAATGAGAAAGTTACTCAATTACACTCTCATTACATTTGGAAATTCCGAGGCGATCAAGATGTTTGCCAAGAAAGGATTGATCCCCAAGAAATCAATCATTGAACTGTTGGCAAGGCGTGGCGACTGTGGTCTATTGGATATCGTCATGGCCAACATGCCCAGTTTGTTCAATAAGCAACTTAATAATGGAGCAGATGGTCCAATCACAGTCATTCCATTCTCTGTGGTGGTCGAGCAAGCCATTAAGTGGGGACAGGTTGACATGGTCAAGCACATCTACTCGCACAAAGGCAGCAAGATCCATTTGATCAAACATCACAGTACTGCTGTTAGTCTTGGCCATGTCGAGCTGTTGGCTTATCTCTGGGAAGTGGAGCCAGTAGAGAATTATGAAGAGGTGGAGGAGTTGTTCAACAAGGCCATCAACACTGGCCAAATTGGATCATTGGTGTGGCTACTCAATCATGTTGATGATGATACAAGTGCACAGCTTATGGCAGGTCCAATCAACATTAAGGAAGCAATTGGAAATAATGACATACCAATGTTGCGTCATCTGATTGACAATGGTGGAGTACTGGATTTGAGGTCCATTCACAATCTTAAGACATACCAGTCCAATCCAGGAATTCAATCATTCATAGCGCAGTACAAGGATCAAAGGGCGCAGCAAAACAATACCCTCAAGCGTCGATCGTCCAGCTCAAATCCTCGTCCAAGTAAACAATCCAGAAAGAAATAAAATGGATAATAATAATAATGATCAAAAAATATTATACTTCGAAGTTTGTCCCTCCCTGACTATTCAATCACCCGCTTCAACAACAAATAACTCTCGAATCAATCTAATCACTTGATCATTTCAATCTCTTGATCACTCGATCACTCAATCATTAATCACACAATCACAACACAACCCATCACTTGATCACACCAATCCTTGGATCACTCAATCACACTTACATAATGAACAGCATTGGTGATCGAGGTGTAATAGTTCATGTGTTGACTAATCGAACATTGGTGAGAACCATCTTTGAGTCGATTCGCGCGATTCTTACACATTGGAGGTACAAGTTATATATCCATAGCAAGAACAGTGGACTTAGGACAAAGTACAATGACTGGGTGGACGCCAAACTAATGATCGAATACAAACATTATGGTCTGATACGTGATCGAATCAAACGTGGCCTACACATCAACTTTGACCACAATGCCGTCTTGTCCATATGTATTTCAAGAAACATTGATCAGGATACATTCGACACTGTGTACAAGAGATATCAATCATACTTTGACAAGAGCAATTCATATTACAATGCAATCAAACATGATAATTTGGTTGTCGTGAAGACATTGTTCCATCAGACCTATCCCGTGACCTTTGAACGAGTCGATCTGTTACTCAAGTTTGCATTGTTGGGCGATGGCTTCAGTGTGCTCAAGTACTTTATGGACTCTGGACTGTTTAACAACAGCATCTTGTGGCAGAAGGTGAATGAAAGTGATCAGATGTACTGGGACAAAGTGTACAGGGCACCTCCCTCGTCCATTCGACATATACTTGATCTAGGCCACTTTCCACAACCACTCATTGATCATATCAAGTCACTTGCCAATCAATATGTATTCGATCTGATGTTGAAAGGAGATCTACAACTGATCAATGATCTAATGTTCAAGGATGGAGTCAGGCTGTTTGGAGGACCCATCACAAGTAAGATGTTGTTGCCCTTCGACTTCCCACCAGCTGAGCAACTGGCACACTTCCAACGAATGTTGCCAAACTCCACAACCGCCACCTCGGCCGAGACGAGCGATGTGATTGCAAAGTCAAAAGAGCGAGTGACGAAGATATCAATCCCGAAAGAGTACATTGATCATCATGGACTGGACATTGGCGATGATGCACGTACGATCTTTGTCAAACTCAACAATCTGGCGATTGATTTGAAGGGTGATATTCGTGATGAACTTGGACTGGCCTCGTACACCGTCTCCCAATACATCATCACTGGTGACTACATGCTCTTGCCACACATGATATCCACTCACATCAAGTGGCCCCCAACAAGATTTCACAATACTGTTGGAGATGTTAATGAACTTTTCAGGCTGATTATCATACAAGGCAATATTATCCAGGCACTGGTATCATACGAGATCTTGAACAATATGTTTGAGAGTCTGCCTCAAGATGACGAGAATCGTCCAACACCAGCATCATCATTCCCATCAAATTCATTTTATTATTCATTGTTCAACAATTTTGTAAAGGCCAATGACATGACAAAGAGTCATCCAATCATCCAATACTTCATCAGCAAGAACAGGAATCATCGACCAATTCCCAAGGACCATGAAGAAGATTATTTCCGAGGAACACAAAGTTTGAAATATTGTTTAATGTCTGGTTCAAACTACCATAGCCTATGTACCGAGATGGGAAATGTCGTCCTCCAGCTCCACCACATTGAACAATTGATCCGAGACCATCCCGAGCTTCTTGGCAGGACCAACTTTGCACTCATGGTTCAGGTAGTGGCATTCTATGGTCGAGCCGACTTGCTCCAGGCACTCATTGATCGTGCTCCACATAATTGTATCAAGAAGACAATAGGGGATAAAATGGCCAATGACAAATATTCAACAAGTCGTAGCTTGGATGTCATCAAACTGTTTGGCAATCATCGAGTGCTCAAGTTTGGCACTGACACGAATATGATCAAAAGTGGACTCTTTGGAGATTTGGACATGTTTGATTATCTTGGAGTACATTGCCAACTTCATGGAGGACAAGAAGGCGCAAAGTCGATTGTTTGTGACCATTGTGTTGGAGTCTGCCATCCTCAATCATCGTGTTGACCTCGTCAAGCACATTTACTCACGACACAGAGTGTACGTGGGAACCAAGCAACATCACATCATCGCCGTTAGGTATGGCAACATTGAACTACTGGAGTATCTTTGGAATGTCGATCCTTTATACCCACGAGATATTGATATATTATTTAGTGAAGCAATCAATATTGGACATATTGAGACATTGGATTGGATGATCAATCAATCAAATATCACTCATGATTGGACTGTTTCTGATAAACTCAAGGAAGGTCCAATCAAGATCAATGATCTAATTGATAAGAATCACATTGCAATGATTAGTCATTTGGTTAATATTGGTGCAACACTTGATTTGATGAATGTCCATACACTCCCAAAGTATCAGTCAAACTGGTAGAGGTTGACATTAACCTACAAACTCTCCAGTTTTACATTACAATCAAAGACATGTCACTGTCAAGGGGAGTACAAGTGTCTGAGTTCAACCGACAACTTACCCAATGGAATGTAGAGAATAATATTGGAGGACATACTGTAGGTCAAGCGACAAATTTCAGGATCGAAATGATGATACCACCTCACAATCATCGATTTCTTTTCATTCGGTAAGTAGTATTAATGTTCAATACTAATATCAACTACTACTAATAACTAACTTGCAAAACAGTATACCAGAGACAGCATTCATATCGCATTCAAGGTATCAAGCACTCCCCAATGATATTAAAGATAATGACTGGCCATCTACCTCACTTCCTGACTTTCTTGTTGAGGTTAGATCAAAGATTGACATTCTCCAAGAACTAAAGATTAGGATGTGTCGATGGATCCAAGCTGGTGTCAAGTCCGTTATTCTGTTTGATTATATTGGATACAAAGAAGTCAATCATCCAGAACATATTCCTCCAAGTGCATATATCTATTGTGACGCCTATGGTGGAGCAATCCCCGACACAATCATACAACAAGTTAACCATAATATCGAAAAGGTCAACATGGAGATCAATGAATACATCAATAGTATCCAACAATTGAAATTGGAACTCCCTGGTTTACCACCACATAGCACTAATGCGAGTGTCAAAGAGTTAACAAGGCTTCAACAAGAACTCAAACAACTCCAAGAGTTTCAACATGAGTATTTCAACAACCTAATTCCAGTTGTTTCAATCAATCATCGATACGTGTGTGATTGTTCTAAGTGTGGAAACATTCAACACGAAGTGAACGAGCAGTTCCCCTATGTCTATTATCGACAAATTTCACTCAATGGTCCCAATTCTAGGAACATCATTATTCATTGTGTTGGTGCTGTTAATGGAGCCCCCAAATTCCATAATGGAGCCTCCAAATCAATCTTTCAACAATCCCCCTATGATCAATCAAACACCATTATTATTCAGGGATGTAGTTTGATACAAATACGTATATATAAATAAACAAACTTATACTTTTGTTTGTCATGCAATTATAATTATGATAATGTTAATTAATTGGATAGCCTTATTAGGATATTGACACGTCGTTGTAGGCATATTGAATGAATCAACCAGTTAACTTCTCGAGTTTTAAAGTTTACAAAGGTTCGCGATAACCTAGGTGAAGATCAATCTTTGCGAGCTAAATTCTTAAGTTCATCGCACTCAACTACTGGCAACTAATATATATATATGATTAAGTGTGTTGTTTGAGATTATGAAGTAGTTATAAACATCACTGTTCACTTACACATAATAGTTACATATACATTTATTCATACATACAATGTCATCTCAAGAACGTGGACCAATCATACAGGTGCTTACTAATCGCATGTTGTTCAGGACAATAATCAAGACGCTTTGGACTAAATCTACTGATATAAAGTTCATTCAACTTTCATTCTCAGTTCGTACAACTATTGCGATGAAGTACGATCATTGGGTCGATGCAGCCGAAATCATAGAGTACAATCACTTTGGTCTGCTACGCGACCGACTCAAACGCAACCTTTACATCAAGTACGCACCCGAGCGCGCCAACAACATGGTGTGTCGCGCCAACAAGATCGACGGCGACACATTCGCAGCATTGTACAACAGATACCAAGTACACTTCAAACATTATAAAGAGTACAAGATGGCGATCAAGTGGGACAACCTGGTTGTCGTGAAGACTCTGTTGCATCAGACCTATCCCGTAGCCTTCCCGCGAAACAATAAGTTGCTGATTCACGCCACCAAGTCGCTATCGTACACCGTGCTCAAGTATCTCATCGACTCGGGATTGTTTGATTGTTCAGTGCTCTATCGACCACAACTGGAAGAGGACGACCCTTCAATCAAGCATGTTAGTTGGAGCTCAGTGTTTGCCAACTCCCCTGAATCAGTCAGATACCTCCTCGACCCTGGCAACTTTGATCAAACATTCATCGACCTTGTCCGACGAAATGCATGTCAACATGTCGAGTTTATAATGATGAGGGGCGATAAGCAGTTGATCGATGATCTATTGTTTGACGCACTTGGCAAACCATTGTTTGGCGATCAACCAATCAACAGTCAGATGATGTTGCTTGAAGCCACGCCCGAGGAACAGTTGGCGCACTTCCTTCGCTTCCTCCCCCTGGACAACACTAGAGTTGAGCGAGCAAGTGTACCGCTTGATGTCAATTCCAATGACATACTTTCGATGGTCAAGGACTCCATCCCAGAGTATATTCAGATTGATCCAACGTTGACTACAAAGGCTGTGGCATTGAGTCACGATCAGCTTCTAGTGTACAGGATGCTCTTCCAAATGGAAATTGAATGGAGGAATCACATCTCTGGTGACAGCTTAGTTTCAATCATCGTACGGCATTATCTGAAGACGGGGGATTGCCAACTCTTGCCCATGCTCTTCCACTCGCCACCATGGATCGTCCCCTCCGAGTTCCACAAGTACATCTCTGGACTTTTCAACCTGCTCATCAACTATGGCAACGTTGCACAGACAGCGATCATCTACACATTGCTGGCACAACTGCTCCAGACCAATCATTTGCAAGATCTCATGACTGTGTTCTTCGATCCAACAATGATGTACCATTCATTCGCCAGTGCCAAGGATGTGGCCAAAAGCTTCCAGGTCGTCAGATACCTCAACGCACGCCACGTCGTCCAAACTGATATGGGAGTGCTCTGCAGGAAGTTCCTTGGCACGCCTGAGATGTTACAGTTCCTATTGTCCGACGCCAGCACAATCTTCTCAAAGGACCTGATCATCAGCAACACGTTCTTTGGCATCAGTCACATCGAGTACATCGTCCGCAACAGACCAGAAATAATGCGATTGGTTCATCACAACGATCACCTCATTCTATTTTTGGCATTCTTTGGACCTACCAACAACGAACTGCTCACCCAGCTCCTGGACCTCCTCACACCTGAGCAACTCTTGGCCAACTCTGCAAAGGGGCGCGTACAGACCGCGATCGTGGCATCAGCCATGTCTAACTTGGACTTGATCAATGTGATTGCCAAAAAGATCCAATTGAATCGAGATAAAGTGGCCTCCAAGGTGGGACGTGTTGGAGATGTAGCACTATTCCAAGCTGTGCTCGCACATATTGTCGCGCCAGAGGGCGAGGACCTGGAGACCACCCGACAATCCTTTATATCCTCAGTTCTCGAAAAAGCCATTGACCTACATCAGATGGCACTGGTCAAGCATATCTTTGAACAATTTGGAGATCTGGTCCTTAGTGCTCGTTCTTACATTGGAACTACAGCGGCTCATGGCAATATGGAGATGTTGGCATATCTCTGGCAGGTGGACAAGTATGAGGAGATGGCCAAGTTGACTAAAGATGCTATCAATGGTGGCCAAATCCAGGCGTTGGACTGGTTGCTCAATCAAGCTGACAAGGTGACATATGATCGAATCAAGGCCCATCCCATCAATATCAACGATCTAATAGTCAACCATTACATTGATATGTTGCGACATTTGATTGACATTGGTGCTACACTTGATCTGAGCACCGTCGACAAATTGCCAGAGTACCAGAACAATCCAAGCATTCAATCATTAGTCGCTCAATACAAGGAACAAAGAGATAACAACCTCAAGAGAATGAATGATGGCTCATAAAACAACATTTGCAAGAGGAATAAGAATAATTAGAATAAATTAGATTGTGTAAGGGTCTGGAATCATTCAGGAATGATTCCCAACCCACACCTAGTCTTTGGGCCTATTTGAAAACGATCTTAAGATCAGCATTCAGTCATTTGATCTTATGAACACGCGAATGGCACAACAACAGATACATAATAGAGATGATCATCATCATGGACCAATCATGAAGGTCCTCACCAATCGAATGTTGTTCAGGACAATCATCAAGGTGACATTGCCCAAAGAGACATACAGGAGGTTCATCGCACACATACTTAATAGAGACAACAAGGTCATAGTTGGCCTATCAACCAAGTATGATCAATGGGTAGATGCTCAACATATAATCAATAACAAACATTATGGACTGTTGAGAGATCGTATCAAACGTAGACTTCACATCAACTTCTCATTCGACGCTGTGATGGAATTGTGTAGATCGAATGACATTGATCACGACACATTCCTTGCAGTGTATAACCGGTATCAATCTTACTTCTCACAGCGAGCAGCTTATATTGAAGCAATCAAACATGACAACCTTGTCGTGGTGAAGACTCTGTTGCACCAGAGGGAACCCGTGGCATTCGATCGCGACTTTGGTGTGCTCAGCAATGCAACCTTGGCCCCAAACTTCACCGTGCTCAAGTATCTCTTGGACTCTGGCCTGTTCAACAACAACGAGCTATGGGACAACATCAATCATTCTTGGGACTCGGTGTTCAAGACATCATCGTCATCCATCAGGTTCCTACTCGACCCTCACAACAACTTCCCTCAGCCACTCGTTGATGCGATCAAGAAACATGCGACTAGCTGTGTCAAGTCGGTTATGGCTACAGGTGATCTACAGTTGGTCAATGAACTGTTGTTCAAGGATGATGGAACAGTCAAGCTGTTTGATGATCCGATCACAACATATATGATCATACCTGGTATCACACCTGCTGAGCAACTGGCACACTTTAAACGCATGCTCCCGCCCCACGAATGGATTGAAGAGGTCGCACGGGAGAAGATGGCCAAATATGCATACCCAGATTCAACTCACGACTTTATGACGGAGCGAGACATGGACCCATCACGCTATATCAAAGACGACTTTGATGTAGAACAGATGATGGTCTTTCTCAAACTTGGAGAACTCGAAATTGATTGGGCTTCTGATCCCAATGCGATCGAGCTCACTCACTACATGGTGTACGAATACATTAAGACGGGTGACTGCAAGCTCATCCCATACTTTATCACTGGCCCATCATGGTATACGTTGAGAAACTTCAAAGTCGATGTTTCAAGACTCTATTCAATGATCCTCCAACATGGAAACTTGGCCCAAGCTATGATGGCCACATCTTTCTTCGACACGCTCCAGCGAACTAATGTCGTTCAGACCTTGGGGCAGATCAGGAGCAGGTTCATGGTACCCTTGTGGATGCCCTTTCTCAAAGCTGACGACATGACACATAGTTTCGAGATCATCAAGTATTTCAACTCCAGGAATATCGTGTCCACTAGTAATAATGTCGATCAAACAATCAATGTATTCCGCGGCACCACTCAGATGTTGGACTTCTTCTTATCGAATGACAACAAGATGTTTCTAAAGCATGTTGTGATGGATAGCCTTATCCTTGGACTTGATCACATTGATCAACTTGTCAAGTCCATTCACTCATTCAATGGAATCAGTGTGAGTGATGTTGTACCAATGTTACAACTTGCTTCAATATATGGACGCATGGACCTGGTATCAGTCATCACCAATGTCATCAACACACCAACAAATAACGATATGATCAAGAATGAATTGATCCCTAGCATTGTGGCCATTGCCCCACTGGAGGTCGTCAAGTGGATGGCACAACAAAGATTGATCGATGCCAAGATGGTGGCTCAACAGATTGGAGAGCGTGGCGACTGTGAGATGTTTGAGTGTGTTCTCGAGCATGAAACCAGCGAAAACAGTGAGAGCATTGTTTGTTCAATCCTGAAGCATGCCATCACCAAACATCAAGTCAAACTAGTCAAACATATCTATGGACACAAACTGAAGGTGAATGGAAGTCAATACATGGATGCAGTCACTTGTGGCAATATAGAGATGTTGGAATTACTCTGGAGTTTAGATCATCCCATATCCGATGTAAATCAACTCAAACAAATGGTCCAGGAATCTGCAAATAATGGACATCACGAGACAATTACATGGCTATTCAATCGGGTAAATCAGGAGACTCGTGAACTCTTCATCAAGACTTGTAATATTAACATGGATATAGTGAAAGAAAACAATGATATGATAACACTTAGATGTCTTGAGGTACTTGGTTTAATTAATTAATTATTATATTAAATGATCATCCATTGTCATTCCAACAAATTAAAATATTTATTGTTTCTTCATTGGACATCCTTTGACACAGTTGAAGAAAGGGAATTTACATTGTTCAATGGGTACTGTACCTTCGTTTAAACACTTTTGATATTCATTCATACAGAAATCCTGGCAAATATCTTGTCCAACTGAAAATCCTATTAATAATATAAATACAAATATTAATGGTAAATAATATTTAAAAAGTGTCATCTTATTTATATTGGAAATTTAATATAATTGATTGATTGTAATTATAGTATTCCAAAATAGTATAGTGCAGTATTATTTAATGTGTTGGAAAATAATAATAATCAACACAATGAATGTTGATTGATTGATTGATAGTGTGTGTGAGTGGGTGGAAGAAGTGTCAATCCAGTATTATTCATTGTAAGGTTGTCAGGAAGGACATGGGGTTGATGTATTGGTGTGTGAACGAACGAACATCAATCCGGAGAGAATGATTGAATTCCAAAAAAGGTAAATGGATATTCACTTAATTTAACAACAAAAGGAATCAGATATCCGTTTTAAGCGGTAAAACTTTAGAGGCATGGACAAGTAGGTCTAATATCATTAAGAGTGTGTTGACTAATAGGACATTGATCAAGTATCATTGAAACATCGGGTGATCACAAGGTTTCACTAATTTGTTTGAACGATTAATAAAAAATTGAAGGACTACAATTTCAAAGACGATCAAGTGGACCTCATAGATCATATTATATATATTTATATTTAAAAGAATTAATTGACAATGTGTCCAAATTTGGACTTCAAGGTTTGTCGGTTAACTTTTTTTTTGATCGCCCCCCACAAAACACAAAATCTGATCGATATTTTTTATTCACTTTTGGAGGCAGGGGTCAACCTTTTTCACTCTAGGGTTGTGTATGATGGCGCTCAAGGTGATAACACTATTTGCCTTGCAATAAGCCCAACAAGTCGTTCGCATCACACTCTGCATAATCACTCAATCAAACACACACAACACTCACAAACACAAAGAGTCGTATATCGTCAACTTAACGGATTCATTCAAATACTCATTGTATTATTATTATTATTATCATTCATTCCAAACATACATATAAGATATATATAATATAGAGACATGGATGATAAGATGGAACAACCATCACAACCAACCATCACCTCACCATCTCCACCTTCGCCCTCACCCTCGCCCTCACCCTCGCCCTCGACACCATCACAACCATCACCTCAACCTACAACAGTTGTTAGTAATACTACAACTACACCAGATATAACTGTAAGCAGTAGTAGCAGTGTTAGCAGTGTTAGTAGTATGAGTAGTATCAGTAGTGGTATCAGTAGTAATGGCAATGGCAACAGCAATAGGAGTAGTAGATGTAGCAGCAGTAGTATAGACGAGGTCATCATATCGATCACAACACAAGAGCAACAGCCAACAACATCAGTCAATGTTGTTCCCGCCCCAGCGGAGACACAACCCTCGCCCTCGCCCTCACTCACTCCCTCACCCTCAGCTTCAACAACAGCCACACCAACGGCTACACCTACCTCATCTACACCACCCTCACCTGTACCATCACATCAATCATCTACTACAACACCATCTACAACAACAACAGCAGCGGCGACAACAGCAGCAGCAGCAACAGCAACAGTCAATCAGATGACAGGTCTGTTGAGGAAGGGCTCATCGATGTTACTGAATAGAGCGTCTTCGGGAGGCTCGATGCAGAGCACGATGGCATTCTTGCTCAGGACCTACACGATCAAACGATGGATCGAGATGTTGATTGGCGAGTCGTTGGGCGACGACCTGTTTGGCAGCCTGAAGGACGGCGTAATGCTGTGTAAGCTGATGCTGGCGGTCAAGGCCAACTCGATCCCCAAGATACACACGGGCTCCACGCTCAACTTCAAGATACGCGAGAATGTATTGTTCTTCCTGCACGCGCTACAGGAGATTGGCGTATCGCGCTTTTACCTTTTTGCCGTGCCCGACCTCACCGAGAAGAAGAACTTCCTCAAGGTACTCGAGTCGCTCGAGGTGCTGGCCGACATTGCCACCACCGAGCTGCTCGTCAATGAGCCCGAGAAGGCAGTCGAGTCCCTGACCGACGAGCAAGCAGCCGACATACACTTTAGCGACAAGGAGATAGCCGACACGGAGCAACTTCTCAAGCGTCTGCACATCAACATGGTCAAGCGACAGCCATGCAAGAAGGCACTCTTTGCCAACGAGCCCAAGCAGCGACCCGTCTCTTCTACCATGCCACTCACTCAATCCACCATCGTCGCGTCCTCTGCGCCCAACACATCCACAGCATCCAAGCCATCACTAGCTCCAAGATCCAGGCTATCACTCTCCCCTGCTCAGATCAGTATGTCTCCACTCGCCATTCAATCATTCAACCAATCAATTACTAACATCAATCAACCGAACACAGTGCAAAAGGGTAGAACACATGCACATGAGAAGAAGTGGATAAGGATACAGGCATTGGTCAGGGGCCATCTGGCCAGGAAGGAGTATCATAGACGCGTTCGTTTCGCAGCCTATCGCCAGAACATTGTAAAGGAGATGCTGTCCACGGAGGAGATCTACGTGAAGAACTTGGATCATCTGTCCAAGTACTACTTTGAGCAGATACAGGAGAATGCCAACAAACTGGGCATCAAGTCAGCCATCGATGAGCAGCTCAAGAAGATGTTCTCCAACGTCGAAGTCATTCGCAACTACAACCGATCACTCCTGGACGACCTCCGTCCCGTGATCAATGACTGGTCACACGCCAAGACCATCGGCAAGATCTTCCTCAACTTTGTAAGTGTCATGATTGAGGGGCCATCCCCTAGGGAATCATTCCACTCACACTCTAACACTCAATCAATCAAATAGATATTGATGCTCAAGGTATACACTCAGTATGTTAAGGAGTATACAGTGTCATTCGAGGCAATCAATAATATGAGGAAGTCAAACTCCAAGTTTGATGCGTTTGTTAGTGAGCGCGAGTTGACTGATGCGCGAAGGATGAATGATTACTTGATCACACCAGTGCAGAGGATACCAAGATACACACTGCTCCTCGCCGATCTCGTCAAGAACACGTGGACCGACCACATCGACTACCAAGACCTCTCCGAGTCACTCAAGCGCATGCAAGAGGTGGCCACCTCCATCAACGAGAAGAAGCGTGAGGCAGAGAACATCCAAAAAGTGACAGAGATACAGAATGGCTTTGTTGGCAAGTTTGAGGTATGTTGTTGATTGATAATGTAGCCCTTGGGATGGACCAGGCACTAACTCCAGCGTCACACTTTAGAAACTGGCTGAGCCACATAGACGATTCGTCCACGAGGGACCACTGAATGTAATCGATCAGAATGGAAAGGTGTCACAGAGAATGCTTTACTTGTTCAATGATGTGTTGATTGGCGCCAAGCCAACAACTAGCGGATTGGTCAAGAAGAAGGATGCATTCAAGGTTAAGGAGTCGATCAGGATGAGTTTGGTAACCGTTAGGTCGCCAACAGCACAAGACACAGCTTTTTCGACGTCGTCGCGAACAGGTACTCAGCAACAGCTCAGTTCTTCACAAGAGAAACCACATGGTCTCGTCAGTTCACAGGAGAAGCCAACGACGTCCACATCGACATCCGCCGCAACCACTCATTCACCATCGCTCACCGCCACCAACAGTAGCGGCAACCTCGGCAGCGGCAGCAGCAGCAGCAATCAATCACCATTGCTTTCAAGCTCCAGCAGCACCTCCACATCCAGCAGCAAGCCACCAAACAAGCCTCCTCCAAAGATCCCAGATAACGCCACAACATTCAAGCCAGCCATAAACCCATCACAACAACAACCAACTACACAACCATTTTTAAGACAACCAGCCCCGACCACCTCGACACGACCACCCCTTTCCTCCTCAACAACGACAACAACTACACCACCTACCAACAACACAAGAACCAGAACATCAACTACCACTACAAGCTCCCCTCCACTCACATTGGGGAAGGAGAGACACATGACCATTTCCAACTCAGCCTCCAAGTCATCGCCCACCCTCACATCGTCCAAGCCACCACTGAACCCTTCATCACTTGGCAAGCCACTTTCACCATCGATCGGACCACAGTCCACACCTGGAGGCGTCTCGCTCCCACCCAACGCCCAACCTCTGGTGCTGCCACCAGTCGTGCAAGAGCCTCCCAAGTCCCCAGACCTGATGATTGAGCTGGTCGACTCGTTTGGCACATGCATCCTCAAGCTGCTGTGTCCCAACATGAAGGAGAAGCAAGCTTGGCTGACAGAGTTCAAGAAGGTCATGGACGACTTGGACACGAGGAAGATCGTCAATGACGAGGCAATGAAGAGGTCACAGGAGAAGGCTGGTCTGGCCAAGGCAGCCCTCAGCCAACAGTACGCCACACTGAGAGTCCGTGGGTCGCCACTTTGCCCTCTCAGACATGAAGCTTGAGGGTGAGGAAAGCGAAACAAACAACAACAAACGACACAGACACAACAACAGACGTCAGGACTACCATTGGGATTCGCCAGTCCAGCGGCAGAGCGCGACTTCCAGATACTGAGGAGACAGACAATGTCAAGACGCTCACAACAAACAACAAAGATAACAACAGGACAAGAACAACAAACTACCGACAACAACAGTGGCAGTGCTGGTGGCGCTGGCTCATCATCAACCACATCCTCACCAGTCATTGCACCAGTGTCCAATGTGACGCCAAAGAACAGCAAAGAGGATTTGATGACGTCGACAACTTCGATGGACTCAGCACTAGCCGATTTAGACAACAACAACAAGAAGGGTACGATGTCATCATGGTTCTCCAGCTTGCGTATGAAGAAGAAGAAGCCAACGACGGCGTCTATTCTCGAGGCTTTCGGATCATCCAATCATGATGCTGAGCAGTAGTAGTTAGTTGTATATTGTCCATAATCACGCCAAACTTTTTTCAAATCAATCAACCTACCAGCCAACCAAACCAACCAATCAATCAAACCAACCAACCAACCAACCAACCTCTATTGTAATACTAAGGCCACCAATAAACCATCACGATTGATTCGTCGTGTTATTTATTCCCATAGTCCACACACAAACAACAATTCCAGACATGCTGGATTCGGATTCGTTTGTTACATATCATTAAATTTATATTGTCCTGGAAGTGATCAAGATCAGAACCACGCACTTTCACACTCTTCATCACCCCTCACCGGATCGCACTCACTCGATCACATGATCACCCATCTCACACAATCATCCACTCCCTAACACTCACTCAATTGATTGATTGGTAGAATGATTGATGGAATGTACATATGTGGAACTATTCGTATTTATTGTTACCATCAACTGCCTCTTTTGATCACATTGATCCGCATGTCAACATGTGAGATGCATGTGCCGAAGAATGACTGGTCGATAAGAATAGATAAGCTGTGTGAATGGATGATTGATTGTGTGAATGTATAAATGATTGAGTAATGGCTAGATGAAGGAGAGCATGTATCTAATAATAATAATAAAAATAATATATACTGTGAAACCGATCAATTAATAGGATAAAGGTAGATTGGGATATATGAGTCAATTCAAACTGGTCTGCCGTTGACTTGAGTTGTCGACTACACTTTGGACAGTTGGACGTATCAGACTAATAGATATCCGCAATGTCCCACGTGGATCTATATTAACATACCATGATTCCTTTAAATTATTAATCGACCAAGCTTACATTCCATCATGACCTCCTTTCTCTCTCATCAATCAATATAAAAGGACAATCAGACACAGACTGGTGTCTACACTTCTACATCTGTTCAGATATTAACAATTAATATATAATATACAACAATGCTTATTAGTAAGTATATCAATACAATATAATGAATATTGGATAGACACTAACATGTACTTTCAACTCCATTATTAGGGATACTATCAAATCTCCAAGCTACTTCCAACAGTCTGAACTCTAGCAGCTCAATTGTATCAAGTAATAATCAAATATGTGGAGTATCCAGATCAAGTTGGACTTCATCAACAAATAATGTAGCATCTTTGGACTTGCAGAGAACCAAACCATTCTTCCTGGGTCCATCCAGTGCTCGCTTGTATTAATATTATTAATTATTTAATTTATTATATCTTTATGGAAATAATAATCAGGTGATTGAGTAACTGATCGTCCGGACTCGAGTTGGAACTGGACACGAAGGAAATGTAAAGGGGGAATGCTACCTGCTCCTCCTTGTTTGTTGGGTTTGTGACTGAGTATGCTTAATATATGTACAGTGTTGGAGAGGAAATGGTAGTGGACGGTAGGTTAAGGATAGCACTAGTACGACTGGGTATCAATCCCCAATGTAACTAATGCTATATCTATGTATGTACATGGTGTTATAATGATCCATCCTCTGCTCATCGGACAATGAGTACGGAGCAGTGTGACATTTGCAACACCTGTGAGCTAACTGATCCTAACAGCATGCGTTTGATCGATCCCAATCCACGTGAGCCCAGGACAACAGTGTCAGCACCATATTTCTCGGCAACATTTGTGATTGCATCAGAGATCTCATTGGATGCCACTAGCAGGTACTTGATATCCTGACATTTGACATGTGTTTGCTTGTAATGCTGTAACTCCTGAACTGCTATTGACTTCCTCTTGTTTGCTCTCTTTATCTGTTTGATCTGATCCTCTTTGGCATCGACCAGGTCTGGTACACCAGAGAACATCTCCAACATCATCCTAGACAATGTTGTCGAACTTGGTTCAACGGAATTTAAAGGTGTTGGAGGGTATACCTAGTTGAAGATTTTGTTAACATTCATTTATTCATTCATTCATTCATTTCATTGATTGATTGAATACATACAGATAGGAATATCAAAGAGTCATCAGGGGTAACCATTGACAGAGCCTTATCAGCTGCCTTCCTTCCTGAAGGTGATCCATCTATACATAATAAATACTTCATTTCTTATATGTATGAATAAATAATAGTTATAGAAAGTAATGTTGTTATAAGATAGTAAAGTGTAAGTAAGATAAGATGGTGAGTAACAAACAAATAATTACACTAACTTCTGTCTTTGTTGTATTGTTTGTTTTGTTATTGCTGTTGTTGTTGTTGGTTGGTTGGTACTAGTACCAAGGTTGGGTTAAGTTAGGGCCATCCATCTGGTTGGTTGTTTGTTTCAAGAAGTCCAATTGTTGGGGTATGGATGTGACCCTGCTGATAGTGTTTGTAGGGGGTGAGAATGAGCACTGCAGTGAGAGATAGATAGAAAGAGAGAGGGAGGCAGAAGATAGAGATAAAGTGGGGGATAGGAGTAGGGTTGCCAACCCTTGAAAGTGACCACCACACCTAACTTTAAACTTCAAGGTGTCCATTGGTAGCAATGCACCCCCTTTGATATTTTTTTTTAATTAAATAAGGTGTGAATGAACAAAATCATAACCTTTTTTGGAAGCTACTCCTCAATGGTCCACTACTTTTATTGGACATCCAGGTCTTTGAAATAAATTGACCAACAGAAATCATGAAATCAATTATAACAACAAAGATTGAAAAAGAAGAGACGGACAAGATAATGACGGATAAATCAATCTTGATAATCATTCAAATTGAATGAATGAAAGATTTGATCAAGAATTAATGAGTGTGAATTGGAATTTTCTACAACAATCGATCAGTCAATCAAACATACACTTACTTACTCACGTGATCAACACCAATGACATTGAAATAAACAGTGTTGTTATCACACATTCATACACATACACACACACCGATCCACTCACTTATTGAATCTAATCAATTACTTTTCATGATCAGCGATCAGAACTGACACTGGCTGACTGACAATCGTCAGTGATCACTTTTATACTGAACACACAAATATATAGATATAATAGATAAGTCATACATATCATCACATCACATCATCACATCATATCAATCAATCAATTCCAGATGTAGACATTACCACACCTTCACCCACCACTATACACACAAAGTGTAAGCCGATCAACATCAGTATCATCCCATATCTCCATTTCTATCTTCATTCTATCATTCATTCATTCTCATCATACACACAAAGTACATGATTTAAAGACACAAGCAGAGAGTAGTGGATGAATGGCGCAATGTCATTGTCAACAACACGCGTCAGAACTCATGTGTCATCCATAGTATAATTCGTCCCCCAAAGACGGATACTAGGTGATCAATTTCGCAACCACATAACACAATGCAATCAGATTCGTCGTGGTTGGTTGTGGTGAGTGAGTGATTGAATTTGGAATATGATATGATATGATGTGGACATGTGTGGATGTGGATGGGGATGTGGACTTGGCAGTGACATGCCGACTGTTCGCTGCTTTTTAGTTAACCTAGATTGACCCACTGTCTGGGTTTGCAACTACTGTTCATCCCCATCAATCCATATTGATCCCTTCCCTTCCCCTTACCCTTCCCATTCATGGTCAACACAATCCATCCCAATTGAATAATCAATCTATTCAATTCAATTCAATTCAATTCAATAATTCAATATTGGTCAACATCATGTATGTATGTGTTGTTTGTGTAGTTGCATATGACCTGCGATTTAAATGACACTGTTCATTGAACCACCGGGATCCAATCTCATTTCCATACTCATCCGTGTCTCTCTCTTTCACTCATTCTTCCATGGAGGAAGATATTCTCATAATATCGCAATCACTCAAATCCAGAGACTCTAGCGTTACATCTTCATCATCGGCATCAATTCCAATTAAGTCCAACAATAATAATATTAATATTATTAATAATAATAATATTACATCATCATCAACATTTGCCATTTCTTCGACTCCATCATCATCATCTTCCGCTTCAGCTACTTCATCATCGTCTCAGTTGACTTTGAAAAACTTCGAAAAACTCAGCAACAGCACAAATTTAATTCAAATTCCAATTCCAGTTTCCAACAACAAGTCTTCAACATCAATAACAAAGGGTATCAATAATTTATTGTCACTTTCCAATAGTCATCAATCATCATTCCAATTGCCACAACCATCATTGTCACCACCAGACAACTCAAGTGTTGTCCCAACAGGTACACTCAATCTTCCATCACCAAGAAACAATCAACAACAACATCAACAATTGATCTTTGAGGACAACTCGTGTACCACAAACAACTCCAAGCCACAACAGGCGCCCATCAGATATAGTATACATCCACCAACAATCAAGGTCAACAAAACGACATCCACACCACCACGACCAATCGCCTCTTCAACAGCCACACCAGCCACTACCACCTCCACGGGTGATCACCAGAAGAAATCATCCACCGCCTCATCCAGCGGCAATAGTAATATAATATATTTCGATCAAAAAGTGGCACCAAGCGTAAGGATATGTGAGTTCTGTGGATGTACGGCCACTCCAACATGGCGTAGAGGTCCCACAGGCAAAGGATCACTTTGCAATGCATGTGGCATTAAGTGGCGTCTGAAGGGCAAGGATGGCCTGTCCAACAAGAAACCCAAGACCCACCTCCTCATCTTCATCGTCATCGAATGACCCAATGGGATTCTCCCTGAACACGCCAAGGAACCATCTCAAGTCGCACCAGAGCATGCCCACCCTGCCACATGCAGTGAAACCTGGCATGTCACAACACAAGACGATGCCGGGTTCCTCCTCGCTCTCCCACTTCAACCTGGCTCAGCCACCTGTGTTCCATCATCACCAGCCACCCGGCTCATCATCATCGTCGGGCCAAATGCATGGAGGAGGTCCAGTGCTATTCAATCCAAAGAACCCAAACCTCCCCAAGCCATCCTCATCGTCGTCACGCCCAGGCGACAACTCGATCACCAACTTGCTGCCCCTGCCTAACTTCCAGGCGCAGCAGAAACACAATCAATCACAGGCCAAGCCAAACTTCTTACTGGCCTTGCCACCTCTCCAACAGCGCGCCCAACAGCCACTTTTGCCACTGCCCGTCAAGAAGGATGTTATTGATGCGCCACTCTCTCCCGACCTCTCATTCAAAGCTGAGCGCACCAGACCACGCTTGCCCTACTCCCACTCCGAAAGCAGTCTAATTGGACTTGATTCAGACCGTGGATACTTTTGTAAATACTGCAAGAAGAACTGGCCACTATCCTCATTCAAGAATAGTCAACAGTTTGGGGCACATTGCAGTAACTGCTCTCGCAAGTCAAAGGCAGAGTGTAAGTGTCCCCTCTCTCATTCATTCAATCATTCAATCAATCTAACGCATACGCATCCATCCCACAACATAGTGGACTCTATGTTAATGAGAAGACCATTAGGCAAGAGCCCAAGCACAAGCATGTTTGATGACGATGATGGAGCAGTACCATTGTGGGAGTTTGCCAAGTATGGTGGTGGTGGCAATCAGCCAGCTGTGTCACATGACAACAGCGGACAGAATCCACTTTTGGCAAGACTACTCAACATCCTTGAGAACCAAGCTGTTGAGCCAAACGACATTGTTCACATCAAAGACGATATTAATGTATGTTGTTTGGACATCCACCATCCATCATTGCATGACACTAACACCACATTCAATCAATCAATCAATCAATATAGAAGATGGGAAGTGAGATGGCATCAAAGAAGAAGAGAAGACTGGAGCACATGGATTCGACCATGGACACTTTGAACTCAACAATGACAGAGATGCGCAACAACATCGATGTATTTGTTAAGAAGGGACAGGAGAGCAGTACGGCTTACATCGAGGACCTAAGGAAAGAGTTGGACTCGAAACTTATCGAGCATGAGCCACTGATACACTCATTGGATCGTCTCAAGTCATCTTTATCAAGTGGACCTGCACTTATGTCCAGGGAGTTCCCTACCAACGCCATCTCCAACACCAACACAAACAATGACAATGCCAAGCCCATGACAATCGATACATATGAGTCTAATGTGGGCAAGTTGCATGACAAGTCAGACTATGTTACTTCTACGACCACGACGACTACAACCACCTCTTCGACCAACATGGTCACCGACTCACAGGGCAACCTAAAGTCGATCATGTAATAAAGAATAGGCTATCGATTATAATATAACAATCATTCTAGTTAACGCATTGTTGATGATTCAGATTTACAAATGGCCAACGGCAGGATTGTTGGTCCTGCTGTAGCAAGGTGGATGTGTTTACTTCTCTCCTCTTCTCGTCTCGTCATGTCACTGATCTAATGTTGTTGTTACGGTCCCCAGGTGGAGCATGGATTGTCCATGAAAGGTCCACTGGTGGACCAAACCTAACCAATGGTTATTAATACATTGGATAGGGTGGAGCATATTGATCATTCAACTAGTTCAATACAGCACGGCTAGTATGTGGCTCGGATGAGTTGATTTGGTCAACACTCGCACTGCGCTTGAACTTCTTGACTCTGTTCTCTGAGGCCAGCGAGTGGTCCTCTAGACGTCTGGCGCCCAGCTTATCCAATGGGTTGAGAGGGAAATGTGACGAGTCCAGCTTTGAGAACGTTCTCAGCTCAAAGTAGTACTTTGCATATCTATTATCATTGGATTAGATTGTATTAGTATTGATTGTGTGATTGAATAAGTGATTGATAGAATGAATGTACTTACATGCTCGCAGTCAAACTGACATTGTACTGGATGAGTGACAGGAATTGTCTTTCCAGGTTGTTCAGGTCAGCGGCAGTCAGGTTATCAAACACTGGCAGGAAGTCAACATTCCAAACTGATTGGTCCTCCCAAACCTTGGAAGCGAGGATCAGAGCAGACAATACAATTCTTCGCCAATTGGTTGTGTTGATGGTTACTCCAGAGAAGGTAATTATTCTTTCTACATATGCTAAACACATTATACCACATTCAGGATCCAACTGATTGATCATTCCAAATATTAGTAAGTGATCAAACGAATACCAATCAATCTAGATGTATACATACTCTCTCTGCCTTGAATATATCTCTAATAAATCTATATATAGTATCAACTGTTGGAGTCGTCTTCAAGTCCAGCTTTCCTTTCTGTGATCATGTGAGCGAGGTCAGAAATCAAGTATGATTGATGGATGCCATGCCAGGCCCAAAGTATAATATAACTTACAGTGATTGGATACTTCTCCTCGCTAAATATCTCATAGTTCTTCTGAGGTGTTTGTATTCCTCTCTCAATATGGTACAGTAGTGCATTGGCCATACACCTTAGTATCTCATCATTGTCGGGCGTTGACAATGTACTCTTGATGTATAGTGATGACGTCGAGTTGTGCTTCATTCGTTGGAAGCCCTCGTTGCGCATGTGTGGTGGGATGGCCGAGTGTGGCGTCTTGAACTGTGGTCCAAGGCCCGCTCGCTCCGTTGACACTTGTCGCTGATGTGTCTTGGTTGGACTGGATTTTGATGTGTAGTAGAGATGGTGATCGGTCGATGAGTGATGGTGATGATGATGCGAGTGATGGTCTGCGTCAGGCGCAGTAAGTGAGAAGTCGGCGTTGGCAATGGAGCTCTTTGGATGATGTTTGTGGGCGTTGGTTCGTCTCAATGCATCGTTCATTGGCTTCATTTCGGTGCCGGACGACTGGTGATGCTTAGATGGGCCTCCGCCAGCGGCACCGGCAGCGCCACCAGCGCCACGTGCATCGGGGTCCTCTTTAAGAATCTTTAGTTGTTGTTGTTGTTGGAGACCACTCTCTGGGTCTATCTCGCCATTTAGACGTCCTCTCTTGAAAGAACAACAGTTCCCCATCAGACGTGATAAGAAATCTGTCATCAAATGTATAAAGTCCGTGATTGTATCTTCTTTTTTGGAACTAACCTACTATTGATTATTAACAAACTTAATATTGTTTGTGGCTAATCAATAATAAGTTGTACTATGTTTGATTGTGTTGTGTTGTTTGTGTTTGTTTGTTTGGTTGATTGGTTGAACCCTAACTTTGTAATTGTCTATCTTTATCTGTATTTGATTGAATACTATATCTATTTCTATTTATCTGTATGATTGATGATTATTATTATAATAGTTGTTATTAATAATGATATCTAAGAAACTATATTTCTTAAAAATGTAATAACAATAATAAGTAAACAATTAATTAATTAATAAAATTTATAAAGAGAAAGAAAGAAAGTACAACTTAAGATGTAGTAAGTGTGTGAACAGACGAGGACGATGGTGTCGAGAGCAAGGCAAAGCAAAAGAGTGAATAGATTACCATCTTTGCGGGGTGGGGGAGAAAGGGGCATTAGTTGAACGAACCACACACCACCATCGATGGCACATGACCTTTGCCGTGACCATCCATCCAACCCCCATTAACAGGCAACCGATTCACACTTATCATACAAACCAAAAAAGGGAAACAAAAGAGATAAAGATGTTGTTTCAACAAATAATAAGTTGTTTGTTTGATGAGGGTTGGAAGATAGATTTTTGAATGAATGAATGATGAATATATAACTTACATGATGATTATTTGATGATTGATTGAGAGAATTACAAAGTGATAGTAATAGTAATAGTAATATTATTTCTAAAGAGATAGAGATTAATAGATTATTATTGTGTTTAAGTTTATATCATAAGTAGAAAGAGTTTTGTTGGTCTTCTCAACAACACCAATCCATCGATGGATGTGAGAGAATGAGAGCACCTAACATAGCCAAGGTAGTCTACCCCGCCGTTTAATAGACAGAAGGCCAAATTTTGGAAGTTGGACAAAGCAACAAACACTAATTCAACCAAACAAACTTTAGAGACAGAGGCCTGGGCCAGGTTGAGCGAGTTCTCATTTTTTATGGTTATTTCAACAACCCGATATGGTGATATTTTTGTCGTCTCTCCATTGTTGTTGGTCTTCTCACTCACCCAACCAAACTATACCCCCCAAAACACTGATATCAATATTGCCTATTTTGGTCATTCTATCTTTTTTGCAACCAACCACCTTTAGAGACGACAGGTAGGGTCCTGGCTCAAGCCATTCTCATCCATGGCCCCCCTTTGCAGCATTGTCTTTTGACATCTCCCAATGGATTTGTGTGTCGTCAATCTTAGAACATGTACGACTTATCGAGCGAGAGTGGAAGCAGTTGTAGGTTAGTTCGTCAGATAGTTTATACTTGTGATAACTCTACATCTTTGTTCCCTCCCCTCCACCTACTTTTGGTCCTGATCAATCAATCGAATAACTATATTAGGCAATCAATCACTCATTCATTCAATTTGATTTACGTACAGGCACAGATCTGTTGAACATAAGCACAATACACTGTTTATTTCTTTGATTTGTGTTTCTTTGCCATCCTCTCTGATTGTTTGAGTTCCTTTGTATCTGCCACCCTCTTTGCCCTTTGTTGTTTGTATTGTTCGATTAGAGATCGAATGAAAGCATTATTCTTGTACACGTTGAGTGTGTTTACACCTCTAAGGTCATATGTCGCGCCAATGTCTATTAGATGTTGAAGCATAGGCATTTGAGTTTTTTTGAGCAATGAGTTGATTTCAATTGGTCCTGCTTTGATCTGTGTACTGGTGGCTTCATCAACATAATTGAGTAGCCAGTCCAATGTCTCGATGTGGCCCAGATCAATCGCCGCCAAGGCCACAGCCTCCACCTCTTCATAGGTCTCCAACGGTTCAACTTTAGCCAGATACTCCATCAATTGTACGTTGTTAGACTTTGTTGCTTGGATATGATGCTTTGATGTCACACTCTCTCTGTGATAATCAAAGATATGTTTGATCAATATAATGTTGTCCTTGTCAATAGCTTCATTCAACAAATTGGTAATGTATTTGTTTCTTGAGCTGCTGTCTACAAAGTACTGGAGGGAGATGTCCAACCTCTCCATATCATATCGATGTCCAGAGAAAATGTTCGGCGATAAGTTGGGAGCGTACCAACCTCTCTCAGCCACCAATTTGATGACTTCAATGCTGCCACATCTTGAAACTGCATTATTAAGATTATAAGATAATGATGCCAATAAATGGTCCATTTTACTAGTACAACTCTTTGGATACATATCCAAGATGGCATTGAGAATGTCAAGTCTACCTTCTCTAACTCTCATCTCCATCAATGGTATGATATTGACACATTGACCAAATATTTCTGGCTTGGTCTTTGAGATATATTGGAATTGCTCAAAGTCATTGACAACTATCTTGTTACCAATTGGGAATATCTTGTTGGTACCAGAGAGAATGAATTCCAATTGATCCATTGAACGAATGATGATTTCATTAAAATTGTTTACCTTTTGAATCACGTCGTGATCATTGAGGTATCTGACCACCTCCATACTCTTGGAGAAGTTGACTGTGTTGTTAAGAGCACAAATGATTTGTCCAAAGTTTTGATAACGATCATTGACATAGTAGAGACTACTACTACTTTGTTCAAGCAAATAGTTGAGGTATCCCAGGGCAACGATGGCTTGTTGAATATTGCCATTTTTGATTATTGTTCCAAATATCTTTGATGAATTTTGGTAGCTCAATAATCTCTCTCCACCTCTGGTCAACAAGTATGGAACCAACATGCAGTCTCCACTGTCCAAGTATTGAATGATGAAACTCCAATATTGACTTTGTAGTTCAATAACTTTGAGGTAGTCCTTTAGTTGATCATCGCTCATGGTTGAGGAACATGTTACCATATGGGACTGAGATGAAAGGATTGCCTTGGCATCCTTCTTTGAAGATGTGATTTGGTTTGTGGCTCGTTGATCAAAAGATGCATCGAAGGGGAGTAGGAAATCAATGCGCTCCAGTATTTCTTTTGGTGTCTCATTTGGCAATATTATCTTGTCATTGAGCAAGAATGTCTTTAGTGGAGCACTAAGCTGTTCAATGAGTTGAAGATCACCAATCTCCATGATTGAGGGAATATAGCCCGGTGACTTGAGTGTGTGCTTTATCAACTCAATGAACTCCAGAGGAAAGTTGTTTGGATCAAAGAGATATCGAAGTGATGTAATTGTACCACTTAATACAGTATGGAGGTAGCTGTTCAATTGTCTACCATCCAAGAGGTATGAGTTGTTGAATTGACCAGAATCCAAGAGGTACTTGAGAACTTGGAAACTGTTCCTCTGGAAGCAATCCCAGAGATATTTATCACATCGTTCCAACTTGATGGGATAGGTCTGTTTCAACAAAATATTTACAATGTGTATGTTGTTGGACCAGATTGAACGCCTGAGTAAATCTTGATCAGTGAAGTATCTTTGATACTTGTTGTATAATACAGTGAATGTCTCATTATCAATATCTGGTGATCCACATATTGTTGCTATAATAGTTGAATTTATATTTATAAATTGGTTGTTATTGATTCTATCTCTTAATAATTCAAATTGTTTGAGTTGTATCAACTCCAAAGCTGTATTCTTGATATCCATAGATAAATATGATGATGTGGTGATGTAGTGAATGTTATGTTATATGTGGAGTCTTTGGAGAAGTTGAGGGACTGATAGATGTTTAATGAGAATTTAGCTAAATTCTTAGAACCTTGTTGTTGAAGTGTGGCAATAGTGGAAGCATTGGATAGAAAGGGTTGGCAAAGTGACGAGACTGTACAGGATGTTTATTGCTTCATCTTTTTCTTTGGTTGGAAGACTGACTCGCACGCTAATGAGGGTCGATATGTTGCTACATCCTCCAATGAAGTCTTCACTTGATGTTGTTGTATATGTTGTTGTTGTTGAGGTTGAGGTTGTGGATGGAGTTGTCGATGACCTGCCACTTCATTTATCCTTTGTTTCTTGTATTGAGTGAATATTGATTGAATGGCTTGATTGTCATTGTAGTTGTCAAGGTTGTTCAGGCCCATTAGATCGAACGTTGCTCCAACTACTTCCAACAGGTGTCTCAACATGTACACATCATTGTTGTTGATCAACATCTTTGTGTTCTCTGGTATCACCGTGTTCTTGATATATGTCTTCAGTTCATCGTTTACATTGTCAAATAGCCAATCAAATACTTCAATATGTCCATACTTGAGAGAATCCACAACTAATGACACTATCTTCTCTTGCATGTTGGCACCATTGATCAAGGGATCCACACTGTTGAGATACTCCAACATGTCCAGGTCACCACGCCACACTGCCTGTGCGCGATGTGATATGTGCACTCTGTCCTCATACTGTTCGTATATATGTTTGATACAGTCCATTTGATGTCTTCGAATTGCCGCATCCAACACATCAGCTAATCGTACTCCTGGTATATACTTGAGAGCATACTCCAGAATATCAACATCGCCCAACAGTCCAAGTTGTCGAGAGACCAACAGAGGTGGTTTGAACTGAATGCCCTCTACGAGCAGTCGTAAGATGCCCATGTTCTTACGTCCATTCGCAATCGCATAGTGAAAGCATGTCTCCAATACACCGTTAAGTATTCGTTGTGGAGTCTGAGAGAGGAGCATTGTGAGCATGTCCAATCGAGCAGTGTGTACGGCATAGTGGGCGAGACATGCGACGTCCAATGGCTTGTTCTGGCCAACTTGCACCATGAAGAATGATCGATTGACACTGAACACATAGTCAATGTGTTGGGGAATGATCAGCATCAACCTCTCCTTGAGAACTGACATTGGGAATATCTTGTTCTCATCGGACATCAAGAAGACAAGCGTGTCCATCGTGCTAGGGGGCACTCTGCGAGCACTCCAGAGTATATCAACATGTTGAACAACTCGATTTGTGTTTAGATACTGGATTACCTCCAGACTGTTGGCCGGATTGTCGGCATCAATGAATGAATTGAACATGTCACCAAAGCATGAATCACGTCTTATGTGACCATTGTGAGCTAGTTGTATCATGTTGTCCAAGTTGCCGAGTGCTACGATGGCCTGGGTGACATTGCCATGTCTGATAATCAGATTGAATGTGTATCGTATATAGTTGATCTGCGCATCTGGGCTTGGTGTCTTGGTCAATAGGTATGGTATGAGGTTGTAGTCGCCTGTCAATATGTATTCATGTACAACATAATGTTGCTGATTATCAACTTGTAGTTGAACATAATCCAAGATATCAAGTTCAAACAGTTTGATGAATACCATGCGATTGGTGTCTCCAATGTCCACGTCCAAGCCATGTGATGTGATAGTACCATTTGCCAACAAGATCGATTGGGTTGTGTTCTTGGACTTTGTCAACTTATCCATGCACATTGCTGTCTTGTCTTGTGGTTGTTGACGAGTATGCAATCTCTCAAAGTGCTGCAGCTGAAGCACTGGGGACACATGTGGCAACATCATCTTCCAAGTCAAAGACACAGAGAACTGATTAGGGATACCATCTTTGAACAACAACTCATCGATAAGTTGATGATCACCTGTGGCCATGATATCATTGACATGCGCAGGTGCTTCTACCTTGATCATTCTAATCAGTTCTTGTGGAAAAGTTGACTGGATCGATCAGGTATCTAATATCCGCAGGTGAGGACTTGAATGTCTGTTGTAACTGACCATACCTGTTCGCACGCTGCTTCCAAAGACTTGCATTATCAAACAGTTTAGAGTCCATTAGATACTTGAGTACAGTGAATGGCGGACAACCAATGGCCGTATCGAGCATTGTATCACGAAGTTGATAGGCGATGGGCACGGTCTGGTGCAACAATACCTGTACCATTCCCAGGTTCCCGGCGGTGGTTGCTATTTTGAGTGTATTCTTGTCTGTGAAGTATCGTTGGAACTTGTTGTACAGTGTGTTGAAGGTAACATCATCTATGTCTCGTGCCCATCTATGCAGATCAGTAACAGTTCCACTATTGAAAGTAACTAATTGATTGTTATTGATACGATCACGTAACAAGTTGTAATGTTTATATTGTAGTAATGATTCTGCATCAGTCCATTGATCGTATCTAGTACGTAATGCATCGTCATAGCATAACTGCCAATTGCTCAACCAATGACTCAAAGATCTATCATTTATAATCCTCAAAGAGTATGTATTAATGATTGATCTGACCAATGTTCTATTAGTCAATACATGTATTATTGCTACTTGTCTACTACCATTCTTACTACTACAATCTACAAATGTTGTACTATCTGTCATTGTTCGTGTGGAAGTATTTTGAGTGATTGAATATTTAAGTTGAGGGTTAGGGTTAGAGTGAGGGTTGCGGCAAGGGAGGGCAAGGGTAGGGTAAGATGTATAATAACTTGTACAATGAACTAAAAGTTGAATATATACTAATCAACCTGCTCTCAAGAATTGATTGATTGATTATCCAGTCAATACCGTCAATCAAAAAATTGACTAGCAAACTGGAATGGCGTTCCATTTGGCCCTTCGAGTCAATCAATTGATTGACAAATTGGCAATTAAGATCTTTATTATTACTTCCTGTTTCGTTTGTTGGGTAGAGAAGATGAGGACATAGTGTCATCAATACTGTCACGCTTAAGATTGGGTTGCTTAGTCTTGGAAGAGGAGGATGCCGGCAAGGTACTCTTGTATTGCTGGACGATTGATTGAGCACGTTGATTACTCTTGTATGATTTTAGATTGTGTATATTGCTCATGTCAAACCTTACACCAATGTCCAATAGATGTTGTAACATTGAAGTAAGATTAGATTCAATCAATGGTTTGATTGAGACAGATCGCCTCATGAACCTCGCACTGTGCTCTTCATCCAGATGTTTGAGTAGCCAGTCCAACACCTCAATGTGTACATGACTGATGGCAGTGCTATACAACATATCGGCCTGGTCAAAGGTTTCGAGTGGGTCGACTCGCAACAGACATTCCAACATCTCCACATTGGCACAGGTAACTGCTTGAATGTGATATATCTTGTACTTTGATTTCTTCTTGGACATCTTGTCTCTGTGATGGGCATATACATGGATGACAAAGTCCACGTTGTGTCGTTCGATGGCAGCTTTGATTGACACGTTCAATAGTTTCTCGAACTCATCATCATCTGTTGCGGACTCGTCAAGGAAGTGAGTGAATCCATAGTCCAACAGGTCGATATCGCCGAGCTCTCCAATGATTTCAAACATCCTGGAGGGGTTAAGTGGCTTGAGCTCGCCCTTCTCCACCAACAATTTGATCACCTCTCTGTGCTGTCCATCTCTAACTTTGTGGAATGCATATTCATGTGGCTTGAAGTATGTCTCCTCATTTTGAAGTATTGGCTTGTGGTCCAACAATAGTTTGATTGTGTCGATGCGCGCTTGGTAGGTGGCGTCTCGAAGAAGGGTTGCAAAATGAACGCGGGTCAGTGATGGAAGTACCAGCTTGACATGCTCAACATCCAGCAGCCCCAGTGGTTCACTTCTTTCGCGTATATGCTTGGAGAATATGTTTTTGGTATCCTTGGCGAGCATGAACTCAAGCATCTCGGCCGTGCCACTGAAAGCTCTGAAACCTAAGTTCCAATAACTAGGCGTGATGGTCACCTTCTTGCTGTCGAGATATTTGATGATTTCGAAGCTGCATTTCATGTCGTCAGCTTTAAAGAATGAATGGAACAAACCATTAAACTGTTTGTATAGAAACATGTCTGGCTTGTACTCTATTGTCACGATTGCCTGTGTGAAGGTGCCGTGTTGGACTATTTGGTTGATCATACCCTGACACGCATCGAAACTATAATGATCAATGAGCAAAGGTATGAGCAAGCAGTCGCCAGTGATGACGTACTCGTGATACAAAGTCTTGATTTGATCGAGTCTCCACTCAATGGGCAATGAAAGTAGTTTGGCAATGAGAAGACGTCGATGATCATCGAGGTCCTGAGAAGCTGCAATGTCCTTGTCTGGCACTCTCGAGGAATGGACGGATAATATTGATTGAGCTGATTCCTTGGATACTTTGAGTTGTTCTTGAACACGCGGGTAGTGTGTCGCTGCGTCCGATATACCCAACAATCGCTCCATGTGTTCAAGCTGTTCAATACATGTTGTTGGTTTGTCGGGGATCATCATGTACGATGATATTCCACCACAGAACAGCTTGATGCCATCCTTGTACAAGAACTCATTAATGAGTTGTTGGTCACCCGTCGCCAATATCTTATCGGGGTAGACAATCGCCAGTGACTTGACATGATCCACGAGTACTTGAGGAACGGACTCCATGTCATCCATCATGGCACGAATGAATCTTGGTATGGTGTAGTAGGTTCTAGGACTTTCAGCACTCTTGAGATTGCATAAACGTTCAATGCCTTTGAACATGCCAGAGTCCAAGAGATATTTGAGCACGGGGTATGACCCACTGATGATGGCGTCTACGAGCAGACCATCACCTCGGTCACACACTACCGGGTCGGTCTGATGGAGCAGCACCTTCACCGCAGCCAAGTTAGCAGCTTTAACCGCTAACTTGAGAGCACTCTTGTCGGTGAAGTATCTTTGGTACTTATTGTAGACTGCCATGAATGTATCTGGATCAATATGACTTGATCCACAAACAGAGTTGCAAGGGACTCTATTGCCAATCGCATTATTGAATGATAATGTCAAGTTGCATTTGATGCGATCACGTATCAAACCAAAATGTTTATAAGTGATCAATGATTCTATATCTGTCCAGTGATGATACTTTGTACGTAAGTGCATCAAATTACCTTTTGGTAACTTATAATCAACTCCACCTCTTCTTCTTTTATAAAATGATTGAATGATATATTTAATCAATGTCCTATTGGTTAATACTCTTATTATTGGTACATGTTGTATTTGTTGTTGATTATATGTTTGAGACATTGTTATTACATGTGATAAGAACTTGATTCAATTGAATGGTTAAATGAATTAAGTTTGTTAAGATATCCCAGATATTTTTCGAATTCCAATCTTCAAAGTAAGTCATCAAATATGAAGTTCTGTTTCAAATCAACGGGGTTGTTGGATGATTCACGAACCACACTAGTCATCGACGTGGTCCATTCACTTCACTTAACAGTTTCATTCAATAATGCATTCATTCTACAACTACAACATTAATAATAACATAGAGATAGATAGATAATATAGTATAATTGAAAATGGTTCATAAAGATCGTACGTCAGAGTTTAATACACTGGCAGAGACATTGAGGAAGAGACAGGAACAGAATGGACAGATGATTAAGAAACAACATCCACATCAGAAGTTGTCTCAATTCTCAATGGCTGCTGCACATATTAGTAAAGGTGTCTATGAGACATCAGAGAAGTTACACAAGTTGACAAAGTGTATGTATCCGAATAGATTGATTGAATGAATGAATGAATGAACTTACATGATTGTGTTGTGATATGTAGTGGCCAAGAAGAACTCTATATTTAATGATCCATCGGCTGATATTGAGGAGTTGACATTCATCATTAAACAAGATATACAGAATTTGAACAAGGAGATATCGACATTGGGTCAACTATCAAAGCAATCAAGGAACAACAAACAGACAGAAGAGCATTCAGAGACTGTTGTAGGATTCCTCAACCTAAAGCTTGTCAACACTACAAAGGAGTTTAAAGATATATTAGAAGTTAGAACAGAGGTATGTGTCTATCATACATTCATTCATTCATTCATTCAATCACAATGATGAAGACGAAGATGATCATACTTACTCACTCAATCTATCACATCAACAGAACTTAAAGACACAACAAGAGAAAAAGCAAAAGTTTAGCTACAGTTTCAATAACAACAATAATGGCAATGGCAACAATAGCTCTCATATGACGCCATTGCTGCAAGACGTAGACTCAGGTTCGGCCACATCCAATAACAAATCATCGTCAGAGATGCGCCACCGTGGTAACACAATGAATCGTGATGGTTGGATTGTCGTTGCTTGTCATTCATTCATTGTCCCCCACATCATCACCTCACCGCGACTCCATCCCCATGGGACGGCGTCAGCCCTACCAACCAACCGACATTCATCCATCATTGCGCGCACTCTCTTTCACACGCATCCTTGATCGTGACGCGCAGCCTTTACTAACATCACTATCCACCATCATCACTTTATAGACTCAGCATTGTACAAATACCAGGATGATCAAGGTACAGGCGGCGACTTGGAGATAGCGATGCCAATGTCCGTCCAGACACATGACTACTCTCAGTCGCGACTGCGAACTGCCGAGACGATCTCTTCAACAATCCACCAACTCGAGACCATCTTCCATCAACTGGCCAACCTGGTTCAGGTGCAGGGCGAGGTCATCGAGCGTATCGACTCCAACATTGACGACTCCTTGCTCAACATTGGCAGAGGACATGACTCCCTACTCAAGACCCTGACCGACATATCATCCAATCGAAGTCTGATCTTCAAGATATTCCTTGTTCTGATCATATTCATCGTCATCTTTGTAGTATTCTTTGTATAGATAGCTGGCCTGACCTGACAGGCAAGTGCCTGTCGGACTGTTTGGAATCCAACTACTATCTCAACAACATCATAATCGATCGATTGATAAAGACAATGTATACTTATTATCTCAAGGCCATGCATGGACTCACTTCACTTTATTGGACTCCATTAGTTGATACAGAACGATGCCAGCTGACACACTAGCATTCAACGAGTCGACCTTGCTACTTGGTACCGATCGCTGAGGTATCTTGATCATTTTGTCGCATTGTCTAAGTGAATGAATGAATGTGTTGTGAGTGGGTGATCAGTGTCCAATCGATCAATCAATCAATCAAACAATGTTACATACCTTTGAACGTTATCCTTGAGTCCAAATCCTTCGTTGCCAATGACGACGATGGTGGGCTTGGTCAGTTGTGTGGACGACAACTCGCATGAGGTGGCAGATAGCGATGTACCAATGATCTCCCATCCCTTGTCCTTGCTAGCATTTAGGAATCCAGATAGTGATAGTGTCTTGTATACTGGGAATTCCTCGATGGCTCCACTGGATGCCTTGGAAGCGAATGGTGTGATTGGGCTCGAGCCCTTATCGGTGATCACAACGCCATCGGCACCAAAGTAGTGGCAGCTACGTATGATGGCACCGGTGTTCTGCGGGTCCCACAGCTCATCCAGTGCGACAAACAGTGGATAGCGGTTCTTGTACTGCTCAGGCGTGGGTGTCTCCAGGCGACTGATTGGATACACAGTCAGTGGAGAACAGTCCAGCACCAAACCCTGATGTAGTCTGAACTTTGAGAACACATCCAACATCTGTTTGGAAATCGGGATCACATTGATGTTCAATCTCTTGCATGATGCCAGTACATCATGGTAGGCATCACTGTTTGATTGATCGAGTGAGTGAGCGAGTGATTGATTGGAGTGATCTGAGTGACTTACATGTTCTTTCTTCCTCTGTATCTGCTGTTCGCTGATCGACCATTGTTGTCTTGGTCTTGATCTTGTTCCTGTCGCCTTGTCTTGCGATTGGCAGTGCTGATGTCGTTGTCTTCTCCATCGTCCTCATCATCCATGTCGTTGTCCATGTCAATGTCGGCCAGTGTCTCAGCCTCAGCTCCATCTTCCACTTGATCATTATCCTGTTCAATCAATTGAACATTAATATCTTGCTTCTCCATAAGTCTTCCGTATAATGACTCTTGAATGAAGAGTGAATGTATCGTTCTGTTATCAGATGTCAGTGCAATTGATACTGGATGCAGTCCAAACAATCCCTCTCCTCTCATCTTGATGTAGGTCTTTGATGGGGATGCCCTCGCTGCATCCTTGTCATATCCCTCGTTCGTGTCCATTGAATCATTGTCGTCGTGATCATTGTTATCCACTCTCTTATTGAATCGACCATTGCCACCATCACCTCTGCTAGTGTATGATGATGATGATGATGATGACGGTGATGATCTGGGAACTCCACGGGTTGCAATGCCCGAACGGAAACGATCATATGTGTCTGTCTTTTTGGGATAGCGTGGTTGGCGTTGTTCTTCAAGATGAGACTCTGGCGAACGACGTTGATAATCTGATCGATACTCTGACCGACTATTCTCACGCTCTTGTGGACGGAAGTACTTCTGTTCTGACTGTCGCTCCTCCCTCACTGGCCTGTACTGTCTCTCTGAACTACGCTCCTCCTCTTCTGCTGGCTGTCTTTGAAATCTTGGCCTGCTGCTGTTGCTGCTGTTGTATTCGCGTGTTCCTTCTTCCATGTCATTGTTGAATGATGATCGAGAGGTAGTGCTTCCACCTCTGCCTCCACCTCGACCACCTCGGCCACCACGGTCTCCATCACCTCTAGTCTCGTCTCTGTCACGATAATTGCTGGTGCTGCCACCTCTGCCTCTGCCTCTTCCACTGCCACCAAACCCACCGCGGGCACCACTACTACTCTCGTCCACGTCGTATGATGATCGATAGATGCTGCTGCCACCTCTACTTCCGCCACCTCTGCTGCTGCCACCCCTTCCACTGCTGCTCTCGTCCATGTCGTATGAGGATGATGATCGATAGTTGCTGCTGCCGCCGCCTCTACCTCTGCCACTGCCTCTGCCACTGCCAATGCCATGATCATTTGTAGTATTTTTGGTATATCCGCTATAACCTACGACCAGGTCATTGGTATCGCCTGAGGTGTGTTTACCCTTCCAAGCAAACTTTGTAGCAGTGTTTGATGTTGATTGATATAGTCTACCAACTCCACTCCATCCTACAATAGGTGTAAGTTGTCTAAAACTACCACTCTGCTGCAACACAACTGATAACAACAAGTTATTATTGTAACCTGTATGAAGTTGTTGTGTAATACTCCTTGTCAACATCATCATCATTCAATATATATATTATAACTATGATATTGATTGATTGATCATGACTCTTTTGCAAAGAGACAGACTCAGCTCAGAATACAAATTCGTCTCCCGAGTAGGGCTTGACAAGGCTCATCCATTTTGGGAACTTCCCATTAAGATGTCCATGGTCAAGTTGTCAATTTGAAGGACCCTATGATTAACATTGACCATGATTGATTCATCTCCATTTTGGATTATGATGAATGACGATTGATTAATGAGTCGACGAGAAGAATATTGTAATAATGATGGTTGTAGCAAGTATGAATGTGTCCAATACTTGGTATTGTTGTAGTATTGATCAATGTAGTAAAGTTCGCCTGTTATCCCATTGTAAGGATAGAGTATATATATCGTCAACCACCACCAACAGCATCCTCAATTAATACTTTGATCTAACACATTGACGATCGATCATCTCAGTGTATGTGTGAATGTGTGTGAGTTTGTAGTCCAACTACACTTTGAATTCAAGGTGAACATTTATTAATCAAAGTTGGATCGTCTATCGGGTTCACTTGATCTGAGGTGAGTACAACTGCAATAGGAGTTGACTGGCGCCTGTTATTTCATTGTTCTAATTTAATAATAAACATTAGATTGGATATAATTTGAATGATTGATTGATTGATTGATTCGATTGGTTGACCGATATTAATATATATATACTAACTAAGATTATTAATTATATATATTAAATAATAATATTATAATGCTGAGTAAATTACAAAGTAATATGAATTTGGTATGGACTCCAGCTGTAATGAGAAATGGTGCAGCAAAGTATGGACTGAGTTGGAGTCAACATTGTATGCCTAGTCCGGAGAATGCTCATCTTTGGAAATGCGAAGAAAATGTTGCCAACAGAGGTTATCTTCAAGGTGGAGATGCATGGTGTCAACAACAATTCACATAGATAAATACTATCAAACCTTTAATAAACTCTTTTAATATGATTGATCGATTGTTTGATTGATTGGATACCAAAATATCTTGTTTTTTTTGAAATTATCAAGTTCGATTCCAACAACCTCACATCACATCAATTCCCCACCCTTCACTTCACCTCGCTTCACTACATTTCAAATCACTTTTTCACTTCACTAATAATATCTGTAGATAATAAGTGTAATATAATATAATAACATAACATATATACATAGATAGAGGCAATTATAATGGTGTCACATCTTGCCGCTTCATTGCTGTCGAGATACTTGGGTGAATATTTAGACGATCTAACAAAGGATAATGTCAAACTCAGTCTATTATCAGGTGATGCAGTGATCCATGATGTCAAGATCAAACAGACTGCATTACAAAAGCTATTCCCAAGTATAATAGTCAAACAGGCTGTTGTACGCAAGCTATCATTACACATACCTTGGAATCAAGTATGTTTCCAATCATTCAATCGATCATTCAATCGATCATTCAATCGATCAATCATAATAACTTGTTATTACGTCGTTGCGTGTAGCTCAAGAACAAACCTGCTATTATATCATTGGATGGAATATATGTACTGGCTGAACCATGTAAAGACTTTGATGCACAGTACTATCGCAAGAAGTTCCAGGATGAGAAGGAACAGAAGTTACTGTTACAAGAGATGTTGAGAGAGAAGTTGATGAACTCTGCAATGACATCTTCATCCAACACAGGTACATCATCAACATCTACAACATCAACCTCAACCAGTGACGACTCATCATTCAGTGGTCGATTGTTGGCCACAGTAGTCGACAACCTACAACTCTTTATCAACTCCCTACACATCAGGTTTGAAGATAGACTTGAAGATGTATGTATCATGAGTTAGAATGAATGAATGAATGAATGAATGATCATTCATTGACTGACCCTGATCAATCAACAGAGTTCATTCGCAGTGGGCATCATGATGAGAAGACTTGGAGCAGAGTCAACCGATGACAACTGGACACCATCTTTCTTGAAGAATGAAAGCTCAATCATTCATAAGATCATTAATCTACAAGATCTATCGATATACTGGAACTCAAACTCTCCTAAACTTCAATATACATCACTGGACGATCTCTCCAATCAACTAAAGTCAATGATACCTGTGGACGCCTCATCATCTCAATCAATCGATCAATCACCATCCGTTGCCGCGTTGGACACCAATCAATACATCCTACCAAACCTTTCACTATGTCTAAAGGCAGCGATCAACAAGAGTGGCCTGCCGCAGCCCGAACAGACTGCGCGACTCTCTGTCCAGCTCGACCTGCGCGACGCACAGGTCACGCTATCCGACTCGCAATACCAGGACATCACCAACATCATGGAGAGCTTCTCGCTGTTCAAGAAGAGCATAGAGTTCCGCGCCAACCGACCTGACGAGGCCGTGTTGGAGGCCCCCCGCCAATGGTGGACCTACGCCATTCACTCGGTCGTGGGCAAGATCCATGAGAGTCGGTACCGCAAGTCTTGGGACTACTTATTCGAATTCCTGCACGACAAGAAGGAGTATATCAAGCTGTTCAAACGACATAAGCGCAAGACATTGCACACGACTGAGAAGAGCAGGATGAACGCGCTCGAGTGGAAGCTGTCCCACGAGCACATCGTCATGTTCCGCAGTCTTGCCTACAAGATGATGGAGAAGGAGGATAGTCTGGAGCGAGAGCAAAAGAAGAAGAAAGAGGAGGCGTTGAGACAACAGCAGTTACAGCAGCAACAGCAACTTCAGCAACAGGGTGGCGCGACGTCGCCCACTGTCGCGGCAGCGACTGGCGGAGGCTGGTTCTCATCATGGTGGCGACCATCCCCAACTCTACAATCACAGACGACCGCGCAGTCCAAGGATGAGCTGGGCAACATAAAGGACGTGGTGAAGCTGACACCAGACGAATGGAACGAGATCTACGACACGATTGGATTCGATCAATCAATGAACCGTGACGCCAACTCGGCTGCGGCGATGCGATCATCTACAGCGGCCACCTCAAACAATCTCCAGGCTCTGATTGTACTGCGTCTATCCAAGGTGTCGATGCACTTGGAGCGCAGGAAGAAGGAACTGGCCATCCTACAGCTGAACAACCTGCAGCTGACGCTCAAGTCCAAGGAGGACTCCTATCACTTTGATGGACAACTCGATAACCTGGAGCTGATCGATCACTCCACCGACAACACACACTTCCCCAAGTTGATATACTCTCAGAGCACCAGAAGGTCACGTGCACCTCATCAACAACAACCACAATCACAATCATTATCAAAGAAGCAACATCAATCACTCTTCAAGATACAGTTCGAGAGTCTGCCACCTGGGAGTGAGGTTGATTGCAGGGTGGCGATACAGTCCAAGCCACTCACTATTGTATATTATCCATTGTTTGTTAGCAAGATCGTCGAGTTCTTCCGCGCAAACAGTACTTCCGCCGACGTGTTTGAGGACATTGGCAAGATGGCACAGGACACCATCCAGAACATCAAGACACAGACCAAGCAGACATTGCTGCTGGCCATCTCACACAAGACCACACTGTCCCTGACGATGGATCTCGAGGCCCCCATCATCCTCATCCCCGACGACATTCACAACAATGATCGAGCCAACACACTCATACTTGATCTTGGTCATCTTTCAATCAATCACACGCCACGATCAAAGAACACACTGACTTCACAAGATCCAAACAACAACAACAACAACAACAACGACCCCAAGAACAATGACAACAAGAGCGAAGACGATTGGCTCGTGGACTTGTACGACGAGTACAACTTCAAGCTGCGACACATTCAGGTGCTGCTGGCCGGACAACAACAGGACTGGACCGACCTGAAGCAGGTGACCAGATATCGCATGAACATCGCCAACCCGTTCAACGCCAGCTTTATGATGAAGCTGAGCAAACTGCGCAATCAGATGCTCACATCTCTAAAGCTGGACGCCAGCGTGGACCTGGTAGAGTTCTATCTATCCTCACAACAATACGTCAACTTTGTCAACGTGATCCAGGCCATCACTATGGGCCAGGCAGCATCGACGCCCGCTGGTGCGCCAGTCGCCGTCGCAGCCAGCGGAGGTGAGCCCATCGAGATGATAATGGGCGACCCCGCACACATCGCGCACTGCAATCTACTCGAGGCCCGCTTCTCAGTCGACTGTTTCAATGTCCATCTGCGAATGGAGAACGAGCAGCAGGCTCAGAACCTGGCCCTGGTATACCTGCGGCGTATCGAAGGTGTGTTCAACCAACGCTACTACGACAACTACATGGCGCTCAGTGTCAAGGGTCTTTGGGTGGAGGACTGCTTCCAGAAGCCACCTGGTAATGGCAACTACCTGGCCTTCACCAATGCCAAGGTCACACTGGACACAATCGCCAAGGCACCGGTCCACACACTCAACCCGGTCAACTTCACGCTCGTACAGATCTCACCCGAGTCACCCTTCTACAAGAAGGTGGACAATGACTCCAAGATCGAGTTCTCGCAACTCAATCTAATACTCAACAAGAAGACTGTGGCTGGTGTGATTGAGTTCTCCAACTCTGTACAGAACCTCACGATTGAGAAGTTGGCTGAGAAGGGAGGTGCTGGTGCTGGTGCTGCAGACGACCAGCAAGGCAGCCCTTCCAAGAAGGCTGAGCAGGAGCATGTCTTCTTGACAGAGGCGATGATGCAACCATCATGGCGAAGCACAACACCATGCACCAATCAAGTGATCAACAACAGGTTCGAGGTGAAGGTAACCTTTGTGCGACTGTTGCTGACGTCAGAGGCCAACACACCTTTGATGAAGGCATCCATCGTCGACTTCCAATGCACGACAGACATCAACGCCTATCATTCAATCACCAATGGCAAAGTCGGCCAGCTAAAGGTATACGACATGACATTGGAAGGCAGGAACTACCGAACAATCTTCACGACCAAGGAGCGAAAGACTGGCAACAATGCTGACTCATCCATGTCCTCAGCGGGCGGTCTAAGCATCGAGTCTGAGGACACCTTTGTCATCGCGGACTCCCCGTCACTCTCGTCGTCATTTGGCATGCGCTCATCACTCCTCCAATCATCGTCCACATCACTGATGGAGCATCCCGAGTCGATGAATGCACTTGTTCACTTCCAGTTTGAGTCGCGCAAGAACGTCCACTTCCTGCGCTGCAGTCTGAGCAGCATCCGCTTCGTATTCCTTCATCGCTTCATCGACGAGATTCAGAACTTCCTTAACAGTGTCAACACAATGCGTGACTACCTCAAGCGATCGATCAGCTCTGCGGCCACTGTAATCTATCAAGCACGTACCACCTTTCTCTACGAGATTGAGGTGGATAACCCCTATGTCATCGTGCCCATCTCGTCACTCTCGCATCAGGTCTTCATCGTAGACCTGGGCAAGATCATCATATCCAACAGGTTTGACTATGGCCAAGTCAATGGCAGCGACATGGAAGCCATGGTACTCAGCAGCGAGCGTGAGCGTGAGTTGGAGGAAGGCATCGGTGGTGATGAGTGCGAAGCTTCGTCTTCAACAATGAAAAAGGAACACTTCATCACTATGAACATCTTTGTCGAAGCCAACAACATCAAACTGCTCTCAGGTCTCAACACAAAGATGTCCAAGTCAGCCAAGGGAACAATGTCGCGCACTTTTGGAACATTGGTCAAGGATGTGAACCTCAATCTTCACTTGGCCACACCGATGCTGCTGAACCCCGCAGCCAGCCGCACCTGCACACTCCCACCTTGGCAGCGAACGTGCGACATCTCCCAATTCCAATTGGACATTAGTGAGTACGAGTCAAAATGTCTCATTCTCCTGCTCGATGGCAACCTCTCAGAGTTCTCCTCGAGTGTCCGAGGTGACACATTGGCCGATGAGGACTTGGACCCGGGCCCGCTGTCGCCAGAGCCCATGCCAAACCAAGATGAGGGTGAAGACGTTAACCAAGCCAACTATAAGGGCATCACAACATGCACACTTGGCAAGTTCTCGATTGGATTCATGAAGCGTGATGGCTCAGCATCTGACGACCGTCTGGTCCACTTCATCGCCAACGAGACAATGATGACCATTGTCAATGAGCCCATGGAGACCACGGTAACCATCGAGATTATGAGCATTCATTTGGAAGACTTCAACAAGGAAACACATCCTCACTTCAAGTCGCTGCTGTCTCCATCGCGTGGAAACGCCAGGTCGTCAAAGGGTCTGGATCAGCAACCACAACTAGTAATCAGCGGTTCGATCAAGCCACCCCCAATCCAACAATCGGCATTCCAAGTGACACTCGAGAGTGTGTCGATGGTCTTTGTCCCGCACTCTTGGCTCGAGATGCAGAGCTGTCTATCAAGACTGATGAGCATGGGCATGGAGGCATGGACGCGATACTCGACCAAGATCATGGGTGCCCCTCCCACTGGCGTCGAGGAGGTCATCCAGTCCGGCTCGTCATTGATCAACGCACATATTGGTGAAGCGATCATTCTTATACCGACCAATCCGCGAGTGTCTGGTGATGGAGAAAAGGAATACGCCCTGATCATTCGTGCCTCACTCGACATCCAGAGCACATCAAAGGGTGCAGCGGGTGTTGAGACGGTGTCCCTGCTTGAGGCTGACAACATCCAAGTGTACCGAACGAGGATCAATCAAGCAGAGAGGTTTGACGACAAGTCTAGCATCAACAACTTCAACCTCAACAACAATAACAACAACCACAACAACAATGGCTCACTTGTTGGAAAGGGCGAGATCAAGATCATTGAGCCCTTCAAATTCCACCTTCAGACTACACAGACCCTGACCAATCAAGAGACAAACGTGTCCATCGACAAGATCAATGTGAACTTCTCTTACAAGGACTTCAAGCAACTGATGGTCATCTCGAACAACACAATTCAATCATTCCCCGCGGCTGACAGCACATCTCAACAACCACAGCACAGGTCGACGGCAGACAATGACGACCAAGACATCGACCCAGAGGGTAACCAGGACTCACTCATGGCCCCCATCAAAGAGGAGGTCAACAAACAGGTGTACATCTCATTCACGCTGGACACTGGCACATTCATTCTCCACAACGATCTACAAGAGAAGGATCGCTTCCCTCTGATCTCATTCAAGGTGTCCCGCTTGAAGAACAACAACTTCTCGCGAACTACCAGTAGCCAGATCGCTCTGACACTCGAGTCCAATGTTGAAGCCTCCTACTACAATGTCAACAGTGGTGTGTGGGAGCCTCTGATCGAGTCATGGGGCTACACAGTCACTGCAAACAACTCTGCACTGGGTGGATGGATAATGGACGTGGCGTCCAAGCTGCCTCTGCAGGTGAACATAACCAAGGGCTTCGTGGATACCTCACTCTCCACGTACCAGATCCTGGCCGATGACTTTTACAAAGAGGACCAAGTGGTGCAGCCCAAGACCACCAACCAGATCCAGCATGTCAAGTCCAGCTCGCCCACTCTTATCTCGACGACTACATCTGCCGTTGCGTCCAAGTCTGGTGCCGTCTCATCGACTACTGAGGATGACAACAGCAAGACCTACGCATACTACATCATCAATCAAACAGGCCAGACCGTTTGGTATTGGTTCAAAGATGAGGAGCTGCAAGAGATACCGATTGGCAAGGAGATTCCATTGGTCCTTCCTCATCTAGCATCTCGATCGCGTGGCACACTTGACGTTGCCGACAGCAAGATATCATTCCAACTGTACGGCAACTTCAAGCCCATCAACAACCTACCAATGGACACGATTGGAACATACTCCCTGCACCCAATGCCCGAGTACAGGAGTGCCAAACTTCTCTACGACATATCATATCGCAAGGGTAGCAAGGTGCTGTCGCTGCACTCAAACATTGTCATCAAGAATCAGACGACAAGTGCCGTGCAGGTGTACATCAGTGTGGGAGGCAACCGTGAGCTGGACCCTGTCGAGCTCAAGGTCGATGGCAACGCGAGCGTGCCACTACCCATTCTGTTCTCGATGGGTCGCATCAGAGTCAAGCCCTACAGCATGAGCCATGGATACTCCACGGAACAGATTGATTGTCTCAACTTCATCCAGCTCATCAAGAACAAGGGCGAGAAGGACAGCAGGGGCAAGAAGACGCCAAGGACACATCACTCGCGAATGATATGTAGGAACGCGCTGACGCTGCCCTACGTCCTTGTGGCATCGATCGAAAAGAACATCAAGAGCAAGAACCAGATTGAGATCACACTGTTACCTCCACTAGTCATTGAGAATGTGTTGGCGTGCGACATCAACTATCGCATCTATCACTCGAAGAACAGACGACTGATCGGCTCACCCTTCCTCGAGGGCGTCATTGCAATGGGCGAGAAGAAGGAGGTGTCCGTGTACGACTCGTCGCACGATATCTACATGGAGATACAGTTCAACGACCTGATGTGGTCGCATCCATTCCTCATCGAGACAGTGCAAAGCACGCCCGAGCAAAAGATGTGTGAGAAGATCAAGATGCACGACGCCAACAAGTGTCCCATCCTCATTGCATTCGACAACAGATTGGAGCCCACGGGCATGCGCATCGTTAGCGTGTTCTGCGAGTTCTGGATGGTCAATCAAACAGGTCTGCCACTCTTTTACCGCCATCACATTGGCGCCCAGACAGTGCAGCCTGCGGGCCAGGAATCACTTCATGTGGACGACCGCTTGGCGTACCCACTGCCAGTGGACTCGAACCAGTGGTACCGACCCGACTGGGCCACGCCATCCAAGCCTTTCATGTTTGCGTACAGCGACCTCAACATCGTTGGCGGGCAGTTCGCGCTAAAGATTGCCAACTCTGAGTGGTCGTTCCCCTTCTCGCTCAACTCGTCCACGTCAAACGAATCGTCCATCATCACGATCAAGGAGGAGAAGCCCGAGCAGAAGGTCGAGAAGCGTCAGTTCCAGCTGTCCATCACATGCCTTCCATCGAACAGCCGCTTTTGGCGCACTCGCGTCGTCACCTTCTGTCCGCAGTTCGTCATTGCCAACACCACCTCCAACAAGATCTACTATCAACAGTTTGAGTGCTACAAGTATCTGCAGACGGTGCAGCCCAACCAGTCGCTGCCATTCCAGTTCCCCTCGGCCAACAAGGAGAAGCTGCTGCGTGTGGGCATTGCTCAGGCTAAAGAGCCAGGCATCATTTGGAGTGGCTTCTTCAACCCGGACGAGCTGACCAACTTCACACTGCGACTGCGCACCGACTCTGACGCGTCGCTCAATCTCAAGATCAAGGGCTCCGAGCCCAAGTACACATCGAGCAGCGCGATGAATGAGATGCACTTCCTTTCGGTGTCCATCAGGCTCAAGTCAACCAAGTCAATCACAACCAAGATGATCGTGCTCTCTGAGCACAACCCCGATCTACCTCCCTACCGCATTGACAATCGCAGTCGATTCCCTCTTTGGATACGCCAGAAGAAGACGCAGAACTGGGAGAAGCTTGGCGCGAACTCGTCCACACCCTACACCTGGGACCATTTCATCCTGCCCAAACGTCTTGTCATTGAATTCCCTGGCAATGAGAAGAGGTACTTTGAGCTGCACAACCTGGAAGAGAAGTCGACAGTGACAGTCAAATCGAGCGCAGCAGCGCAGGCCTTGGCTCAGGGCAACAACAACAACTCAAGTGCCACAATCCCTGGAGATGCCAGCAAGATTGATTTGGAGGTATCGATCAACGCTCATGGACCAACACGTGTACTTGTGATCAAGGAGAAGTCTGCGTCCAAGTCAAGCTCATCGTCCAACAACAACTTGGCACGCAGTGCAGAACGTGAGGCAATGGCCACGTCTAGTTCGAGCACCAATGCCTTGGGCAACAGCATTGGCAATGAACCATCCAATCGATTCGAGATCAGACTCACACTGAAGAACATTGGACTATCATTTGTCAATCAGGTGCCTGAGGAGTTCATCTACTTCACCTTTGAAGGTCTGCTCATCGATCTCAAACAGACCAAAGTGGATCAGTTCCTCCAGATTGAGTTGGAGGACCTACAGATCGATGATCAACGCTATCAAACCAACTATCCAGTCTTCTTCTGTCGCACTAGGAAGCCATTCGATGACGCTGGCAGTAGCGGTAGCAGTATCAGTACGACCACAACAACGACCACCAGCAACAACAACAACGAACAGAAGAGACTGCCACTGTTCCAGTTCAGTTCGACACGATCACTCAAGTACCCAAAGATCCTGTTCTTTAGATACTTCTCATTCTTGATCCAGGAGTTTGATCTGAACATTGACGAATCGACCATACTCAACATACTCTCATTCATCAATGTCAACTTGAACTCGCTCAATGAACACTTTAGCCAGCACCCGACCATCACCACCGAGGAGATCCTGCAGGTCGAGAGCTCAAAGCTCGAGGACATGATCTACTTTGAGCTGCTGCACATCAACCCGCTCAAGATGAACCTGTCGTTCACCAGCTGCAAGCTTCCCAAAGAGATCTCGTCTGTGCTTGGCGCGCGCTCGCTCTCCGAGCTGATACTCGGCATCAAGTCCTCCTCGCCCTTCCTCAATGTGGATCGTGCGCCAATGCACTTCAACGGATTCATCTGGGAGCATCCCTTCCTCTCTGTCAAGCAGGTAACCGACGAGATGATGGCCATCTTCCAATACCAGTTCATGGGCCAGGTGCACAAGATCTTTGGCTCGTTCGACTTTATTGGCAATCCGATCAGACTGGCAGAGTCGCTGGGCAGTGGCTTCAAGGACTTCTTCCACGAACCTGCGCTCGGCCTTGTCAAGGGACCTCAAGAGTTTGCACTTGGCCTGTCCAAGGGCACGTCAAGCCTTATCAACAACAGTGTGTTTGGTTTCTGCGAGAGCGCGTCCAAGATCACGGGAACGATTAGCAAGGGATTGGTACAGTTGTCACTGGACGACTCGTACATCAAGGATCGCGTTGAGAGCAGCAAGCAGAAGCCCAGCGGTCTGAAGCAGGGATTTGAGTTTGGAATCCGCGACCTGGGCGAAGGCTTCATCAAAGGAATCACAGGCATCATCGATGAGCCGATCAAGGGTGCCACACAGGAGAAGAGCTTCGAGGGCTTCCTCAAGGGCGTCGGAAAGGGAGTGCTCGGCGTGGCCGTCAAGCCTACCGTCGGCCTGTTTGAGTTTGCCACGCGAACCTCTGAGGGCATGAAGAACGCCACGACCATCGCCAAATCAATCATGCTCATCCGACGTCGACGTCTACCGCGCTTCTTCCCAAAGGATGGCACACTCCAGAACTACAACGCATTCAGATCGCATGGCGCCTACCTGCTGTACTCAAAGGTTGGCTCGCCACCCGTCAACAGCTTCTACGTCTTCCATTGGGTGCTGAGCAAGGACCACATCCTGGTGACGTCCACGCATCAGCTATTGTTCCTGATCAACTCGGCGCTGCTGTCCATCCTTCCTTCGTCATCTTCGTCGACGATCGAGTACGAGGTTGGCTGGCAGGTCAAGATCTCAGAGATACAGCAGTTCCAGAAGCACACCAACTCTTTGACCATTGTCCATCGTCCGGCTGGATCATCGTCCGATCTATCGCCCAAGAGTGTTACGGTGCAGACGCCAAGCGAAGAAGTGAAGCTATCCATAATCAAGAAGGTTGCCGACCTAATCTCATTCCACAAGAGGTTTGGACAGGAATAAATCCATTCGTTCATTCGTCGAGTAGTTATAGCGCAGGTATTGTATCATACATTCATCCATCCATTCATTTATTGAACTAGCTGTTGTCGATACTATATGTTATCATCCTACCCCTTTAATGATAAGATGTTCGTTGTCCTGTAGTGGTAGTTGTTGCCGACATCGTTGTCGACTATGTGATTGTGTTTGTGATTGTCTTTGATTGAATGATTGATGATCCTCGAGTCTAATCGTCAAGAAGGAAGAACCATTTGCCAAGAACACCTATTCCAACTAGATCCTCAGCATTTGAGTTATCATACCTTCTCGTTGCCATTGAGAAGTAGATGCAGTTGCGTACTCTAACATCAAGAATGTTGAACATTGACATTGCATTCTTTGCAACGAATCCCTAGGGAAGTAATAGTAGGCAGTATTTATGAGTATGACTGATTGATTGATGATTGATTGATGAGTACGTACAGCAATCTTTCCACTTCTGTCTGACACTCGTTGTGAGAGTTGACGATCAAAGTCCTCCTTTGTTGGGTTGGTATGGTATGATACCAATCCAACACCAATCAAGAATAACAACCTGCTCAGTGCTTTCATTATATAAGTAGATGTAGTAGTATATATATGTACAGATAAATATAAGTATGTTTGTGTTACAATGGTTCAAAGTCCGGACCTTTCGTTTCAAGTCATGTAAACAATTTGATTGCGAGTGTGCTGTGATTGACGTCATGATTGACTTGATTGACTGTACTTTTAATGGGCACGGGACACTCTCTAGTAGTGTCAATATTGTTTATATATTTATTGAACTATAATCCAAGTTGATGGTTATGTATGCCATTGTATACGCCAATCAATCAATTTGATTGGGCAATAGTAGTTGGCTTTGAGAAACTGCCATAAATGAATGTAGAGTTGACTGAACATCCATCACCGTGAGTCATAACGAATCCATGTGGCTGCAATATAGATATGATATCATCCACGGAGAATCCAACCTTTACAATCCTGAACTTATCACCATTGAGTAACTTCCTTTCAACTATCATGAGGGCGGGGAGGTTGGTCAATACACATACACACATGATGGAATGATTCCATGGTATTAGGAGACTTACTAACATAATCATTTGATTGTTGTTGTTGATATTCAACACGATTGACTACAGCTTCGTGAGCATCTTGGTTAACCATTTTGTTGCGCAGTGGGAAGAAGGAGTCGGCAAAGATGATCCTGCCGCCAGGCTTGAGTGCCGCGAAGATCTTGCCAAAGAAGCTGGCAAACAACTCGGGTGGGACGTGGCTGATGAAGAAGCCCAAGAAGACAATGTCGTAGTGCTCCTTCTCCGGTGCGAACTGCTCATTGAGCAAGTTGGTCTGGTGGATTTGGAAGGCGTCGCCGGCCGCGGCGACCAGCTCAGCGTACTTGTTACCTAGCACGCGCATCATGTCAGGGGAGCCCTCCTCACAGCGCAAGTTGAAGCGCTTAGGAGTGTTGCGCAAGAAGAAATGGGTGAAGTTGCCAGTACCAGGCGCGAGCTCCAGGACACGCAGTTGGCCAGGACCCATAACCGACTCGCCAGTCACCGTTTCCAGGAAGCTATAAATGCCAGACCTGTTGCTGGTGAACTCAGTGTTGGACTGCTCGCCATGGTCAAAGTCGCCCTTTCTGTTCCACCAATCGTCGTACTCCCTGGAGTAATCGGGTATTGGATGTGGATGATTGATTGATTGATTGAGTGAGTGAGCGTGAGTGGGTGCATTCGACAAAGTTGAGTGCGCCTGAGACCCAGCATTCAATCATTCAATCAACATTCAATCAACATCGATCGATCAATCAAGTTAAACAATCCCACGCCAGACAATACCTGGGTCACTTACCCACTGCGTTGATTGTAGTACTCCTGTTGCTCCTCTAACAATTTATCCATTTGTTCGTAATTACGATTACTTGTGTGAATCTACGAGATGTTTATGCAAATGATCAAAGGAATTGTGATTTTTGAACGAGTCCATCCCCAGTCCTGTGTTCATCAATTCAATTACCCAGGGTCGACCTCATCATAAAAATAATTAATTAATAATTAAATTTTTAAAATAAATATCTTCTTGATGATGATCATCACACAAGAGGGTTTGGTCCACCCTCCACTCCTTCTCCGCTTGGCGCCCTCCATAATAGTCCTCAGTAGTTCTTCTTAAGTATACAGTTTGGACATGTAACTAATGTCACCACATACATGAGCCGCCAAGTGAGTTCAGCGTCAATGTACATCATTCCCGGTCCTATTTCTAGAGAGTGGTTCTAAACCAATGACGCTAATCTTTGAGTCAGTCTATGTGTCACATTGAATAATAATAATTTATTAATGCGAATGAATGTGAATGAATGAACAACATACTTTGCACACTGATCAGGTGAGTAATGATGAATGATCGCCAGACACTGATACCACATCATCGGGTCAATCAAAAACATTGTGAGTGTCTATGTAAACTCATGGCAAAGATGGACATAATGGGCAAGTGTGTGACCTTGATTGATAGAAACAAGATCGGTAATTTTTGATGTATGTACGTATGGCCTCCCCTCAAACCCCATCACTCAACAACACAACCTACATTCACAAGCACAGGTCCATCAAAAACGGGCCTTCACACACACACACACAAACTGTGTGTATTTGTTTTTTTGATTGTTTTTTTATTTAAATTAATGATGAGGACCTTGAGTGAGTGTGAGTGTGTGTGTGTAGATACAGACCTGATGCATGTCATTTCCTTTGCTATGATGATTAACTAGTAACGACCATAACAATTCAAAAACAAAACCCTTTCAACTGTTGTATGGACCCTATTCTCACTCTTCTCTCTCCTCCTCTCTGCAGCTCATAACCTTATCACTATTTTGACAAATCATCAATCACATACACACACACAATCACAAACAATCAAACACAATCACCACACACACACACTCACACACACAAATAATCAATCAAGGGTGTCCATCAAACACACGCACACACCAGGAGTACCTGCCTGATCTGTCTGTCAATCAATCCCCTTGTCCTACTTATTGCCAACTCTGTCAATCCTATCTGTCTGTCAATCAACCAGTCAATCTGTCTGTCTGTCTATCAATCAAACATCCAAAAAGGACTCTACCCCCACCACAAACACAACACAAACTCACACAGACACACACTTGGCTCGAGCCAAACACTCCAATCCAGGCCCACTCCCCCAACACTGTTGAATCAATCAATCAATCTCCTGGATCAGTTAACCTGCCTATCTACAAATAATAATTAATATATATATACATATAAATAATCAAAAGACACCAACAATCAATCAACAATCAATCAAGTAATCATGGATACATGCGACAGCGATCCATCATTTTTGAATGCCAAGTCCTTTTATCCAATGTATGATGAGGACTCGCTGTCACTGGTGGACCACACCTACGCCACATCGATCGATGGCAGCATACCAATCGACAGCAGCAGCCACACAGGCTTAAACAACAGCGGCAGTAATAGTAATAGTAGTAACAGTAACAGTAATAGTAATAATAATAGTAATAATAATATAAATGGAAGTGGTAGTGTACATAATGATGCCAACTACTCATCATCGCCAACATCACCATTGTCTGTTGCCAATGTAATAGTAGGTGGCGTTGGCGTTGGCGTTGGTGGTGGCGGTGGGGGTGTTGGTGGTGGTCAGCAACAGCCACTACACTTTGTCCATCACCTCCAGCAACAACAACAACAACAGCATCAACTACAACATACACATCTTGTTGGATATTACCCTGGCTCAGTCTCACCTCAACAGCAGCATCCCTCACAATATGATGCCTTCCCTTTCATCGAACACATGTCCAGCCCACAGCTACTGGTAAGTCGCCCTCACCCTCGCCCTCACCCTCGCCCTCACCCTAGCCCTCGCACTCACCCTCGCTCATTCCCCTCTAACAACACCTCCAACAATGACAAACAGTATCAGCAGCACCAACAGCAACATCAACAGCAACATCAGATGATGATCAATCCACAGACGTCATTCACAAATTATGGCAACGCGACTATGACACCAGCCCAGCTGCAACAGCAACAACTGCAGCAACAGCAGCAGGGCAGATCAATGGGCCTCCAACAACAACAAGTGTCATCACTGGCATCATCGTCCAAGACCACACCTCTGACATCGTCTGCACCATCATCACCTGCACTCACCTCAATGTCTTCGTCTTCATCGGCCGCATCGACACCATCCAACAACAACAACAATGCCATCTTCTACCAAAGTATCCCCGCCACGTACGCTGTAAATATCCCAACAACGACTCATACATACCCAATGACAACGCATGCGCCATCGTCGTCCGTCATCAACATCAACGCTCATGGCAGTCCCCTAGTAGTCTCAACCTCCCTGCCTGTACTCAATGGTGAGGTCATCATGACCAACTCATCACAAATGCTCGCTGGCTCTGCCAACAATCTCTCATCATCCGTGCCCACTTCAGCAGGATCATTCCTCGACAACCTTAATCTTTCCTCATCGCCCAACGTCTCGCCAACTGGCTCCAAGAAGTCAGGTATGTACTTGCGCTTGAATTTGTTGCGCCCAAGCACCATCACTTACACGCCCCCCCTCATTCAATCAATCAACATCAATCGACAGTCACAAAGCAAAGAAGGAAGCCAACAACAAAGAAGGACGCATCCTCTGAGAATGTATTCAACAACAATGGTAATGGTAACGGCAACGCTGAGACAGATGGTGGCGCAACCACAAGTCAGTCGTTGCGAGGCTACAAGAAGTCCAACAGCTATCCAAACTTGAAGAGACAGACGTCTGCTGGCGAGTTGTCCGATAGGGGCTCAGGCGGTTTCATGCCGCCAGGCACTGGGGGCAACATCGAGACGGACCCACAATCATTGAATGCTTCGGACTCGTCATTCACCAGCACTCTGTCCGACAGCAACAATACCAACATCACACCCAACGACAGCTTTGACGATGGCTCTTCCACCACGACGGTGACGCCCTCGCGCAAGAAGAACAAGAACCTGCATTTGAACATCTCGGACAGCTCAACGATGAAACCGACCGTTCCACACTCGATGCTGACGCCCAGCCTCTCAGGCCTGTCACTGTCGGGTGGCTGTTTCTCACCGCTCATGACACCCGTCTCCCCCGTCCACATGCCCAACTTCTCACTCAACCAGTCCAGCTCGTCGCTGGTGGCCTCCACCCTGTCCAAGATTGACATTCGCGACTCTGTCGAGTCGATCATGAGTCCAATCTTCCAGTCGTGGCCCTCGTTCAATGTTCAGGCCGACTTTGCCCGTCGCATCCGCGAGACGTTCATCCCGGCCGAGTATCTCAACGATGGGACCTCGACGCCACGCATGCCCCAGCTCGAGGACTGTCTCAAGATGCTGCTCTGTGTCATCCAGCCTTTTGACGATGGTTTGAGGAAGCAGATCGCCTCCTCCTTTGTCGACTTGGCCAGCGATTGGCGCGACTACCTAGACAAGAGCATCTGCGTGACAGAGGCCATGTTCCGCGAGAAGTTGGCCAGCTTCAACGTGTTCCGCATGGCCATGCTGACCGACCCCATGAACGCCAACATCCCCACGCCCACCATCCCAATGATGCAGCAGGCCAGCGCACAGCAGGCGGCCATCGAGCACCAGGCGAGCATGATGGGTGGTAGTGGCGGCCTCATGGGCTCGCAACTCTCCAGCAACGATCTCTACGGATCACCTGCACTATCATATGTACATCCCTCATCACCATCCTTTGCACCACTGTCTGGCTCATTGGACATGTCTCCGGACTTGACCACACCACTGTCCCCCGGCTACATGGAGTTTGCCGAGCACCTGACCTACAAGAACCCTCTCTCCTACACAACATCATTCACTGGCTTCTCCATACCGGTGGCTCCACCAATGAACTCGACATCGATGGACAAGCAGATCGCTTCAGCAGCAACATCATCAGTAGTACCAGCATCACCAAAGATCACACCAAAGCGAACGTTGGATATGATACAGGGACAAGGGCAGTCGAACAACAAGGGGGATGGAGTAATGTCACCTGATGTCGTTGGAATGGATGCACAACAGCTTCATTACCAAGGTCTCCAACAGAAACTACATCAACAACAACAACTACACCTACTCTCCGTCCACCAGCAAATGTTACAACAACAACAACAACATCACCAACAACAACAACACCAACAGCACCAACAACAAATCAAACCGATGTATAATAGCGAAGCAACCTCCACCATCATCTCCAACCATCAACAACAACAACATCAACAACAACAACAACATCAACATCAACAACTACTACAACAACAATACTACTACAACAACACGAACAACTATGCACTCTCGCATAACTCTCTCGCAACGGCCATGTCAGGCCATCAACAACAACAGCATCCAACAACCATTCAACGACATAACAGCGCACCAACCATCATCTCTTCCAACTCCATTCCACTTGTATACAACCAACCTATTTTTTCTCCAACTCTACAATCGCAACAGCAACAACAACAACATCAACAACCTCCTCCACAACAACAACTTGTCCAACCTCAACAGCAACAGCAACAGCCACAGCCACAGCCACAGCAGTCGCAGCCCCAGCAACAGCAGCAGGCCACAAAGGTCAAGAAGGAGAAGTCCAAAAAGAAGGTCACTTAGGCGACCTCCTCCAACATTCATTCATCTGTCCAATATATAATTGTAGACATAATCATCCCAAGCCAAAGTAATACTAGTCGTACGTGTTCCTAATAAACATCATCATCGTCATCAGTTGGTGTAACCTACGTTGTTACCTCCAATAATAATGTGAACAAACAATAGTTTATTATTGTTCTCGTCATTGATTGATTGATTGATTGATCGTGTGGAATATTTCCAGGGATTGTTAGACCAAGGCTAAGCATCAGGAGAGTGGTGAATGATAATTGTATCCGATGTGTTCACAGTCTTGAAACAATAGAAGACCTGACCATGGTAGACATACTGAACAGTGGCTTTCTCAACTGAGTACTGATTCGGAATGGGCACTTCGATGGTGAAGTCACCGAAAGGACGCGGTTTGGGAGTTGTTAACTTGTTGAACTGGTGATCGTCATAGGACCTCTTCTCCACTACCTTGTTGTTGTTGTTGTTGTTGTTGTCAATATTGTCTATGGGATTCGGAGGGGTGATGGAGTATAGGTCACGACGTCCCCACACCTTGAGGAAATAGCGGTTGTCCTTGTGGATGATCTTTGAATTCAAGAAGCCACCTATCTTGTGAGAGATGTAGCCTGGGAAGTCGACCATCACATACATGCCAAACTCATCCGTGATGACGTCGTAGTGCGGAGTGAAACCGTCAGTCTGGATAGGGACCAAGATAATGTTGAAGCCATTAAAGTCCACCTCGGACTTCAAGTCAAGGTTGTAGGTAGTCTCGTCGTTGGACTCTGGAACTATGGTGATATAACCAGGAAGATATGGTTCCTCAGGGACGTCAAAGTGCCATTGTTTCTTGACTCTCTCAATGTCGGGGTCCTGGTCCACCTCTGAATGTATGGCGGCTGGTTCTACATTCACTGGGGCAGCTGCATTCGCCTCGTCTGGACCTGGAGCTTGGCCATTTCGATTGTTAACCACGATCTTCACCTTGGGTGGATTTCGGCAGTAGCGCTCCTTTAGCAGGTGATCAATGTTCTTCTTGAGTATCATATCAAGACTCTCAGTCCTCTGGACTTGATTACTAAAGATCTTGGTACGGATTGCATTTATCGTAATTGGGTTCCACTTGTTGCCAGCAGGGGAGCCATCCTTGGCAATGAAGTAATGGAAGGTGTCCTGTCTGGAAGAGTCCAAGCTCTTCTCGTGGAAGAAGATATGGATATCGTCTGTGTTGACTACCTTCATATACCTCTCAATACCGGTGTGAGTCTGGACAACGAATCTCTTCCACATTTCTATCAACTCACTCTCTTCGGTCACGGTATCAAAGTTGTGAATAACAATCAACTGTGTTTGTTTGTTGGTTTCGGCAGATCCACTCTGAGAGCCGAGGGTTCTCTGGATGTTCTTGATGTACTCTTGGTCTGGCCATGTGAGCTCCTTGACCACCACCACGATGATGTCGGAGAAAGCATATGCGAGGGACTGGTTGAAGAGCTCGGTGGCCTTCTTCTGACCAAGCAGTTTTCTCTCTTCCTCCGGTGTAAGGTTCTGGTGGTTCTTGTAGAATAGAGGTGTCTCGGTACCGGCAGTGTCTAGGAAGATGGTATTGGTTCCCTCTCTGGTCTGTTTAAATGATAGGCCCTTAGTCTGGACACGGCGACCCGACTCCAAGGTGAAACCAGAGAGTTGGTTGATGATGAATGTCTTGCCACGGTTGAACAGACCCAGTACTGCCACTACGGTGAATGATTGCTCAAGTCCCAGGAGATACTTCACATGGTCCTCATCATTGGCAGGAACTCGCTTGTGTTTATCGATCCAATGTTGGGAAAGGTAGATTGGCCAGCCCTTCTTCAGATCCTCTATCCTCTGGATGTCCAACACTATGTCATAGTATCTATCGACAAAGCGTGTGGCAAGGGGCACGACAGGTTCAACAATGGGTGGTTGTTCTTGAGCCTCTTGGGGTAGGACAGGTGGTTGCTCTTGGGCTTGGTCTAGCTCGAGTTGGTCAAGCTCTCTAGGGTCGAACTTACTCTTTAAGATCTCCCATAATGAATATATAGCAATGAATAAACAAAGAGTTGTACATATAATAGCAATATTATTATCAATAATGAAAGTGGGTAGTTCCATGATTAATAATAAAGAGATAATAACTTATATCTATGTTTGAAGTTGAATTGATTGATTGATTAAATCATATGAATGACGGCAATATGATAACCAAACCAGATGAGGGTGACAGTGAGTTTGGATATGAATTAAACCCATTGCACAAACTTAACATCAAGCCAACCAGGACCATTAAATATTTTTTAATGTCCAATTAATTTGAAGTCAATCACCACTTACCTTTTCAAAGAGCTCTTTGAACTCCTCGTAGTACTGTTGCATGTATGTCTTCTTGTTGTTGTGGTTGTTGTTGCCGCTACAGTCTATTGTCGTAGTCTGTACGTCCATAATGATGGATGTAGAGATTATAATGTTGGTGACAAGCCATATTTCTTGTAGATGGCAAACAGCTCGACAATAATATTGTTAAGTTTATCCTTGTATTGGTTCCTCTCCTTCTGCAATATCGCCAGTTCTTCTCGATGATCAACCAATACACAGTTATACAATCGCTTCAACTGTCTCAATGCTTTGGCTGGGTCCTTCTTGTTCAGGTACCGAAAGACATAAGGACCCTTGTCCTCGTCATCAGAGTCTATGTCGTCAGGATCATCGAACGACTCATTGTCAGACTCCAATGATATTAGAGTCAAGAACATGACCAAGCCAGTTGGAGAGTTTGAAATATGGGCTCATATATATAATGGCAGCAACGACGAAACCGACTGAAGAACTTCTCGACGATGTAGTCGGGGCAGTAACCCTCATAGCGCAGGTCACCGCACCCTTTGCCTATCTTTGGGAAATCGAGTGACTTCTTGCCAGTCTTGATAGCCCATGGCTTGGTCGTAACGAATCCATCGGTGTGCACGCGCTTGATGCAGTCAATGTCGTCCTTTATTATCGTTCCAATCATCTTGCGACCACGAGAGATGATGAATGGCATGATGCGAGCGAATGGCGTGTCGAACATGTCGGTGTTGCATGCTGATTTGATCATCGCGCTACCATTGGCCGTTGGAGTGATGCGATCGATTGAGTAGTCCTCGTCCAGGTTGATATCAATGTGCTTGATCGTTCTCTGTCCATCGCTGGTCTCTATCACCTCTGCGTCGCACTCCATGTTGGCGCTCTGCTTGGTCTTGTTGCGCTTGGAGAGAGCGCCCCATAGACGTTGATAGAGACACTTGCAGAGCTCCTCTAATCTAGATTTGGGTTCACATGCATCTATCCAGCCGAGGACCTGATCGATGTACTTGCCAAACAGATCGGAGCCAAACTTCCTGCAGCTGCTGTCGTATATGAGCGCATTGGCCTTGCTGCCAGTCTTGAGATTGAATGTCAATCCTAGCTCCTTGGCAAAGATGAGGTCATAGTGAGTGTAGTAATCGTTCTTGTTGTGCTTGAAGGCGCCATGAGTACCATTGATCGTTGCGCGATAGATACCGAATGGGATTGATTTCATTGCGCTGAGCTCCTCGTCGGTCAGATGCTGGAACTCGCCGCACTTGATGGGTATCATGAAGCCGCTGCTCCTCAAGATTGAGGCATACATCCTAGCGACGTCATACTTGTAGAGAGCACCTACATGTAGAATTGGTGAACTTTTGGTGAACAAACGGTGAACAGTGTGAGAACTTTCGGTAGTACACTCCTGGTAACTCTCTTGGGCGTGCAAGCTGTTACAGCGCTAACAAGTATCGAAAGTAGAATCGTAGTAGAATTACAAAAATAACCTCCTCAATTTAGGATTAATTATTATTATTATTTTGAACTTCTAAACTCTATTTCTACTACAATTCTACATTGATTAGACAGATACTCGTTGGAAAAAGAGTTCCAACGTGCTCACTGCTGTGGCGGTGACACGTACTGAAAGTAGAATTGTAGTAGAATTCGGAAAAAGACCTTCTTTAATTAGGATTAAAGTATTTCTAATATTTTGAACTTAAAGTCTCTATTTCTACTACAATTCTACATTATTGATACAGATACCTTTTTTAAAAGAATAAGAGTGTATAAAACTATAAAGAGCAGAATTTGGAAGTATGAAATGAAGGAGCGCCAGCTCCGGAATGCCAGCGAAGCCAGCAGCGATGAGTTATCCACACACATTTACTCAATTGATTTGATAGTGGAGGTGATTGCGATTGGTCGTCAGATGGTTGGGAGACAATTGAGGGCCATGTATCTTCAGTGATGTTGTAAATGGGTCACAAGAGTGGGCCGTCGACGTAAGATTGATGTCCAAAGTAGGTGCACTCCTCCATTCTTTCCTCTCAGCTGATTAACATACATTCATTCAGCTATTGCCCACTTGTGTACAAAGAAAGATCTAATATATCAATTGATTGTTTAAATGGATTCAAAGTAGTTACAGAACTATCTCTGTCACTATTGTTGTTGTTGATGTTGTTATTCATATTTGAAGTACTCTGTTGTTGTTGTGATTGAGGCGGAAGATATTGTTGTTGATCAAATTGGTGTTCGACCTCCTCATCCTTTACATTAGTTCGATTGTTATAGTTATTGTTATAACTTCTACTTGTACTTCTTCTCAATATTGATTTATTACTAGTATCTGACCTCTTGTTATTCTTTAAGGATAACTTCCTTGTACTACCCATCCATCTCTTATTCATTCTCGATCAGAAGTTGTATCTCTATAACAGATAAATAAATATATATATATTTAACAAGTGTTGGTACAACATTCAAATCGTGTGTCCAAGTCAGAGTTACACAGTCATGTCAATGACTGTGTGTTTCCAAGAACTTAATGTCCGTGTCCAAGTGTTGCATAACTCAACAACACCACATACATGCCAGCCAACACAATTCAAAGTCCTACTTGTATTGGAAGAAGTCAACCAAGATGTACTTGTAGTAGTCTTGGATGGCACCAAAGAATGGCTCGAGATTGGGATCTTTGATACCGTTCTGCTTGCTCCATTGTAGTTCTTTGGATGCCAGAATGATGGTCGTACACAGTCCTTGACTGTAATCCAAAAACTCTTGATTGTTCTTATCTCTTGCCAATGATTTGAGCATTGTTACAGTATCCTCCATGCCCTTGACTGCCTGCTCTACATCTGTTGCCCTCAATGACAAGTTGGCTGGACGGTTCTTGCTGAGCTCGCTCTCAATGGCAGCAAAGTTCTTCTTGCCAATGTTACCAAACAATGAGGCGATCACCATGAAGTAATAGTCCATCACCTTGTGCAGTATATATATGCGCTGTGATGCATTGAGTGCATTGTCACGTGGAAGCGATGCATAGACAGAGAGCATCTCGGCGATGGACTCCTTTGCTCGACCCAGCTCAAACAATATTGACGCGTAGCATAGTCTGGCCCTGGTATCCTTGGGCTCCAACTTGAGAGCGTGCTGGATGGCGGCGAGTCCTCTGGCAGGCTCCTTCTTGTGCTTGTGGGACATAGCATTGAGTACCAAAGCTTCGAGAGAGTCTGGATAATAGTGCAATGCCTTCTCTGTTGCCTCGATGGTCTTGTCTACACGCTCCCTTGCATTATGTATACGGGCCAGGTTGAGCCATGCTTGATATACATGATGCTCGGCGATGGCCAATACAGGGTTAGTCCTGAGTGCCTCCTGTGCAATTGGTTGTGTACTAGCTTTGAGATAGGGATCGGTGTTGGCCTTGTCAATGACCACTTGGTACAATGGTACTGCCTTGTCTAGATCACCACGTTGACACAACTTTAAACAAGTTGCTCTTATCAACATGTACTCTCCAGGCATCAACACCTTCAATCCATTGAATCTATCCAATGCACTAACAAAGTGTTGTTGATCACTTATCAACTTTAAAAAATCATCAGCCATCCTATTGTAGTCATCCTATGTTTGTTCCAATAAGTAAGTCAGTCTCTACTATTCATGTGATTGATTGATCATTCAAACATACCATTGATGCATAGCCTCTCCTTGGCATGAACATTTGATTGTTGGATGTTGATACAACATTGAGTATTGATGTTGAGGTGAACATTTGTGATGTTAATGATGAAGATGATGATGGAAGTTGACCATCAGTTCTAATTAGTCTATGTGATTGAATCCTGGTAATTCCATTCTTTCTCAACACAGATGTTGTTGCTACACTCTTTTGTATTTGTTTGAGTAGTCTAATTGACATCTTATTATATATATATTAATTGATAGTGGAATGAATGAATGAATTAACGAATGAATGATGTGTCAAAGAGGCCTGGGAAGATGACATTGGATCTTTATTGACGTGTCAACAATGATCATCAAAAAATAATATCTTGTTGAATCCCACTCATCAAGTGACCCTTGATCTAACTCACACGCGCTCTACATTTGTGGTTGTTGTTGCCAACCCAAGGAAAACTCATGTTACCAGTTGTTGGATTAAACTCATCTCACTCATATGTTGAGTGTATGGTGATAATGTAATGAACATTGATTGATTGATTGATTAATTTAGTATTAGCAACCTAAATTAAACCATAATTAATCAATCATTGATCAGTTTATCAATTTAAATGTTATTTTTAATAATGCTCTTTAGTATCCAAATACCTTCATCCCCGCCTATTCATATAAGGTCTCTCACAGCATGTCCAACTGGGGATTTAAAAGGCAAGAGACCTGTCCCTTTTGATCTTAATTCATTCATTCAAATATTTGATCAAGGATAGAGATACACAACAACAAGCATGCTTGGTTATATCTTTGCTTTGTGTTGTTTGTTTTGGATTGTTGCCACTTCAATATACTTGTTTAGAGCATTCAATCAATCATTCAATGAACTTACAAGTTATGGCAAGTTGAACATTGAACACACTAAACAACAACAACGTGGTCGATCATCACCATCAAGATCATTGGTTCATACATTGTCTCACTCACTCTATTTGGATAGACAGATAATAGAGACTAAACATGCTTGGACTATATTCTATATGTTGGCATTATGCTTCTCGCTGACATTGTTGGTGATAACACTGGCCGTATACAATGGTGATAAGTGTAGCAGGTATCTTATTGTTTACTACGTATTGCTTGGTGTACAGGGTGCTCGAAGACTATACGAGACACTATGTATACAGGCTCATTCATACTCGACAATGTCCGTGCTACTCTTTGTCTCTGGCGCAGCATACTACTTCTTTGCGTCATTGTCTCCATTGGCAGAGCATGCCTACCGCTTCAATGGAGACCTACAACAATGTTCAGGTCTAATGCTCAGTGTGCCTAATGCATTGGTCAAGATCATAATCTTTACATTGGCATCATATACTCAATATCAAGTACATTGTATATTGGCTGACATCAGGAATCGTTCTTCATCGTCAACATCAAAGTCATCTGCCGGCAAAGTTGTCTATGAGATACCTCAAGGTGGACTGTTCAACTTTGTATCATGTCCACATTTCCTCTCAGAGATTGTCATCTATCTCTCTCTATTATCTCTATCAAACTTTAACAGTATAACATTATGGTATGTATTCATTGAATGGATGCTGTCGACTTCCAGACATGCCAAATCGACTAACATTCATCCATTCATTAGGCTACTCATCATATTTACATCTTTAAACCTGATACACAGATCATTGGATACACATAGATGGTACAAACAAACGTTCAAATCACAGTATCCACATCAAAGGATGGCGATCATTCCATTCGTCTTGTGATCGATCCAAATAATGATGTCGATCCAACCCATAAATCAAAAGATCAGGAGATTCAAGATTTGAATTTGAAAAACTGCGCGCAACCCACACAAAGTGGGCTGAAACGGTCAAAATTATCAAACGGTCGCACTTCCCAAGAAGTCGGGAAGTTGATTACTTTGACGGTAATGATCAAGGTTTATAGATGTGTTTATATAGTTTATTGTCATGATTGTATAGTATACATTGATTATCTATGATGTTCAATGTACTGAATAAACAAAAGAGTGGCAAACAATGATTGAAAGTGTGATCAAAAATCAAAAACTAAAAACAAACAGTTGTGTTTGGTGAACTGATCATCTGATTGTTTGTTTGTAGTGTTTGATCTGTTTGTTTGTTGTTTCTTTGTTCCCTCCCTTTGTTTCAACCCTGTCAACGGCGAGTGTATGCATGAATGCAAGTGGCGGGCGGGCAGGCACACATCTTTGAAATAGAGTAAGTAAGTTAATGATCATAGACTATTGATTGATGGTCAACATCATCATTTTCATTTTCAAACGAGCTTTGTGATCATACTCCCTCCTTCGAACGGACAATGGTTAGCGCGCCGCCGTTAACAATCAATCATCCACACTCACTCATTCACTCACTCACCTCACTCATTCAATCATTCAATCAATCAATCAGCATCATCTAAAAAAATAGTATTCATCATTCTTACAAACAATCAGTCAAGATGTATACATACTCTACTACTACTCAATCATCAGGAGCATTAGGGATGGCAACTAGTACTACATCATCATCATCATCATCAACAACAACTCATCAGTATCAATACAATAACAATCAATCAAATGCATTCAAAGCATTGATGGCTGCAGCCACATCATTACATCAGCAAGAGAATCAGGAAAACTACTCTCCACGCGTCAACCTCAACATCAACAATAATAATAACATCATAAACAAGCAACCAACATCATCATCATTATCATCAATAGCGGCACCAACATTACAACCAACATCACAACAACAACAACAACAACAACCAACATCTTCACTAATCACTAAGTCAATGGTGATCAGACCTTCCATCCCACCACACTCCGCCCCCACATCTACCATGGCAACTCAGCCAATTCAGCCAAGCCAACCAGTACAACAACACCATCACGACCCCAATGTTAATATCATTGTCAGGGAGCCCATCAAGACAAGCCAAGGCATTATATACAAGGAGTACCACCAGGGTGAGTTCCTGGGCAAGGGTGGATTCGCCAGATGCTACACAATGACCGACCTGGAAACCAAGCGTGTCTATGCCGCCAAGATCGTCCCCAAATCCGCGCTCCAGAAACCAAGACCCAGATCCAAGGTAAGTTTGACCCGCCCCCTTGGTCCGTGACCATGACCCATTGCTGACCCTCAATCCATTCCACACCATTCCATAGTTGAAGTCTGAGATCAGGATACACTGTTCGCTGAACCATGATAACATTGTCAAGTTTGAACATTGTTTTGAGACTGATGAGAACGTATACATCCTACTTGGATTGTGTAATCAAATGGTGAGTGATTGATTGATTGATTGATTGATCGATCGAGGGGACACGTCCATCCCCCGCCCCACACCCTCCCTCCCATCAATCCATTACTTACATTATGTCACGTGACAACATCCCAATCAGACTGTGATGGATCTGCAAAAGAGAAGGAAACTACTCTTGGAGGCTGAGGTCAAATACTATGTTTACCAAGTTATTCAGGCCTGTCTGTACCTCCACTCCAACCAAATAGTGCACCGTGACCTAAAGATTGGCAACCTCTTCATTGACAACATGAAGATCAAGGTTGGCGACTTTGGTCTGTCCACCAAGATCGAGCAAGGCGAGAGGAAAAAGTATGTTATCCATCAATCCAACCATCATCCACATCATCTATCATACTCACTCACTAACTCAATCAATCAACTAAAGGACGATATGTGGAACACCAAACTATATGGCACCAGAGGTATTGGACAACTCTAATGGACATAGTTATGAGGTGGATATATGGTCCATCGGTATCATCCTGTACACACTCTTGGTTGGCAGGCCACCGTTTGAGACACAGGATGTCAAGACCACATACCAACGCATCAAGCAGAACCAGTACACCTTCCCCAAAGAGTCCCCAATCAGTGACGACGCCAAGAGACTCATTGTATCCATATTAAATCCTATCCCAGGTATATATATCACTCAATCAATCAATCAATCAATCAATCAATCAATCACTAACCCCGACACAACAACAACAATAGAACAACGACCAAAGCTTAATCAAATACTACAACATAACTTCTTCACATTCTCATCGATTCCAAAGTATCTGCCAGTGTCCGCGCTCACTGTTCCACCCGTTAAGTTGCAACAACAGCCGACTATTGTTGCGCCATTGCCATTGTCTGACAGCACCAATATAGTGAGCCAGAGGCAACAACCATCACAACCAACAACACAATATATCCCAACAACAACAACATCAACATATCATCATCAATCACCTAGCAAGTATAAACAATCACCAAGTAAGAAGATCCAACAACTCCATCCCCAACAACAACAACAACAACAACGTACACTCTCACCAAGATCACAACAAAAGCTGGAAGAGGTGGAGAAGGATGACTTCCACTTTAGGAAGCTTAGGAAACTGGAGAAGATGAAGGAGAATGGTATGTTATGTCCATGGACGACACTCTATCACTCAATCACTCAATCACTAACTCTATGGAATCATTCCAATCAATCCAATCAATCATAGATATGATGGCCAATATATTAAAGAATAAGATGACGACGACGGGAGTGACATCGACATCGACACTCCCAGCCCCAACACTGGACACCAACAACAACAACAATAATAACGAACACAAGGACAAGGTCAAGGAACTTGAAGCCAAGATTGCCAACAACTATATTACCGAACCTTTTAATGGCGGACAGCCTGGAATGATGCCAAGCTCACTTGTATATGTTGCCCAGTACTCTGACCACTCTAACAAGTATGGACTTGGCTACATGTTGTCTAACAACACTGTTGGTGCCTACTTCAACGACTCGACCAAGATCATCTGTCTTGTGTCCACAGGGTAAGTCCTCGCGCATGCCACGTCAACACCACGCCACGCCACGCTCACATACTAACACGCCACTCACTTATAGTATCGCGCACTATATGGAGCATGCCAAGGGCACGGAAGGTGATGGAAGAAGGATAGTCAATGTCAACGAGACACATCCACACGACACTCAGAAGAAGGTCAGTCTGCTCAAGTTCTTTAGCAACCACTTTGGCCTTCAACTCTTGTCTGAGCAGCAGCAGCAGATCGTAGATGGCAGCAGCACCAGCAGCACTGCACCGATGCAGTCATGCCCAGTCTACGTGAAGAAGTGGATCAAAGCCAACAAGGGCATTGCCTTTAGGCTTAGCGACAACACGATTCAGATGAACTTTGTCGACAAGTCAATGATCGTCATCACCAAGGATCAGATGGTCACCTACGTTGGCAGCGATGAGACCACCATCAAGACTGACAGATTGGCCAACTTTGTCGCGGCACAGGATGCCAAAGTAGTCAGCAGGATCCGATATACCAAGGAGATAATCGTCAGTCTCTATCACAAGAAGCCAGACGACATGCTTTAAGTCATTGATTGGATGAGTATTTGATGTATCCTTCAAATAAACCCAACATAACAATAAGGTTAGTTGGTCAGTACAGTGCATATATATATGAACAATAATGGATGGCTATAGTAGGCAGTAGTAGTAGATGTAGTTGGTTCTTTATTGTATTGTATAGTTGTTGTTGACTTGGACTAGCTTGGTAGATCTCGGAGGAGAGGATACGTGTCGGTGAAATACGCATCCAGACCCGACCGAGAGCTAACAAACATATGCACCGACACACATATATGATAGACTCCTATTGTGACTCCACAACTTTGCCACAGTCCAACCAGCTTTGGTGTCGCTTGTTGTGACATCAACATAAGGCCCAGACGAGTGTTTGCTCGCCCAGATTAGTCAGCCCATCGACTTTACCCTTGTCAAGTCACAGACACTTTAGACAGCCAAGAGACCAATCTCCTGTGTATTACTACTTTAGATAATAGTAATAACAACATCAATCCTCTTTACATAATAATAATCATTACACAATGTGAGAACAATGTAGTAATAATTGGTTTATTATTATAAATATATCAATGTTGGATTGTTTTGGAATGATTAATAATATGTGGTTTGAACCCTCTTTGTTGTTTGTTGTTGTTGTTGTCAATTATTATTAAATTCAAATTGAAGTTCTTTCTTCCAACTCATACACACACTTTGTTGTTGAACTTGGGCTGCTTCGTTTCGGATGAGCTCAGAGTATCTTTCAACAAACATAACTTCTAACTATAATATATATATATAATAATTAATAATATCTATATTTAGTACAATTAATCACAATCATTCAAACAAATAACAAGAATGACTCTTACAAAGGATGCTATTGATAAGATGCAGGTCAAGGACTTGCAGAAGGAGTTGATGACTCTTGGTCTAGATACAAAGGGAAAGAAGGCAGAGTTACAACAGAGATTGATTGATCATATAGAGAAGGGAGGTGATGCTCCAATGTCAACAGAGTCGAATGCTGCTGCTACGACTTCACCAACAACAACATCGACAACTACTCAAGCTGCAGTAACTTCACCATCGACGACATCAGCAGCCGCTGCAACTACAACCACCTCTGAACCAATGACCACTGAGCAACCAGACAATGGCAGCAACAAGGGTCCTGTAGATATATCGACCATGACGATGGAGGAGAGAATGAAATATAGAGCCGAGCGATTCAAGACTGCGTCATCGTCGTCGGCAACAACATCTACATCACCAGCACCCGTCGCTGCCACTGGATCAAGCCCAGTAGTGGATAATTCCAGTCTGACGGACCCAGAGAAGATGAAGAAGCGTTTGGAGAGGTTTGCCAAAGCCAGTGCTGGCACCAACAACGACGCCGCCACAACCAGTCCCGGCAAGGTCCCACTGACCAGAGTCGATCCCAAGCAGGCTCTGCTCCCCGCCAGTCAACAAGAGGTGGTTGCACGTAAGAAGAAGTTTGCTGCAGCCAACAGTGCATTGATTCCAGGTATGTTTAGAGTTATGTGCAAGACAGGATAAGTCAAGTCATGATCATCTCTCTAACCACGACGTTGATCAACAGAGGACCCAGAGTTGGTAAATCGCAGACTTCAAAGGTTCTCAACTCCAGCATCAGCATCAGCAACTACAACAACAACACCAGCAGCAACAACACAACAACAACAACAACAACAACAGGGAGATCAAGCAAACACTCAAACACAGCAACAACAATCGGCCTAAGAGGTAGGTAGGTAAGTACAGGCCTTAAGTTCATCTACAAAGCCATCATGGTATGTCTTGCTCGCCAGTGGTGAAAGAATACGAAGAAGAAGAAGTAGTAGTAGTCAAGACAGACAAGAGAGAGACGAAGACGAAGAATCATAGGAATAAAGACGGCAACCGAGTCTGTTGTTATTAGTTGTATCACTTTATTACACTTATCTTGATGTTATTGTTGAGCTGTTAGCTCGTGGATGCTAATATGCAGCAATGAATGAATGTCAACTCCCTTTACAACATGAGGGAGCGAGGGAGAAGGTCGTGATGAGTGCCTGGCTATATGACAGGTCACAGATTAACATGTTGGCCTTGTTGGTATAGGCTCCCTCTTGATGTTAGTTGGTCCCAGAGGGACATGATGTTAATGTAACTGAGGTGGCACCGGGACGAGCCGAGGACCAAGGTATCAATCTATGAATGATCTTGCTCGTCTCTGATCTTTGCAGCACGCTCAGAGAAGCTCTTCTTCTCGGATGGATGCAGTGCCATCCACTCTTGACCGAGTAAAGTGGATATGTGAGCGTTGGAGAATTGTGGATTGGCCTTCTTGAGCTCCTTGCGCTTCTGTTGAGAGAACAGAATGAATGCATTGGGAGGCTTCTTCTTCTTGTCGGCAGTCTTGTCAGCAGGTGCTGTCTTGGCCACTTTGGTCGTGGTCGTCGTCTTTGATGTGGCTGCCGCCGCCTTCTTTGAGGTGGTGGCACGAGGTTGTTTCTTGAGCTTGGAGTCCTCTTCGTCCTCGTGTTGCTCAGCTTCGTCATCCTCTTCAGCGCCACTGCTGTTTGAGGAGTCATAGCTTTCATCATCGGAAAGATCATCATCTTCACTGTCCTCATCGGCACTGATGTCCTCAAAGGGCTTCATGATGTCTTCTGGCATCTCCAACGCATCAATATGCTCAATCCTTGCCTTTATCTGTTGAGGAGGTTGTATCACCTGTTGCATCTGGTGTTGATGCTGTTGCTGCTGTTGCAACACAGGTTGATATAAAGACATGTCATGTTGTTGCTGTTGTAGATGCTGCTGGTACTCCATTGGTGACGTGTCACGTGTCACGTCCTTTCAAGGCGTTACCAGGTCCTTGCGCTTTGCGAGATGGAGGTTCCTTTGCTTTAATTTGCTTTGATTGTTGATGTTTCGGCAGATGATTGATTCGCTTAGAGGAATGGATTATGTGTGATACTAATGTATGTATTTGTATATGATAAGTACATCAATAGGCCATAAGTATAAGCAACACCAACAACACTAGAACATCATCACCCTCAATAATGTATTACTTGTTCATTGTACACGTTGAATGAATGAAGATTGTACATTGTGGAAATTTCAAGAAGTTTCGTCAGTGGGATGTGAGCCACAAGTTGAATGAATGGAATGAGACAGGACGAGGATGGGTTGTTGGAAATCAATCATTGATATGTATGTTGGTCCGCTTGTTTATTATACTGTACTATGACTGACTCGCAAGAGTTGAGTTGAATTGAGTTGAGCGTGTTGTCTACGTAGACACACGATTTAGACTGCATGTGTACCAAGGAATGGCTTGATGATGGCGGCTGGATCTCCTGTGAGACCACCAACGATCAATCTCCAAAAGTCGCAGAGGATAAAGACGATCATGGCAGATGCCAGTGACTCCAATGCTGTTCTGGTCAATGTCCACTTCTGACCGTCGTTGGTCTCGTCGATACGAGTGAACATTGGGAAGGAGATCACAAAGTAGATCATGTAGAATGTGGAGCCCACCGTGTACATCTGCTCACGGTTGTCAATGTGGTAGTAAGGCACCTTCTCGAGAGTCCATGCCTCCATGAACGCAGTGAAGTAGGCCATGGCGCAGACGAGGAGCACAGAGCCGACGATCTTACCCATAGGGTGACGCTGGCCAGCGGGAGTTGGTGGGTAGGACGACCAGAAGCGACGCAGGATTGGTGTGGTGGCGGCGTGGTACGACACAAAGTAGGCGTGTGTCACAAAGAACAGGAACACAGGGATCTCGTTCAAGCGGAAGTTGACTGGGAAACGATAGGTGGCGCGCAAGAGAATGAAGAAGTAGTGTGTCCAGAAGTAGTTGCCGACAAAGCCAAACAGGGCCAGCCACAGGTTGGCCTTGACCCAGTAGCGCTCATACCATGGCTTGTCACGATCAGCACTGCATGGGAACAGAGCAGGGTAGACTACGCATGGCAAAGACACCACGAGACCCAAGATGAAGAACTCTACATCATAAAACATCTATCATAGAGTGTCGTCTATTAGTTTGTGATATATGATTGATCGATTGATCAAGAGCGTAGATAGACACTTACTTTGTAAGCCTCGGTGACCACGACGATGATGAAGAGTGTAATCCAGATTGGACTGTAGATGAGGAAGAACTTCTCTGCCCAGGCCTTGCCTGGATGCTTTGGGAACCAGTGTGGCTGAACTTGGTTAGCCTGTGCCATTGATGAATGATTCAGGTAAATATGTATATATTTATATCAAATGTCAATGTATTTGTAATAAGTAATTGTCAATGAACTTGATAAATGGCGTCTTAGAATGTTACTGGTCCTGGGGCTGTTCATCAGACAGACGAACTTTCCCCCACCCTTCTAAATCACAATTAATTCAAACAAATAAAATATCACCTTCATCATTAAAGATACTTATAATGCTTATGCAAGAATGACTTATAACTATTCTACTTTCATTAATCATAGTCATAATTAATGATTACTACTACTAATACTACTACTACACTTCTTCATCGAACTCATCAATCACTCTGAGGATCAGATGTGTGTTGGAGTCAGAGAGTGTTTGTTTGATATTACAAAGATAATAAAATATCATCACCTCGATTACCAATTAAGGATAACACACCTCACTCGCCAATCTATAACCACCAGACATCCAAGACATGGAGATAAAGAAGGAGTGAGTTAGAGGGCGACAACAAGTGCCTCCATCTCATTTAAAGGCCCTTGTTCACCACCATTACTTTCAATTACAATTATTGGTGTGGCATGGTGGATGGTTGTCCATCCAAGTCCAAAGGACTAAACACACACACATACTCACACCCACACAATTAAGACATTGTCTATGGACTACCCCCTCTCAGCCCAGAATTGGACACACATACAAATATGGACAAACTATGAGTTACCAATTGGAGATAATCTAAAGATCTACTCTCTATTATTTATTATAATTGATAACTTCCCATACAAAAACGAACACACTGCACTCTACTATCCTCTGCCCCCTAACCTAACCTCTCTCCTCTCACTCTCTCTCTGCCTTCTCACCCGAGTCCTATCAATCCTCATTTCAATTCTACAACTAGATAAATAACTAACTCATATATATATATTAAATATATTAATAATTCAATAATAATAACAATATTAATTCACTGTTTGTTTTGATTCAATCCAATAACAACAACAACAATATATAATAACAATGGTATTATCAGAGAAGGTTGATAAGAACGCCAGATTAGATCGCCACTCAGGAACAGGCACCAGAGGACTGCCAAAGAAGTGTAAGTGTTTACATTTGTTCAAATTGGTATTATAATAAATATACTAATAATAATAATGTTGTTGTTGAATCCAGCTGGACATGGCAAATTTGGTTGGGGAAAGGAAGGAGAGACATACAACGAGCAAGATTTGGACAAGGAGGAAGAGACCAGCAAGCAAGAGAAGTAAATCTACTCCATATACATCCCCCCCAACAATAGTACCTCTAATCATTAAATGTATACAATAAACAATACACACAAATCATCCCGTATATCTTTGTTTTAAAGACAAAGATATAACAACAACAACATTATGTTTGGTTTGTTCTCAATGTTTGACAGCAGTTTGGTTTGATGATTGAGAGTACAATACCATGTCCTATCTTTAGTTGTATCAAATTCATAACTCATACTTGAGATGAACATCTTGAGACACTCAATCAAAGTTGTGTTGGGAAGTTGAGAAAGCAACTTTCGTCTCGAAAATAAATGCCCGGCACAATCAAATTCTGTTTAATTTCATTTATTTTTACTTTGTGACAGCGATTCACTCACGCTCACCCTCTCGATAAAGACCTAGCCAGCACAATACAATTCGGTCCTTTTCCTCATTCACACATCGTCTGATCAAATAGAGTAATCATCAATCATACAATGAGCACCGCAATCCAGCAATCCAAGAAGAGAAAGGTAAACATCGATACTTAGGATCACTCAATCATTCAATCGGTGGATGTATTGGATGAGTTGGATTGGATAGAGGATACCTCATCACCTCAGACTCAAGAGTACTCTTGTACAAGTTAAGCTTACATCGTCAATCAATCACAATCAATCATAATAGTTTGTTGCCGATGGAGTTTTCCACGCAGAGTTGAACGAGTTCTTCACTCGTGAGTTCAACCAGGATGAGGGTTACTCTGGAGTTGAGTTGAAGACTGGCCCAGGTTCCACCGAGATCATTATCCGTGCCTCCAAGACCCAGGCTGTCGTCGGAACCAACGCTCGTCGCATCCACGAGCTCACCTCTTTGGTCCAAAAGAGATTCGGTTTCGCCGAGGGTACCGTCAACCTCTACGCCGAGAAGGTCCAGAACCGTGGTCTCTGCGCCATCGCCCAGGCTGACTCCTTGAGACAGAAGCTCTTGCTCGGACTCCCAGTCAGACGTGCCTGTTACGCCATCGTGCACCAGATCATGCTCAAGGGTGCCAAGGGTTGTGAGGTCGTCGTCTCGGGTAAGTTGAGAGCCCAGAGAGCCAAGGCCATGAAGTTCAGAGATGGATACATGATCAAGTCCGGAAACGTCTCCGACGTCTTCGTTGACTACGCTTGCAGACACGTTCTCCTCCGTCAGGGAACCCTCGGAGTCAAGATCTCCATTATGCTTCCATACGACCCAACCGGAAAGAACGGAGGTATCACCACCCCACAGCCAGACATTGTCATCATCAAGGAGCCAACCAACTAAACCATTGGTCACCATCCTCAAAGACATTGCCAATAAACAGGTATGTAGAGTTGGTTCACTCTACTCTGCATTCCTTTTTGAACAAAGTATATCATCATCTTCTTCTCCTTTCCCTTCCAACTGTCGACGTTTGTACTTGTATGTTCTACTTTATTACATTGTTACTGTCAGTGTCGTGTTTGGAGTTGTCAGTCTAGTTCGAGACCGACTTGGGTCGCGGTATCAGTAGCAGCAGGTGTTGGCACACTTCTAATGCCAGTTGGCTCAGCAAGTCCTTCTGATTTGATATATTGAAGATGACCAGCTCTAAAGTTGTCATAAACCTTTTGTGCTCTGTTATCACCTGGTAGTTGTTGATTGAGGAACTGTCTCAGCTTGTTCCAGAACTCTGTGATGGTTTGTGTGATGTGCGTCAGTGATCATTCATTCATACATTATGTCATTCACATGTTGCCCTTACCTTGATCCAACTCTGTTATATCATTCTGTTGTTGTTGTTGTGATTGATTACTATTGCTGCTGCTGTTTGATGCTGCACTGCTTGGTCTTCCCATTGAACCAAATGCTGACAACATTGATAATATATTTGGTTGTTGTTGTGCATTGCTCGCTCCCTATACATCATAATAATGATTATTAGTAATCCTAATTAGGTGCACGTACCTCAACAACCAACAACAACTTACAGATGTGTCTTTGAGCTGTTGTTCAGTGAACATTGGATACTTGTTCAGTTCGCTAAAGAATTGTTGTTCATCCTGTGTCATCAACGTAATGTAAGATTGATTGATTAAGATGTCAGTCAACTGTATTCAATCATTCATTCAATCATAGGATCATCTCATACCATGCTTAAACTTATGTGTAGTGTATGTGTAATATATATTGATGGTAGTTGTGAGTTCAACTGACAGGGTCACATGATTTGGTTTATTGGATTGGCATTTGGTGTGTCGAGACAAGTTCAAAGGGAGGAGACAGATAATGGATTGATTGCCAACAATGATATGATTGCTTCAATGTATACCAACACACAATAGACAGAATAGATTGATACATGTACAATAAAGTAGTTATCACTTGTCAGTGTCCACAACAAACAATCTTTGCCCAACTTCAGGGATTCCTTCTGAATCCAAATTTGCCTCACACTAAAAGCTGATATTTTGTGTTTAGATCTCAAGTGGTTGGGCATCACCAACTATCAACAACCCTATCTTTCAAACAACCATTCATTCATTCATTTTTGTTGCCACCTCATTACAGACGTACTCAACTAACATTATTTATACGAATAACTAGATATAGATATAGATATAATATATATATATATACAATTATTATTAATATATACTTGTACAAATACATTAACAATGCCAACTACACATTCATTCCCAGCTTATACTTATGAGTGCTCGGTTGAGTTCTACTTGGAGGTGTACTACAGACGATTCCCAAAGCATAAGTTGTTCCCCTACATCTTGGACTCTGAAGTGATCGAGCACAAGATCAACGAGGAGGAAGGCATTGAAATAATCATTCGCAAGACAAAGTTGGACATTGATGCACCAGGCTGGTTCAAGACGGTATGAACTGGACTGCACCAATCACATTCATGTTCCATCCAGGGTTGATCACTAACATATTGATCAAACACAGATGTTTGGAATACATTACTCCATATTCATTGAGGAGGTGACATTTGAGAAGAAGAAGAGACTTATCACTGTTAGGACCAAGAATGAGACACTTTCATCAAAGGCTTCATTGGAGGACGTCACGGTCTACGCCGTACATCCAGAGAATCCAGACTGGTGCACATTCACTCAAACAGGTACAGTGACAATGTTGGTATCCATGCTGGGTTTCCAGAAGAAGGTGGAGAAATACTGTCTGAACCTGTACACTAGCAGATATAACGAGTCCAGAGAGCTTGACAAGAGAATGATCGAAGAATACCGCGCAGAACTGTTGGAGAAGGCAAAGAACGAGCCTGCTGCAACTGTTGCTTCATCACCAGAGTATGTTTGTAATACAATTCTGCCCGGAGCCGGTTGAGTGACTCACTAACCAACGACGTATCTATCCCCTAGCAGGACCACAAGCTCAACTACTACCACGACCACAGCAACACCAGCACCACCTGCAGAAGAGCAACAGAGTAAATCAAACATATCAGAGGACCAATTGATTGTGGCTTAGGAGTGCCTGACAGGACAAATGGTTCATATTCTATGCATCATGTATGGATGGATGGATGGTTCAATAAAGCGACCTGGACACCTTGCTCTATTGGTGTCATTTACGAACGAACGAAGTGGATGGATGGATGGAATGATTAAGAAAGAATGAGGGATGATACACCTGTTCATTTGAGATCGATGTTCTTCCATAGTTCGACAAGTTTGGCATAGTCCTTGGACTTGCAGCATTGGACGATCTTCTTGGCGGCGTCCATTGTACTAGTGGTTCCACTATAGACAGGGTGCGGAACAAAGGCAAAGATGTTAGTAACTTATTAACTTGGTTGACACTAATGGACTCCATCTGGTAGTGTATACATACTGGATATAGGATGAAATTGTAGACTCCCTCTCGAATTGCTTGGCCTTCTCTTCGGCGCGGTGCACCACCTCTACGGGGATGCCTGCCATGCCACCAACCAACATACCGTAGGACGAGGGACAGACACCTTCGCATAGCTTGTAGAGGAAGATTACCTTCTTGGCGAGCTCATCGACGTGGCACGACATGTAGCACTTGGAGATCGCATCGCTGACCTTGGGTTCATTGGCTAGCGATTGGTAGTGAGTGGCAAACATACATAGACACTTGATGTGATTGGTGATCTGGTTCAGCACCGAGTAGGCTATGGAGTAGCCGTCGAATGTGCTTGTGCCACGACCCAGCTCATCCATGATGACCAGTGATCTCTGTGTGGCGTAGCGCAGAACGTTCGATGTCTCTTGCAGCTCGATCATGAACGTGGATTGTCCTGCGAGGATATTGTCATTCGCACCTAAGCGAGTGAATATACGATCGACCAGCGACATTCGGCACATGGTGGCCGGCACGTAGCAGCCCATCTGCGCCATGATCACCAATATGCAAGCTTGGCGCAACAGAGTGGACTTGCCTCCCATGTTGGGGCCTGTGAGGACCATCGTGCATGGGTTGGTCTTGGCCGCGTCTGGTCGCTTGCCCAGTACCAGATCGTTGGGGATGAAGTCGCTGCCACCTTGAATGGTGATGGCGGGGTGACGCATCTCCTGCACCTCCAGGTAGGCATTGGCGGAGTTGCCTACAATCTCTGGTCGACACATTGGCATCGTGGACAACAGGCTGACCTTGGCCAGCGACAGGAGACAGTCAATGTGCGCCAGTGTGTTGACGGCTTGGCACCACACCGAGGCATTCTCGTTGAACGATTCCTGAATTCGCACGATAACCTCCTTGGATAGCCCAATCAGCTCGTCTTGATACTCTGACAGTTCCTTGGTCTGCTTCTCAATGAAGGGCGTGTAGTATCGCTTGGCGCCCTTCTGTTCAGACTTGAGCGAGTAGGTGGTGGGCAGCTTGACGCGCTGCAGTGCGGCCACGGGCACCTCAATCTGATAGTGCTCCTTGCCAATGTTCTTGTAGCACACAGACGTCGACGAGAAGAACTTCTTCTGCTCCAGCAAGTAGTTCTCCAGCTTCAGCTCAATCTCTGTGATCTTCTCCTTGCACTTGTCGTACTCGGGCGACAGACCGAGGCTTGGCGTCAAAGTGTCGGTGCTCCTCTCGTAGGTGAAGCTGTCTCTCATCTTTCCGAGCAATGGCTTTAGGTTGGGGAAGCCAATGCCCACCGTGGCGTAGTCACGTAGCAGTTTGGAGCCAATTTCGTCGACACAGTCAATCTCTTCCAGACTCTTTTGGCAGCGCTCCAGTGTGTCGAGCACCAGCACCAAGTCGGGGAGCTTGGAGTGGCGTGCCTGTATACGCGAGATCATTCGCTCGAGGTCAGGGATGCGTGTGAAGATGGCCATCAGCTTGGTGAAGACCTCGTTGTTCTCGCCCAGGTACTGTACAGTGTCGAGACGTGCATTGATCAAATCGCGATTGCACAATGGACGGCAGACCCATTGTTTGAGCATACGTTGGCCAAAGGCGGTGGAGCAACGATTGAGCACTCGGAACAGCGAGCCCTCCTTTGAGCCATCGGTCGTGTTGTTGAACACCTCCAGATTGATCAGACACTGGCCATCCAGGATCAGCGAGCTGGCGTCACTCATAGGATTGTAGAGGGTGAAGCGCGACTGGCCAATGATCTGTTTGGCCAGCTTGGTCTCCTCGAGGTAGGCAAAGATGGCACCCATGGCACACATCATGATCAGTTTGTCCTGCACCGAGGGTAGGGGCTCCGGCATTGGATCGGCCATCTCCTTGCGGTGGTCCTTCAGCGTGGCCAGCGTTAGCTCGGCGTCCCAGTAGTCGGTGACACAACGAGATGCCAGCAGGTACTTTTGATTGTGCAGTACCTTCTTGATGGTGGCCACAGTCTGTGGACTGACTCCGCCCTTCTCAATAAGAACCTCGCGTGGCATTGTCTGTAGTAGCAGTGTCTCGAGCTGTGATTGATTCTCGTCGTCGACGAATGTACACAAGTTGAATAGTCCAATTGAGGTGTCGACAAAGCAGACGCCAAACTCGCGCTTGTACTCGTCCTCTTTGATTGCCATCAAGTAGTTGTACGATGTGTCTGGCAGGAAGGCCTCGTCGACCAGTGTGCCAATGGTCATGATCGAAGTGAGCTCACGCTTGATGATTGAGTCCTTGGCCGATGCAGCACCAAACTGATTCTGTCGCTTGTCCATTGAGATACGCGATTCGACCTGGTCCACCCTAGACACCTTGTAGCCGGCCAGGATGAACTTGGACGCCCAGCCAGGGAACGACGACTCGGGCACGCCCACCATGCGCATGTTGACACGGTCCGTCATCTTTAGACCAAACTTCTCGTGACCAATGTCGGCGTCGCCCTCGTACAACTCGTAGAACTTGCCCTTCTTGAAGAACACCACAGTGTCGTAGCACATCGATTTGATCTCCCAGTATTGGCGCTCGAATGCAGACAGCTTGGCCAATGCTTGCTGAGGGATGTGCAGTGTCCTGGCGTCATAGTCTGGGTGGCCCACTGGCAACTGATTCGCATCCTTGACGTCCTCAAGCCATCCATAGCGCTCCTCATTCTTCTCTTTCTTTGTTTGTGCGGGCGTCTTGCGTGTGGGCGTGGATGCGGATGAGGTGGCCTTGGACGCAGACTTCTTTGGCGTGGAGGGGGCAGCGGCGCTCTTGCCCCTTGATTTGCTGGGCGTGGACACGACCTCGTCGTCAAAGTCAAAGTCATCATCTTTGTCCACATAGTCCTCGTCGTCCTGCTCGTCAATTACGACATCGTCGTCAAACTCCTCATCCATCTTTCTCTTTCTTGAAATGGCTTCGTTGGCGGCGGCTGCTGCTGCCCTCGTCGGCTGTGATCTCCAAGGTGGCTTTGTCGGTGTTGATGGTGTGGCCTCTGATGAGGATGAGGAGGACGTTTGGACTTTGCTAAAGTAGTTTAGCAAGTTGCCAGAGCTTTCATTGTTGTTGCTTGATCCACTGCTTCCACTTCCGCTGCTCACAGTTGTTGTTGCTGCTGCACCCCTCACACCAGTGCCAATGTTGAGCGCCGTCATGTTCTTTAGATTGAGCTTCGACGATGATGGGCTTGCCTTGTTTGGTGTCAACGATAGTGATGGCTTTGGAGGTGTTGGTGGTGTAGCCGATTGAGCAGCAACCTGCTCAACCATTGGAGTGTCCTCTGTCATTCCAAAGTCAAAGTCATCATCTACATTGGTTGTTTTAGTTGTTGCTGTTGCTGAAGACTTGTGTTGTAAGTTGTGATGTTAGTAACATAAGAATGTAGGTTTGATTGATTGTGAAGGTGACAACATACAATGGTTGATGTTGTTGATGTTGTTGGTAGTAGGGAAGGTTTCTTTGGCGAGAGTGATAGTTGAGGTTGTTTATATACAGAGGGTGTTGGTTGTTGTAGTTGTGGCTTTAGACTCAACGACGGTTTGTTGTTGTTGGGTAATAGTTTCAATGTATTATTTGTGTTGGTACTTGCAGCTTTATTAGCTCCATCATTGTTGTTGTTACTAGCTTTATTATTATTACTGAGAAATTGTAATATACCCGATTGCTTCATTTGTATATATGTTTGTATCTGTAGATAATAATAATAATAATGAGGTCATTGAATGTATGAATGAATGTCTTTCGTCTGGGATATAATTTGAAAATGGGAGGGAACACACTAAAGTGGGTTAACTCTGAACTTCCACGAAACACTGAGTCAAGGAACCGAGGGCATCTTCTCAAGTTGCAGAGTTTGGCATCTTCTTTTCTTTTGAAGGTGACTCCACCACGTCCGCCAGGATTGCTGCTAAGAAGGATGAAGTGGAATTGGAGAACTGTCTAACCAACGCTGGGATCTCCTGTCGCCTTGGAGGCAGTCGTTACCAGCTCAACATCTTCCCAGAGTCCTCATATGGAGCCATTGACGGTGATCCAGTCACCTCCATTACCCTGATCAAACAGCCAGGTATGCTCAAATCCAATCCATTCATTGGACTCCTCCTCCGTCTCTTGATTGTATCTCCGATCTAACTCAACTCAACGATATAGCAATCGAATCGTTCAATGGAGACATGCCGTTTACAGGAACTATCACTGGCTTCTTTGATGTGCTGGCAACCGATGTCTACCAATTCCGCCTCAAGGCATTCAACATCGGTGCCAACCTCTATATCAACAATCTCCTCCTTTCCTCGGCCATGTTCGTCCAGGAGGAAATCGACACAGTTGTCGAGATGCAAATCTTCCAGTCTTCTGCTGCCAACTACTTCAAAGTCGAATTCGCCTCAAACTCACCTTCTCAAGCTGAAAGGAACATCTCCCTGATGTTCAAGTCTTCAACCGACCCTGAGTTTAGAGAGATCGAGTCGTTTGTGTCCCAACTAAGTAAGTCATTGTTAGTATTGGTTGGTATTCTTTCTCCATCTTAATAGTCTCTTCCATCCTATTTTCTCTTCTCCTTAGTTTGTAATGATGGTATCCTTGACCCCTTGGAGGCTGATCCCAAGTCGTCGTTCTACTGTTCGGAGGACCTCAACTTTATCCGTCCCGATCATATATGAATCTTCCATTCCCATCCCTCGCCGAAGCGACCTCCAACTCAACTCTTCACGTTCAACTTCAATAAACTAACCAGTCCTCAGGCCAGGCCAAGTACAGATTACTTGCATAATTACTGCAACATGCATGGCCCTGGACAATTGACATAATACATCACTGAACAATGTGGTATTGTCCATTCAATTCATTATTCGTTGCTTCTTTTCTTGATCGGTCAGAATGATTAACATGTTATCTATGTATGTATATGTGTATGTGTCAATGTCGATGTGTTGGGATGCGATGACCTCCATCAGGGTTTGGTATGGCTGGGGAATGACCTCGAGAAGGCCATGTTTGACAGACACAGTGCCATTCTCCTTGGACTTGGTGATTCGCACGATTAAGACAATGTTGGAGAGACTGTCTATGAGCCGAAGACGTATACAGGATCCCTGCTGCCGGTCCAGGATGGAGAGTGTCTCCACTAGTTTTAGCAGTTGTAGCAACTCGAATGCAACAGGGTAGTCGTCGATCCCTCCACATGTGCGAAGTTGTGTTCCAATGTCAGACTCGCCTTGAAGCTGGGGTCTGATGGCAAAGTATTCCTGTTGGATGTACAATTCCGACACTTGGCAAGGCTCTCCCCAACAAGGGAGATACACATCCAGATCCTTGACTACTTTGCGAGGAGCATGGCTGCACTCAATGGTTTGGACATGCTCCAGGAGGGAGAATCTGAGAGGCTTGGAGAGGATAACGAGGTTGGCTAGCAGGTTTGGATAATAGTGGCATACATATCCGAATGCGTCAGACGACATGTAGTCAAGTCCGGCTGAGGGAAGGACTGGAGTATTCTTTGCCAAGTAGAGAGTGCTTGAGGGAGCTTGATCTGGGTGCCACCACTCGTTCAGTTGGAGGTAGAGTTGATACTCGTGTTCATCCTCTCGCTCTATTCGTGGGATGAAGGGTGAGGGGTATGCAGAGTTAAGTTGGGAGAGGAACTGTCGACAGGTGAGGAACAGGCAGATCCTGTCGATCTCATCGTGCAAAAAGGTTACGATATGTTGGAGAAGATAGTTGGATAAGCTGGTAAGTATTGTCATGGTTCAACTTGAAGGAGACTTTCAAAGAGAAGACACAAAGGGCACGTTTATTAAAGTTTATAAATAAACTTTAACGTTACCTACAATCACTATTTTTTTACACTTTGTGTGTCACCATATCCCAAGTAGTGCTGCTCCAATGATGAGTCCTCCAGACCCGCGTAATACCAAGTTCTATGACTACTATCGTGACAAAACAGGTGGAACTAAGCCTCTTCAAATATTATACTTTGGTGTCACTATTAATATCTATTCCAACATCAAAGTATACTTTATTAATTATTTGAATACTTTGGAGATTTTAATAAAATATATTTTTATTGTCCACTTTTGATCAATTATTAAATTGATTTATTAAGTGTGATGGAATAATATTTAATTTGGAGAATTCATTCCGATGGTTGTCCAGAGCAAAATGGTTGGTTATTGAGGACATGCGAGAGAGCTTGACATTGTTATTTCATATGAGCATGCTTCAACCTCGGACACACTTAAGATAGTAGTAGGTCCAGTTCCACATTCTAGCTGAATCACAGTGTTTCTGATTGCCCTAGAGCAAGGTGCACCATCACTGTAATGGACTTGGGCACCCTCTTTACCATTACCTAAATCATTATAAATGGATATAGAGTGTCAGCATTCATTAATCCAATCCAACAATCAATCTATTAATGTTGACTCTTACTTAGAGCAGACCATTGACCAGTCTTTGAAAGACCGAGGTTATAGAAGGTTGATCCCGATTGTTGACAGACAACCGAGTCAGAATTGCCAGCCTTCATTTGACATAACTGTGATGGGGCACAGATGTTGAAGTAATACTATTATTATGTGGTAGTGTAGTTTCCATGTTAGTTATCATTCGAATTCCTTCTATCTTGATGTTACATACAGTGTTTCTTCCACTTGCCCTGGAGTATTGGGTTGTGTTATACAAGCCAGAGAAGTCGTAATGGTGGGTACCGTTGGAGAATTGACAGTTATCCAGATCAGGCATAGCAGTTGCACTAACAATGATAGTAGCAATCACAAGGAGTACAATGATGGATCTTGTCATCTTTGTGTGTTTGATTGATAATTAAGTAGTAGTATGTATAGATGAGGTTTTGTTGTAATAGTACAATGAATGACGAGACGTCTCAATTAAATATGAAACGGTACCAAGTGCAATGCTGGCATTAATAAGCACTTTCCCTCCTCTTGGCAATTCGAGCGAATCGATTCACACCAATCACTTCGATGTCCGATGGATTGGTACAAAACAAACAACTGATGATGATGATGAACAATCGTCTTCTCAATTGGTGACACAAAGAGTTCAATCATCTTCTCTCAATACCTCTCCAGCCAACAGTATTCACTCACTTGACAACTAAAGACTGTGTCAATCATTAGTCAATATGATGAAACGATATGAAATCGGATGATAGGATCATTCAATCGACATTTTAAATATCTCCTTGATCAACCAATGACACATGTCTACCCTCTTGAGAGATGTTTGTTTAACTTGGGTTTGGGGTTGTTTGTCAAGTTTGAATAACAAGATCTTGATGAACTTCATTAACATGTTTTGTACATGTTATAACTGTTATTACTTGTAGTATATATATACACAAGACTGGACTGACAACTTGTCAAGTCATCGTGTCCAATCAAAAAGTAAAGGGGGGGTATCAAGAAGTGAAGTTGTGTTGTTCACTCCATTCATTCTATCTTGATTCGTTCATTCATTCATTCAACATTCATTCATTCATTCATTCATTCATTCATTCAACATTCATTCATTAAATATCTGTAATACCAATATATATATATATATATATATATATATAATAGTTCAAGGCTAGAAGTGCTTGATGCCTCGAACTAACGAATAAAGGAACGAACAAAGTGAACGATCAACCAACAGTCAGTCACTCAAACAATCAATAACTCAACAAGCAAGAACCTGTCACACTTGAAAGAAAGAAAGAAAGAAAGAAACAAACACAATGTATATAACATTCGTTGTTGATACTAGTGGATCAATGGCACAAAAGACATCGAATGGTATGACATTGTTGGATTGTTCAAAGGCTGCCATTGAACACTTTATAAAGATAAGATCAAAGGATAGTTCAATAAGGAATGATCGATTCTTCTTGATAACGACTGAAGAATCGAACCATGCGATAAAGAGTGGATGGCGCGACCCTTACACATCGTTCCTTGGCGAGTTGAAGAACCTGAGCGCATGCGACCTCTCCAATCTGCCCGCCTCACTATCGCGTGCATTCGACTTGCTCAATCAGTTCCGTCTGCATCAGATGATCGACAACTATGGCATGGGTCGCAACCCCTGGTTCGTCGACCCATCCGTCGTCATCCTGCTCACCGACGGCAGCTGCATGACCACACAAGCGTCAAACTACGCCGCAGGCGTCGTCGACACCTTCTCGCTGCCACGCTCTCAATTGCCCGGTTCAGAGATGACCCACGAGCCCTATCGTTGGGACCAGCGTCTCTACTCAATCATGATGCGATTCGCTGGTGTCGCCAGTGGACTGCCGCCAAGCCAACCTTCTCAGCAACAGACAGAGACCATGGCGTCCACGTGTGATGCGACTGGTGGCAAGTTACAGGTCGCCACCAATATGAAACAGATGATACTACAGATCGAGTCACTGATTCAGCGTCTACAGAGTGGTGTGGTAGTCTCACTCGAAGCCATCCCTCAGCCATCTCTCCCACACGTGCCTCCACCATCACTTCACAAGATGATCTATGTACGCACGGGTCAGGTAGGCTTCTGGCCGATACCAGAGGCTTACTATCCAGACTTGCACACTAGCTCATTGGTATGTTTGTTGTCGAATGCATCGTCAGCCGGCTTCATCTTACTAACTTAAGTCTGATTGACCGATCACATCCAGCCACAACGTAATTCACATCCAATCATAAGGTATTCCTTAACTGACAAGGATCCGAGCATCCCAGAGAACTTCCCATTCGACAAGTATGAAGTTGAAGTATGCCCAGCCACTCAATACCTCATCTCTGCAAAGGTCAACTGTGCACAAGTATGTTTTCCTCATCTCGATCACATGATCCATGATCAATCACCCGTACTCACTCAATCAATCAATCAATCAAACAAAGACATTTGTATATAATAGCCAATCGATATCTGGACAAGGCGAACCATTTGGATACCTGAGACCAAGCTCAAATGGACAGACGGTGAACTTGTTCGTCTTCCCATATAACTATCCGAGACTGTGGACACTGTTGGATGAGCTGGTCAATCAGTTGAAGTTGTCACCGTCGCCCAAGTGGAAGCAGGAGTTTGAGAGCTACCTGCTATCTATCCCACCCTACTACATCATGCCGATGAGGAATGCCCTGAAGCGATTCTGTACATTAAACCTGGTGCCCGACAACATCGACATGCAGTTCACCAACTACATGGGCAATATTGCCAAGCGACTCAAGGCTTTGTCCGTCCAGATCCAAGCAAAGGATGCTGAGCGACAGCAACAGCAGCAACAACAACAGCAACAGCAACAACAACCTCCGCCAATCACAGGAAAGCAACCACCTCAACAGCGACCACAACAACAACAACAGCAGCAACAACAACAACAACAGAAGATGGTACAATCACAGCCACCCCCTCCCAAGGTGGAGCTGACCGGACAGAGTGTCGTGTCGTCCTACAGCAGTAGGACGTTCTTTAGCAATAGGAGTGTACACAAGATATTGGAGAGTAGTGGATCGGATGCATTGGCACCAATGGGCGACGCGGACGACGACACAAACGCCGAGCAGTTTGAGGACTCGTTCCAATCGACCAACTCCTCATCATTTAGTCAAGCCACCAATGTACTACATCGCAACGTGTTTGATATTCAAAAGAATCAGCTGCTGGGCCAGCTGGACAGGATGCGACACCATCTGTTCAAGAAGCGCCATGACGACGAGGAGGCCAAGTACCATGTGCCCATCAGTCAAATGGGCAACTATCACGAGACATTGAACAAGCGAGAGACATTGCGAGACATTGATGAAGACAAGAAGCCCAATCATCCACTGTTTGGCAATCCGTATCGCAAGGACAAGGGCACACGTCTTGACGTGTCAATCGACGAGGCAGAGATGGACAGTGACCTAGAGTCAGCGATAAAGCGAGGCAACCAGCCACCCAAACGAAGGAGAACTTCCAAGCTTGCCGCGCCCTTCAAGCTGGGTGCCAAGGTGGCAGCCCCTCCCTCGCCATCGTCCACATCGACCACTCCATCTACCGTGAGCTCGCCTCCTCCATCAACAAGTGCACCAGTGGTCACATCCCCGCCACAGTCTGCACCACATACTCCTACGCCTCCATCACCCTCGTCGTCAGTTAGCACTCCACCATCAACTCCGCCACCATCAACAGGACCAGTCTCAGCTGCTGCAGTTCCTACATCTCCTCCAGTCTCTCCAACACAACACTCACTCTCACCACCAATGCAGTTCCCGCTGCCATTCCCCTCGACTCCACCACTCAAAGCCACCACCCCTGCATCATCATCGTCAGCAACCTCTTCATCTTCATCATCATCGACCAGCAATACATCACAACCAACAACACAACAACAACACAGTACACCTCCACCTCCAATATCCATACCAAACTTCATACAGTCTGGACCATCCACACTTATACCATCACCATCGATGTCAACGTCCATGTCCTCATGGCCACTAGCGTCATCACAAGCTCCACGCATGGCACAAGAGTCAACTCCAGCATCCTCCACTCCAGTCACAGTAAAGAGTAGTAGCGCAGCATCAGTCCCATCATCACCATCCACTCTACAATCACAACAACAACAACATCAACAACATAATCAACAACAATCGTTACAATCCAATGACAAGTTGGTATCGAATATCAAACGTGAGATAAGAAGACCAACTAGGAACAATGTGGATGTAATCATGGAGATGATTAGACAACTAAATGGATCACGACCTGAAGTCAACAACGTGGTACAACGTAGCATCAAACCTTTGGCACAGGAGTACAAGAAGTATGCGCTCATACTCCAACTGGAAGCACTACTAGACAAGCCCTACCAGTAGTCGGTAGTAATAACCAAATAAAGAATGGAATGGTCATGTTGTTCCAGGTTTATCTGTCTGGAATCCAATCAAATCAACATTGTGAGTGTGAGTGTGTGTTGAATGAAAGGGACACGAATCTTCAGGTTTGATCATTTTGAGATACTTGCAACTTGTGTGATAGTGATACAGATACTTAGATTAGATATAGATATAGGATATATAAAGGATGACGTCCAATAACTTGATTGATGTTGATGACTTGTTGACTACACCGAATGATCAGTCACAGGCACCTCAACAAACATATAACTTTACTGATGATACTGCTGAAGCAATGAAGAACCAACAACAACAACAGACACAGCAAACACAACAACAACAACAACAAACATCACCTTCGTCACAAACATCACAGACATCACAGACATCACCAGCGTCATCTTCAACAACAGAGAACATAAAGTATAGACTGTTGTTTGAATAGTATGTATCAATCAATGAGTCACAGACAGGACAGGACATACTCACTCATTCACTTATCTAAACCAACAGCAAGAAACTATCAGAGATAATGATACGTGGACTATATGTTATACCATCGACCAACTCATTGTTTGAATGGCATTGCGTACTGTTTGTGAGGAATAGAATATACAGATCATCAGTGATCAGGTTTGTTGTTATCATACCAGACGAGTAGGTTCATCATAGAGTGTAGTGACAGCAGCAGCAGGTACAGAGAGTGCAATGTATTGATACGACTATCACAATCACAATCACAATCAGCTTCCCAGATGCATGCCCAGCTGTCAAGTTCCAAACACCAGTCTTCCATCCACTGATAGGAATGGACGGTGAGATAGATCTGTCACATCACTTCCACGATTGGAGCGCCGACAAGCATCTGATTGCTCACGTCCTCTGTTACATCAAGTCTATATTTCACAATCCTGATCGCTTCGAATACCCTCCACTCAATGCAGAGGCAAGCAGACTGTATGTATCATCATCATCATTCATACACAACATTGATTTATTGATCAGTGCACTAATGCAACGACAATGACAATGACAACAACAATAACAGAATGAAGGAGGACTATGAGGAGTTCTTGAGAAGGGTATCACACTTTGTAAAGCTATCGATCGACAACATATATGAGAACCCGCAGCATACACCGATTGTATTCTCGCCAGTGGAGGAGTGGCCAGACAAGCAGCAACTGGAGAACACTAGGAACACTGTATTGAAGAAGGAGGTTGGCATCCTGGACAATCCAAGGGTTCGACAGGTGCTCAGCTTCTTCTCCAAGTAAGTTGATCGATCGTTCAATCAATCAATCAATCACCAGTTCCTCCCTCGACCTGCTATAGCACCACCATGGTGGTGGCCAATCAACCAATGAAGCAGTAGGGTTGCGTAACCCTTATTACCATCTTGTACACCAAACACGATTGTGACTCATTGACTTTATTCCAATGCGATTGCTTCAATCTCTACTAGGCCCTGTGATAGATTCAATGATTGATTGAGTGAGTGACACTCTCTTGATGCAATTTGAATGTACTTACGTTCTTTGGAAGGTCGCGAACAGCAAAGGTCGACCTGGCCGGTGGGTCAACAGTGAAGTCTGTGATCAGGATAGGTGTGAGACGCGAATACCTAGCCAAGTATGCTCATACCGATACTCATACTTACACTTTGAGTAGACATTGTTGACTTTAGCAAAGTCGTTGATGTCCTTGAGTAGGATGGTGGTCTTGACGACCTTAGACATGGATGAACCACCAGCTTCGAGGACATACTTCATGTTCTCCAATGCCTGTTGGGCTTGCAGTTCAACGTCGGTGTCGGATGGATACTTCATTGTGATGGGGTCGAGTCCCAGACAACCACTGACGAATATCTGTCCATTGGCTTTGATCGCCTGGCTATACGCACCGAGTGCTGCGGGTGCCTGAGTGGTAGAGATTACCTGTTTTCCTGATGAGCTCTTTGTTGTTGAGGTCGAAGTGTACATGTAGCATGATGAACCGGGGCTCAGTCCACGCCACAGCGAGGTAGTAGTGTTGTTGTCCAGTATTGACCTGGTTAGTCTCTTAGTAAAACATCCGAATGTGATCATTTATTATAAGTTTGATTGTTATATTGATGAATCATCAAGTCATGTTTGTTCGAAAATGAAAGTATTCAATGTAGAGTGTGCTGTTTATAGTTACAAAGTCCTGATCAATCAATTAACAATCATTCAGAATGACAATGTCGGTCAATGACAATGAACATATCATTAAATATTGTTGTCAAAGTTACATTTAGTGACAAGGAAGTTTGGAAATAGTAAGAGTGATATTCAATATTCCTTTGACTTCAAGACCTCTGACCTTGATAATGTTAACAAAGTATGGATACCAATGTCCATGGATATTTTTTTGGACAAGTCTTGTGTTAGGTGACACGACCGACCCCATTCAACTTTGCCATCTTTTGTAGACTGTCCATCACTTCGTGATTTGTAGAATGACCAAAACAGGATTTATTTTGTAGATTGGTCAATGGGATCTCGGCCCTTTTATTAGTTTGAAATGTGCCAATCTACAAAGACAAAGTTATCAGGATGCCACTGTATCATCTTAAAAGTATATATATAATATTGAACACTTCCAACATAGTTGTTATAAATTCATTCATACAAATACACAATAAAAATAATAATAATAATAATAATAAAATGGTTAAAGTAAACTTTTCAACTCTCTCAAAGTCAGCTAAAAAGTTTGCAAAGGAGAAAGAGACAGAGATCAAGGGTCAGATCATGGAAGACCCATTCTCTCTTGTGCCAGTCGATGCAGTCATTGGTCTTGTCAAGGACCCAGTGGGCTTCCTCTCTGAGAAGTTCAATGACAAGGAGTTCCTTGGAGAATGCATTGCAACTGCCTTGTAAGTGTGTTCTACTGTCTAGCTAGTGTGGTGGAGGACTAGACGTGACCATCGACTGACATCTATCCATCCATCGACGTTCTCAAAACTCACACAGGAGTTGTGTTCCTTATGTAGGCCCAATTCTATCGACAGTGTTCTCTATGTTCTGGCCCAAGGACCCCAACGCAGCCGTCATCACCAAGGGTGAATTAGAGGCACGTCTGACTGAGTTCAGGACCGAGATGGAGAAGGTCATCGACACCAAGATCGACGCGGCCATCACCGAAAGCGAGAGTTCAATGTGGAAGAGTTTGGTGGCTGCCTTCTTTGAGACTCTCATCGACCGCGTTGAGGATGCCAAGGACCTTGTCAACTGCCTCAAGCGTGGATTGCTCGACGATGCTGAGGGATGCGACAAGATCAAGACTGACGTCCGTGTAGCGATGGAGCAGATCCGCCAGAAGGCCAAAGAGCTCTCCAACTTCTGCCGCAATCCCAAGTTCGCCAAGCATGTGCTCAAGTACCACTACCATGTGATGTTCATCCTTGTGGCCACCCATCGCCAGATGGACGCCTTTTGGTACCAATTCGACATTGACCCCCGCTTTGTCATGGGTATGTACTTGCCCTCACCTCTGAACCTCGTCCTCGATTTCTAACTCCTCTACCTTACTCACTCACTCTCATCTAGGTGCACCTGCTATTCCCAAGCATAATCTCAAAGAGATCAGATCCCTGGCTGAGAAGCTGCACGTCTATATCTCCAATGCAATGGGCGCCATTGCTAAAGGAGTGATGGACAACGTCAAGGACAAGAAGACTGATCGCAACAGTTGCTATGATGAGTACTCTGCCAAGTTGTTCCTCAGCGACATGTACCTCTATCCATGTCCCTTGTTCATTGCCCCCGCCAGCACCTCCGACACCATCACCGTGCCAGACAAGGGATCAAAGTTCATCTATCGAATTGATGCAGCCAACTTCAAGGCTAGGTACCCATCAAGCAGGGATTGGAAGGATGCAGCCCAAGTTGATGTCTTGACAGGTTGCAAGGGCATGATTCTTGGTGAGGGTCCATCCATCACTTTGAAGCTTGCAAAGAAGTGCAACGTCCGTGTTAGAGTCTTTGGACAATACACCAAGGACATCACCTTGCTTGATTTGGGATATGACAAGGTCATCCCCACTGTCTCTGATTCGATGCCCGCACCATCACTGTTCAAGATACCCTCTGGCTTTGATAATTTTGATTGGTTGATCACTGGATTCGCCAAGATGGACAGGTTGACCAACATTGACACCCTCAACTTGACATTCTCAATGGATCCTGAAGAGGCGATGCATAGAATGGAAGGAGACTCAATGGTCAAAGCTGGAAATGGATGTGTCAAGTTCGTAGAGTTAATCATCACTTCTATTTAACATTATAAATATATATTTACCATTAATAAACAGTCGGGTCGACCCGACTAGAAAGCCTCCCCATCGTTTTTTCAATCATTCAAACTCAGAGAAAACTCACATTGAGTTGGACCAAAATTACCAACTTAAATGAATTAAACCTTTCATTAAACTAGTTTAATCAATCAATCAAACAATCAATCACTTAATCAAGTATAAAGATAGATCGAGATAGAGAAGTAGTAGTTTATGTTATCATGAACTCACATGTATGTAGGTTCCTAACAACTAGTATTCCATTGTTAAATACTAACTCTTTATGAATCAATCAATCAATCAATCAATCAATCAAACAAACAAACAACAATTAATAACTTATAGCCACAATTGTCAGTGTATATATATTGTAAAGAATGTCAATGTCAGTCAAAGTCATGCTTTGGAACATACAAGGAAACTCATGATCATGCTATTCGATCAGTCGTTACCAATCGTTTGTTGATCAAACGTATTGTGGAACTTGGAAGACATCAAGAACATGGAATGAGGATATTGAAGTATGATGATATGCAGAGTGCCCACAAACTGTTGATCAAACGTAGCTATGCACTGTTGGTCGATCGTCTGATCACTGGCATTCACCAATATTGGTCATCAAGGGCTTTGGGCATGCTTGTTGTTCATGCCACAACAAAGGATGTCCCGCTGTTTCATCATGTCTACCGTATACATCAACTACGATTCACTGATCGGGCACTACTCGCCGCTGCAGCAGTCTCTGGCCAAGTGGACATATTCAAAGTGCTCGAGTCACAAGTGCATCCTTGCTCTTTGCTGGCGGCCAACAATGCCATACCAAAGTTGGCTGGGAAGAAGGAATACGATGGAGGATACTTCGGCCCATGGCAGGACACGGTTGAAAAGCAAGAGCAAGATGACTATGTGTTGCTGGCCCTGTCCAATGGCAACAGACAACTGTTTGAGTATCTGTTGCCCCGCCAACCCAGGAGGATAACTGCTGCTAGAAGTCAAGATGATTATGTTGTCCCCAAGCTCGTCACTGATAGAATCAACTGGGTCGACATGGCATCAATGGTGAAACAGCTCATCAAGTACATTGACAACCAGAACAAACGACCAGGATGCAACCAGAGCATTGGTCAATACTTGGAGCATCCATTCTACGTCATACTCAAGTGTAATGACATGGAATTGGTCCGCATGTCATTCAACAAACATATAAAGTCAGTTAGCTATCAACAGCTACGAGTGTACTGCGAAGAAACCTTCATGCCAGTCAAGCGATCGGACAAAGATGTTGACAATCCGTTCGGGCCCAGACAGCAGGTTGTCTACAACAATGACGATGAGAGTACCCCAACTGATCCAGAGACGTTGAAACAATCATACAACTTCCTTCTTAGTGTCTTGGACTACACCTCTGTTGGACGTACGAGTTTGACAAAGTCCTCTATGATGTTTGCTGAGACATTCAAAGATGTTCTGACCTCCGGAACTGGCACGATGTTCCTAGCCTTGTTCCAGATGCTCACTAGGTTGGCCGAGAACCAGGAAAAGCCACAGATATTCCCCCTTCTATCAAACATCAGAAAGGGATTGTTCATGCACATCAATATGGACAATGAATCAACATCCACTCAATTGTACAAGGACCTGCAGAGATACCTTGTTCGCAACCATCATGGTATGGCTTCACTATGTACATTTGGTTCATTGTACATGGTCTCCAACGCAAGCATGCACTTCAAAGGATGTGAGACTGAGGTTGAGCAACTACTCAATCATCCAGCTCGAACCAATCTCAAGTCGTACGTTCAGAGGAAGGCTCAATTGGACCTGCTTCAAACATCAAAGTTGTTTGTCTATCCCAAGACTTTATCAATTCAGGGATTCAACAGACTTCACAATCTTTATCCACTGGATAGACACAACGTTGTTACGTATCTTGTGGCCCTGGGCGATGTCTTGGGACTACGTGCAGCCGTACAAGATCACCCAAAGCTTGCCACAAAGTCAGGTGCTCATGAGCGTACTCTCAAGTACCTGGTGTCGAAGCATCCAATCAAGATAAGACTTGGACTCGGCGCGGTACTTAGGCTGTTCCACTTTAACATTGACGCCGAGCTTAGGAGTGATTGCACGTTGGAGGAGATCAAACAATTAACAGTCAAATTGATACAAGAACTGTTGGTGCTCAGGGCAGATACATACGGTGGTCTCATTGACCAAGAGATACTCAAGTATCTAGTGCCATTCACTGTCAAGTACCAAGATAAGGTCCCGCTGCATCTGCCATTGTTTGTTCAAATCATCAACTATGCCATTGTGATGGGATTGATTGACCTTGTCAAATGGATTTCCGTTAACTTCCATGACCATATGATTGCCATGATGAGGATGCAGAGCTATCTAAAGTTGGCAATTGATCATCATCAGAACTCAATCTTCCTGTACCTCACTGAACACTTCAAGGTCACCTATCAACCAAAATTGGAGAATGCGGGAAGACTTAGAGACATGGTCCAGTTCGATTGGATCATATCACTCAATCAACCCATTAATCTAGAGTCATGGTACAAACTGTTGCTTGAAGCCAGTGAGATTGGTAACAGAGTATTGATTGAACACATCCATGTCAAGTACAATCCAGATGTAAGATATGGCGATCTAGTGCACTGCGCATACAATTGTATGCATCTTGACAGAGTTGATATAATGCAATACTATGTCAATCAATGGATGACTAGGGATACTCCCAATGACCAAGAGTTCATACATATTCTCAAGCAAGACATTTACCAACACCCAATTCATCAGCAAGAGCAACGAGAAGAGCAACAAATGAAAGAGGATGGCTTCATATCCATGCCAAGGGTGTCCAGGATCAACAAACAATTATTCGAGAGTCCAAAGTGTTTGGAGTACCTCTTGGAGTCGCCCCCAAGGATTTGGAGCGGTAGTATGACGCCACAGCATTGGTCTGAGTTCAAAAGACCAGACCAACAACGCCATTCATCAACTACATTCTACGATGTTGAGTTGGCAACAAAGTTGACACGAGAAAGTACTATACGTAGAGTCAAATCACGTAAACCCTACTATGGATTTAATGATTATGATAGTGATGATTATGAAGATGACTTTAATTACTATAATCATTATTATAGGAGAGAGAAGTATGATCCTGAATACTAAGACACTCCCAGTCACTCATTAATGTACATTAATAATAATTAAAAAATACATTTTGAACAATCATTATGGAATGTCTACAAAATGTACTTTTGGAACGATGGACATGTTGGTCAAGGCAGTTGATTTGATTAGTAAACTTCCTAACCAAGTCAAGAATAATCAACTACTATACCATGTTGTTACTTTAAAGTCGAGAAAGTATCATGGAAAGTATAATCAATTGATGGAGACATCCAAGTTGTTTGTCTATCCCAAGACAAACCTGATATGCCACAAGATCATTGATTGTGCATCCAGGTGCATCATACTAGACCGACAGTACATGGTTGAATACCTGGTTGAGTGGATACACAAGGTCATTGACAACAGTCCACGCAACGTAAATCATAGATATCAGCCACCAAAGCCTTCAATCGAATCGATAAAGCATGAGATATATGAACGTCCATTGCAAGGATCAAAATAGAAGGGGAGCCAGATCTATCAATCTTGACAGTCCCAAGTGCAGTCTGTATCTGGTCAATGAACAGCCATCATTGGCTCAACGATCATTACATCAATGGACAGAGTATCTACGTCCGACGATGATGAGTGTTCATCCAACATTCTACAGCACCGAGTTGGCTCAGAAGCTGACAGCTACCAGCAAGATACGCAAGTTGATTGCCAAACCTCCTCTTCAACGTAGACTTAGTTATTCAGACGACTATGTCGATGATGACGAATTTGAAGATTATCTATATGAATGATATTTAAATGCAAAGTAATATATATGTTGGGTCATTAAATCATTAGTTATTATCTCTAAACTATTAATAATTATATTTGTTGTCTTCATTCTAACAAACCTTTGAAGACTTTAAGACTATTGGTGGACTTTGAGACCTTAGATGGGCGCGATCTGTTTGTTGACACACACTCTCACTTCCAAACAAACACCTTCCTTCCTCCCACATGAAGTGAGAGGTAATCTTACCAACCTAATACCCCTTCGGAGTCACAACAACCATGTCAGTCAGTCATACATTCATTCATTCATTCATTCATCGCAATGTTGACTGAGTACCAATGTAGTTCGAATAAATAGAGAGAGAGAGAGTTATAATAGAGAAACAGATAATATAGAGACAATTACATATTCATTTAATTAAACTAAATGATAATAATATTGTAATAGTTGGTTAGCAAATAACCAACATCAATCAAACGATCAATCAATCCATCAGAGAAACATTCAATCATTCAAACTTTGAAGATAGGAATCTGCTTGTTTCAGAGTCCAACTTTAATCGATCACTGGTCATTCATTGGCACAGACAGAGAGTGAGACAGCGATACAAACATGGAATACCTTGATTTCTCAGCTTCAAGCTCGTTCGTAGCAGCGGTTGATGATATGTGGGTACTAAATGCCACATTTCTTGTATTCTGTATGTCAACAACAACAACAACATCGTCATTATCATCCATATAACTAATATACATTATTAGATACACAAGCTGGATACTGTATGTTAGAGGCTGGTGTAGTACGAGCCAAGAATGCCAAGAGTATCATTATCAAGAGTATCATTGACACTGCATTTGGATCACTGATATTCTGGGCTCTTGGCTTTGCCTTTGCCTTTGGTGACGAGAACAATCCAATCATTGGCTACAATCATTTCTTTTTAATCAATTATAGTAACTTAGTATTCTTTGCCTTTCAAGTAAGTTGATGGGCCTCACGGACACACATGTCAACTCATTCATAACCCTAATCAATCAATCAATCAATCAATCATATTATACATTAGTGGGCATTCTCTGCCACCAGTATCACAGTAGTCAGTGGATCATTGGCGGAAAGAGTTCACATCAACAGTTGTTTAATCTATACTGTTGTAATGTCAGCCATTATATATCCGGTGGGCGCACATTGGATATGGTCTAAAGGAGGATGGCTGAGAAGAATCGGAACAAATGGAATTGTAGACTTTGCAGGCGGCATGGTTGTACATATGGTGGGAGGCTGCGTCGGCCTCGTCGGTACATATATCGTTGGTCCGAGAATCGGTCGCTTCGACCCAGAGAGTGGCAAGCCCAAGCCACTACCTGGCCACAGCATCACGCTGTCCACATTGGGCGCGTTCATCATTTGGTACGGATTCTTTGGCTACAACACTGGCTCAACACTCGGTATCTCAACGGGTCGTGTTGGAATTGCCGCGCGAGCCGCCGTCAACATGACAATCAGTGGCACTGCTTCATGCGCCACAACACTCATACTGATCAAACTGTTCACTGGCAAGTACGATGTTTCCAAGTCGGTCAACGGCCTGCTCGGTGGACTGGTCGCATCGGCTGCCAACTGCGCCATGGTTGAGCAGTGGGCCAGCTTTGTCATTGGCTGCGGGGCTTCCCTGTGCTACATTGGTTCATCAATGCTTCTTATCAAACTCAAGATCGATGATCCACTGGACTCTTCACCCATTCATTTCACCTGTGGTATCTGGGGAGCACTGGCAGTTGGACTATTCGCCACTCAATTCGACCTTGGTCAACTATTAAGAAGGGAAACCAATGTATATGGTTTGTTTTATGGTGTATGTATTATCTATTATTATTATTCCAACGATACTATATATATCACTAACAATCAATACCAATCAATCAATAACAATACCACAGGGAGGTGCTCAACAACTTGGTGTACAGGTACTTGGAGTTATTTGTGTGACGGCATGGTGCGTTGTACTGTCGACGATATTATTTAAATTGATGAAACGGTTCAATCTATTACGTATTGATCCTACCAGAGAACTAATGGGTATTGACATGGACCAACATGGTGGACCTGCCTATCCCAACTTTCAAAGTATATAATGATCATCACCAGTCAATCAATCAATCAATAAAGCTCTACCCTGGCGAGTGTAAGCTAATGAAGATGAGTGTCATTTATTTATTTGGCAATAGTCGTCAACACGACAAATTCCTTGTACAATGGCGCTAGGGCCTTGCTTGTGGTCACCGATTACATTGAAATCACTCTGGTCAAGGGTCTTCCCTTTGATCAACCACACCCCTCCATCCATTTGCAACACACACAACCACATGAACAAACCGCCACAATCAAACTTAGTTTCAGACCACCACTACACTCTCAATTAATCATTCCATTACATTCCCTCACTTACACCTTACATTATTAATTGTCAACCAATCAATCAAAACTTATAACATACATACATTATCACAAGGTATAGATATTAGGTAATAAGTGTGAGATCCAGGGAATTGAATCCAATCAATCAAACATACTTATGTCAGCATCGTCTACACAATCAAACCACAATAACAATAACGCGACACACTTTGTTCCTCCACCGCCGCTATTCTGCTTTGACAAACATAACAGCAACAACAACAATAACCACAATAATAACAATCATAGTAGTAACAGCACCAGTAGTAGTAATATCAACTCAATTGGTGTTACTTCACCATCATTAGTGATGGCCAATGACCTCACCCAATATCAACACCAGGCACAGGTGGTCCAGGTAGTTAGCGTGGTACCATCTCTAAATACACAGCACTTGGATGGATTGGTTCCACCCAATGTTACCTCGCCAACATCCTCGACTTCCACATCCACCACAAGTACTGCAACCAACACTCCAGCTGCAGCAAACAAGCTTGGTAACAACCTTACCGACTACTTTGAATGGTAATTGATCAACATTATCATAATGAATGATTATGTCATATTAACATGTTGCTATGATTGATTAGGTGTTCGAGTCTGATCAGCCAGAACAATCAGGACGCATCCAATCAGCAACAGCAGCAGCAACAGCAACAGCAGCAGCTACAGCAACAACAATCATTGTACTCAAACAATGACGATCATCAGAACAATGGAAACAGTCCAGTATTCAATCTGCCATTGCAATCGACCTATCAAGACAGCAATGAAATGACATCATTCTCAAAGTATCAACCTACCACCTTGACTCCATTGTATGAGGATGCCACATCGATGGTCTCCTCCCCAGCCATGACCTATTCTCAATTCCTCCCCAAGTATGGTGTTGTGCTCAATGTCAACAAGAATGTTCTTCCACCTCAGGCATGGAGCTCTCCCGCACTCAATCAAGTGGACAACAACAATGGCAACAACAACCAATCATCCAATGGCATCGGTAACTTGGCATTTAGTTTGGGAAGAATGAATGAGCAGCCAATGAACAATCGCAGCAATAACAACAATCATCATCATCAGCATAATGGTGATGGTAACACAAGAACCCCCATCATTGGCAGTCCCTTCCTCCATCAACAACAACAACATCAACAACATCATCAACATCAACACAATGGTAATGCGGACAACAAACAGACACAACAACATCACATTAATCTTGCACTGGACCAACAATTGATGCTTCAGAATAATGGTGACATAACCGATCATACTCCACCCAATCCATTCGATCACTGGGAGACTGGCCTCGAGCCAGACTCTCTAAAGAAGCAACTGCAGCTGTCTCCGCCAACCGCACTCCAATCACCTGTCGTCATGTTTGAGCCATATCGTGGTGGCACCGACACGGGCCAGCATCGCGCCTGCTGGATGTTGCTCGAGCCAATGCATCGAAACTACTACCAGCCCATCATGTTCAAGATACCCAGCGACACTAATCCGTTGGTGACAGGCAGCTCGCTGTCGCCAGCCACAGTTATGCTCAAGGATGCAGCGTCACCATTCTCATCGGGCAATCGCTACGACGACTATCGCATCTACATCCACTCGTCGCTGGGCTACTCGGGCAATGCCAAGCGCTTCAAGCAGTACCCTGAGCCCAACGAGAAGGCGCTGATCCTCGACGGCAACGTGTACGATGGCAACCTGAACCCGATATACAATTGCAAAATATGCTCCGAGTACTACCAGACCAAGTCGTACTTCTCGGCCAACCCGCAGGCCAAGGGCAAGATCCTGTTGGTCAAGAACAACATCCTGACGCGCATCAAGGATGGCGGGTTCGTCCTCTCTGTGAAACCAATGTGCTGCAGTGGACACAACTCGCACATTCCACTCTACTTCCACTTCACGCTCAGTGATCCATTCAGTGACCAAGTCGTGTTCCAATCACTCATGAGTGTCAACGTCAAGCAATGGAAGAAGTCCATCCAGTCCAAGACAAAGAAGGCCAAAACAGAGTGAGCCTGGATGATGGAGTGCGCTCATTCATTCAATCATTCAAACAAATATGCCATATGAATGGCATTTCCTTATCCCCAACTCCCATACCATGTATAACATAAACAATCAATATTCTTATTATATTACATCAATAAATCCAGAATATATAATTTTTATTTGTTTCAAGTTTGAATTTGAATTTGACGCGCCAAAATGACCGTTATCTTACAGACAGTTAAACACAAATGATCAATGCCTTTTGAGTATCAACATAATAATTACAATCATCAAACGTTCAAACTATTATACGAGTATTACTTTTAAATCAATAGCAATCAAACAATTAATATTCAATCAATCAAAGGACATTCTCAAACCAGCGAGCTCGTCCTTTAGATAACAATCAATCAATCAGAAACTGTCTCGATTCAGCACCAGCAGCTTTAGCGGTTCAGTCCAGTGTCTCACTCCATCATCAGTGGCTACTGCATCACCTGTGTTTACACCATCACTCTATCCACAGCTTTTAAAGACACCAGAGTCATCACCATCACCCGCCCCCACACCATTGTCCAGGAGCACTCCCCAACTATATCCATTCATATCACAGTCATCCACATCCAACATGTCATCGAGCAAATCAATCAAGATGGTCAACCCATCCTCACCCTACATCCAACGTCCAACCACATCAGTCGCACCATCATCACCATTCCAAGCTCTTCAGGTCAAGGAGTCATGTGGTGGCACCACCTCGTCGTCAAGGTCAAAGAAGGCCATCAACATGGAGGATTTGGACAACAAGGAGAACATCACATCAAACAACATCAACATCAAAAACAACAACAACAACCAATCTACATCGACTGGCAAGCTGTCCACAATAACATCGACCAAGTCAAAGAAGACCAGCAACAGCAGCAACACTGGCGTCAACTACAGCGAAAGGCCAACAGGCCCAACGTCCATTGGTGAGATGATTGTATCAGCAAACATTGCCAAGTTTGTTGAGCAGACTCAATCCGCCAGCAAGCAGGATGAGACGGCTGCTCCAACCATCGCGACCAAGAAGCGTGTCACTCGTTCTCAAACAAAGACCGCTGTTGTTGTGGAGTCTCCAGCCAAGCCCAAGGATGTACCTCTTCCAGCCAAAGATGCCACTGCCAAGCCAAAGAGGACCAAGTCGACGGCCACTTCAGAGAAGGTGGCGGTTGATGTGAAGGAGGTAGAGATGGAAACCGTGGTAGAGACAAAGTCCAAGAAGAGGACAAAGAAGACGATCAGGGATGATGCTGCGGTGGCTGCCGCAGAGAAGAGTGCCACACTCATGAGCGAGCCAATCCAGGTGGCCGATGCAGTGGAGACAAACAAGAAGAAGAAGAAGAGAGTAAAGGTATCTCACGAGCCCGATCAGACTGCTGTTGCTCCCGTCCAGGTCCAGGTCCAGGTAGTCAAAGAGGTTGTGCCAGAGGCCCCCAAACCAGTGGCTGTCAACGAGCTCACCCAGTCCATTCTCAAAAAGAGGTCAAGCGCATCCAAGAAGAAGAAGTCCATCTCATTCAAGATGTCTCCAATTGTACAATTCTTCAAGGACAGCGAGCCCATGACATTGACATCATCACAGATGGTCCAACCAGCAACATTGCCAATGCCGTCTTTGAGCACCTCCAGCGTCTCCATCGCCACTACCAACGTTGTGCCAATCACAATGCCAGCGCCAGCACCAGTGCCAGTACAGGTTGCACCAACCAGATCTCCACGCAGAGCATCCATCGCGCCATCAAGAACCTCGGTTATTCCAACTCCACAACAATCACCACAACAGAGTATCAAGTCTTTGTTTGATAGCAACGCTGGATTGACCAGCCTGTACAGCAGCAATGTACCCGCTTCTTATGTTGCCCCTCCAACTGCAACCTTGGACTCGCCAATGAGACCACTCTATCCATCACTCTTTGACTCATCCACCACATCAACATTGACAACAACAACAAGCATTGGAGGAATGTCATTGCGAGGAGTACCAGCCACCTCACCACTCAAACCTGCACTCACTATGGAGGACATGAACGAGAAGTCACTCTCTGAGTCCATCTCCAAACTTGAGATATCAATCGCCCAGCTCTCCAAGCCACGGTCTCCAGTCAGCATGCAAAAGTCGATGACATTGAATGACCTCGTTCCAAAGAGTCCCCTGTTCTACTCGAACACTGGCGCACTGTATGTAATCACATGAAGTTGATGGGATATGAGTGATGGAGCCCAGCACTAACAATCGTCTACACACAAACTCTATCAGGAGAATGAGTTTTGAGAAGGCCAAAGAGCGCATTGCCAATGAGATTGTCAATGAGATTATCAACTCTCCTCCAAAACAACAACAACAACAACTACAACAGCCTGCCCATCAGCAGAAGCAGGTTGTGCCACCCAACAACAACAACAAAGTTGTTGCCATGAGCAGATCAACAATTGCTCAACAAGCCAAGAGTCGTAGATTGACCAGAGTGGCGGCGTCCAATCAACCTCAGTCAACCATCACCACTGCCAAGAAGGAGACCACTCAGCCAAAGAGGAGGATGACGCACTTCACAAACACTTTGTGCAATGAGTTGAAACAGTCTGTGTCCAACGCCATGCGCGAGCACATCAACAAGGTGCAGCTTACTGTACCGGTGGAGTTCCACTTTGAGACAGCCAAGAGGATCAGACCAGGTGATCCACACTATCCAATTGTGAACGATGCAGCCGCCGTCACCACTGTTGCAACACCACAAGTTGCACCAGCAACAATGTTCCATGTTCCCATCAAGAGAGATACGATCAAGAAGTCGTCATCAAACACTACTACCAGCACTGGATCACGTACTCTTACCAAGGTCAAGGTATGTCTCGAGACTATATTTGTCTACCTGGTCATCACACCATATTTTATAACTACTAACAAATTATTGTTTATTTAGGAGTTTAAATTGAAGACACAGGCAAGGAATAGAACATCTGCCAACTAGAGTGCCAAACAATATGGCAAGAAGGTATTCCAACTCTCGAGTATGTGATGTAAAAGCCACATTCAATAAACAATGGAATCGTTAGGATGTTGTTAATTAATTAAACTAGTTTAATAGATATAAATTAAAATTCAAATTAAAAAATCTTTTGTTTAAAGCCGCCTCTCGTCCGACCTGGAAGAGAGACGCGGTGCGGTGTTCTGTTTATTTATCCCGAGGGATAACTATACAATTGTTTTGGTTGTTTGGACACTGTTCTGGCTGGGTCCACTGGCCTTTGTGTCGTCGGCATTTGTTTGGATTGTTGCCGACGCGTGCTCATGCGTTGGCTTCCGTGATTATATACATTTGATTGAGTTATAGACTGGTGTAGTTGAGTGGTGGCAGATTGTATAGGGTCTGCCCCATTGTTCGTTGTAAAAAATCCAACATTGTAGAATAAAACCGTTGAATCATTAATTTTTCCCATCGACAGGGCTTGTAGCTCAGATGGTAGAGCGCTCGCTTAGCATGCGAGAGGTAAAGGGATCGATACCCTTCTAGTCCATAACCTATTTTTTTTTTTTTTAATATAAAGATATACTTCGCCGCCACGTTCAACATGCGGATGGCGCCGCCACCTCTGACCCTCCCGAGATACGCAAGGCATTCCACTCGTTCTACTCCAAGCTCTACACCAAGGGCGCCGACGACGCCGATGATCACGAGAGACTACTGTCCCACTGGAGCCCGGACTGCCGGGAGCACCTCCAGCCACTCGAGGAGCCCATCACGGCCGATGAGGTCCTCTCCGCCATCTCCACCACGGATACCTCAAAGTCTCCAGGCCCAGATTGACTCACTGGTCAGTTCTACGTGTCACACGCCGAGGTCCTTGCCCCCTTCCTCGCCACCACGTTCAACAACATGCTGCTCGACCCTGAGACCATCACCAGTGACTTCAAGTGTGGAATCATCTACACCATCTTCAAGAAAGGCCACATACTGAACATTGCCAACAGACGTCCAATCACCTTACTCAACGTGGATTACAAGCTCCTCAGCAAGGTCATCAATGCCAGACTCACCAAGCTCCTCGACAGTCTGATCAACCCATTACAGAATGGCTTCGTCCCCGAGAGGCTGATCCACTACAACACCATCATACTGCAGGAAGTCATCGACACGGCTGCCCAAGACATGGCCACTGGCTATGTCACGCTGTTTGATTTCCAGAAGGCGTTCGACTCCATATCACATAATAGCATCGAGCGCACTCTCAGCTTTGTCGGCATCCCACTATTGATGGTCGGGCTCGTCATGGCCCTAGGGCAGCTGCTGCGGGGCTCCGTGGCCAGAGTCAGTGTCAACGGCATCCTCACTGATGCCCTGCCCCTGGACAGAGGCACCAAGCAAGGTGACCCTCTCTCCCCGACGCTCTTTGTTCTGGTCATCGAGGTACTGGCAGCAGCAATCAACGCCGACCAATCCATCGTGGGCCTGCCTGTGTCACCGCCCCCGACACATTAGTCGACGACAAGAAAGTCTCGACCGTCCGCAAGAAGGTCAAGCTTCTCCAGTTTGCCGACGACACTGCAGCGCTCACCAGGTCCCTCGAGGAACTCTTGAGAGTGATTGAATGGTTCAAGGTCTTCTGCAAAGCCACCTCGTCAGCCATCAATGTCGACAAGTCTGTCCACATAGTCCTTGGCGATGCACCAACGTCTGAGCTCCCCTACCCAGTGGCCGCCGAGCCTGAAAGATACTTGGGCGTCAACTTCACCAAGCAGGGCATCTAATCCAAGTTCAAGACTCTCATCAGCTCCTTCCGCGGCAGACTCTCGCTCTTCAAGTCTGAAAGCACCACACYGCGGTCCAAAGGTTGCAGCTATCAAGTCWTACGCCCTCCCCCCCTCTGATGTACCACTTCTATCTGGACTCACCGACCAAGTGGCAGATCAAGAAGATCGATAACCTCACCAAATGGTTCATCGCAGCCCCCAAGACYACCGCCTACGGCTCCAGCTTCATCAACACGATGGCACTGGACCGCGCCAGCTTCCATTGGGAACAAAGTGGCCTCAACCTCTGGGACATTGGACTCAGATCAATTGCCTACAAGGTATGGGTGTTCAATCGTTTCCCTTCCCATTCTTTTTTTTTTTTTTTTTTGACTAGAGTGGAAGTTTATTATTATTGCAAATAAATTGGCGTCATTGAAGAGGCGGGATAATATATATAAGTTAGTCGATTTTGAATTTTCTTGATTTTTTTCTTTCTTTTCTTTTCTACTGTAGGCCTCTGAATTCGGCCACCAAGTATTGTTG